TTGAACCTGACTTAGTCTGGGCCTGGTAGGCAGGGTCAACTTTTGCCTACCGTCGAACACGGCACCTATACTTCTAGGTCACGCTGGAGTTAGTCAGGGCCAGCAAAGGGAGAGGACTGTCTTGTCACAATGAGTGTCTGGGTTTGGAGTAGGGAGAGAGGACTACCGAGAACTCATGTCCACATGAACAGGGCAAACACAGCCGTCAAGCCAGCGTCGGGAGGTCGGAAGGATGATTGGTAAGAGGTTGATTGATGGCCTTTTGTCTAGCGTCTGCAATGTCGACAAGAAAAAGTGTGTGTGTGTGTGTGTGTGGGTTGGTGGGTTGGCGTGCATCTTGGGTGCGACATTCCTTGAGCTACCTCGAAGCCAGGTACCTGAAGAAGGGCGTCGGGGCCGTTGGAGACGAGGAATGTGACAGGTGACCCAAAGACACCTTAGCTGACTGGGCTGGAATGAAGACGCGCAGCGCGATACGTTAAAGACAGTTGTGTCAAAACACCGGTAGAGGACAGGGAAGCAACGTGGTCAACGACCCGGTCATGCTGAAGGACAATCTGAGACGAGACTGATAGGAGGGAGAGCGGCCAAAAGAAAGAAAAAAAAAAAAAAAAAAAAGAGACATGGAATATCAGAGACAAACGGTAATCCATATTTACCACGAAAGGGAAGGAAGTCAGGGGTCAGAGCAGCGACCTTCCCTTGATAGGACGTGTATTCGGGAATAAAGCCTACTTTTTCAAGGCAGGCAAGTTCGGTCTTTCTCTCGATATCAAACAGACCACAGAACAGCAGGCACAATGTGTGTCGAGTAGACTGAACCCTGAATAAGCAGGCTCTACCTCTAGTTCCTTCTGCTCTCATTTACCAGACACTCCAAGGTAATACCAGACACCATATCAGATGCAGGTGTTGTTGCACCAGAGAATCGCCTTCATCCCGTCTGGTCCTGGCGCCTTCATCAATATGCTTCTGCGCTCTGTCATCCATTATTATGCGACTCGCAAGAAACACAAAGAGCCTTTACGCAAAACGGAAGCATCGGAAGCAGAACCCAACAGATTCGGCTACGGCTGGCCGTCAATCTGGTACCTACCTGGTTCATGCCTTCGCTTGTTTCCTACTTTTTTCTCCTTCCCGCCTCCCGTTCGGCGTCCCGCATGGCAGGTGGCCCGTGTAGCTCTGGGCCGTTAATTCGAAATAGTTTTCCCTTCTAATATAGTGCACCGGCCGCAGAATAAGGTATCGTGGTCCGGACATTTAACTGCTAGTGAGCGATGCTGAGACGGAAGGAAGGCGGGGCTGGAGGGGACTGGACCGGCGCTTCAATGCGGGGTGGGCTCTCGCTTGGCGGGTGACGGCGGCGCACAGGTCCCTTCCCAGCACCCGTAGTGCCTTTTTATAGAAAGGGGAAGCTCCCTGGGAGGCTATTAAAGTGCTTCGCGGCCACTCGGCCTTGACAGGGACGGGGGGGTTGGCCCACGGACGCCAACAGCTGGCCCCATCCCGTGCGTTGTAGTGTAAATGTACCTTATCTCCCAGGTCGGTATGCATGTACCTGGCCCTAAGCCGCGCTAGCAGATGCTCCCAGTAGCCTGAGGCCTGTGAGAGAGCTCCCAACCCCTCGCATGATGCAGCAAAAAGAGGGGCAGGACAATGGAGGGGTGGGCAAGGAGGGGAGGGGACGAGGGGCACGGGTAAGTACCTTCGGTATGACACACTCAGCAAGCCGATACTTCCGCTATGGGCGTACCTTCCTGGAACCGACCACTTGCTTTTTGTGAAGAAAGTACCTGCCGTGCCTGCCTCCGCTGTGCCTGCCTTCCTTTCGGCGGTGCGGGTCTCTACCTGCCTGAAGCTGCATTCTATATTATACGTGCAGTAGTAGGAAGGTACGGGGATAGAAGAAGGAACAGACGGGCAGGATACTGAAGCAAACTAAGCAAAAGCAAATGTGTGCCTGCCTCAAGTAAGGTGCTAATAGTGGGTGCCTTCCTGCGTAGCCCTGTCAAACTGTGCCTCCCGAACCTGCGGGTGTTGAATGGAAGAACGGAGAGGGGGAAAGGGAAAAAGAAGAAGAAGAAAGAACAAACGCGGAAGCTGCAACCTGGCAACTGTACCTCTAGTCGTTGTTGCTTTCTTTCTCACTCAAGTTGTGAACCGTAGCTTACCCTATCATCGTCCTTTTCCTCGTCTTACCCAAGTAGGTGCCCATATGATAATGACCTCTGGACCTTATCGCATTGTCCCGGATCTTGCATTGCTTATCGTCGCCGCCGCCGTGTCCGCCGGTACCCCTCCTCCACCACCACCGCCTCGAAACTACCTGGTCCACCCCTCATATCCTCACCACCATAACCAACACACACCTCGCCTACCGTCACCGACACGTACTCTGACCACACCTTCCCGACGTTTTCCTGACACGGATATCCATGGTGTCTGTCTTAGTGACAGTTCAGCTGCCGTCATTCCCCTCCACCACCGGTCGGTCGCCTCCACATCTGCCCCTCCAAGCAAACAATCGAAAGACAGCCATCCCCAGGCCGAAACATCCAGGCATCGTAGCACCGAATGCATCCTGCCGAATTCCCCTTTGCGTCCGTATCCGTCCAACATGTCTCCGCCTTCTGTGTACCCCTGCGTGTGTACTAGTAGGCTCGCTGCCCAGGACCAGGCACCTCGAGGCACAAGACAGGTCAAAGAAAAGCCAGGGAATGCCAAGGTTTTGGACGGTTTGTCTGCTGTGTTGGCTTGGACGCAGCGCTATATCCTTACAGAAGTCCAACTGTAAACTGATGGCTTGGGGGGTCGGCGAGCGTCAGCGCCCATCAAACTTCCATCGCATCTTCGGCGGTCAGCCACCGTCCCAGACCGACTCGTTGCTGTTCCCCATTTTTAACCACCGCCCTTGACTTCGACCTCGACCCGTCAAATCGTCATCCCTTCTGCCAATCGTCGCCCGTCCCTTGACACTTTCATCCTTTGTGCCTGGCAGCGTTCTAACCCACAGACAGTCAAGTCATATCTCGTACAGTAAATCCCGGTCCCTCGCTCAGCCAGTCAGCCAGCCCTCATCGGTACCTTACGTCTGGCCCTGACTGCCCTGACGGCGCCTGTCAACATTACCAACCCCCCCCTTGTCTCGACTCAAGAGCCACCACGTTCTTCTCCCATTCGCAGACGCCATGTCGCTTATTGTGCCCGCTAGTCGGTCTGCCTAAGCAAGGCGAGGCCTTAATACGCAGTACCAGGTACGCCGTGCCCCACGGACACACTCTCTCGTCGCCGCCTCCATCCTCCGTTTCCACGGGGCCGTCAGAGTGCCAAAGCCGTCAGCTTCACCTTTCACCTTCGTGGATGGCGAGCACACCATTTCCCCTCCGTCGTGGACCATTATCGCCTCCCGTCCGTCGTCAATCCGTCTTAGTTTGAGAGACCCCCAACCGCCCGGCTGACTGGGATCCCACCGTCAAACCGTCTGACTTTGATGGTGTACCGCCTGTACCCCCCCCCCCCCCCTCCCTTGTCCCTCCCGCCAATCGATCCATCGATACCACTACCGCCGTCACGTCCTGGCTCTGACCCTGGCCCTGGCGAGAGGACAGGCCCTAGCTGTGGTCCTGGACCTGGCTTGCCCGCCCTTGTGTCCACCCAAGTCACCTCGTACCGCCTGCGCTTCCGCTCGCTTTGAGTGCCATTAACGGCCATCGTCAACTACTTACCAACCCTCTCTCGCACCTCTTCGCGGACATTTTCCCTCTTCTTTCCCTCTTCAGCATCTAGTCCTGCGACCCTCTTTCCATCGGACACGACTCTTTTGAGGTTCTTGGACCGGCAGATCGTATATCGCCTCAGCAACGGCTTGGGATACACACTCCACAATCAGGCACCCTGCCCTACGTTCGGTACTTGAGCCGATCACCGTCAAGTAACAGCAAACTGACGCACTGTTAACGATAACTTTCAGTATCGTTGAGCTAGGACGGACGCAAAGCATTCATCATCTTCGCCTCCTTCTCCTCCTCCTTCTTTCTGTCCCACTACTGAAATCAGACGGCTCTTCCAACAGGCCGGAAACCCGTCACCTCGGTTCTTGTTTGGCATTGGACCGGACTGCATTGGCTCTACGATAGCCCACAGACGCTCCCACCCAAATTCGCCGACTTGGTGCACCGGATCCCCCCAATACGCACCCCCTTCAGAGGAGGCTGGTTGGCTGGCTACTCCAACCTACCTGGACAAGACTCCGCCCAGCTCTTGACGCTACCGCCCGCTAGGCTCGAACGAACGCAGGCAGGCGCAAAACCAGAGGCAGGGGGAAGAAAAGTCAGCGAGGAACCACTGGGAACCACTTTACTGCAGCCAGCAGGGTCAGATCAGGGCAGGTCTTTCATCATCGACCATTCATCGCCACACTCCCCTGGCAGCCCTTTTCTAGAGCCGCCTGCCCCTCGCCCTACCAAAGTGTCTCTCTTCTCTTCGTCCTCCACTTCAGCACGCTGCGCTACCGACCGTACCGTACCAAAACCGGCCTTGCACCTTGTCCAGCAAAACCACCCCACTCAGGCCCGGGATCCATCATCGACTCGCCGTCGCATTTCTACCGGCACTCTGCGACCCTCACCTCTTCAAACCTGGGTCACAACTTCTTCTTCGTTGTCGCTCCTTGGACCCAGCGAGTCACAAAGCACGATCTACACATTTGACGGCACCGCATTTTATCTCCTTCAGGCAGGAAATTCTACTCGGATGATTTGAACAACTGTTTCTTTATCCTTTCTCTTTCTTGTCATCCCTTCTACCGGCCGCCTTCCCCCCCCTCAACCCTTCGTCACTGCTGCACCAGGCATCTCCGCAGGCTATCCTCTCCACGCAGCTAGACATTTAAGCTCGCCTCAGCCTCGCCAGCTTGCGTGCACATGGTTATTTGACGGTCGCAGTCCCCCGCCAGAATATTCTTCACATCGCCGACCCTCGCACATTTCAAACGAGACATTATGGCCGCCGCTTTCAGGCCAGTAAACTCGCCTCTGCCTGTAGAGGTCAAGGTGGACAGCAGGATGATCACTACACCCACCACCCCCAGGATAAACACAGCACCGCACCCTAACGCTTCGCAACCTTTGCCGGAGGATGTAAAGACCCCGACAAAAGCAACGTTCGGGGGTGTAGGCAGCAGTGGTAACAGCGGCTTAGCGTCGCAAAAACCTTTACCAAGCTCACCATTTCCCCAGGCCGTTCAGGTTCCTGAGAGTGCTGAAAAGGCAAAAACACCTACCAGAGCAAATTCGCAGCATTCGAGAAAGTCAAGAGACTCTGAAGACGTGGACATGGACGAGTCAGACGGCGAGGGTGCCGGAGAGGATGGAGCAGGGTCAGACGACGACAGCGTGAACGCCGACGGCACCAGGTCGAACAAGAAGAAGAAGTCTCAACGATTCTACTGCACAGACTATCCGCCCTGCAACTTGAGCTTCACGCGGAGTGAGCATTTGGCGAGACACATTCGGTAGGCGCCCATCTTTCCCAAGTGACGCTAGTTGCTGACCGATCCAGAAAACACACAGGCGAGAGACCATTCCAGTGTCACTGTTCCCGACGGTTCTCCCGGCTCGATAACCTGCGACAGCACGCACAGACGGTGCACGTCAACGAGGACATTCCGATCGATTCCCTAGCGGCCACTGGCGCCAGATTCCAAAGACAAATGCGCACAGAGCGGGTACGTCAACAGGGCGGTAGAGCTCGCGCGTCAACGGCTGGAAGTGCCTCTGGCCCGGTCAGAGGACACTCAAAGTCTCTATCGACGTCCAGCATTGCCAGCGTCGGCTCCATCTCCTCCGCCTTTGGTATTCGGGACGATATTCGTAGGCGTCCCCCACCTCTCGTCATGGCTGACCCCCGCTCGCGCTTGTCTCTGGAGTCGTACCGGAACGACGGCCCATATGGATATCGCCCGGCATCGCCGACTGAATACGGCACACCGACGTCAGCAACCTTTTCAACCGGTCAAAGCAGTCCACGATGGGGTTCTGGTGTTGCATCCCCAACCACATCTCATTCTCGCTCACAGAGCATGTATTCGTCTGGTTCAAGGACCCCTGGACGCCGGCTCAGCGTACCGTCCGGTGCAAACCCTTTCCAATCGCCTCATGGAGGCCCGGTCAACAGACTTGTGTATGGTGCCCCTGTTAACACCTCCAACAATGGGACATTCTCTCCAGCCGCGAGCAGTCACCTGGCATCTCCCACGACTCCTACCTCTGGTTGGTCAGGTAGGCGTGATTCGACATCATCCGCAGCGGACGAAGCATGGCGTCGCCGCACCTGGCACCCTGATACCAGGAACTTCAATACCAACACTAGCCATCTTAGCAACGTCTTGACACCAAGTCAAATTCAGCCAAACCCCGCACCACCCATTGCCAACGCACCAAACCCGCAGCAAACCCTTCGGTTGCCTGGTATTGAGTCGTTCGATCCCCTTCCGTCGCGACAAATCTCGCCGCCCAGGCGTATTCCGTCCCCAATGATGGTCGACTCGGAGGCCGCTCACCCGCCGGCTCTTCTTCCCAGCACTGATGCTGCTGCTGTTGAAGATCGGAGGAACGTTTCGCAGTGGGATATGGGGCTTCACCGAGGCTTGACTAGATTGGATATAACCTCTAACACAACTCCCCCTCGCGATAGTGCAGGCGCGTGGGCGAACGAGGCAAATCAGGCCGTGCAGGCTCAGGCGGAGCAGGTCAGGTTGAACCCGCCGACTGTTCGATTCGAAGTGGATCCGCCTTCGTATTCCCACTCAAGCGCCTTTAGCCGTAACCACCAGCACACAATGTCCGCCCCGTCTATTGCTTCTAGAGACTCCAAAAGGCACGGTTGGTATCATGGGCCTAGTGCAAGTCACGTTCATGGACCTCGACCCGAGGCACCTGGCCACGATCCTCGCGGTCCGCACGTTAACCGGATGGTCCACCCGAATATTAACGCCTTTCCCGGCTTTCCCGCTCGTCAGGCCGAACCGCAGCCGACCCAACAGCAGCAACCAGGCCGTGGACCCAACCCCGACCCTCTGAGGCGCCTTGAAGCCCTGGTTGCAGTTGCAACAAGCGAGGGCACTACCGCAACCGCCTACTAAACCTACGAATTATCATGAATATAACACCATACCTCACGGATGGTCTATACATACGCTACGACTGATGACTTTCCGACTCTATCCATATCGGCAGGAACCACTGACACCACTCTGCATGATATACGGTCGCTTTTATTGATGATATCCCGTTTTACTTTGCTGGTGATCAGCTTGCATTATTTTTGTTGGCGTTGTTACATAGCGTTGTTTTTGTTTCCTCTCTTTCGGGTGATGACCCTCGTTGTCTCTCAACTCAGTCTTGTCAACCTTTGCTTGTTGGTTATGCTCTTGATATCCGGGTTCTGGGCCCGCCTTTCTGGACATTTATGACTTTCTAATCCGATTTGGGAGGCTCGTACGGTTTTGGTCTTTTTTTTTCCTCTCTCTTTTTCACTATTCGTACTAGAGTTACTTGTTTGCTTTTTTTGATTCCCCGTAACGCTGGCTCACGATCAATGAGAGATACCCACTCATTATGGGATGGATCTAAGAGATGGATGGTAATGTGCCGCACTTCTGGCGGTTGATGATGGGCATCTGTATCCACCTGTGAGCCTCGCTAGGCTAGGAATTGAAAGGGAACGATCGACGGGTAGGTGGGCTTGATACCCGAGCTTGATCATGGCCGTTTCTCTAGTTTGCGGGGCCAGGATGATGCTCAAGGATTTTCTTATTAGGATATGGTGGTTTACATGCCATCACGTTGGCGGCACACATCTGTCTGTAGGGCGTACGATCAGCAGGAATAACGATGCACATGCTTTGAATAAGTTACCCTTTTCGTGATGAACATTGTACATGCCACCACGATGTCTGCATTTCATTTGCCAGTGATTCAGGGTCTGAAATGTAGAGACAAGAGTAGGCCAGTCTGTATGTATGCACAATGATGCCAATGTCGGCAGCCCCGAATCTTGGTCATCAGCAACTAGCCAATCAGGTTGGTTTTTTACCGACGATCAAGACGGACCTTCACGGGGGTTGAGAGCGCCAACACACCAACGCCTCAAAATGATACCAGGCGACCAGGGAGCAATGGCCCACCTCTTGGAATATGCCGATCCCCGGTCGGCGCGTATTTCTCTAGAGGCTACAGAGACGGCTCCGGGGTCTATCATGACAAAGGACCGGTTCGAGAACCGCTGCCGGTCAATCCTCCGTTACGTGCCGCGCTGACGACAGATCGACGGACCCTGCGGCTGTTTTGTCTCTGACGGGAGGAATCAGGCAGATTATCCAGCTCACATAAGCGCTAGTAAGAAAGCAGGCTGTCGTATGCTGTCTGCAGCATCGTTTATGTTTCACAGGACACAGGGCCGAACTGCGAGGGAGGAATAAGGATCCATGAGGAGGAGTATGAGATGCTTTAAATAATGGGGAATTGCATGATCCCCAATACCACCAGCCCGGAGTTTCTATTTCGAACATCCACCACGTTTTCTTATTCAACCAGAAAACGAACTACACTGTGACTTTGTTTGACTGACTGTGTTGCAACGACCATGTTGACGAGGCACGGGAAATCCCATGGCTTCGTCGTCGTAGCCTCTCTCCTCGGCCTTGCGGGTGTCGTTGGCGCTTCGCCATGCGACCCTGCTACCTTTTCCTTCCCTTCTTCCATCCTCGGCGCAGAGCACGTGCGAACTACGGCTGCGGTGGTGAGAAACTACACCGGCCTCGGCCGCTTCCGGCCAGACCCGACTGTGGTCATACCGCCGGAGGGCGTAAACCCGTTTTGCAATGTCACGGTGTCTTACACGCATCCCGGGCACGACGACACGGTCAACGTCCACGTCTGGCTGCCGCTCGACAAGGGTGAGTGGAACGAGCGGTTCATGGGTACGGGCGGAGGAGGCTTTGCCGCCGGCGACGTCGACGGCGACTACCCTTCCAAGGCGGTCCAGGCCGGGTACGTCGCCGCGGCCACCGACGCCGGACATCTGGTGACTGAGGGCGTGGACTCGTGGAGCCTGAAGGCGCCGGGGAACGTCAACTGGCCGCTGTTGTTCAACTTTGCGTACCGGTCGCTTCACGAGCTTGCTGTTGTCGGGAAGCACGTTACTCGGGAGTATTACGGCCAGGAGGCCAAGTTCAGTTATTGGAGGGGTTGCTCGACGGGCGGGAGACAGGGGCTGGCCGTTGCGCAGAGGTATCCGGGGGATTTCGACGGCGTTCTGTCCATGTGTCCTGCCGTTGATCTGCCTGCGCTCAGCGCCGTGTTGTATTACCCGCAGATGGTTATGAACGAGGCCAAGTGGTGGCCTGAGAAGTGCGAGTTGGAGGCTGTGGTCGAGGCTGCCGTTGAAGCGTGCGATGGGACTGATGGGAGAAAAGACGGCATCATTGGGAGGCTGAGTAAGTGTGAGTTTGAAGTTGAGAAGGTCTTGGGGAGGAAGTTTAAGTGTGAGGGCCGGGAGAGCAGAGTCCACGAGAAGACTGTTGAGGTCGTCAAAAAGGTGATGAGGGGGTTGGAGGATGAGGAGGGAAAGGTGATGTTTCCGGGTTACGTGCCCGGTGCGCCTTTCACGGGCATGTTTGCGCTGATGAACTCTGTCTGTGAAGGGGAAGATCGAGGGAAGTGCAAGGGGATCCCGTTTAATGTCGGCGAAGCGTGGATTCGGTTGTTCGTCTTCAAGGATCCGACGTTCGACCCGACGTCGGTTACTCTGCAGCAATTCCGTGACGCCTTCCGCCTGGGTGTGGAACAGTACGATTCTATCCTCGCGAGTTCTCACGACCTTAGAGGGTTCAAGAACCGCGGGGGCAAGCTGTTGATGTGGCATGGCGTCGCGGACCAAGTTGTTACCGTGCTGGCGGGGAGGAACTTTTACGAGCGGGCCAAGAAGCTTGACAGGGAGAGAGGGGTGGTGACTAAGGATTACTGGAGATACTTCGAGGTGCCAGGGGTGAATCACTGTTCCTCGATGACTGGCGCTCCGTTTCCGTGGGATGCGATGGATAATTTGAGGAAGTGGGTGGAAGAAGGGGTTGCGCCCGAGGTGTTGCATGCTCGTAAAGTTGAGGACAAGGACGGGAAGAAGACGCTCGGTGAGGAGTCCAGGACCATCTGCCTGTGGCCTGAGGAGGGTGTTTGGGATGGAAAGGGGTGGAAGTGTGTTCCGCCTGGAGATAAGGTCGCTGTTGAGACGGGGCATGGTGAGCTTTGAGGTCCTTGGAGTTGGACTGATCACAGACACTGATGGTTAACCAGGTCAGCTAAGAACACAAACACCTGTCGTAGCTTCGACTATACTTGAGCATGCGACACAACATTAGCAAGCTCAGAAGACAGCACTTGCTACACACATGAGGTAGAATACTCAAGAGTCCTATTGCAGTCTATCCCTCTATCATTTACCATTTACTCTTAGTGCTTAAGTCCCACTTCGTGTTAATGTTAGCTCGGAAATGTGACATCTTTCGCATGAAACCATCATGATTTACATTCTCGCCGCACTGTATAGACATCTCGTGGTGTTTGCTGCTATCAAGTGACATGCAAGCTCCCTTGACTGGCCTGTTGTCAGTGATTGTCTCGTCGTACCACTCTTCTTGCGTCTTCATTGTAGAAGAACTACACTTTTATGTCACGATAATCTTCATACTACGAGTGTGAATTAACATTTAACTCCAAGTTCTTATCGGATAGCCAAACCCTCAGAGATAATCTATCATTTTCGCTTCTTGTCACGCCGCCTACGAGTATCACTCGAGGCCACATGGTAAATAGCAAAGAAATAAAAGAACACAGCAATAACCAGACAGCTAACTAACTAATTACAAAGGTACTTTGGAGGCACCAGCTTGATTTCCCAAATGCAGGCTGACGCCAAGCACACATGCAGGCTCTTCCATTGGTCGTACCATTCTATCGGGACGAAAACTCCATTTCTATTCGTCTTATCTTCTGTTGGCCATTTGGTGATGACTTGGCTAACGCTTATGTGGCCTATCATGATGTTCCGTTTCCATTCTTTGTAAGTTGAAGCATACACTGGCCCTGCGTGAGGAGTTGTTGGCTTCCGAATCACGAAAACTGCATGAGTGTTGCACAATTGACGCCCCGAACGATAGCTACACTTTGGAATACCTCCCAAATATTGAGATAAGCCATACACAAGACAATCCCGTCTGTCAACCGTCGACGGACGGTGTCGATCGAGTCGAAAGGTTGCGTACTACCAGGTACTAGTTGAAAGGAAAAGTTACTCGATAATCTAGTTCACCATTTAACTTTTTATGCTAAACCTACAATCCCAAAACAATCTTTCACTATTGCATCTCACTCAGACATCCCCGAGCTTTCTTCTATCCTCGGTGGTAGTATTTATGACAGTTAAAATTCCTCAGCTGTCTTGTTCGGTAGATCGGTGCAGACCAATAACATCAAATTAGTTTTGAGATTGCTTTCCTTTCCTGGAAGTTCGTCCAACCAGTATCTAACTTTCCTAGGGCATGACAACAAGCTTCGTTAGCGTACCAGCAATAACTAATAGGCTTTATGCTTATATTATAGCTCCTATTGCCGTGATCTGTTATTAGCTTGTTCGTTCACATCAGTATGAAAATCCCCAACCTGGAAGTGGTGTATAAATTGAGCTACGCAACTGTCGGTAGTCTATTCAAACTATCATACAATTTCTCTTTCCTCAAGATGTGTCAAGCCATGAAAGAGAATATCTGATGGCTTTCATCCCCTCGTCGGACCCAACAGCAGAATGCATTTACTGTGTACTGCCGACGGTGGTGGCGAAACTTATGGGAAAATCGCCCCATTCAGTATACACACTAGACCCTCACAAGAGAGGTAAGAGCACCCAGCATGTTCAAAATCTGACCAGCAATAGGGGTGACGCAAGCTTGAAGTGAACCGCCCGGGGGAATGATGACTGAGCCTGATCCAACTTCGGAGTCATATCCACGAGAAACGCCGATGCGCTTCTGGTTGAGCAGGTAGTAGACCTCCTGAGGCGCAATGCGGTTCAGCCCGGCAGAATCCATGACGTCAACCTCCAAGGTAGCCTTGAGGTTGGTTTTTCCTCTGTTGTTCCATCCGGCACTGCAAGCCGATTTGCCCGGGTTGTGGAAGCTGTTGAGGGCCCAAGTGTGAATTTGTCCCTTGTCGACACAGACAATGTCATGGCCAGCTTGTCCGAGCTCACTGTAGCCGTGGTACTCGACGCACCACTGTCCTGATTCGCACTGTCCCGGGACCCTATAGATGATATCGGCGTGCTGGGTGGATGCCTGGCATGTGAGCTTGAAGGTGTTCACATCTGTTCCAGTGCGGTCGCCGTAGCCGTCCATAAACAGCCACTGCCCGCCGCTGCGAGGCCCCGGCTCACGGAATCGGCACACGGGAACGGTGAAGGAGCTGCGCTTCTCAAGGTCTCTCATCACGACTGCCCCAGGGTTGGGGTTTTGGGACGGATTTTGTGATTGAAGATTGAAGTCGGCCAACTTGGAAATATCGATGTGTTTAGTAGTAGTTTCCCATACTGCTCTTCGTTCTAGGGACGAAGCAGTGACAGCTTGAAGGTAGCGAGTGATAAAAGTTAGGTATGCAATGAGAAATGAGCGAAATTGGTAATGAATGAGGTTGGTGGCTGATTGAGATTGTGAGTGCCGAAAACCTTTTGCTACTTGGAAGTTGGCATCGAACTTTTATAGACGAAATGTCTGACTGAGGCTGGAGATGGTTTTCACCGTTGAAATCTGATGACTGAATTATAGCGAGTTCAAGCGAGAGTTCCAGCTAGCCTCACTGACAGCTTCAAAGATCTAAAGCACGATGCGAAAACGGAGCCAACTCCTGCCATTGGGCAAGATTTTAGGTCCTACTCAGCTCCTCATTCCAAGAGAGTTTTCATTAGCGTGTGAGTTAAAGACAGAAAGGACTAGCTACCCAATTTCGGGCCATGAAACTTTGAAATCATTTAGTAAGGCAGTTAGTTGATCAGCTATCAGCTGGATTGGTACTTACCTACATCAGAACAATTTGAAATACAATTTATATAAATGAGCATGAACATTTTCTCGATTCTGCTATTGACAGCGCCACGTCTAGTCCCTTGTGAAATTACTGCAAATAACGGCAGTCTGCTGCAGCGGGGGAATGGTGAGAGTTGTTGAGACATCTCTTGGTATTGCCTAGCAATAGTAAATATAAATCAAAGCAGGCACAGCCCAAGTGTCTTTGAGAACTAGCGAGGAAAGCCCTCAAGAGACAGAATCATCATTTCCCCTTACATGCTGCCCAAAGTAAGCTGTTGAAACTTTCCGCATGTTGCGCCTTGTCAAATAAATTTATTTTGCTTTTTGTAAGTTCCATCTTCGGTTTGGCTCACTAAAATAGTCCCATCTCTTGCCGGCAGCAGACCCAGATACGACTTCTGCCCATGACCCCCACTTAGTTCAATCATATTCTTATTGCGCGACTCAGCTTCGGTCTCCCTTCTCGCGAATTTCTCATCTGAGGCTGTATGGCGGAGACCTTTATGCTCTGGCCCGGTCTGGCCGGGCTTTCGTATCGAATTCTCATTTTCTTTCCAAACACGGTGCTGTGTTCCCACCTGGACAGCGGCTACTACGGATGTCATGCAGGCTGGGCCTTGAGTTTGTCTTCCGGCAACTTAGCCGCTTAGGCAATGCCTGTTGAACCGTAGAGAGCACCGTATCTTTGCCGATGCCGTCCACCAGAATGCAAAGTCCTTTTCTGCTTTTGATATTCAGTGTTATGACTGAGATCATGGTGGTTTGACGACATGTTTGTGGCTTCCGATAAAGTTAATCTCGAGCGGATGGTGTCGACTGTGTATAACTTCACATGATCCGGATACTTCGGATAATGACTGGAGTTTACTTGATTCTATTATCCAGAATCTAGAAGAACTCCCCATCATTGCAGGCCATGTAAGTAAATGGTTGAACGCCATGTGAGATTCTAGCTGGTAACGGGATCGCCGGATCTGTGTCCAGGGGATGTGTATACTGAGGGAGCCTGCACGTAACCAAGCTTGCTTCAATTCGATAGAGTGTCAAATAAATTTTTACTTACCCTCATTCAACGAGGCACCTCACGTGTTCCGTAAGGTAAGACCAGAGCCATGACTCGGACTTTGAGGCTATGGATTGAGGCTAGGGCTTAGGCATCATCATTTTCCATGCATGCTCAGGTGCCGTTGCTAGCTGGTAGTTTATTTCAAAGAAGGCAACCCACAACACTTAAGATAGCGAATCGATACAGCTTTCACAGGCAAACGAAGATTCTCCTTGCAGATTTATTTACCTTATTACACAAACATAAAAGCTCCCTGTGATATTAGATATCGATTTGAGGCGACTTGTACTACGTAATGAAAAAGGGATACGCGTTCGGTTATCCGGCTGTTGTAACAACCCACTAGCAGCATTTTGCTTTTTTTAAGTTTACATTTACAACGTAAGACACAGGACTGCAAGTAGTTGTCCACTCTTTTCTTTAGGACTACTTGACATGAACCAGGCGTCAGGTAACATCTCGTTTTGCACGGATCAATAAAAGTACTTGCGGAAATTGCAGGTTAACTCAAATTCATGTACAGGTCTCCAAAGAGTATTTTCGCCTGACATAGCCCACGCTGTGCCTTCGCTTTCGGTCTTATGAACTTCAAACTAAAATACGTGACTGTTAATCCAGAAGCCGTACGTCTATCGGCGCATGACAGAGAACTAAGCAGTTATGCAACTCTAATTTGCACCTTCTCGGCGCTTGATCTCAAGTGGAACCGTGACGTCGGTCGTAAGAGTGAAGTCATTCAGCCGGTGGCCGACAGGCGGACCACCCTTACGATCAACATCGCCCACAAGTCGGAAGTCCCAGAATCGCAACATCTCCACAAACAGCACCTTGATAGCGGTGCTGCTGAAGAACCGGCCTGGACAGCTATGTGTGCCTAGGCCCCAGGCCAAGTAGTCAGAGGTTGTTGTGATGTAATGGAACTTGTTCTCGTTGCCCTCCTTCTGACGCAGCTTGTAGTAGCGGAATCCATCGAACTCGCTCGCTGGGGCCATATCCGCCACCTCAGCGTAACTTTGCTGAGTGCTGGGGGAGGTCATAACATGGTATACTGGAACACCAATACGGGTGCCCGCAGGCAAGGTGTGGCCAGTCGAGAGAGTGACGGGGGACTGCACGATACGAGCCATATTGACCAGCTTATTGGGACACAAACGCATGCTCTCCTTGAGGAAGGAATCGAGTTTGCGAAGCTTGACATATGAGGTGCGACCCATGATGCGGCGGCCCTTGTCATCCATGGTGAAACCGTCCTGTTGCAGAACATCCTCAATCTCCTGGCGAAGAGGCGCGAAGTACTCTGGTCTAGTTGCCAAATCATACATGGCACGGGTCACTGTGTAACTCACGCTGTGGATGGAAACCCATGAAACTTGAGAAAAGTCAGCAATAGTTCAGCGGGAACGAATTCGATGTGGACACTTACGGGCTAGTTGATTGAGTGCCAGCGATTCTGCGATATCCTCGTGGGTGGCGCCTTTAGGAATGATAGTATACTTCAAGAGCCACGAGCAAAATGTCCCTTGTGCGTCATCGAATTCAAGAGCCTCTTCGTCTGACATGTAGTGTTGCAAAGGCTTCTTCTCGTCCATGAAAGCGTTTGGATCCTCCATTGCCGCCCTTTCTTTGACCAGATTTTCAACGATGGGCATCAGGATCTTCTTGCCACCCTCAAGATGTGACTGCATTTGCTTGACTTCTGGCAGGTACTTTCCGATAATCAGACGAAGCCAGTAAGGATATTTGTTCAGCGCATGGCGGGCGCGCATCAGATCGATTGTGTATCCAATCGAGGAGCGCAACCATTCAGGTCGACGGCTGATGGGACGCCCAATAAAGATGCGGGAGAGCATCAGAGCTGAAATTTTAGTGACGCTCATATGAAGCCCCTTTGTTGACCACTTCTCACTGCCAACGTCATTGAGCTCGATATCCATCGCAAAGCGTAACTCGTCCAAAATGGCAGGGATAGCGCCATTCGTATGCCGCGTCAGGTCGATACGAACGGTAGGCAACAGCTCTGTTCCATAGGTACCTCCGCCAACCTTGGTAACGGCCATAGAGTGGTCAATCTTGACTTCAGCATGGAGAGACACCTTCTCTTCAGGCATGTTCTTGACATCATCTACAAGGTTACCGGGAAGAATGACAATGGGTCTCGAAGTTTTGAGAATGAAAGGCGTGTCTGGGTACTATTTGCATAGTTAGATAGACTGGTCTTTGAATTGCAAATGTTGAGAATGAGAAACATACCTTTTCATACATCCGCGTGAGAGTGTTGAAAACACCCTCCGGGCCAGGGTCCGGAACCTCGACGGGCATATTGAGATTGGGTTTCCTGAAGAACACATAGTATGAAAATGTGGAGATGGCTAGGACAAGAGCGAGCAGAGTGGTTGGCTGGCAACTTGAAAGAGAGCCCACAACGGTCTGCGTTATAGCCATGATGGGAACTTATACACTGGCAGGCGATGCTGGACTATGCGCTGTAATGAAACGATTCGAGGACCTTTAGTAATCGAGGATAAAGAGTAATGAAAATAGCTAGCGATGATGTAGTAAGAAGGTGCTGTTTCTGGACTTTAGAGATTGGTTCTGGCAATCTAACAGTCTCAAAAATCAGGAAGTAGACTATCATATATGGCTAATCGCTGGCCTCGCAAATGTCAGCTGTTAAGACCAAACCCCGCTAATACGGCATGATTGTAATTGTGCCAAACACCATCCTCTTGGTATTCCGGCTGTGCTACTCTTTAGCAAGACCCAACGGACCGGTCCAAATACACCAGTTTGAATCATGCCGGACCCAGCCCGGCTTGGCCATACTCCACCATACAATGACTGAACTGATACATTGCCAGTGCACAGACATCCATGCCCCTACGGAGACTTTGTTGTTGCAATTGCGTTCCAAGGCGCGTGCTGAACAACAATCATCTCGTTGAAAAGATATGCACTTTGCGGGGTTAGCTAAAGCTGGAGAATTGTCGAGTCATTGCATTCTCACATAATCTAGGTACAGGGATGATGGGGGTTGGGTGCCCTGCGAGGCTGCAATTGACTTGACAAAATAATTTCCCGGACAAGATAAATTAGGCATGTTTATTGCTACAATCAGCTGAACCGGAGACTTTTCAAGAACCAGTCGATCCGTTACAACGATCTTGGCATCTGAAACTTGGGTTGGGGAATTTGCGCAGCAGCTTCAATCCCTGTTCCGCCTCGTCTAATAACCTCTGCCGGCATGGTATGTCGTTCCTAAACGATCCCATCATATGCAAGTCTTGGCGATCTGCGAATGGAATGGACCCAATTACTAATTACTGCCTTTTCGATGCAGGATTTGATATGCTTAGCTAGGTAGTGCAAGAGTAAACTCTAAGATCAAATGGCACCTCTGTGGATTTCAATGTATCATACGAGTCTTCCATAGGTTCTCCAACCTACCAATACCCAGAGAAAAGTTGCGAGTGACTGATTGCCAAAGTATGCGATGCTTAACTTTGCCGATGCAGATGGTGTGCTGTCACCACACAGCGGTTAAACGGCTCAATTTTTAGATGAGATAAGTTTATAGCGTAGAGTCCTAACTACGTAATCCACAAATGCTATCTACTGAGGTACAAACGACTTGCTAAAGCCTTAGATTGATGTAAAGTCTTGTTTCGGACCAGTCCCATGATTCAATGTAAATCAATATCCCGCTCACTCCATATGCCAAGTAAACAAAATCAAGAAATGAACCCGAGGTGGTGCAAACCTTATGCCTTGTGCATCCTGCTAGCATGCAGATAACGGCCAAGAGCCACCATCGGATAACCATGTCGCATACAACCAAAGTCCAACCACAAAGTATTTGGGAATCCGACGCTCACATAGGCTTCCTGCTCCCAAGTGACACCTGCAGAGGAATTGACCTGAGTACGGAGAAGATACTGTACACCTCTCTCAACTGCGGGGTCTGTATGAGGTAGATGCGATAGAAGAGCCATGAGAGCCCAGGCAGTCTGTGTGGGAGTCGAAACAAGACCTTGGCCAGCCAAAGACTCGTCTCGGTATGTGCCGAGACTCTCGCCCCAACCCCCGTCAGGATTTTGCACGGCCTTAATCCAGGAAAGGGGTTCAGATACAAGAATCTCCTCCTCTGGTTGTTCTATCGATTGTAGATAGGGTAGGGCACAAAGAACACTACTGGTGCCGTTGAGGTAGTTCACATGCCACCTTGCCCACCATGTTCCCGTAAGTTTGTCTTGCGTTTTTGCCAAATACCGAAGTCCCAGTTTACACGCGTTACAGACACGCTCGTAAACGGCTGGAGGCAAGACAGAGGAGCAAGTTGAATCAGTGAGTATGTAGCCGAGTACTTCAAGAACGCGACCGGTGATGTCAGGGACACTTGGGTCGAAAAACTCGACACCATCAGCAAAGGGGAAGAGATTTGCAACTTTGCTGGTGTTGTCGATGTCATATGCACCCCATCCGCCGTCGCCACCTTGCATGGCTAGGAGCCAATTGAGTGCTCGTGCTCCACTGGCGGAGTTGATATCTTTCGGATTTCGCATGATGATTGCGAAGAGACAAACCAGGGTGTCGTCGTTGTCAGGGAAGTATTCGTTCTATTTCAGTCGTTAGAGCTCTGTGTTGTTTTCACAAGAATGGAGTCAAGGGATGTCTTACGCAGTATTGGAATGACCATCCTCCTGGAAGAGCCGCTCTCGGATTTGTCTTGACGTAGTCGCCGTGCACCTTGAGGATTTGGTGGTCCTTAAACCATTTTATTGACAGATCTGTTCGATTGTCGGCAAGACCAGTCTCCAAGAGCCCAAGTGTCATGAGTGCTGTATCCCAAACTGGCCCGATAGTTACTTGCATGCGGAGGCCGTCGGCGTCTTCCCAAAGTGCGTCTTCCATAGCTCGGGTCAAGTGTCCCATGACTGGGTGGCTCGCAGGGAGACCTGAGGCGTGTAGGCCGACGACGCACAAGAAGTTGGAAATAGTAAGAGAGCCGAATCCCCCTGCGTCTAGATGATTGTAGATATATTGCACACACTGATCGAGGCAATAGGTCCGCAAGAAAGACTTCTTCAAGAGGGGCTCAACGACGCTGGCAGCCTTGTCGATCATTGTACACGCAAAACGACCAAGCTGTCCCTCATTCCACAAAGTCGACAATTGTGGAATAGACTTGAGTGTCCGATCTAACGGATTCAAGAATAACTCATCGAGGAACGTGGCCCCGAGAACCTCTTCATCATCTTTGGCCCCGACCGGGTACAGCGGAAATACTGGTTGATGATGCTTCAGCAACATCACAGGTACAGCCGATACCCGAGACCAGTACGAAAAAGAGTAGATGTTGACTGGCGATAGTCCCGCAGGGAGAGCCATGAGCTCAGCTGGAACCTGAGCCATATCTTTCCACGCGATGATGCCGAAAAGTGCCAGAACCAGTTGTGTTAAAACTCCAACTTTACTGACGCCTCCATGACGCAACACAAAGGCCCTTGCTCTGCGCATAGCCTTGGAATCTATAGGTGTTCCGAGTAGCTTCAGCCCAAAATAGGCTTCGACTGTTGTTGAGACATCGCCGTCCCACTCGTGCACACAAGGAGCCAGGCCCCATGACCCATCTTCTGTATTTTGCTGAGACAAAAGCCAGCTCTGGAACTTGGAGGCCTCATCTTGCGATAGAGGCGGGCCAAGGATTTGTCGGATGCATAACCATTGGACTGTGAAAGAGATGCTACTTCGAACTTCGAGATACCAATGGCCATCAGGCTTCATTTGATCGTAGGCATGGTCTGCAGCTTGTTTGACGCAATGGGCGACCGAATCCGCAAGGGGATTATCTTGTTGTGTAAGGAGAACAGTGTCTGTCGACATGATTGTATTTGATCAATTTTTGAAGTTTACGGTTTTCACATACAACCTTCGAGGTCGACCCGATGATCTTGAATTAATGTACTCGCGATACGTTGCAGACCATCCTATTCTGGTGCTAGCATTTTCCCTAAACCAAACCACAACCCCACAACATACTGACTGCCGCAGGAGACTTATTCAGTGGGACTGGTCTGTGATTCTTAGTGTCATGGATTTCCAAAAAGATGAGACAATAAAGATCCTTGACCTTGTTTTCCGCTCGCCGGCTCAAAACGTTCGCGATGCCTTGGATAGATCTGTGTGCCAAGCAACGCCGAGCGTGTCGACATCCGGAAATCAATGAAGATTTTCTTGGCCAGGCGGTGCTAGACAACACTCGGTGTATAGACTTTCCTAAGGCTGCTACTTTCGGAAACAAAGACTGCAGTCAGTCATATTACACCATATATGGAGCCCTCGCCAAGACGTTAGACGAAAGAACCACCACTTGGATGGTGGGGGCCCTCCATGGAGATCGCTTATGCGGGGTTATAGTCTTCCAGTTAGGCAGGTTGTGCTGTACAACGCAGCGGAACGCTCCGCTTAACAACTCGAGTCAGGCCTATTAGTCTAGTGACAGGTAGCCTAGTTTCAAGAGGTATATCGGTTTCTTGCATAAAACAGACGCTTCACATGGAATGACTCTTGAGCCAGGGTAACCCAACCTGAATCTGACGCGTCCCAATTGCCCGGCCCGCTTGCTCAGTGACCAGAGCTTGCTAGGATATGACACGGAGTATTGTCAAGCAACTTGATAGGGCGCATTCAAATGGCCGTAGCGAATCCTGGACTGGCATTTACACACGGCCAGTTACAACTTTTTAACGCGTTAGTCTATTCCCGTATGGGATACGGTTGGAATGAGACAGGCATCAATGAATCAAGTTATGATTTTTTGATCACTAAATGTCACCGAGAGTGGGAACGGCTAGCATTCCAGTTCATATGAAAGAGCAACAATGCAGACGTTATCAATGGCTACAGCTTCCGAGAACCCCAAAGTTGTACAATCCTGTACAATGCTATTCTTCTGACAAACCAATACCCAACTCTATGGATTCCAACATTGACTGATACCCATGCTTTTTCTCATTTCAGACCTGAATAAGTGCCTCATTCGAGACTCCTGCCAGGGGGACTGTACACTTGTTACCATTTTCCCCCGCATAGTCAAAGTTTTGATTTTGTTGTTCATTCTCATACAATCCCTGTGCGTCAGCGTGCAGAATCTCTTCAGTTCTGTACAAACTCCAACGACGTTTTCCTCTCAAACACACAAAAAAACCACCCTCGCGGTTTCCATCACTACTGGCACCTATACAAACACAACCATTGTCAACACCACCGTCAGCACCATGCATCTGACGCAAATCAACATGCTGCTTATCACTGCGGTGATAGGTGGCATTACGTACTTTGCTTTTTCATTGTATAAAGCTCGCAGCTTCTTTCGTCGCTTACAGAACGATGGCATCCCTATGCCTCCTCACAATTTCATCTTAGGACATCTCGGTCTGATGATGAGTATCATGATCTCTTTACCGCGCGATGTCATGCCTACGGTTGTGCTGGCCGATCAGGTCAGGCGGCGGTATCCGCATCTCGATAAGGCCTTCTATCTCGACATGTGGCCGTTTACTGGGCCCATGTTGATGGTTATCTCACCAGACCTTATGCGCCAAGCAACACAAGGAGAGAACTCTCTGCCAAAAGTTGCATTCCTGAAGAATTATATCAAGCCATTAAGCGGCGGACACGACCTTGTTAGCATGGAAGGAGACGAGTGGAAGCGCTGGCGAGACGTGTTTCGTCCGGCTTTTGGTCGCGCAACAGAACTCGTCCCTAACCTTGTCGAAAGCATTTGCGTCTTCCGGGACCAGCTCGTAGGCCGAGCAAAGACGCAGGGTGGCGTGTTCCAATTGCATCATTCTGCTCTTATGCTGGCCATGGACATGTCTGGCAAGGCGATTTGGAACCACAACATGGACAGCCAGAAATCCTACAACGATATGGCCGATGCGATTGTATCACAGTTGCGGTGGCTTTTGGTCGATGGATTCATGCCTTTCGCAAGCCTGAACTTTATTCGACCGCTGGTGCACATGTATAACGGCTTTAGGATGGAAAGATACATCGCCGGTCTACAACAAAAGAACAGGAGCAGCAACAATGAAGATGATTGTATCATCAACAGGGCTATATCCAAAGTCAATAACCGCTATACCGACACAAAAGCTACAGTCGATCCATACGCTGAACTCGGTGGGAAAGATCACTTCGACCGGGTTATTAGAAGCCAGATGCGATTCCTACTCCTCGCTGGCTACGACACAACGGGCTCAACAATTACATATGTTTTACACATTCTATCAAAACACCCCGAAGTCCTTGCCAAGGTGCGCGAGGAACACAATCGAGTGTTGGGATCAGATGTCTCTTGTGCGGCTCAGCAGCTCAAAAGGAATCCGCATCTCGTAAACAATGTCCCATATACCATGGCCGTCATTAAAGAAACACTTCGACTTTATCCACCTACGTCCACCTTGAGAAATGGAAAGCCGGGCTTCTATCTCTATGATCGCGACAGTACAGGGTCTATGACCAAATATCCTACCGAAGGGTGCATCGTTTTCGGAAATCATCACGGTCTTCATCATAATCCTCGCTACTGGAAAGAGCCAGACACATTTCTCCCTGAACGCTTTCTAACAGACCCAAGTGACCCATCAGGGTTGCATCCACTTCCAGACACCTGGCGTCCTGTATGTCCTTCCAACTCTGATACATCGATGATGCAGTCTGACTAACATCGTGCTCAATAGTTTGAAAAGGGCCCTAGAGCTTGCATGGGCTCAGAGTTGGCCATGGTCGAAATCAAAGCTGTTATCATGCTAGTGGCGCGCGAGTTTGATTTTACACCTGCATACGAAGAATTGGAGGCCATCCAATCAAAAACGGCCAAAGGAGAAGCAAAGATCGGCTTGGGTGTTTTACTACCAGGCAAGGCACCAAAACATGTAAACGGTGATAGAGTATATCAAACCACAGGAGGGGGAGGAAGCCACCCAGCTGATGGGTATCCGTCTCGAGTTAGGTTTGCATTATGAAGTTATTCAGTTGTCAATATACTATCATCCATTTGGGTTCCATGAACAGCCACGATTTCTTCCCCACTGTCCACTTAATTAGGATTAATGAATCAGCTTCACGTGATATAAAAGCATGAGGATCGAAGGTTTAATGATAGATGACTTCAATATACTGAGGGCTAGATAGCCAGATACTGTTAGGCCTGGGAAGGATCTCAACACTAGTTTTCATAGAAGGTTTCAGTGAAACCATCAAAAATGGGTAATGACCGCCTGCCGAGGAATCAACCCTCCGTATCAAAAATACGGTCTTGGCGGTCTAAGATGCACAGATAGATGATAGATACTAGAGCGGCATGTTGTTTAGTCCTAAGATAGGAAGGTGTTTGTATCAACGCGTATTTTTGATTTATGTCCATTATCGTTCATGATCGCCTGTCCATAACCATGCCGAAGCGACGATTTTTTCTTGGCAAACTTTAGCCCACTCTTGGCCTATATACGGGTCTACGATCTGACACCGGCCTGGGTTGTGATACCAATTCTCCGGTAGCTTGGTGGGGGGGCTTCCCCACAAGCATTGGCGCCTGCGCCTGCCGGCCGGCAGGGGGTGTTTTGGGGGACTATCCCTGTGCTGGTTTTCCGGTGTTGATATCGCTATAACGGGGGATATCTAATCCAACACCATATTCCACGTCGTTGTGCCTTGGTTGTCAGCTTCTTTGGCGGCGATATCTTTACCACAACCACTTTCTAATTGGAATTGACTCACGACAATTCTAGCTCTTTGATTCAGACGTTTTATCTTACTCTTTAAGCATATTCTCTTGCGGTGCTCACCATGGATACCGCAATTGGCCAAGAGGCCATCACCATGGTTATGGCCAACAGCACAACAGCTTTTTCAAAGGAATGGAATGAAGGGTATTCGTACTACATCGCAGTGTCAGTTTTAATTGCCACCATATCAATTCTGTCTTTCTTCAAAAGTTCGTCCAAGTCAACCCCCTTACCATGGGTAAACCGACCTGGCTATTTAGATCTTTTTCACATGAAGGCAAAGTACAGATTCCTCATGGGTGCAAGAGATATGGTGCTACAAGGCTTTGAAAAATTCCGCGACAGTCCAGGATTCCGAATGGTTGCAGACGGTGGCGAGATCGTCATGTTGGCACCTAAATATGCAGCTGAATTGAAAAACGACCACCGAGTTGATTTTGTAAAGTTATTCCTGCAGGTAACCATCCGAGATTCTAAGATGCGAAAAGATGAAGGGCCTCGACTGATAGCGGAGTGGTAGGATTTCCACGAAGGCATCCCTGGATTTGACTTTACACAACAAGGTGCCCGAGACGCCAAAATCTTGCGAGAGGTTACAAAGAGCCAATTAACACACCATTTAAGTAGGTGTTTCGAGAATGTCTTCAGCTTGGGATATTTTTCTAATTTAGTCACTCACTACCAGGCAAAATTACAGATTCACTTTCATCAGAATGTGTAGCGTCTATGCAGCAAATATTTACAGACGATGAGGGTACGTAGTGTGATTTGAATAGTCACCATTGACCAAAGAAGTCAAGCTAGAGAGTTGCACTAATATGAAATAACAGAATTTCATGAGGTTGAACTAAGATCTTCGCTCTTGAACATGATTTCTCGGATATCGTCAAAAGCGTTCCTTGGGGGGGACCCGTTATATCAAAACGAGGAATGGCTCAAGATAACTACCACATATGCTGGCACGGTGAACCGCGCAGCAGTGATGCTTCGACTCTGGCCACGTTACATGCGCCCTCTGGTACATTGGATTCTACCATCTTGCCGCGAAGCACGAACACAGGTTCGCCTAGCCCGCCGACTATTTGAGCCGATGCTTGAGCGTAGGAGACGTGCAAAGGCAGAAGATCCAAATGTTCAGTTCGACGACACCGTTGAGTGGGCCGAAAAAGCCGCCAAAGGAATGCCTTATGATGCCTCCGCTGTTCAGCTACTTTTCTCGATGGCTGCAATGCACACAACAACAGACCTTCTGACTCAAATCATACTTGATCTTGCAGCTCACCCGGAGATTCTGAGTCCACTTCGCAAGGAGATAGAGACAGTCTTGGATGAAGAGGGTGGCTGGACCAAGATGGCCTTACACAAGATGAAGTTACTTGACAGCGTTTTGAAAGAATGCCAGCGGATGAAGCCGGCAGCAATTAGCGGCCTTCGCGGGATTCTTAACGCAGACGTAACAATGTCGGACGGACTTCATCTGACCAAAGGCACATCTATAGCAGTTTCGTCGCATCTTCATTGGGACGAAAATGTCTATAAGAACCCAAGTAAGTGGGATGGATGGCGCTTTTACAACCTTCGCCAAGAACCAGGTATGGAACACCGATCACAACTTGTGTCATCAACTTCGCCCGAACATATGGGTTTCGGTATTGGAACACACGCGTGCCCGGGCCGGTTCTTCGGAGCTCACGAAGTCAAAGTTGCGCTGTGCCACTTTCTCTTGAAATATGACTGGAAGCTGGCCGAGGGATCCGTACCTCAAACGCGAACTTTCATGTGGTCGCTTGTTGCTGATCCTAAGGCAAGGATTATGATCAAGAGACGATAATTAAAGAATCAGGATATATGCAGATTCTTAAACGAAGTGTATGGAATTACACTGGATTATGAAGAAGAACTGAGGTGATTCAAAATGCTGTCTCTCTCTGCATCTTTCCATTAAAAAAGACCAACACGCTCTTGTCTAAGCATGTCGACTTTGCATTTTTTGCAAAGCTTTTCTTCATCAGAATGCATAGTTTTCATTAATAAAGACTCTAAAGGATGGAAAATCAAATAGTAAAGGGATCTTCATGTGCAGATAGTACTATGTAGAGTAGACTGTTAACAAAAGCTTCGTGTTTTGGTATGCACTACAAAAATCAACTGTCTAAGTTTTGAATGCGAGAAAGTCAATAGGGAACGCTAGAGTAACACGTTGACTGTCAACAATTGAGCAGATATCTACGGGATAATGAAATCTAAGTAATTGCCATTTGAATACAGCAATCTAATCCATGCTTAAACTTAACCAGCTAGTAGTCCACAGGAAATCTTGCGCGAAGGCGCTCGCCATACTTGTAAAACAGAAATGGAACAGGGATAAATGCCAATCCAATAAACGCCAGCAAACTGTTACCCCAGCCTAGGCCCAGCCCCTTATACAATCCTGGACCTGCAAGAGGTAGGAATGCGCCAAAAAGGCTTCTCATAAATGTGTTTGCAGCCAAAGCCGATGCTGAGGCTTCTGCTCCGAAAGCGTCCACGAGGTAGATTTGGGACGGCATAAGAATGATGAAAGAACCAAATCCAATCACGAATGTGCCTAATACAGGCACAATCCAATGGGTGTTCGCATTGGCACTCCAGCCATACCAAAAGAATCCAATGGACACGACCGGTGACATCCAGACGGACAATAAAAGGCGAATTTCAGGCCTTGCAGGGGCTCCTGTGGCCTTGGTCTTCTTCATCTGCTTATCGCTTACTGCGCCGACAAGTCCAACACCGAATATCATGCCGATCGCAATTCCGAGATAGGCAAGTCCAGCAAGGCTAGGACCCCAGCCGTACTTTGTCTGAAAAACGGAAGGGAAAGTCGTGTATAGAAGATAGGTAAGTCCAAACATGAGTGCGCAGTATAGAGACAAGAGTAGAATGATGGGCGAGAAGAGTAGCATCTTTGTAGGTCGTACAACTGCACGGCCGAGAAGTTGCCATCGTGTTATGTCTTTGGTCGTTCGAGCTCGGAGTTGGTCGTTACCAGTTTGCTTGCGCAGGAAGGCAGCTTTTCGTTCTAATAGGACAGGCTCGAAGGTTTCGCGCATGACAAATACTCCGATAAGGGACACAACTGCAGCCTTGAATATTCTGTTAGAATCAATTCTGAATGTTCATCAGAGGGCCCGGGGTAATACCAATATGAAGATCAACCAGAACGTCCAGCGCCAACCGCTGTATTGAGTGAGAAAACCACCCAAAACTGGCCCAATAACCTGGTTGAAAGTCAGATAAAAGAGGTTGAAACTGTTGAAAAAACTTCCTCATGCATTACTCACCGGACCTAGTAGAGGACCAAGGCTGAAGAGGGCCATTGCCTTGCCGCGCTCATCGGCGCTATACATATCTGCGATTGTCCCACCTCCAACGGCCATTGGAGCTGCACCGGCACAACCAGCAAGAAATCGAAAGCCGAGAAACATCGAAGTATTGGTACTTAGAGCGCATCCGACAGTGAAGAGTTCATATGTCAAGTTACACATGTGATAGACACCAAGTCGGCCGTATATCTCGGACAATGGTGCAATAAGAAAAGGTCCGACACAGTATCCAAGGACATAGATCGAGACAGTCAGTGATGAGACCATTGGACTGGTAACCCCGAATTCTTTAACCAAATACTGAGCACCAGGAGCAAACATGACTGCAGCCAGGTTGCTATTTTCATATAAGTCAATGAGAATTGTCTCCAGTATTCAAGAGCTTACTCACGAGTAAAGCGTGAAAGAGCTAACAAGAAGCACATGAGCAAGCTTAGTTCGGGAACTCCATTTTTGAGGATTCAAGACGTCATCAGGTCCCTCCCAATCAATGACAAAAGGGTCATCTTTGACTTTCTCCAAGCTAAGATTACTTCCAGAACCCATAGAGACATGACGGTCCTCGTATGGAGAACTGCTTTGTTGTGACGTGCCTTTCGAGTTTTGCGATGGCATATTGAAATCTTAAAGATGAATGTTGGAAACGGTAACTTTGAAGGAGAAGTTGAGTGTAGAATGACACAAGTGGAACAAATGCTGTGAGGAGAATAACGAAGATATGAAGTTCTTCAGATACTTTACATGCAGTCTCACCTAAATTCCAAGCGCTGATTCTCGTTTCCTCTGACCCATCATTCAAAGTCTAGCAAGCCCTGTCAATCCTAAACCTTCTACGTGGTGGTTATGAGGCAGAATTCCATCTGCCATAAATAGCCACATTTCGCTACCCCGACACTCAGAATATGCATCTAATGAATATGCTAATATTCTGGGAAACCACGGCGATTCAGTTGGTGCATATCTGCACTGCCTACTAGAAACGTCAAAAGTCGCCGTATGAACAAGGCGTATCGATTCGGGAAACCCAGTGCTCAGGTTTGCTGGTAGGATGTGACGTCTCAGGCATACCCACCCGTACCCGGATGTTTCTGCATAGTACCCACCGCCTTGCTTTTGCCAACTTTGACCCAAAGCCAAGGGGCCTAATGAAAACGCACCGGCTCCGGCGCTCCACAGGCATAAACAATCAGACTTGACCATACTGTCAGATTAACCGCCAAGTAATACCTCGAAAGCGAGAAAAGTACCTAAACAGGGTCTTGTGTTACATGGACGAGGATCATGCGACAATGCTGAAGTCTGCCGTACCCATTACTGCCACATATAGCTAGATGCGGTGGCGCTGATGAGGCTACTTGCCATCGTGTTCTCCTCTTTGTAATCAATTAACAGCTGTAAATCAACCATTTGCACCTCTCCTCGTCATTCATCATGTCTCAAGTCAAAGACATCTTTCTATCCGCCTTGAGTGAGCGGGGCGCACTGCTGGTCATTATTGCAGTTATCTTCTCTGCCACATACATTTACCCTCGCTTGCGTATACGAAAAAAAATCAGCCAAATCCCTCTCATGGGAGAGGAAATTGGAGGTTACTACAAACGGCGAAACGAGTTCTTGAGGGACCCTATGAGATTCTACTGGGATGGATATCAAAAATGCAAGAACAAAGCTTTTCGAGTCACACACTATGAAGGTATTGATTGTTCTGCGAGGCACCGGATCGGACCCAATTAACAAAGTACCTTTACCTAGGTGAACGAATTGTTTTGCCAGGAAATGCACTGGATGAGCTCTGGAATATGTCTGAGGCTGTCCTCAATAAAAATAAAGCATATGATCAAGTAAGTCTTAACTTCATAAAGTAAAGCATGTCAAGACCTCTTGCTAAATATCGTCATCATTTGAAGAGGGTACTCAGACAGTACACAGGTCTGCCTTCCGGCAACCCCTTCCTGGTGCACTGCATCCGCTCAGACCTAACTAGAAACCTAAGTAAGTACCATCAACTTTCAATTTGTTTGCTTTCCCTCATGCTAATCGGCAAAAGAACGCATCAACCAGCATCTTGTCTCTGAAGTTGAAAGAACAGTTGATGAGATCATCGGAACCTGCAATGACTGGACTTCACATCCAATTTATCGGACATCTCTTCGCATCGTTGCTATCGTCTCTGGATCTGTTTATGTTGGCCCAGAAGTGTGCCGTGACGAACAGTTCATCCATGATAGCAGTGAGTCTCTACACTACCAATCTTATCGAGCACCAAACTAATATCATAACTATAGTACATTTCACTGAAAATGTTTTGGCTTCTGTGCACATGCTTCAGATGTACCCAGGATGGATGCGTCCGGTGGCTCGCTTCTTTAAACGCGAACGTACTCAGCTCGCCAAATCATGGAACCATTTGAAAGCTTCCAAAAGACTTGTTGTGCCAATTATTGAGCAACGACGTAAAGAGGTTGAAGCTGGCCATGCCTCATACGACGACATGCTAGCCTGGATGATGGCGAAACAGGACGCATGGAAACAAACAGATGACGATTTGGCTGGCTCAATGGTACAACTTGGTGTCGCTTCAACTCACAACACATCTTCTACGATTGCTCAAACTCTATACCAATTGGCCATTCGCCCAGAACTGGTGAAAGAGCTGCGAGAGGAGGCCCGCAGCGTCTGCGAGCAATTTGACGGAAAATTAAGTCCGAGCGCATTGCACGAACTAAAGCTGCTCGACAGCGTCATGAAAGAAGCACAGAGGCTGAACCCCACGACGCCTTCACACTTTCACCGTTATGTCGAGAAAGACATTACTTTGAAGGATGGAACATTTATCCCCGAGGGTATCACTGTTGAAGCGATATTCGCGCCCCCTCTCTTCGATCCGGTCCTTTTCCCCGACCCGCAAAAATTTGATCCATATCGATTTCTCAAGCTTCGCAGCGGAGAGACCCCAGACCCCAACCATTACAAGAACAAGGAGCAATACACTTTCAGCCATGCGACGAAGGAGAACCTGGCTTGGGGTTATGGCTCCCACGTGTGCCCTGGCCGCTACTTTGCTAACAACGAGATCAAACTGATCCTTGCTCGCATGCTCTTGCGTTATGATATCCGGATGCCGGGTGGAGTGAATGAGGTGATGAAGCCCCAGAGAGCTGGAATGGGCTGGACACCTGACTTGAGAAAGCCAATTGAATTCAGGGCTATAGGCCGGGAATAGTGATGATGCGCGGTCTATGTTGCTAAAAGTTCTCTTGCTTTATATTAAGATTGATTGTTAAATCGAGAGCATTTCGGAGGGCAAGAATGCATTGTATTTCTGAGCGTTTAGGTCTCGAGCGCATGCCGCAATTGCTTAGCAATAAAGTGCCAATTCTTTCCTTCCTCAATTTGTCGTGATGCCAGGGATCACTATACATCTTGCGATTTTCAGAAATTTGTATTGTATTTTGCCAAATTTCCAAGTGCATCCTGCTCCATAGTAAGAACATGAAGACATAACATAGAGCAATCCCCGTGTGTACCATCTTTGCCCAAGATATCGCTAGTCCTGCCAGATGACAGAGCTTATAATAATGTCCTTGTAACTGACTGTGAGTTACTGTAGGCTTTCTGTGCTCAAAGACACATCGTATGAACCGTAACGTGTAAGGTTTTGAGTGAAATTTTAAACTGACGTGAGACGCAGGGTTTAGGATTATTCCGTGGATGAGGGTGGTGACACCATACCTTGCAACATATAGGTGCCAGACCATAAGAGCACAGGCCGGCTTTCCCAAGAGTCTTAATGTGTCAGAGAAAGAAGATTTGGCAATGCCTGGTTAAGCATCCGACGGCTACCGTTCATCATACTCGATCAAGGCCAGGCTGGAGCTTTGCGGGTATATCCGTTTGGACTTGCAGGATTGGAATCCACAGGGAGCACCCTCCTGACACGCTCGAAATGGTCATGTTGCATATCTTTAGGATCTAATATGGGTAACATTGGGTCTCGTTTCTGTATCAGAGCAATTTGAGGCAACACGGAGACTTGGCAGCTCCCCGCCGGTCACCTTGTGAGATGCATGATAACTTAGTAAAGTAGATCGACCGGGTGGAAGGTTGAGCGAGCTGGCTTTGTTTGGAGCAAAGGCTAATGTACCTTAGTTTGAATGCCAATAACCTTTCTTCTGTTGTTCACATTATCACCGTCATCAACGGAACCCCCTGTTTTTCCAACCCTAGATAAAAGGATAACTAGCCGCTCAGCATCTAGTATTTACTACCAAACACCGATTGAATAAACACCTATTTGCACCCAATTATCGAACGTACATATCCACCTGCCAATCATGTCTCAAATCGTCGAATTAGGGTGGATTCCTGTCAAGCAGGACTACGAAAACTTACCTGCAACTAAAGAGATAAAGGAACTTCACTCTAAAGCCGTAGGCATTACCAACCTTCTGGCCCAATGGGAGAGTGTTCAAGGACCCGGCGGATTGAACGACAGCCCTTGCAAGAGTGTTCATTTAGCCGCAGGTGAAGTCTCCCCATCCGTAACACATCAACATTATGATCAGTTTCGATGCTTTCATCCGAAAAAACACTGCTTCGAAATATTTTACTTACTCTGTCATTAGTCTGGAGTTCCGTTGAAGCTGCAGATGCTGCAAAACAATCTCCCGATGGCCAAGCAATGAGAAGCCTTTGGGGCCAAGTCATCGACATGTCTAGTCCATCAGGTCCAGTTCTACCTTGGACCGGTTACTTCGATCTAAAGGGCGACGACTTTGCTAAAGTTGCGGATGCCAAGGTCGTCCTCCTTACTGGGTGCTACCTCTCCGTCGACGTCGATGCTGGAGCTTTTCAGGAAAAGTGGCAGTCACTTATGCGTGCCCAAGCTAGCTCTGGAGGTGTCACTAAAGGGTATGTCGCAGGCGCACATGGTTGGTCGATTGGCGAGATTGTTCACAAAGGTGAAAAGAAGAAGGTTTTCATGGTTGCGACTGGTTGGGAAAGTGAAGATGATGTGAAGGCCGTCGTTGGTGGAGACAAGAGCGCCAAGTTTGAGGAGGCTTTAAAGGATTTCAATATGCAGCAGCAACAATATGTCTGCAATGGTATGAATAAAGTCAAGTAAAAGAGTATGAGAAGGGGCGATAAGCCTTAAAATCAAATAAAAATAAGTATCATGGCATGCCTTCTTTAAAGTTTACATTGAGCACCTGCCTTACTCAAGGTACAAGAAAATTCATTCTTTCATCCAGTCTCTTGGCTGTCTCTATATGAATCCGTGTCTCTACTGTTATGTGAGGATTTCACAGATGATGACAGAAATGCTATTTCCGAGACATATGCACTTCGGATCTTCCAATGGTATCATTTGGGTGCAATTTTGAAGTTATTACTCTTTTTGTGATTCATTAACTGCAGATCGAAATAAAAATGAAACAAAAACTTGGGAATAGCGCTCTTTTCTCCCATGTTGAAAATCATATTTTTGGTAAGAAGTGACAAACACTGTGTTTCTGAACAAATCACGATACGAACATTCGCAAGCTGGCAATTATAAACAGAGGATCAAGTAAAAAGGACTAACCAACATCAATAAATTCTAGCAACTAATTCATAGGCCTTATCTTGCTGAATGACATGGGGGACGCTTCGGAGGAGTCCGGATACTTAGAGTGCCACGTGATACGTCACATGACCAACCCACCGGTCTCCCAAATTTACCTTTATCGACGCGGCCAAAGCCGTTTAGTTCAAGAAACCGGCATGGGGCACTTAACACAGAACAACCGCCCGTAAGGAAATGAACACCTTCAAACCGCGGTCCCGAGCCGATGCAGGGTGGTTCTCGGTCGGTGTCGCTTCGTCTTTCCCCGATTTAGGGTCGGATGATGGCAACCTCTCGGATCTTCGCTTCTGCAGCACAGATCTCCAGCCGGGATGCAAGGTCTTTCACGCACCCAAAACAAACGGCTCTACGCCGCAGGCCACTGAGGTGCCCATTGGGACAGACGATATCCAGAGTGCCGAAATGGAGGCGGATCTGAAAGACCAGGTCCTTGTGTTCAGGTTCAAAGGAAAGTTTCATGCGATCGACCATGTGAGTCAGTCGCTGTAGGTGTCGAGATTTCTTCAAGCTGACCACCATTGATTTCAGAAATGCCCACATTCGTCATACCCGCTTTCTCAAGGTGTACCTTTTGACATTGAGGATTTTGGTATAGTTCTTAGCGCTGGTATAACGTGCCCGAAGCATAGCTGGTCATTTGACCTTTTCTCGGGAATGTCAGATCGGGCTCGGTATAAACTTGGCGTTTGGGAGGTGCAGCTGCGGGACTTTACAGCATCGGAAGCTTTGATTTCGATAGATGATGTTGCAGAGAAAGAAGTTTGGGTGAGGAGAAAGCAGAGAATTGGTTAGATATCCCTACAAATGTATGATTCCCCTTTTGCGCACTCCGAGCAAACAGACGACAGCACTCGAGTAGACTTGTAAGCTTGGACGTGAAGATTAGTCAAATAACGGACGGCAATGTATCTCAAATATTATGTTACTCGCAAGAGCATTGGTTTGGGACTGATTTTATCCTGCGTGGATTATGAAATGTCTTGAGTTTATTGGGCAAACAATAGTCAAGTTTTGGGAATGAACTTTGAAAAAGTATGGCACTGAAGAAGATGTAAAGGAAAATGTATAGTATTGAAACATGCATTTATGTGGAGAAAAGTCACCGTAGTCATTGCTGGAACTCAGTACCAGAGTGCCTTGTTCCAGAACAGTGCCTTGTCGTTGGCCAGGTCATCTTCGTCCAAGTAGAAGGTGGTGTTGAAGACGATCTGGGTGCCAGCGGTAGAAGAGTTACCGTACTGGGGCCACTCTAGCTTGTCCTCCGTCCACTTGGTGTTGGGGTTTCCAGTGAGAACAAAAGACAGGAGATACTTCTGCATCATGACCTTGAAACTTGTCAGCATGAGCTTATCTAGGTAACCAGATATGATAGCTTACAGCAATGGTAGCATTGACAGAGGAACCGCCACCAGGACCACCGGCGCCGCCGGAAGGGGGCCCGCCAGCACTGGAAGTGGCGGTGGCAGCCGCAGATGCAGATGTGGCCGTGGAGTTGGAGACTTCGCTGCTAGTGGAAGTGGAGCTGGAAAGTGTGTATGTGCTGTACCCTGGAAAGAGTTAGACTACATCGACGTGAGTCGGTTATTATACTTACAGTAATAACTCTGATCAGTGCCGTGGGTGGCAGAGTCAAGAGCAACCAGTCCGTTCCATGTTTGGTTATTCATAGCGTGCGTGAGAGCAAGGTTGTGGGCGGTCAAATCAAAATGCTGCTTCATGTCCGCGAAACGCAGACCAGGCTCGGTATAATCGCTCTCGGGGTATAGTGCAAGGATCTCATCAACGACACTGTCGGTGATAGAAGGGAAGAAGATACGGAGGTATGTGGCGACGTCCTCTGTGGTGTTCACATCGTCGTAGGGACTCGAGTTGGCTTCATGTTGTTCGTGTGTAGCAACAACGGGGCCGGTGAAGTTGAATCGGCCCTGGTAAAGCTGAGCCTCGTCTGTCTCTGGTTAGCTGGCTATGCAGAGATTATTTGTTAGGGGTCATACAAGTATCAGCAATGATGTCGCCGTCAACACGGGGCTGGAACTGATAAGTATAGGCGGATTTGACGGTGGAGGCAGCAGTGTTGAGTGTATCGAAATCAATGCTACGCATGCACTCCAAATTTCCACCAGCGCAACCGGCTTCAGAAGAGACGTTCAGCCAGAATGCCTTTCGGTAGTGTTAGTATTAGCTTCGACATGGAAATAGTAATTGTGCATACCTCGGCGTGCTGGTGGCCAGCACCAGGAACGAAACCTGGCGACATGACATAGGCGCGGTTGTATAGCTGCTCAGCGTGGCCAGCAAATCGCTGCAAATGTGACGTTAGTTTAATCACCTGGCCTAAAGAGCGGTCTAGAACTTACAGTCATCTGGAAGAGTACCTGTGACCCGCCAGCGGAAAAGCCAACGGCGGTAATCTCATCAGGGTTGCCGCCAAAGTTGCTAATGTACTTCTTTGTCCACTTGAAAGCAGCTTCAACATCCCAGATGGCAGTGTTGGAAGTGCCACCCTCGTGCAAGAAGGTGGGTCCATTGGCCAAGCCGGTAAGGCCGAGGCGGTAGTTATAGGCGACGTAAACGAACTCCTTGGATAGATCGAAAAGACCTTCAGGGGTGTTCTCTGATTTGCTGCCGCCTTCAAAGCCGCCGCCGTACGTCCAAACCATAACGGGGAGGTTCTTGCCTTCAGAACCAGCAGGGGCCCAGACGTCGACGTAGAGACAGTCTTCCTCGGAGCTACATGCAACATCGGCCGACGCCAAAGTACCGGTGTTGACTTCCGTCTCTACGGGAGGTTCTTGCGGCTTGGCCCAACGAAGGTCGCCGGTCGGAACGGCGGCGAAACGAATGTTTTGGTACTTGTAATATCCCAAAGACTCATTGCCTGCAGCAGCCGCGACAGTACAGTAGTCAAGAGTTACGGAGGGCATGCTGCCGGTACTTGAGGTTGCAGTAGGGGCTAAGGTCGTAGTCTGAGCCAGAGTTGTCGAGGCTGCCATCAGCAGCGATGAATGTTGGAACTTCATATTAAACACAGGGAGAGTTGCTTGTGGTCGGTTGAAGGTTGTTGTGATCACTCTGCGCTTACAACAAAAGGCCACCACTCATATGATCGCGATGGCACCAAATATATATATTTGATTAATCATGCTTAAGAAGACTCTGTATATAAGAGTCTCCGCATTCATCGGAGAGCACGACGCGTAGTCCCAGCCGCGTAAGGTATCACACCACTAAGCCTCAATGATGAATGTTGTCTTAGTCTTTTTTCAACATTAAGGATCACCTTGGATGCTTTCCCGTACGAGAAGGATAAGTCTTTGATGTTGTATTTAGAAACAATCAGTTCCTGCTATTGGCTCGCATCTGCCCCACAAGGCTTCGTAGCCTGGGATGAACTTGCTCAATAGCTCTTGTTCACGAAGCGGCGGCTGATTTAGCACGGAAAATGCCGTCCTTGTCCGGGGCATCGGAGAAGTGGCCCACAGTTTAAATCACACTTCGCCCCCTGAAAATATTCCAGAAGGTATTTTACATAAGGTAGATATCTCCGGTCTACCAAGAGCGGGAACGTGGGGTTGAAGCGAGAACTCAGGGCGGTATTGGGGCGGAATGATGCTTGCTGCGCCCACCTTCCGTTGATTGTGGGTCAGGTGCGACTGAGCCATCATCGACAATTTCTCGCAGGTCCTGCAAAAGTCGGGGAGTGCCGCTATTGTTTCTTATACTATTTGTAGCGTGTTTCCATTCTTGTCTTTATGGAATCTTGTGTCTGTACACCTTATGAACATCTAGGGTAGCAATTGTTGATCATTCTCAGAATGGCGCTTGTCGTTAAATCAAAGTCTTCTGAGTTTGGACTGTAAACGTATTTCCTATCCCAACTACTACTAATTACCTTATAAAGACAAAATGAACATGAATGTGGCTAGTCTACCCGGGTGCTTTGCATAGGCTCCGCAAGGGATTTGGTGCAGTATTACTCCAAGAATACTGATTGACACGAAAACGTCAGTGTTAAATACAGCTTCGTGCCTGACATCACTATTGACAAACAAGCTTTTATCGTTGAGAGACCCTACTGCTTCTCACTTCTTGGTGCACCAGCTTCAAAGTGTTGCCTACCCAATTCTTCCGTCTCAAGCGTAAGTTCTTCCATCCAGAATGACAGAATAAGTCCAATTCCACCAAATGCTGTCAGGGTGTACCAAATCGACCTCATGCTATCATTGTAAACGGCCTTGATAGCACTTATCACCTCTATTGGCATTGAAGATTCGAGGTCTCTCAAGTATGGTATGAAGCCGACCGCTTCACTTGGATTTTCCAAAGCAGACAAGGCTTCAGGAAGCGGTAGCAATGGAGCAATTTTCTTTCCAAAAATGCTACTGAATATGGTCGATCCCATGGACAGACCAATGAGAGCACCGAACAACCTGAAAGATACCAAAATCCCACTTGCTAGCCCATGATCATCAGCGCTTTCCATGGCGGCCTGAAGCGGAATGCTGGGGAGCGTGAAGAGTGTGCCAATGCCGATGCCAAGGAGGATCTGGAACCCAGCAATCTCGGCAACGGAAGACTCTCTGTCCCAAAGAACACAGAGACCAGTGCCCACTGTGCAAGCGATCCAGCCTAGCCAAATCTCCCAGCGGTATCGTCTTGTGTACTCGACGCCAACCGCTGAAAGACCGGAGAAGGTAACTACCATCGCACACATGGGGAGGACGTTAACAGCGGATCGTAAAGGCGACTGGAGAAGGACTGCCTGGAATTGTAGAGGCACGTATATCAAGATGGCGTACGTAATCATGCCGTGGATGAGGGCCCCGGTGAGCGCGACTTGTGCAGTTCTAGACTGAAAGATTCGATACGGAAAAACAGGTTCGGACGGTTTCGATTCCCAGACGCAGAATGCCAGGATGAAAATGACACCGACAAGGAGCGGTACGATCGTCTTCCATGACGACCAAGGGTACATTGCGCCGGCCCAACTGAGCGGCAGGCAGAACAGAGTGCAGCCGACGGCAAACAGAAGCATGCCAACCATGTCAAGCCTCCCCAACCTAGAACGAAGACTACCGCTAATCGGTTTGAGATCCAGGAAGAAAAAGGCCAAAATGACGGCAACGGCAAGAATGGGTATGTTCATCCAGCCAATCCATCGCCAATCGGAGTATTCACTGAGTAATGCACCGATTATGGGGCCTGCAAGTGTCCCTGCCGCCATTGGTATACTGTGTAGTCCAATCCAGAGTGGCCGTTCTTTCAAAGTCGTGATGTCGGCAGTAATAATCTCGGAAAGGACGTCTAGACCACCTCCGCCTAGACCCTGGATCACGCGCCCAAGAATGACGATGGGCATGGACTTTGCTACGGCAAAGATGATAGATCCAATCAAGAAGAGAATGCACGCCGCATACATGGACATCTTTCGGCCGAGAACGTCAGATGCGCTAGTGTAAATCGGTTGTGTTACGACGACACCGAGCATGAAGGAGATGCTGGCCCAAAAGGCTTCAAGGGTTGTGCCGCCGAGTTGCGATGTGATGGCCTTTAGGATGCCGTGGTCAGCGCGGTTGAGGCCGGGTAAGAATAGCTAGAAACTCACTGGGATAGCAACAGCTAGCATTGTGGCATCAAGCGATACTACCAGAACCATTATGCCGAGAGAGGTGAATGCTACGTAAAATGGAACAGGTTTATTCCAATTTGATTTATATGTCTTCGTGGCAGGCCCCTCCATCACCTGCTGCATCTTGTTCGGAATGTGCTCGACTTGCTTCTCGATATCGGTGACTGTGGAATTAGTCGATACGGCAGTGATGCCATTGTCGCAGTCAGCTTGTGGTGGCATTTTGATAATCGTGCAGGCGGCGAACTGCTGGGGGCCTTTAGTGTTGGCTTTTCAAGTGGCCCAGGGTTCCAGGTGATATGCCTCGTCCGTACCGTTTCAGTCTGAAAGTTGAAGTGACAACGGCCGGCGGGATAGCGCCGAATTATAGAGTCTGAAGGCATAGTGATGTGTCCTAGTTGTGGCGGTATTGCGCGTAGGTGCTCAACCAACGTTCTGTTCTGTACATTCGATGCGGCTCTTTTTCCCTGATGTGGCCACATGTTGTTTGAGCTTTTTGATCCTTTGGTTATGAGCTTAATCTTTTCAGCCACTTCATTTTGACTGGTTAATATGTGCACTTTCAAATCGTTTCGGTTTTGGAGTGCATGCAACTAGCCATTCTCGGAGTCGTGGTCAGAAACTGTGTCAGCTTGGCTTACTGGCTTGACGGTTTTTACCAAAACAGCAACGAAGTTAGCGAATAACATGCAAGGGCGACAAGTTTGGGCATCATGTATTGGTGGCCTGTTTCGTTCACGCCAATTCAGTAACTTGGATTGGAATTTTGCCCACACTAGCACGCTTGGCGACTTGAGCTCTGTGCTCGATTTGGATCACGATTGGTTCACACAATACCACGTCTGTATCCCTTAATCTTGCTACCTAGCCTTACCAACCCACACAACACAAGAAAATCCCCTCATATGACGTGTTTAACTGAGAAGTTAGCCTCCCTGTCATGGCTACAATGTGGATCATGGTGGCGGAGACAACAAGCCGCCTCAACGCTTGTTACAGGAACTGTTTAAGTTCAGTAAACATCTGTCCCACGGACAGCGCCGAGCTGAAATGGACCGGCTGGGGCTACTCTCGGTCCAAGCTCCAGTGCAAGTTCATATTACATACTTAATACAAACAGCATTACTCAACAATTCTTTTTGGCTCATCAGCGACAAAGATAGATAGGATAATGACATCACATAAAATAGGGGTCTTCATGGCGCTGCTCCGGTTGAAAGCTTGGTATGACCCACTATCAGAGGGTAGTGGGGGAAAACCTTAGTCATATTCATCCAAGCGCGCAGTTAAAATACGGTGTCCTAAATAGGATGGCCTAAAGAGAATGACCTAAATAGGATGACACTGTATGAAGCCACAATCCAAAGGATTTGCAATTTCCACTCCTGATATCACATATTACATATCATGAGGTACGCAGGTTTCCATTAATGTAAGAGACGATACGTCCAAGTTCCAGAGTATCCAGACTTTCGAGTCTCTGCCTGATGGCTGTTCCCGTGCTGTCCAGTCCTAGCTATGATTACGGAAACTTTTATACAATAAGATCTCTTTGCTTTCTGGATGCAAATCATGTAGAATGATTTCATAACTACCACCTTTGCGCATCTCCAATTTTCGACGCTTTGTATACCGTTGACTAGAGACATTTGTACTGACTACGTATGTCTGAAGGCTTACTAGGAGGTCCTTTTAACCGTTACCATTGACTAGGGTGACTGTAAAACTTAGCTACATATTATAAGTTTGTAGGATTTTCCTGCTGCTTGTGGTTGCTTCGGAGGCCGCGCGCAGCAGGTTAAGCAATGGCCACCACGCCCTACCAGAGGAGGTCCACTAGGTGGCTAGGGCGTATAAACAGAGTAAGGTAGGTTGCCGCAAGGCTTAAAAAGAGCAATTCCCTCTTCTTAGTAGAAACTTTTCAAGAAAATCGGCATTCTTTTCGCAATATCTTGAACGGCATTAACTTCTCAAGTCAAAATGGCTCAAGATAACAGCAGCGTCGAACAACTTTACCATAAGTTGAGCCCAATTGATGCCGCCATCAACAGAGGAGATCCCATTGGCACAGAGGAGTTTTTAGCGGCCTTGGATTCTTTGACCGCCGTGTTTGGTATGTGATTCTAGGGTCATATGGTGCCATCCTTAGGAAACTAATGGAACTCTCCCAATCAGATACTGCCGGAGTCGACATGTTAGAGGGGGGAAGAAATGATATGGCAGAGAACATTGGTGTAAGTCAAGATTAAATTATTTTGCGAACCTTAGAGCATGTAAATTCCGCATCATAAATGGCCTGCTTACGGATTATGTTTTAGAAACTTCGTAATCGGGCAAGCAGATCCCCAGAAAAGTCGCAGCGTCTGCAAGACATGATCCTGGCAGAGCGTGCCGAAGGACAGCACGATGCAACCGAGGCACTCCTGTGGCTCACCAGGTATACTTCCATTTACGCCCTTTTAACAAGCTACATTTTCACAAAACGAAGAAGCCTAACTTGGTTGATACAGGGGTCTTGAGTTTTTCGTCGCGGCAATGAAGCGAACTTTGGCCAACAGCTCCGAAAAGCTCTCGGATAGCATCATGTCTGGATATAAGGATACCTTAAAAAAGCACCACGGGTTCATAGCTAAGACAGCTATTAAGGTCGGTGTGTCGAAAACCTGTCCTTCCAGAGAGGATCTGTTTGGTAGATTGGGACAGGACAGCAGTTTAACGACGCGTTCACTTCAGGCGTCTGTTGGCTCATTTGAAAAGATTCTTGGAGTGCTGCAGCCTTTCCTTGCTAGGGCGGATGTTAAATTTTAGAACATGCCTTCTACATGAACATTTAAGACTTGTGCTATAGTATGATTATATCTTTTATTAGTTCCACTTCTTCATCATACGAGACCAAAATAGCATTGATTGTGAGTGTTGCCTTTGTAACTGAAATACACTTGACGCCCTCATCCATAATAACAGGGGTTTTATATGCGTCATCTTATCACTCGCATTCATAAAGACGACTGCGTGTAGAATTTTGTTTTCATAGACCATGTGAATTACGTGATTGGTAGTAAGCCTGCCTAGAGTATGATGACACGTGAAAGCCGTAGTAGCGGCAGGCTTTGTGGAAACAAAGACGGCCAGTTCCACCTGCATCAAAGACGATGGCGCTGAAGCCTAGCCAATTACCCTGGATACCTTAGGTTGGGGAAAGAAGTGAAATATTTGTATCTGGAAGGAAGAAAAGGCTTTCAAGCCTTAGGGACACGCCTTCTATTTTGCCGTAACTAGAGTAAGTGGAAGGTCTACCCTTCAGATTTAATCTCCATGTCCCCATCTTCTACCACTCAACACCAAGAGAAAACACCTTTAGACTGCCAACCAGACACGAAGCCCCGATATTCTGTTTGGTTTGAAATATCCTTCAAGACCAATACAGCATACCTTAGCATACCAACACTCTTGCGCTTATGTCGCTCGCAATTTAACTCGCTACGACTGTGGAGATCATGTCTGTTCTCGGCTTTGCCGTCAAGTTGCATCCCGCGGGATCCTCCAAAACCGAACCCGAAACCGACACCGACGCCCAAGCTAGCACTGCGACAATCTACTCCGAAAAGCCGCGCTGGAAGCTCCACGATTCGCCACCCTTCTCATTATCGGAGAAGCAACTGAAAGGTCGTGAGCTTTGTGTAGTGTGCATCAAGGCGGCGCTGGATGAACACGCCTGTCCCGACTGCAAGCTTGCTCGATACTGCTCCGTCAAATGTCAGGATCTAGACTCGTCTACTCACAAACGAATTTGTGCCGGTTTCCGCAACCATCTGTCCGAAGCACGCCCTTCCGAAAACCATTACAGAGCTGTTTTCTTCCCTTGCAACAGCGAAGACCCTGAGTTTGTCTGGCTCAAAGTTTTACTCGATCACGCAACCGGCATTCTTCACTTTGAGACGGACAAAAGTCATGCCCTCGACTATGTGGAACAGCTTGGGCAGCCGAATGTTTGCTGCCTGAACCTCAACAACGAGGACGTTATTGAGAATGCACGGTTCTCACATGGCTTCGACCTTATTGTTTTTAACAAAAACGAAAACAACTCTAGAGACCTTCAATGGTCAAATCGTTGCCTCCTTAGCTTTGGAAAGCCTGGTTTCCTCAGCTGCGTTTTCGGCCCAACTTTTCTCTGGGCATACGACCTCAACACCGACATAGATAACGAAAACGGCGAAAGTTCCAACGGTGATTGGTCTTTGAACAGATGTCGCGATATCGAGCTTCGTGACCTTCGGCATACAATCGACTGCTACGTTCTGAACATTAATAACCCAGCTGTTAGCGACGACTCAATGCTCGGGATAGCACCGTACATTATGCCCGCTCTTAAAATCAATGATCTCGATGACAAGACAATGCAGGCACTTGGCGTAACGCAACAGATGGAAATGACCAAAGCCTGGAGGCCACTTGAGGGTCAAGCTCTTTCGACTTTTCGAGACCTGAACATGTTTTACATCGGCCTACGTTGGTACATTCGCAGTGCCTTGCCTGTTCTGAGAGATCCTCTGCTTGAAGCGCATGGGCGACATGGGGATGTTTTGAACATCTTCAAGTACACTTTTGAATGCAAGGACAAGAGTAATGACTTTGAACACTTGGATACGCCCCGGTATCTCAAGCTTTGTGAGTTTCGTCACACTGCCAGCTTCAATCTTTTTCAGGTCAATGGTGGATTTATTCGTCCGGCCCATGTTCAGGCGGTGATGGGATATTTTAAAATGGCTAAAGCGACTCGAACTGAGCCATCCGAAAAGGGATTTCGCGCGTACTGGGACTGGTTCAAGCGCAGCGAGACAAAGAAAGGCCATTCACTCGACGATGTTCCCTCTCCATACGATCTAGAAGAAGTGGACGACGTCGGTTTCGACATATGGTCTCAGCACCTGGTTTCTATCATCCAGTCTCGGCCGTCTCTAGAAAGCTTTTTGAATACTACCAGAGTCTCTAGAGTCTGACATGGATTTTGGAACCTTAAAACATATTCTTCTCGTTTACCTCCGGTTAAGAGCCCAGGCTAGGGAGTTTATGGGAGAATACATGCAGAGTCGACAATCCTGGTCGCAGACATGACTGTGAATGAAGAACGGCAAAGATTGTGGTTTGTTAAATGTATGACCTACTGGTATTCGTTGCTGTTGTCAACAGAGCGGTGGGAACGTCAAGCTCAAGAAACAGGCAGCAGATGCTCGGAAACAATCACACTTGGTGTTTAGAACTTCCGAGACCCAAATCTCGTATGCCGTAGCATGAAATTGAAGAAAATGACACTTGACTTCTTGTTGTCCAACACTAGGTAATTTTTGATTGCCTATCTAACGATACCTTATATAATGGACGATAGGTTTGAGCTGTTGGATTTTCACACGACCCTTCACCGGAGCTCAGCATGATTCATAACCGTAGAAGTAGCAAGTCTTTCGACGATGGAAAAGGAATCCTAATGGAGCCTAAGGTTTGTGTAACAGAAATCACCATCGGTGGGAAGATTAGGAGCGGTATTTTAAGGCAATTCTGATATGATATTGAAGTGAAGGGGATCAACCTATGACAACCCTAAGTAAATCCTTGTCTAAGTAGCTACCCTTCCCCAGTAAATAACCTTGGTTTAAAGCGACTTGTCGACTACGCGTCAGCAAAGGTTGCACTCCTAACAGATTGCTTAGAGCGATCTGTGCCAGGATTGCAGCTCCAAGCCGGAATGAACTTAGCAGCCGCAGCCACACCGGGAGCAGCCCTCACCGCAAGCCGAGCCAGCAGCCGAGCCACAGTCACGGTTTGCACCACAAGTTCTCCAGGAGCCAAAGCCACCGTTCCAAGCAGTCCAGCACCATCTTCCGGCTCCCTCGCCGCATCTCTTCCAGCAGTACCCGTCCGTGCATCCAAACGAGGGCTCGTTGTCCTTCAAGCAGGCATCAGGTTCCTCCTGGCGTCCGATAAGGTTGCGCTTCGCGTTGGAGGAGCCAGGGCTGACAACAGCACCGCTCGGTCGAACACTGGGGCCCAGAGGGTGCTCCTTGCAGGCGCGGACCATGGCAGGGTCCGCTCCCTTGAGAGCAACCGCCGCGTCGGTGTAGGTCATGACACCAAGGCTGCCGCAGACTGCGGCGGCCTCAGCGGGAGCCACGCCGGCAAGAATAGGGTTGGCGAGGAGGACGGCCGAAGCGATGATGGCAGTGAACTTCATTTTGAAAGTTTCTATGTCCTTGTTAGTATTTTGTCAAACTTGAATCTGGTTTGATGAAGGCCAGTACCGTGGAGTATTGGAACAAGAGTGGTTCTTTGTGTTGGTGGAGTGTGACTTGATTGAATGAGTCTGTGATGGTCTGGTTTTCCGAATTTTCAGATATGGAGGACAGCACCAGTCTTTATACTTGATTGCTCCCCTACTTTCTCATGTCCTCGTTAACATAGCTACAGCTTCCTTTTCCCAATGCTACTAAAGGTTAGGCAAGTATCATTCACACTTGCCGCCAGAAACCTCTCACATGCAGCCAAGACAAGTAGGCTGAATGTTCCATCTCGCCAAGATGTAGGTCAAGCATCCAGGAAAGAATCCATAAGAGGAAAGAGAAAGTATAATTGATATTCTTACTATCTTTGAGTAGGACCTGATGGGAGGTAATAGGCGGAGTGACAAGGGACAGTGATTGAGATGAGCGCTACGCGACTATCAGCTGCATATGCGGAGAGAATGCTGGCTTGGAGCTCAACCTAGTCCCAGAGAAGATTACGAAGAACCTATTCTGTATTTATTTCTCAAGGAAAGTTTAACATACGAATCCTGGATCTATTAAAGGAAAGTGGGAGTTGTCTACATCTTCCATTCGGTTTTGTTCCGCGACAATGGATCCAGTCATTTTACACAGTGAGCAACCAGAGAGAAATACATTGGCACTTCCGAAGAAAGGCTTGGATCAGTAACACATGATTGAGAATGCGATTTTGTTCACTGTGCGGCATGGCTATTTAACGCAGAACAGGGGTCATTGACATCGACTTTGAAATTACCCATATGTTTACTTTGCGGCACAGTTGGTTACCTTGCCCCACACATACATATACGAGCAGTATACCTCGCTTATGAGCTTTGCTTAGGTCTGCTAAGCGACTTAGACTTAAAGAGACCTTCCTAAAAGTCTCTAGACCCTTAAAAATCAAAAGCAAGTTCCTAGGGTTAAGCCTCTGCTGTGCGACTATGCAATTCATGCAGTCATCTACATTGTCTTTAAGCAATAGATAACATCTGTTGATTCTTAGTAAGAAAATGAAACATGTCATATGAGAGGTGAGCCAAAAGTCTTCGGCCAAGTATGTGTAGAATGTGTATGGGCGAATGACTAGAATTTGTGGGGCTTTCATATAGGAGCTCAGATGATTGTTTGCCTAAAAGGGGCAATGTTTAACAGACTGCCTACCTACCTTGTCTATACCCTGCAGCCAGTCACCAATGTAACCGTAAGCAACATCTGATCCTTCCTCCAATTATGTCTCACGCATTGTTACATTTCGAGGGTCCAAATCACATTCTAAACAAATTCGCATGCACGGCATGGAGGTTCACTTAAACAGCTTGTAATGCAGACGCTAAAATTGAAAATGGAATAGTATCTCACATTAAAGACCCTCAGAAACAAGGGTATCATCAAATCAATGAGCTGGAACTTCTGTTTAATGCCTTGCCGATAACCCACAGTAATCCTTCGCTTTGTAGATCCACTCTACCTTTGTTTTAACCAGTGGGATGCAAGCGGCTGGGCGTCAGCCGCTGCAGGTCGAATTATTCCACTAGATTCGGCTCTATCCGCGAGAAGCTCGGCTTGGCAACAGGCACAAAGTCTGCGGGGTATTATCCGATCGAACACAGATACTGCAATTTCTACTCGAATAGGAAGTATTATGCTATTAGCATTTGGAGAAACATGGCCCTTAAAATGGGCTGGTTTGTGCCCTGTTGCCAGGCCGCAGTCGATGGAATAGTCACGAGAGCAAATCACCTCCCATGTTTGTTACCCCGCCATGCCATGGCCGCCTGCCGCCCTTACGCCCAGCCCGCAAAGCCGGGCGTAAATAGATCCTGGATATGGATACGCTAGGTGCAAGAATTATGAAACTTCCGAGTTGAGAACGATAAACTAGAAGAAATACTAATCAGTCTCACAAGAGGATCGCATACACATTGTACCGTAACGTTTCACGTTCTGGCCGTAATATTGGCTGCTGCAGCGGTATTGGCTTTCGCAGTTTGTATCATACGATTGTCGCTTAAACACCTGGCCCTTATCATTCTTGGCGAGATGGATTCTAAGCTGACAGGTCTCAGATGTTGTTCCCAGTGGCAACCTTGATAGACCTATTGTCAAGGAGCAGTCAATCCGCATTCGCAGACTCGTAAAGGATCATTGCTTGCAGGATGAAAATTGCCTCAATGGCTGTTCCGAGGAAAAGCATCGGTCTTGAGTCCCGAAACACGGAGAAGATGTCCACGCAGTTCTTGGTACGTAAGTGAAGGCTTTTGTTACGGGCTATGCCACGGTTTATGAGCTGTGCCTATGCATTATCCCTACCCAAGTGCAGCCAAACAACAAGTGGACGACTTATTGTTACGTATCCTTTTGGGCTTTTGGCTTAATGAGCTAGCACCTCTGTTTTCAATACGCGCTGGAGGCTAGTGTGCGGCTACCACTGCAACCCTATAAGCAGGTTCTGGCAACCTACAGCATCTCCGTTTTTTTTATGTTGGAGGCTGGTGTACGACTGCCACTGCAACCTTGTTGGCGGGGTCTGCTCCTTCACAGCTTTTTTCCTAAAACGCTCTGTGATTTTTGACTTCCGTGAGTAATTTTGATTATTGAAGATTTTGTATTTAGTAAACTTGAGAGCACAGGTAAAATGCTCACACATGTCTACGATGGCCCAGGTAATATACACGGTCTGCTCTATAACTGATGCATTTGGCGGTCGTGGTAACGCATCAGATGACCAAAGCAGGCATATATTAGAAGCGGAGCCAACAAACAGTGAGGGGCTCATTAGAGCAGTGCATTTACAATAGCCATTGGTCACATTATGGGCTGAAAATTCTCTTCAATCTAACTGAAAAATGGGCAACTGTATAACCACCGACATGACTTGGTACTACGTAGCTAGCTATGCATGCGTAGCATGGGAAAACAACAATGGATGAGTTCTTATCAGATTTTCGGTATTTTACAGCAGTTTAATTGATGTTTTAATCACCTTCTACTGCTTCTTATTACGGGCGATATGATAGAACACCATCGTCATCGTTTAAATATAACAAAGCAACACAAAACACAACCCATAGCAAAACTGCTCGGAATTAAAAGTGAGTATATGAAATAAGATGCGCTTCCGACCCTGCTTTCAATAACATACTTTAGTAATATACCTAATTGTGTAACTTATAACCTAGTGATTCCGTCACTTATGTTCATTGGCCCAGGGGTTGGTGCTCTAGTGGCTTGCGGCAACCCGATTAACGAGGTCTTAGCAACACAAAAGGGTGCAAGCAACCATTCTATTAATACGATTTGTTATCATGTATCCATAGGTCTAATAACGTAGCTACTGGAGAGATTTTGAAATGGGAAAAGATTTCCAAGTGGGTGTTTCGGAGTGTTGAGACTTTGATATAGTGTGATGGGTTAAGCACCAGGCCCAGGGCTTCCTTATTACCTAGTTTATGTAGCATGGTATGGCTGTGTTGTATTCAATCATATCGTATCATGTGGTGTCCTTTTATCGCATAACATTTGTGACGAACACGCTAGGCACGAAGATGCTGGCCCGGAAAGGGCGTTCATTCTCCAAGAGTTTACAGCTTTAGAGGCACACTAAATATATCCAGCCGGCTGGCAGGTATCTCTCTAGTACAGACTGTATCAGGTTATCTCATCGTGACTCGTGCCATTCATCCCACAAACGTCCCATCGTTACAACATTTGTGCTAGGAAATTAGTCGTCCAACTTCTATAGAATTTAGACGGAATGTGACATAGGTGTGGACTTTGAATAGAAGCATATGTTGATTCAGAAGTTTATGCTAGCGAACTTAAACGGTGCATTGCCTTCAATTCCGGACTCTTCTCCTCTTCGTTTTGCTGGGTTGTTCTTACGTCGCGCCTCCTACATCACGCCCTTGTTGAGCTATTTGAAATAGTCCGATCGCTGTGATCACCGTTCGACCTGCCCTTTGACTTCATTGCGGACGTCACACCTGCTTAGGGCCACAGTAGTGCGTCTCTTATTCCATCAAGTGCTATTGGGCTACAATTCCATTGAGAACCATAAAGGGGTCCATATTTTTACAAATTCCGTGGAAATAGGTATATGATTGGTAAAAGCCTCACGATATCTGTTCTTGACTGGCCAACACTGTGGATGATATGTATCTGTAACCCAGCACCACTTGGTGGGATAGAATGAAGTGACAGTGCATTGTTAACCTCCACTAAATCGACCCCGAGCAGCTTGTTCCGCAATTGCTTCCTTTTTCTATTCATGGACCTCGGTATTCTCGCTATGCTAACTTGCCTAGTCATCCTCTAAAATCCATGAAATGGTTCTCTAGGACGAGGTTTCACTGCATTTTTAACCCCCTGAGGGACAATTAGACTGAGTGTGGGAAAACAGCGGCTCATCTAAGGGAAAACCAACACATCTAAGTGGCTCATTCATCCGACACTGGAGACAACGGCATTACCCCGGTTATTGTTAATGTCATGATTGGCTGGACACAGTCCCACCCGCTCTTGGTGGGGTTTCCCTCCGCCTGCCAAGCACAAATCCAGCCCATAAGGCACAAGTGCTCTCCACTGATCTCATCACCGGACTCATATCCAAGAACACCTCGGGCTGTGTTGGCCCGGTCGTGGTAGATACGAACCGATGTACGTTAGACGTGGATATAAATGTCGCCGGCTTCAAGAGGCGGGGTGAACTCATAAGCAAACCTCATTTTCCGACTAAGTGAACCCCTATTTGTTCATCCAGAAGCAGCGCTTTTCAGTGCTCAAGAAACGATTCAAGTTGACGGAACACGACTCAGGTATGGCGGACTTCAAGGTCGTCGACGTACGCGTCGACCACTACCGACCTGGCAACACACTGGGAATTCACGTCACGAAACCTCGTCTGTCATGGAGATTTGAGAACGCGCCACCAGGATTCAAACAGGGGGAAAGAACAATCAGAGTATCGCGACATTCTGGATCTGGGTTTGCCGCTATCGGCGAATACTCTAGCAGTGACTCCGATACACAAGGATTGCCTTGGCCTATTGATGAGGCAATCTCGTCTCGAGAAAAATACCAAATCGAAGTTCGAGTTCGAGGTACTGACCACGCGGAACTATCCTCGTGGAGCGAGCCATATGTCTTTGAAACAGGTCTGCTGAGCCGCAGGGAATGGAGTTGTGCACGCATTTCCTCGCCGTGGGCTGAGGACGGCAAAGATGCACCACAGCCCGAAGACTTGTTTCGCAAAGAGTTTACATCTGAAGGGAACATCCAATCAGCAAGACTCTATGTCACGGCGCAGGGTATCTACGAAGCTGAAATCAATGGGAAGAAAGTTGGCGACTATTTCCTTGCCCCTGGCTGGACTGCATACGACGGCAGACTCCAGTACCAGACATACGACATCACCGAGTACATCACCTCTTCCAACTGCATCGGCATCCGCGTGGCCGAAGGCTGGTTCAATGGCCGCATTGGATTCGAAGGTGGTCGGCGAAACATCTGGGGAACGAGGACTGCGCTCATGGCCCAGCTTGAGATCAAGTATGAGGACGGCACACTCAAGACCGTCGTTACAGATGGCACTTGGAAAGTATGTCGTGGGCCAACGAAGCTCGCCGAAATCTATGATGGTGAAAAGTACGACGCAACCGCAGAAATAAACGGATGGTCGACAACGTCAACTCTGGGAGACTGGAAATCTGTTGTGACTCTTCCAACGATTGATAACAGCATCGAGTTAATTGCTGGTTTCGGTGAACCCGTCCGACGTCTGGATAGTATCAAGGCCGTCGAGCAGATTAATACTCAGTCAGGGAAGACGATCTTGGACTTTGGCCAGAACCTCGTTGGATACGTCCGCATTCAAGGCGTCAAAGGCCGACGGGGGGACAAGGTAACTCTGACTCATGCTGAAGTCATTGAGAACGGCGAGTTAGGAACGAGACCGCTACGTGAGTGCGAAGCAAAAGATGTCTACACTCTCAAAGGAGACGAGAATGGAGAATCTTGGGAACCGCGCTTCAGCTTTCACGGCTTCCGCTACGTCCAGGTTGACGGGTGGCCTTCACCAGACATTGATCTTACCAACGCATTAGAGGCCATCGTTTGTCACACGGATATGCAGGAAACCGGTGCGTTTACCTGTTCCGACGCTCTGTTGAATCAACTCTTCAGCAACGTACGCTGGTCGATGAGGGGAAACTTCTTATCCCTTCCAACTGATTGCCCGCAACGGGACGAGCGTCTTGGATGGACTGGGGACCTCGCTCTATTCGCACCTACTGCTACGTTTATCTATGACTGCTTTGGCATTCTGAAGAACTGGTTAGCCGACGTCGCCATCGACCAAAAGGCCCTGGACGGAATTCCGCCAATGGTGTCGCCCAACGTTCTTGTTGGCCATAAGAACTGGGGCAAGATCACCGCTAACGCCATCTGGAACGATGTGGTTGTCCTAGCACCTTGGGCTCTTTACGAAGAAACGGCTGACGCCAGCATTCTCCAAGATCAATACGAGTCCATGACAACTTGGCTTGAAAATGTGCCTAGAAACAAGACAGGCGCGGTTCACCTTTGGGACTTTGAACTGTTCCAGCTAGGGGTGAGTGCACATAGTTGACGTCCGAATCATTCAAAGTATGACTTATATAAATAGGACTGGCTGGATCCCAATGCTCCTCCGGATGAGCCAATGAAGGCACTGACGGACCCTCCTCTGGTTGCCAATGCGTTCCTAGTTAGATCACTCTACCTGATGAGCAAAATCGCCACCGTTCTACAGAAGCCCGCGGACGCTGAGCGCTACCGTCAGGAAGCAGAGGCAGGTCGCAAGGAGTTCCAGGATGAGTATGTCAGTGCCAACGGGCGTCTGACATCGGATTCTCAAACCGCGTATGCTCTCGCAATAGCCTTCGACCTTCTCTCCCCGTCACAGACCATACGAGCTGGGAATAGACTTTCCGAGGTCGTCAGGCGCAATGGATTTAAAATCGGCACTGGCTTCGGCGGTACTCCTTTCATCTGCGAGGCGCTCACCCGCACAGGTCACAGCGATGTTGCGTATGCAATGCTCTTGAACCGCAATTGTCCATCTTGGCTCTATCCCGTCACAATGGGTGCGACAACAGTTTGGGAGCGTTGGGATAGTATGTTGCCCGACGGAACTATCAACCCTGGTGACATGACATCGTTCAATCACTATGCCTTTGGTGCTGTGGCGAAGTTTCTCGCTGAGCGGCTGGCAGGTCTGCAACGTTTAGAGCCTGGTTGGAAGAAGTCAAGGGCGGAGCCAGTACTGGGTGCTGAGTTTACACGTGCGTCGGCGTCACACATCACGCCATATGGCAAGGTGTCTTGTTCATGGCAGCTGAACAACAAAGGCAGCGGTGTATCACAACTCAAGGTCGACGTCGTTGTCCCGCCGCTCACGGAGATGGAGGTGATATTGCCTGATAATGAGGGGAAGAGAGTTGAGCTTGTTGGATCTGGAGAGTGGACTTTCGTTGCCGAATACAAGCGGGATTACAAGTGGCCAGTAAAGCCACTTTCTTTCTTCCCGGAGTAGAGAAGAAGCGGCCAAATCACGGGGATCGATTGCTGTGCCGCCAACAAAATCCCGAAACTTGGCGATTCTTGCAAGCAAGTATCAAAACAGCGCCCTTCAAGCTAATGCAGGCCGAGAAGTCTGCCAAGGCTTGTGTCGCATAACGCCAAGGAGAATGTGGCCCTTCAGTTGCTGGGCTTTGAAGCCTTTTCCAACGTCAGGTTATTGGCATGTTCGGGACAGAAAGGCCTTGTAGGTTATCAAACAATCAATAGCATGTAGCACGCAAGGTTCTTCAACGTCATTTAATAGTTAGGTCGTACACCACATACAAAGTCGTCCAAATGTTACTCCCATCAAAAATGAAAGCCCAAAACGCTTTTCTTCATATGCCAAGTGAGTAAGCATATAAAAAGACCGAGCGAAACTTTCACAGAGTATTAGAAATGCTTAGTAGGTACCAGCAGACTTGATGACGATGCTATCCTTTGCCAGATCGGCGTACTGCAACTTTGATGTCAGCAACTGTTAACTAAATCATCTAAAGGAGTTCTTACCTCCTCATCGCGTTTGTAGGTACCAGCAGACTTGATCTGAATGGAGTTCTTGGCTGCCTCAGCGTACTCTTCGCCACGCTTGTAGGTACCAGCAGACTTGATTTGGATAGAGTTCTTGGCTGCCTCAGCGTATTCCTCGCCACGCTTGTAGGTTCCGGCAGACTTGATGACAATGCTGTCCTTGGCGAGGTCGGCATACTCCTCGTTTCGCTTGTAGGTACCAGCAGACTTGATCTGGATAGAGTTCTTGGCTGCCTCGGCGTATTCCTCGTCGCGCTTGTATGTGCCAGCGGACTTGATCTGGATGGAGTTCTTGGCTGCCTCGGCGTATTCCTCGTCGCGCTTGTATGTGCCAGCGGACTTAATCTGGATGGAGTTCTTGGCTGCCGCAGCGTATTCCTCGCCACGCTTGTAGGTACCGGCAGACTTGATGACAATGCTGTCCTTGGCGAGGTCGGCATAATCGGCAACAGGGGCGGCAACGGCCACGAGGGCCTGGACGGCGAGAACAGTAAGGACGGACAACTGCATCTTGATGGGTATTGGGACAACTTTTGCAGGAGAGATTATGGATGAGAATCTTTGATGGTGTGACACCTTTATATTTCAGGCTGGTTCTAGGTGGTAACCAACGAAGCCCTCTCCCCTCATTGTTTCGGAGTATTGCGCCTTACCAGGTTCTTCGCATTGTGTCAACCTCAAGGAGCCATTAGGCATCTCTGGAGTGCACATTCTTCGTCATACGCGCAGGATTGAATGGCCTATACAGGAAGGTACTTATGGCTTACCGTGATACTGATAGGACGATGACAATCGACGGCCTTTCCAGATCCTGCAATGGAACGCTACTCCTTGAACAACCCTAGGCTTTTCGCGGATCCAAAAAGTGCAGAACTGCAGCCTTTACTTTCGATTTGTCTTTTTTATTACTCCTGATAGGTTAACCGACTACCCCTCTGCCTTGTAACCTGGCAATTGGACCACTCAGGAGCGGGGTTCCGCCTCCATACGCTTCGGACTTCCACGATCAGGCATGTCTTCTCCTCGAGATTCTATCATTCTGCAATCCTAAGTGGTTGGGAGTATCTGCGGTTCTTGAATTATATAGATCCACACGCCCGTAAAATTGGACTTTTGTAAAGACCCATGTGGCAGCTAAGCCGAATACAGAAGCTCGAGTATCTGAAGGAATATCCTACATGAATGTGGATAAGTAAGGGTGTCATCAGCACACCAAGATATTATGGGACTCACATTTGCCACAGTATAATGCCGATGATAGAGAACTACCGCGGGATTAATGTGTCTGGTTTTCTCGAAAGCTGCATGAATTACTTTATCTAGCTCACTTTTTCACCTCTCATAATCATCTCGTTCTTTCCAAATCCCCGAAGAGCGTGCTGTATTGAGTTTCGATATGTGGTGGAAATTTGGAGCAGCTTACGAAAGCCTTCCGCAATCGGAGGGAAAAGTCAGCGAGACAGCCGGGCATCCGCTAAGGGTATTAAACCACCGATGGCCAAAATCAACTGTCATCTTGGGGATAACTAACCTGGTCACGATCCTCGCACTCGCCTACAGTTTCAGCAGAGGGCAAATAAATGACGTGGTAGACAAGTGCACGCAAAAACTTTCTACTCCTTGTAAGTTGTGCCACCAGTCGGTTAGTCATGAGAATAATCCAATTGATCACTTTATAGCACCGGCGCTTGAAGCCGTCAAATACCAAACACCTCGACATTATAATGCTGAGTTCAGACAAACCAACAAATGGCGTGGTCCACCTGGGAACCATTCCAATGACGTTGATCTGGCGTGGCACGAGATCGAGCTTGGAGCCGGAGGCATTTGGGTTTCTGAAGATGAAGTGAGATTATTAAACATGACCGACTCCGCAGAGCTTCCATTCCATAAAATTCCCGAAGAGCATGGTGGCGGCTACTTGGCTATGCTTGAAGTTTTTCATTTGCTCCATTGTCTAGTAAGAACGCGTCTTCACCATGCCGTAAACCATGTCTAACCCGTCGCGCAGAACTCCCTGAGGATGGGGCTATTTTACAACTATGATCATTACAAGTTTCTTGACGAAGGCGTCCCCGATGAGAATATTTATTCTCACTTTGGTAAGCCTTCCTACCATTTGCAAGACATGTTGCAGCGAGCTTAGAGTTAATACTTGCCTCTCCCATTCAGATCATTGTATCGACATGTTACGGATGAACCTTATGTGTTACGCGGACGTAACGCCAGCCCTATTTGTGGATCCTTTGAGCAATCCACTGCGTCGAGATGCGCTGCCAAACTGGTCATCCATGCACACATGCAGAGACTTTGACGCTATTCTGGAGTGGAACAAGCATGGCCCACGATCGGTGCGTTGGCGCGACGCTGGGGCCAATCCGTCGTGGAATCCAGATTTAGAGGGTGCTGAGCAACCTTTTCCACCGGAGGGACACGGGGACGGAGACCATCACCACTGAGAATGCTCATGAGAAAGTTGTGGATTGGTTTTGGCGGTTGGTAAATTGTGGAGCGTTGAGAGATTGTAGATCCCAGGTGATTGTGACAAAGCTCATGGCCGTTGCTCCGTATTCCCGTTCAGACATTTTTGGTCAATTGAAGGTGCATGGTATTTGATTTGTTATTGCCTTATACTAGATTTACTGAGATTTCTGAATGGTACAGAATTGGCAATCTGTATCCTTGAGAAAGCAAATAGGCTAAGAGTATTGCCATAACCAGGTGCCACTGAAGCTTTATTACCAATCAATTCTCGACATTAGCTGTTAAAAATGATCACTTTTGATTATATTCAGATCAATGCTTTAAGCAAACAATATCTACATATTGAGTTGGAATCCATATTCACATTACCTCATGGCTGGTTCCCAATGTTGAGCCCCCACCATTCTCGGCACAAAGAAAGCCGGAGCGGCTATTGGTGCTCTTCCACTGCACCTAAAATTGTCATACTCGAGACATAGTTATAGGCGAGCAGATGGTATCCATACACCTAAAGAAACAAGGTTGTCAAGGGGACTTTGACAAGCTTGCCTACATGTCGGCATATGGACTGTCGGGACAATCCCGCACGCGCATTTCGGCCGAATATCCCACGGGACAAGCCGAATGACATATGTGGCCCCCCGCATTCATCCCCGCACTAGCCCAGCTTCCCGTGGCCCGAGATCGTAAACACACAATAAGGTAAGGTCGGCGGCAGCAAAATTGAATTTCCGACTGGATTGCCCCGCGTCATATGTACGCCTGAACGTTTTCTGGAATAACTTCATTTGTAGTCTACAACCCATTGGTGGAATAGCGTGGAGCCATCACGGAATTGGCCACAAAACTGGCTTGGGTTGTCGTGATCGCGCCTTTCGGCGTAGTCCCACCCGAGATGCGACTCTAACATAGTTTAAAGGGGCCGAAATAAATTGATGCCAATTTCCTGAGAATATAAACCACGTTTGCTGGCCGTTGACTTGTTTAGCCGTTCAGTAAATCGGGTTTGCTGCGTGTTTCTCTGCCAATCTTTCTGCATCGTCTGGATCTGTTTCCCCACGTTTGACTTCAACACACCAGCAAAATGAGAGTACAAAGTATCGCGACCGCCTTGGTCACCGCCTTGTCCTCTGTCTCCGCTGCCCCTGTCAGTGAAGTCAATCCACTCCGAGTTCGCCAAGAATGCAAGCCTCCCTACTTTCTCCTCACGGGTGACTCCACCGTCGCTGTGAACGGAGGCTGGGGCGACGGATTCCTCAGCTTTCTTCAGTCTCCAGCAGATGGAAAGAATTATGGCAAGAGTGGAGCAACAACGGTTTCCTTCAGAGCGGCGGGTATCTGGAATACTGTGATCAACGAGGTCAAGGCAAACAAGGATGCCTTCAGCCCAATTGTGACGATCCAGTTCGGTCACAACGACCAAAAGGCGGCAGCCAACATTTCTCTGGATCAGTTCCAAACCAACCTGCAAGACCTTGCAAATGAAGTGACGGCTGCTGGTGGGACTCCGGTAAGAAGAAGACGCCGTTGGTGAAGAATTGAAATGTTTGTTAACTTAACCGAAGATTTTGATTTCCTCTCTCACTCGGCGCGTTTTCAGCGGAGGCAAAGTCATCCAAAACCTCGAGAACGAGCGAATCAGAGCCGAGGCCGCAGCTGCAGTGGTTGGCGCCACTTACCTTGATCTCAACACAGCCAGCACCAACTACGTTAACGCTATTGGTAACGCGAACGGAAAGCTTTACGACCTGTCGACTGGCGACTCTACCCACTTGAACACGGCCGGTGAGGTTGTGTTTGGGCGCCTGGTTGCGGACCTGCTTCTCGAGAAGCGCACCGACCTTGTGCGGTACTTCAAGGAGAACAAGGCTATCAGTGACAAGATCAGGAACGGAGAGTTCGCGACCGGAAACGAGACAGACTAGATGCGTCAATGACTGGGAAGATTTATGATAGGGGCATGATTCAATGTTTGCAGACGAGATGGAGTTGTCAATTACCAGTTACCCCATACCTATTTGAAGCAACTGAACTGTACATACACTTTAAGAAGCCTTGTACAAACCGTTGTTTGTCTCGGATTCAGAATCGTTGGTATAAACTACTAAACAACTAAATTTTGACCAGCATATCCTTTCGAGAACATTGGTACTAGTTGCCCAGATAAGAACAGACAGATATTGAAGTTCCCAATATGGATTCAAAATCGAACTATATCAAGTTGTAGTTCTTATCTAGACGACCGATACAACTTTGCATGGACCTGACGGCATTCAGTTAAGCATAGCTCTGATGTAGGGACTTAGCACTAGCGAATCGCTTGGCCTGTCATCATACATCTGCAGCTTTCTTATCTTTGCTATTCTATTAGCTAGGGTAAATGTGAATCAGTGCTTGATGCCGTGTTGTTACTTTCAGAGGTTTTGACTCGGCCCACGCTCTCTGGCCGGTAGCTTCGGTTATAGATCAATTGCCTCGAATGTAACCGGGTGCTCATCTGATGCTGCGGTCGCAAATACACCGATTAATGGTCCGACAAAATCTGGATCCGTCATTTCTAACGTATCGACAGCGGCAATTTCCGATGGAAGCCTTTCAGTAGAAGGATCTACCGTGTAGAACAGCTTGAATTCTTGCTCCGTATAGGCCATCGTGATGGAAATCCCAGAAGGAAAGCTCTCAAGTTTGTGTTCTTTTCTCTCATCAATCTCTTGTGCAGTGTTCTTCTGTTGGAACACCATCGTAGATTTTGAAGCATCAAAAAAGAGGCGAAAGTATCGGTGTTCATCCTTGTAGTATGCCAGTCCACAGTTCACACCTGTTGTTGCCCAGTCTTCTGAAATCCCCGCAACTGTTGCACTACTTTTCCCTTGCAGCCTTCGTTGCCTCTTGCCGACGAAGGTGGGTGATTCCTGTCGGTTCGAAAGTTCCACGGCCGACGGAATGAGTTTGACGGTGGTGTCCGACTCGGCGAACTGGTATCTGTTCAAGATGGCGTTGCGAATGTAAACCCAGTCAACAGAAAGCGTCGAAGAAGTCAAAGAGCTCTCAGCTGTTGTTCTTATTAAACCGGGAACTGACTTCACAGGCTCAAATATAGGCCACTCGCTGGTCCAGTCGACTGAAGTCAAGAATGTTTCCCTGCCCATCGCGTACCTGCCTTCCATGTCCTTTCGAACACCCAAACAGACAGTCCACCAACTCCCATTGTGGTCTTCGAAAAGGTCGCCGTGGCCAGTGTGTTGGACGTACTCGTTAGTTCCATAGGCAGTCAAGACTGGATTATGCGGGCACGGCTCGTAGGGCCCCCATATGTTTCTTGATCGAGCCATAGTGATCATGTGGGTTATGTGTGTGCCACCCTCGGCGATGAGAAGATAATACCATCCATCTCGCTTGTAAATATGGGGCCCTTCTGGGTATATGCCACCCGTGCCGGTCCAGATTGTGCGTTCCTCGGACAGTCTTTTGCCGGTAACAACGTCAACTTCAAAGGTGTTGATCCGAGTCCATGGGCCAGGAGTTGCAGAGCCTGTTATGTACTTTTTACCATCTTGATCGAAGAAAATGTCGGGGTCGATGCCAATGAAGTCGAAGTGGACGGGATCGCTCCATCTACCAGCCCATATATCGTTTGTCGAGATGAGAAAGTTCTCCTTGTCCACAGACTTCTTTTCTTTATCGTACCTAGCGTTCGTGCAGACAATGTAGAACGTCCCCGAGTGGTGTCGGATTGTCGGGGCATAAAGTCCTGCCGTAGCAGGAAGCGTCTTGCCATCTGTCTCCGGCGCTGGTGGTGAGAGTCTTGTCGATGATCTGAAGAGATCTATCTGACCAGGTCTGTCAATGGCGTTTCCTAAAGAGCGGAATATCAGTCTCCTGCTAGCCCATTCGGAGCTCTTGTAAATAATTACCTATATGTTTCCATGACTTCAGATCGTCAGAGGCAAATATGGGCAGTGCCGGGAACAAATGAAAAGAAGAATTAACGAGAAAGAACCAGTCCCCAACACGCACTATGGAGGGATCAGGCGCAAAACCTGGGATGATGGGGTTAACTTCGGCTAGATTCATGACTGCTGTGTTGCTTTGGTTGCCGAATTGTTGGTGCAAACCTGTGTTCAGTCCATTTTTGAGAGTCAATCTTCACCTTGCCGTCGTGTTCGAGTTCGTAATCGTCAGCACGCTCAACGTGTACCAACCTACTACATATGCATAATCATCATAAACTACTGGTTAGAACCGCCTGGCTTTGTTTTTCTCGGGGCATCTCCGCTGGTAATACCGAGATATCGGGTCACAGGGTTGCATTGTAATACGGAGGATTCGCGTATTCCCGTATAGGACTCTGGGGTTAGAGCTTGCCCCAATTCGGGCATGGTCATAAGTGAGTAGCGAGGATCTTTTGGAGACAGACTTGGGGTATGGTATGATGTCTCCGCATCTAGACTCAATCAGCCGCTTTGACCAACCCAACCTCCAATGTAGTCCGTGAAAAGGCAGCCGGGGCATGGCCAACTATGGGGATCACATTTGCCTCCAGTTCACGTCGGCAACTTTTCTATTCGTCCTAACTGACAAATCTGGTGACACGGCTAGTCCGGTGCAGTCTAATACTCTTTGGGAAATGATACGCCTTGTAGTTCATAGTCTATTCTGTTCTAGTGAAACCCTTACGGTACAAATGGCCGTGGGACCTGGACATCAGCTTTGGAGGCGAAGATTACCTAAATGGTACGGGTGCCATGCGATGTTTAACCATTGGGTGGGAACGTAATCCGCCTAGTTTTCCGCCCTGAGCATCTCCCCATGGGGTAACTACCCCTCAAATCCATACTATTCCGGGGTCTAGAACTAACGCAGAAGTTCCTTGTATGTAGATACACTAGAGACTAATTGTTTCTACGCAGTAGAGGTATCCAATACGTTGGTTCATGTTATTTTCCTTCCTTATGCTCGCTCAGATATACCCCGCAAACCGAATCTATCCAATGTATGCTGCAGGCAATGAGAAAGGAGGGTAAGATGCACACGTGACGGCCAAGCTATCCCAATGGCTCGGGTCATGCCACGGATATATCAAAACCAACTGCATAAATAAGCCGCCGAGTCCTACCCTACCCTCACAGGCATTTATCACCAACCGATTATCTTTCTTTGCATGCAATCATGGCTGGCAATCCAGTATCCGTGTCGCCAAGCGAAAAGCGCCCCGATGGCAACGCTGACCTGGACCATATCGAGACGCCGATGAAGCCGGCTGAGCTTGTCTCGGAGGCTATCGCCAAGGGCCAGATCACTTCAGGATATGAAAACCTGACCGCTTGGGAGACAGTTAAGAAGTTCAAGTTTGTGAGTCTCGTCTGTTTCCTGGCGGCCCTGAGTGCTGCCACTGATGGATATCAAGTTGCGTAAGTGTCACCCATTTTTGCCTCCTCTCGCGTTTCAACACGAGTGTTACACGGCCATGACCTGGATTTGGTTCGCTAAATGTGATGCAGAATGAGTGCGAGTATCATTGCGAACAAAGGCTTTGTCCAACAGTTCGCAACCACGACAAATGCCGCGGGACAGAAGTTTATCGATTCACCCATCATCAGTGCTTGGGGCGCCTGCATGAATGTCGGTCAAATGATTGGTCAGACTACCGTGTCTTTCATAAGCGCGAGGTTCGGCCGAAAGGTTGCCATGTACTGGCTCTGGTTTACTCTTTTGGCCAGTGTACTGGCAGAAACTCTTGCAAGACATTGGGCTGTTTGGCTGGTGGCCAAGATGCTCGCTGGTTATGGTGTTGGTTGCCTGCAGGCTGTCACCCTTGGATACATCACCGAGATTGCGCCTCCTCGAATCAGAGGTGGTCTTCTCATGTGCTACAGCTTTTGGTGGACTCTGGGCTCTTTCCTTACCCATGTTGCCTTGCAAAGCATGAGCAAGAGAGCCCCGTACAACTGGCTGACCCCAGTTTATACCCAATGGGCCCAAGTAGGGTTGATGCTCATCATCTATGTCTTCCTCCCCGAGTCTCCGGCATGGCTTGCGACTATTGGCCGCGAAGAACAGGCGAAGAAGTGCCTGACGTGGTTGCATCGCGGAGTCGAAGGGTATGATGTCGATCATCAGTACAGCATTCTCGCACTAGCACTCGAACACGAACGCAATGTCGCAGCCGAGAGCCGAAAGGTATCCTGGACGAACATCTTCCGCGGAACGGACGGTCGCAGAACTCTGACGGCCTTGTGGACCGTTGTCGCACAGCAGTTCACCGGTCTAGCGCTCTTCGGTACTTTCGGAACCTACTTCTTCCAGCAGGCCGGTCTGGCGGACCCCTTCGCAATCAAGGCCATCACGGTATCTCTCCAGATTGTCACAGTCATCGCAGCCGTGTTCCTGGTCGATAGACTCGGTCGAAGGCTCATGGCTTGCCTTGCCACAACAACAATGTGGGTTACTTGCCTGGTCGTAGGCATCTTGGGCGTTGCACCTCAAGTCAAGGCCACCACTTACATCTTCGTCCTGTTCGCTAGTTTGTGGAGTAAGTTCAGCAAGCAAGTTCTTTTGTTTTTATATAGCAATCGGTCGCACTGGAACATGTTGCTAATTGCTCTTTTGCGTATTAGACGTCGGTATTGCAGCTAACGGTGCCGCTGGCTGGGGCTTCGTTGGAGAGATTTCATCTCAGCGCCTTCGACCGTACACCTCAGGCTTCGCAGCCTCCGCCAATTCCTTTGCGGGGTTGATCATGTCCATTCTGATGCCGTATATGGTCAATGCGAACCGCTGGAACTGGGGTTATAAGACTGGCTTCTTCTATGCCGGTGTTGGTGCCCCATTTGTGGCTGGGATGTGGTTCTTGATCCCTGAAGTTGCTGGGTAAGTGCCGAATCGATTTTCTTCACAATATGGTGTAAGTACTAACTCGTGCATAGACGATCTGCTGCAGAACTGGACGAGCTCTTCGAGCGGAAGATCAAGCCTTGGCGCTTCCACAAGACCGAAACAGCCACCCAGCGCTTGCTCCGAGCTGAGCGGGAAGAATAATATGGCATATCCGGTATATCCTTGTCATCTAACAATGCGCTGCGCTTGCCGTAATATAGTTGCACATGGTTGATTTCGAATTTACATGAGGAGCCGGCTTCTTCCGATCCAGGTGTTCGTATGTGGGCTAAAACAGAATATGCGCCTAGTTTGAGTTTGTTCTCTAGTGATGTTTATAATGGATAATTCTTTGAAAATAATGCTTGACAAATTACATTAATCTTATCTCTCGAAATAGTTACATGAAGACAAAGGAAATCTGGGGTATAACCAAGTTTAAGCCTGTCCTGACCGGAATTTGTTCCAATGTGCCACCACCTCCTCCCGTTCCTCTCGAGTCGCATTTCTATAGTCGTTGATACCTTGCCTGAGTCTAATTAATAAAACTTCAGCCTTCAACTTTGTGAGGCTACGCTTTGAAAGCTCTTTCTCTATGCCCTTCAAAGTATAGCCAGGCAAACCAAATATAGCTGCAGTTTATTCTTGTTAGTTACTTTCTTGTTCAATAGATTAAGGATGGTTGTATCCCATGCTGCACCCATGGAGATCCGAAATCGGCGTGGACGAAGAAACTTACCTGCAAAAAGATTACAACCGAACCCGCGGGGGGCTTGATAAAGCCCTTTACCAAATCCCTTGATTCCCTCCTCCTTAGCTCCTTTGTAAGGTCGTACCACAATGCCACGGAATGCGTCCCAGGTCCCCAGAACAGCTTCTTTCCCAGCAGTCCTGAGACCACTACCAAGTCCTGTGATCTCATCTCGTCTGCGGACCTCATGGCTGAAAGCTCCGTAGGAAGGATAGTTGTGGAAGCCATTCGCGACATTATAGAATACCGCGACTGGCGCTTTCAAGCCAGCTTTGGCTATCTCAAACCCATATCGGCCTGTCGCACGCGTGACCTCCTTAGCCCTTCCTCGTCGACGTTGCTGATAAGATACAACCGATGCCTTTCTCTTGCCATCCGGGACATTATCTAGCATGGCAACATCGGTTGCTGGATCGACATTTTGCAAAGACTTTGTTGCCATCTTGAGAGCGACGGCGTTCATTTGCGCTGGTGTCATGGTGTTCTCGCGCATGACATGTCTTAATCGCCCTTGAGGTTCATCTCCGTTAATCTGACCAGGTGCGTCGCTTGTAGTAGTATCGGTACCATCCCCTTCTGACTTTGTCCTTTCTAGTTGGATCTGTTCGGTCGTTTGACCGGGAGGAGTTACCGTGTCGTATTTCGCATGCAGCCGGTGGGAATAATCAGATGTCGCTATCCCAATGGCAGTAAAAAAGCCAGAGACGGCGGCAACGAGCCCGATCACAGGATGCTCAGCGCCTTCATCAACATACCAGTGCTTGTGTCTCAGAAGCTTGAAATCGTGCGGCTTCACCAACCCCTTGTCCACAAGACAGGTGACGGCAAAACTACTGAGGTGCGCCCCTGTCTTTTTGTGCCGCCAATTTGCCAGCCTCTCCGGACAAATGTCACAGCGCATACCATCGACGGCCAAGCGCTCTTGAATATCACTAGCTGTATCGCGTGCGCCGTCCTCAGCGGCAATACGCTCAGCCATTTGCTGCACCGCAACCTGTACTTCAGGCTTCAGCGCAAAAGTGATACTCGCTGCTAGAGTTTCTGCCGTCATCTCCTTGAACGGCACTGGCGCAGGACCCGCGCCCGCTCGAGCAATCATCTGGCCCCAGAAAGGTTGGTCTCCAAAGAATGGAACAACCACCGTGGGCCGACCAGCAGCGATGCCGGCTGCCGAAGTACCTGCACCACCATGATGCACGACAGCAGAGACCCTTTTGAAGAGCCAGTCGTGAGGGCAATTACCAATTAGGTAGATGTTTTCTGGAACGTTGTCCCCACCACCAACACCGCCCCAGCCCTTGGAGACAATAGCTCGGACCCCTGAGATCCTAACCGCATCGAAGATTAGTTGTGTAAGGGCCTTTGGATCATCTACGACAATAGATCCAAACCCGATATAGATAGGCGGGGGACCGCTTTCAAGAAATGCAGTCAAGTCTGCTGGTGGTGAATACTTGTCTGCTAAGGAAAGGAATGAAAATCCGGTAATGTTTATATGAGAATCCCAGTCGGCGGGCTTTGGAATAAGCGACTCGGACCAGAGAAAGGTAAAGGGAACGCGAAGTCTTGGGAGGAGCTGACAACCCCACATCGGGCTGATAGGATCTAATCCTAGTGTTTGGGTGCGGAACTTGTTGATCAAGTCGCCAAGTCTGATGTCTTATTAGCTTTGACTTCAGAGCCTAGGCTTAACAAGAAACAAACCCTTGCCAAGTAAGAAGCTCCATCATCACAAAGGATAAGTAGTTGGCGACACTCGTATCTGCTTCGCCGTAACTCATCGACGCCAGTGGATGGTGAAAAGCTTGCGTCGGACACCACGGCATGGTAAACACCATGTGTAGCGGTATACCGAGCTTTTCTGCACAGTGAATATGTGCCATTGACGGAGGATTAGCGATGATGGCATCGGCAACGAAAAGGTCGTCGGCGTTCTTCACGTTGGCAGCTGTAATTTGCTCACCAGTACCATCGCCGGCTTCGATGCAACTTCTCCATGCGCCATTGATAATCTCGGCCATTTCCTTTCTTCTTTGCCCAATGTCGCCGGCTTTCACACTTTCACGGCTGGGCAGCAAACCCGGATTCTTCACCATGTATGCCATGAGTGCCTCCGGATCCCCGCCAATGCTGAAAAACTCAACCCCATTCGATTCTACAAAATCCTTGAAAACTGGGTGAGTACATATCCTTACGCGATGGCCAAAGGGTGGCTTCATGAGAAGCTGGGCGATAGGGATAAATGGCTGGATATCTCCGCGAGATCCGACGATATGGATGGCAATATTGAGTCGGGGGTTCCTCTCCGGAGGGTTGTTCCTCAGCTTCTCAAGAACCTCGCTTGTTCGTCGTCGCTGTAGGGTTTCCTCCAATTCTTCATTCTTGTCGCCACCGGGCCTGGCCTTGAAAGCGCCCTCAAAGTCCTGGCACCATTTTGCAAGCTTTTGCGGGTTGGCGTGAAATCGCACCTTGACGCGTCCATCGTTTCCGACGTTGCCGGTCGTTGCCGTCTCTGATCTCTCAGTGTTGAACTGGATATGGCCGGGCCCATTGGATTTCATGCGACTGAGTGCCATGACACAGATTTTGACAGAGCCCAGGTCCGAGGACCGAGCTAAGTTGGAAATAAAATGTGATATGTAATGTTCTCTCAGTCAAGTTTGTTGAAACGCGACCGTATTTAATGCGATGCAATGTGATGAAATGAAGTCGAAATCTGCGCGGCAAAATCAACAGCTTGACTCGCGACAAATCACGTGTGGTTTTCCTGTCTTCCAGTCAAGCCGAAAAGCATTATGCCATAAACGTCATAGGGGTCTATCATTTACATAAGCGTTCATTTAAGAGTGAGAAAAGTACATATAGGCAATGCTGGGAACAGGTGAAGGTTTGCGCCGCTTATGGTTAGTGCACTTAGTGGACCCTCACTGCGAAAACAAGTCGCTCGTTATGGTAATTCTAGCCTAAGTAAAAGCCATCTGAGTTGATGTAATTGGCATCTAGCATTTTGTTGCAGCATACAATCAGCTCAGGAATAAAAGCACAACCACAATCAACTCAAAAAATGCAGCACAAGTGCGATCAATATTGTCTATATCAATGGCGAAAAATATTAAGGTCTTGTTGGCTGGGTGACTGGCTGTTGATCATAACAGGGTCTGCCAGGTTATAGCCTGTAGCACCCTCTGATCCACTCTTTCCAGGCTCTGTGTGCTTGTCGCTCGCAAACGTAGACACACCAAGATAGGAGGATTAATGCGATTCTTCAGTCACGCAAAAAAATGAAGAGGCAAACAGAGGAGAAAGAGAAAAGAAACTCGGGAAAACACTTGCCAACTGCATCAAGTGTCTGATTAAAAGTGAAGATTGAATCGCAAGTTTGCAATCATGAACCCCGTCACTAACTTATACTGTTAGATAAGTCAAGACTGGGAGGGTATTAGATCTTCGTATCATATGTTAACTTCTCTCCCAATCCTAAACCATTACCAATTCCCAAATGGAAATTCGCAATGCTTCATCTTACAAAACCATGGTTTGAGAAGGGGGCCCGTATCACACGACCAATAGTTGATGTTTTCGTCAAGGGCTTCATTATCAGCATGGGCAACATCTAGGCATTTGTAATATTAGAGTCTTATCCACGTCTTTTGTCACTGAACTTCATTAAAGCTACATTAAGACTCAATGGAGTGTGTTATAGTGATCAATAAGAGATTCGCAGTGCGATTTGAATTGAAATAGATAGTGTTATAGTGTTAGGAGTTTGGAGAAGGTGAACCAGCAAGATGTATCAGTTTGTGCTGTAGATTATTGACAAGCAATAGAATACACTTCTCACCCCTCCTTTATTCAAAGTCTGACTCGAAGTCAAATATTGACACGGATCAACCCGACGCCTGTTTATTCTATTTTGTCAGGTACAGAGCAATTAGGGAATGATTCATGACAATCACTTCCAATTACCCTCGTTATTTTTGCCAGTCTGCCTTTCTCTCTAGTGCCCATTATAGATAGAAATGGCTTCAATTTAGTTTTGTCTATAGACAAAAACAGAAAGTCAGTATCACCAGATCCATACTGGTAAGGTTGCGCTTGGGATCTTGATAGTTCTGTTTACTCCTTAAACACGAAAAGAACTACCTCAGTTGATAACAAGCCAGACACAGAATACCTTCTCATGTACTGTTGAGTCTTTTCCCGCCCTCTGATCCACTGAATGATGCTCTCAACGGCCCATGAACTTCTCGAGGATTACATCTACGAAGCAAAGCTTGCTTCACAGCATTGGATTTGGCATATTTCTGGCGCACCGCGTTTTTCTTGATCCCGCGATTCCAAGTCTTCATCAAAACAAGTACCACTTCAAGGAAATAACTCATCTTCGAAAACACAGCTTTTGGCCGATAAACGGCCTGTGGCTATTAGCGTGGAGCGGCAGCATTCATAGAAATCACGATGAATCTTGGGGTAGCACCGTGTTAGACGTTCTTAACTCTTTGATTCGCTATCGTTACTGGATAACTAGACATTATAAGACGTAGATTCCATAATTGCATGCCTGCACCTCCTTGAGCCGTCTATCTACCTTACAGGTAGAAGTAGCAGAAAGGTCCAGACAGCGTGTCCATCACGTCTTGGATCTGGATCGAGGGGCCAGTGTATCCCATCTCAATAACGTCCGTGAGCTGGGTCTTGTTGGAAGGGGGGTTGTTCGCCCAGGTGAGGTGGCCGTAGTCGCCACCGTTGACGTCCTTGTGGCGTGTGGCAGGGTCAAGTGCTTGCCTGGGAAGATTTCCATGTCAGACCCGGAACGTTACATTCACAGACGGGCGCGATTAAGCTTAAATAAACTCACCAGAAGGTCCACATCCGGTCCATCATGCCGTGATGAACCCAAAAAGCAGGGTCACCAGGAGAAGTGAACAGGTCAGCGCCCGGGTCACCGCTGATTGCGTAATGCATGCCTCCATGGGGTCCGATTTCAACAGTGTAGGGCACGCCCTCGGAAAGGAGGCGGTATTCCGCGAAACTGGGCTTCAGCAGCAGATCTGTGGATCCAGTTAGCCTGTTTTTCTTATTTTTGTCATCTGATGGGTCCAGGCATTGCATACTCAGCACAGTGGTGTAGTTGGCATATCTCTGGTTCATGGCCGGGCCGACGTCTCTCTTCAAACGGCGGGGGTTGTAACCAAGACCACCATCGGGACCTGGCGCGGTTCCCTCGAGACCACCCACGGGACCGAGATGCACCGTCATGTTGGCAAAGGGCCCGGTGGTCACGTAACCGCCTCCAACACCAGCGGGCAGCTGGATGTTGCCACCGCCGACACCATCGGGTGGGGTGATGACGGGTCCGTCATGGGGCACGTAATCTCCGTTTCCACCCAGGCTGTAGGGGTCGCCGTTGAAAATTGGGGACTTTTCAGGCGCCGAGGCATACCTGGGCCAGTCCCAGTACTGATTCAAGGTGTCAGTTACTGAGTCGTTCTCACTAGGTGGAAAAATATTTCAATGGAGAACCTACGGGTTGGTAGCCGGTGTAGCCGCACTCCTCCCGGAGCGCCTTTTCATACAGATGGACAAACCAACGGTGCCATGGCATGAAGTTACCTTTCAGAACGTTAGCTTCTAGGACAATCAATCAAAAGACCATCCATACTAACCCGTGTAATGGATGGTCATCGTCTGTTGAATGTGTGTCACGGTAAAATCGTCAAACTAATTTGGTACAAACAGGTTAATATCGGTTCGGTCCGAAAAGGGGGCGGCGGCCTTACCCGCGACCGTGCGCCAGCTGCAACATTAGCAGGTGTGCGCGGCGGCAATCTCTGAAGACACTTAACAGCATTGACATAGGCAAGTCTTTCTTTCTTGGAAAGAGAGCCACTGCATCTAGTCAGTTTGTAACTCGGGGATTCCAGATGGTTAGGTGAACTTACTACTCCCGACGGAACGCGATATTCCTGGCCGTGCAAGTGGCCTTTTCGCCACGCTTGCGCAGAGCTGCTTCACGCTCATCAAGAGACTTCAGCACGTCAGCCTTGATGCTCTCAGTGAGATCGATGAACTCGGCTTTATCGGCAGCGATGTCGTTGCGAGCCTGGACCGCTGGAAGAGCCAGGGCGGAGGAGGCTAGGATAGCCGAAGAGACGATGGAGCTGATCTTCATGTTGGCGGGCTCTTTTGCAAATCCAGAATCTGGTTGCAAGGTTTCAGTGATTCAACGACGCCCCCGTGTCAAGACTGAGTGCGAGTCGTGCTTGATGAGGAGGAAGAAATAAAAAACAGGCATGTCAAAGGGCGATGGGGGCAAGATAATAAAGCTGTGGCACTTCCGAGCAACGGAGCAATATGCCGGCAAATTGCCATGTCCGATTTTCATTTTGAGGACGATTTATTCAATAGGATGTTCCAACTTTCATTCTATAGCCAAGCTAGGTATAACCCGATGCAGGCCTGCGGCGCAGCTGCTTCCAACTTGCAGGATGATGTGGAGGCATCTTCAGGTGGTGCAGGTGGCGCCCAATAGCCGGAACAGTGCCGAGACCAACCACAACTACCATGGAACTGTTGATGCAGGATCTGAGATACCACCAACGCGGAATACGTTCGCAAAAGGGAAGTTAGTTTTCTTTTTTGGCTCCCTGATGTGTGGAATCTGGGTTCATCGGGTCACGCCCATGGTACCACAATTTTCATACTACGTAGGATTCAGCTAATAAATTAGACTAGTCGACAAGCAATATCATCGCCGCAGCGAATCACAGGGTTGTGTACATAACGCCATGATCCATAACATAGGTAGAGATAGGTTATATCGCCACAAGGGCATGCAGTCCCCCCTGACCGCGGCGAGGTCCGCAGAGCCGCTATGAGGGGGCACAACAAGGTATTCCGGTAGCCGAAAGTTCCGGGAATCACACACCTTTGCCGCAATATTGTGCTAGGCTCTTCTTTTTGTTGCCGAGCCGCCGCAACCCGTGAAGAACTGCGGGCGCTAGACAATTCTTCCCCGGACGTATCCTTGTATCTTGTGAATAGTCGAATTGCCCCACAGGTGCCCCTGTTAATGCCTCCAGTTAGTCGAACGATTTCTGGCCTCTGTGGCCTGGAATAAAAGGAAGAAACACTTCAGTTCTATAATGGCGTAATAGCAAGGTTTGCCTCGTGTTATATCTCTTCGGGCCCCTGTAGCCTCGGAGGTTAGCCCACATGCCGGTAGCCTACTGCATGTGTAATTGCAGGACATGATGTGTCATGTTTGTGTGTCTCTTTGGTTGGATGCTTGGGTCCTGCTCCTGCATCTCATCATGCGAGCCACAATACTAAGCGTACCAACACGTGGGATCAGAAATTTCTTTTTCTTCTCTGTGCCGCTGGGGTGCAGCACTGCTGCCGACATTCTACAGCGGAGCTTACCACAGCAATGGGACGGTGACGGCTTGGCTATGGCGAGATAAAACTTTTTGCGCCACTCCTTAGAGTCCCGCTCTTGATTTTTGCTTTCACTTGGTTCCTCTTTCATCTTCAGGCTTCCGCTGCCTGGATTTCGTCAAGATGGCTGATTCAACTCATCTTCCGCCAGATATTAACAGAGGTCCCGAGATTCTCGCAATATGCGGGACTTTGGTAGGGATTACTGTGGTAATTGTCCTGTTGAGGATATACGTAAGGGCAAGAATTGTTCGGATAGTTGGTTGGGATGACTGGTGCATGATTGCAGCGACGGTAAGTGGCCATCACAACACGCACATTTCATAGGTGCGAAAATCTCGCCTGTCACCACGTCTTTCCATCTTTGCTGTGTTCTTGCAGACGTTTTTCAACAAACCCGATGTTATACTTCCAATATTTAAATGTTTGAAGGTCCAGAATCTGACTAGCTGCTCACAGGTCGTGCTATTTGCCGAGATGATGGTCATCATCCCCGAGGTCGAAATGGGCGGTGGCAGGCATTTCCAGTATATTCAACCACCGGAAAACATCATCAAAGGCCTTCATCTCAACTTTGTTACTCAACCGTTGTGTTTGATTGGCTTGTGTTTGGCAAAAGTCAGTGTCGGATTGTTCTTGCTAAGGATGACACCTTCGGCTTAGATGCGAAACTTCATTCTCGGCACAATCGTATTTACAATTCTCTCCGCGATCGGAAACTTGTGTAAGACTTTGCCAGCAGAAACATATAGGGAGCAATATTTTCTAACGCGCGTAGTAACCGTCTTTTTCCAATGCCGACCGCTGGCATTTACCTGGGATACGTCAATCGAGGGAGGCGAATGCATTCCACCCGGTAACTTGAAGTTTGCTGCATTCTTCAACTCAGGTAATTCCCAACTGAATGGATATATCACGTATCATTCTAATCAAGGTTGACTTCAGGTGTTTCCGTGTTTACCGATCTACTTTTCGCTCTGCTGCCGATCCCGATGTTATGGAAGGTTCAACTCAACTGGAAGGTCAAGTCTGCAGTAATTGGAGTTTTGTCCCTGGGCATCTTGTTAGTCAATTCTATCTCATCTGGCTGTGTTTTAAGGCCGGATACTGCACGTATACATATGCTAACGGCCTTTCTTAGTGCTACCGTCGCTGCTATCGTCAAGATATCGTTTCTGCCCAATTACGGAAAGCATGGAGACTTTCTATTCGACAGTTCAGACATTACGATCTGGTACGTCGCTTTGCTCTTTGTACAGCCCTCGTTTATTCAATAACTTGTTCTAACAAACTTCGTCCAGGACCACGGTGGAAATTTGCACAGCCATCGTCGCGGCATCGATCCCCTGCCTCAAGCCCCTTTTCAAAGCGCTGCTCGCCGGCTCTTCGGCAAAATACACATCAAAGTATAACAATAACAACCATGGATATGTTCGTAACGATGGAACAAACCGTACTGGGGCTCCAGGAAATGGCTCAGGCAATATCGAAATGTTTTCCAGATCACGACATACCACCGCAATCAATTCGGCATTTCGATCAAAGATGGATTCGGAAGAGAGCATTGTTGGACCTCAAGGTAGCGCACAGTCTGATGGTATCACCAAAACGATGCATATTTCTGTATCTGTCGACGACGGCCAGCAGAAGAACCCGAAAGACCTCGTATAATTCGGATGTGTCGTGTGTCGCTGCATAACTCAGTAGGTAAATCCAGGTACTGCGAAACATGAAAAAGAAACGATTGACAATAGAGAAGAATGATTGATTTTGTATCTGATGCCTTTGGATAAGAACTCAAATGCCCGATGATTACAATGAAAATGTTATGCACCGGACCCGTGGCCCCGCACAACCATGCCAATTGATTGATGACTGCATGTATGGGACGTCACTATGACTTTCGTAGAGCTCGATTACATTTCATGGACATCATCGATTGAAAGATAGCGTTAAGGCTTATTTCTACTGATAACCTCCGTGTGTATGTTCTTGGAACCAATTTCTTGGGTAGGTAGTCTATAACCGCCATTCTGATACGCCCAAAGTTGAGCTTGGCAAGATGTCTCCCGACAAAGTAGCATTCACCACCGTAAGCAAAACTTGATCTTTGTGGATTTGTAACAGCGGGACAATTTCTCAGTACTAACCATTGACGCGCCATAGATTGGCATGATAGGAGTTGGCAGCATGGGAGCTGCCATGAGCCTCCTCTTTGCCGAAAATGACTATCGAGTCTTCTTCTTCGATCCGAGTGCGCATATGCCCACAGCAACTTTCCCATGGAGTCTACGGTGCTAACTCGCTCGCAGACAAAGACAATGTGGACAAACTGAGACGCGATGCAATGAACCTTGGCCTCGATGACCGAATTACCGGAAGAGAAAGTTACGAGGATCTATGCCAGACTGTGAAGGACAAGAGCAAGCCGGGAGTTTTTGTTTTCAGCACTCCACATGGCTCGGTCGGTGACAAAGCTGTTGATGGGCTATTATCAGGCGGTCTTGAGAAGGGTGACATCATCATCGACTGCGCCAATGAACATTGGCAGGTTACTGAACGTCGTCAACGAAAACTCGATCCCAAGGACATCCATTACATCGGATGCGGTGTCTCAGGCGGATACCAGAGTGCCCGTTCGGGTCCCTCTTTCTCCCCCGGCGGCAGCCAGGATGCTGTGCGTCAAGTTCTGCCTTTTCTTGAACAACTCGCCGCAAAAGGACGAAATGGCAAGCCCTGCACAGGCATAGTCGGGCCCGGTGGAAGCGGGCATTTTGTTAAGATGATCCACAATGGCATCGAGCAGGGCATGATGTCGGTCTTGGCTGAGGTGTGGTCAATCATGGTCCGGGGATTAGGGATGAGCTATTCAGAGATTGGAAAAGTATTCAAAGACTGGAACGATTCCGGGCCTTTGCATGACTGTTTCCTCATCAGTATCGGAGTCGACATCTCAAATGCGAAGGACGAAAAGGGTGACAACCCTCTTGCACATGTTCGAGACAAGGTGGTCCAAGACGCGGAGGAATCTGAAGGGACGGGCAATTGGACGTGCGAAGCGGCTGTCGGTCTTCATCAGCCAGCTGCGACCATCGTTAGCGCCCACCTTTTCCGTTACGCATCTGCATATGCAGGCCAGCGCAGAGACAACAAAGAAGCCGCAGGTGGCGGCATCGAGTCTAAAACTTTGGACGTGAGCGACAAACAAAAGTTCATCTCCACGTTACACATGGCAACTTATTTCGGCTTTTTAACGTGCTTCGCGCAAGGAATGGATATTATCCAAGCTCAGGACAGGAAGATGGGCTGGAAGCTCAACTACCGGAGTATCCTACAGCTCTGGCGTGGCGGTTGTATCATTCAGGCTGATCACATTGTCGATTTATTCGACGAACTATACAGCCGAGAGGATCGCAACGACGACGATGATGTTCTCTCCAATCATGAAATTGCCAAAGAACTCTCTCAGAACTTTGCCGCTCTCAAACAGACCGTTTTGAAAGCAGTCGAGGCCGATTTGTGCGTCCCATCTCTCAGTCAGAGTTTGGAGTACTACAAGTACTCGATGTCGACGGAACTTCCCACGCAGTTCATGGAGGCAGAATTGGACTACTTTGGAAAGCACATGTTTGACAAGAAAGAGGATCCCTGGCCAGGTGAGCCTAAAACCGGGCAGCATCATTTCGAATGGAAACAAGCCAAGGGAAAAAAGGATGAGCAGTGAGCCTTGAGTTGGAACAGGGCCGCAACGCGTTTTAAATAGTCTGTTTGTAACGTGACAGCGGAATCAGAATTCTAGTGCGTGTTTATTTGCCAATGAATATGAAAGCGCCAGTTTCGAAAATTCTCAAGGTTGACTGGAGCAACACGCATCGTCGCTGTAGGCACAAATTAGCTGTAGTAACGGTGATTCATTATTAAAGATAACGTAGAACAGCAAATTTAGTCTTGTATTTGTCGCTCTGTTTGACATATGATGCAGTTAAAGTAAGCCAAATTCGGTTACGGCTGAGATGGCGGTCGGTCGCGTGGCTGTGGAGGGTGCATGTCCAGTCCACCTTAAAGGTGGGCGTTTGCGGCACTGGTCAATGAGGGGGGTCATCTGCATCTGCGGGGAGACACTAATCCCCAACGTCCCAGTAGTTTGGGAACTAAACAGGAGCCAAATCCAATGTCGTTCCAGATATCATACGTTGAAAGCTGTTCGGTACCTCATACAAAGACGACATCGTAAGTCTGCTCGACTTTACACGCGCTGTGCTGTTTCTCGCAGTCTCCGTATTGAAAAGTAGAGACGCCAGGAGGAGTGCTTGACTCGGTGACTTGCATCTTTTGTCGTGCATTGCACCCTCACCTGTATGGTAGCATGAGATGAACCGGAACGCGCAGACAACGGTGCACGTTCACGTCTGCGGCCAGAACGAGAGCGAGTAGACGTTTGCCTTGGGCTCATCCATTGCATGTTCTTGTCATCTGTCGGCGGCCTCATTGGGGCAAAGTTTATAGTTTACTGCTGGAAACGGAACGGCTGGAACATATTACGACAGTCAGACTTAATAACCTTTGCGAATGCACAAACTCTCACCGTCAGCTCTCCAGGGTTGCATAACCTTGCCCATCTCGCCAATCGCTATCAAAAACGAGGAGATGGATAGCATTACTTGTAACGGGCAATGCTAAGCTGCGCCATTCCTGCGCCAGCCCTTGCCCCTTTGCCCCTCATGGCAATATCAAGCCGCATCGCCGAGCCCGAGCTCCCGTCGCTTGGCGTGATCACCCGTTGCTTGTACCGGGCGGCCCGGATAAAAACAAACCAACATGGTCGAGAGATAGGGGGGCACGTCACTGTAGGTTGCAGCCAGAAAATACCCGGATCGCCGCCACTTTCCCTTTCTTAGGCTCAGGGGCTATTACATGGACGTATTAATGGTCACTGCCCCATAAAGCAAATAAACATCAGACCGAACTCTAGGTGCCGACATCTGGGCACACCCCTGACGGCGAGTCATGGTTGGACCATAGCTACCACCACGTTTGGTTGCAAGACCCAGAAAAACAATTAGCTTGCGTGGTCGAGCTGGGGCTTTGCTGAACTCTATCCAAAAATTGCTGGTCGCCTCGTCCGACATGAGCGTTGTTTACTGTCAGCGCAATGCTATATATGAAGGACTTGGATGTCCGACCGCGTAGTCTAGAGGTGAAAGAGTTCCCTTACACCACCGCCACATTCTTTAACAACTTCTTTTTTGGTGTTTCTTCGAGAACAATAATGTCGCTCGCTAGAATTTCCAAGGCTTCGGTCTTGGCCGTGCTGGCCGTGTGCGCCTCCGCCACATGCGCTTCCAGCAGCAAGAACTCTACTTCCGGTCTTGTGGCTTCGACCTACTTCGCCGGATACCACGCCAACCGCGGCTTCCCCGTGTCTGCCATGCCATGGGAGAAGTACACCGATGTCAAGTATGCCTTCGCTGAGACATCCGAGGACGGCAGCCTCAACTTGACCAAGTCCGCTCCCGATCAGCTCCCCGCCTTCGTCTCGGCGGCCCACGAGAAGGGTGTCAAGGCCCTTGTCTCTATTGGAGGTTGGACTGGCAGCCGCTGGTTCAGCACTGCCTTTGGTAGCGCAGAGAACCGTACCGCCTTTGTCAAGACTTGCCTCGACCTTGTCGAGAAGGTATGATTATCCCGCACACAATATTCAAAGCAGTAGCGCTAACTATAACGCAAGTATTCTTTGGACGGTCTGGACTTTGATTGGGAGTACCCTAACCGCCAGGGTCTTGGTTGCAACGCCATCAACAAGGACGATACCGCCAACTTCCTTACCTTCCTTAAGGAGCTCCGCCAGAAGCAGCCCAAGGAGCTCTACCTGACTGCTGCCAGCAGTCTGTTCCCCTGGTACGACGCTACTGGTGTCAGCAGTGTCAACGGCACTCTGAGTGGCTTTGCCGATGTCCTTGACTACGTCATGGTCATGGCCTACGACATCTACGGTGCCTGGGCAACTACTGGCGGCCCCAACGCGCCTTTGGCTTTCGGTTGCGACTCGCGCAACAACCAGGGCGGTGCCAAGGAGGGTGTCGAGAAGTGGGTTAACTCTGGCATTCCCGCCAACAAGATCGTCCTCGCCGTCGCTGCTTACGGACACGGCTTCTCCGTCAACTCCACGAGCGCTTTCTCTGGAAGCAACACCCTCAACGCCTACCCCCCTCAGAACAGCAGCAACCGCTTCCAGGGCAGCAGCTGGGATGACGACCCGCGCGTTGATGAGTGCGGCAACGCCTCGCCCCCTAGTGGTACTTATCCATTCTGGAGCTTGATCAAGGAGGCCAACTTCCTTGACGAGACCGGCAAGCCTCGCGAAAACATTGCCTACGGCTTTGACAACTGCAGCATGACTGTAAGTTACATATTATTAAAATTACTCTCCCCAACTGTTACTGACCATCTTAAAAGCCCTTTGCCTACAACGAGACCGCTCAGATCTGGGTTTCTTACGACAACCCGGAGTCCCTTACCGCCAAGGGCAAGTACATTAAGAGTGCCAACCTGGCTGGGTTCGCCATGTGGGAGGCTGGTGGCGACTACAAGAACACTCTTGTTGATGCTATTCGCTCTGCTGTCGGATTGTAAAGCGCTGTATTTGAATATTCCCATGTAATTATTAGAGAGCTGTCTCAACGACATAAACCTATAATAACCAAATACTTTCTTTTCTCATTCTCACTACGAACCAGACCAATCGCATACCAGTGCTGTGTCCCTCTGCATCATGAAAGCACTCGACTCGAACCAAAATGTCGGCAATGCTGTGATCAGTGATCAGGTTTGACTCTAAATTGCGAGAAACACCATGCCGCGAGAAGCATTGCCAATGACACTTTGAGTGGAGTCTCTTGGCGATCTCAATCACGGACAACTCTGCAGGTCAAATGTCCGACTCGTGCACGCTACATATATTACGGACAACGCCATCGGCATTCATGTCCCGGGAACCCAAAAAAGCCCAAAGCTTGTTTAGGCGGGGCTTTTTTTCTTTCGGGGTGGAACTATTTCTGGCGTTTCTGAACGGGGCCCAAGCGCCTTGTTGCTGGGGTTTTTTTAAGGAGGTTAGGTTCAAGGCCAGTCTTTGAAGCTGACAAGCTTCGATCAATAGCAGTGGACAACCCATCCGATGTGGTTTTTAAAAACTTGCGATTACTAAAGACTTTAAACCAAAATAGAGTAAAGTATATATCACCAAAAAAGAAAAAAAAAATAAAACATACAACACCAGGGATTCCCCAGTCGTCACCGACCTGAGTACTAGTCCGGCCCTTTCCAGCTTGACTATGGGAGAGCGGACGGGATCCCGTATTTTCTGGAAGGTATGGTCGTATGTGATTGTACTGAAGGTCTGTTGTCTTATGAACTCTAGTGATTGTTGGTGTCTCGACTTACCACCCTGTAAGAATGAAATATCCCTCGACAGTGTAAGTGAAAAGCGCACTAGGCATCAAAAACACGTTGAGGCACCATAAAGAGGTGAAGCATGAAAAAAGAGTCTAGCGAGTATTAAGTCTGCAATCAAAGTCACAAAAATGCATTGGTTCATTGTTGACTAAATATGTCATCTCCTCGGAGCTTCTATATGTTTCCAAGATGCAGAGTCTTGCATCCCAACGGTATGGTTGCAAAGGACTCACTTCCGTATCCTTTCATAGTACATCCAATAGAGTATATCTCGAATACACCATGACACTTTTATGAACAGCAGCCTGTTTATTGAACCCACAGGCGAAACAGAAGCATATCACTTTACATGGTTGCCTTTCGCAGGCTACCCACATCCATTGTAGCACAGTCAACTTTAAGCCAAAGAAAAAGCCGCCTTGTTAAGAAAACGGCGAGAAAAAAGTGCCAACTTCTGGTGTGATTTCAAGCTTGTCCCGACTTCCGCTGGCACCCGCTTCTTGTGCAATTCCCAAACCAAAACGTAATGGAAGGAGATCGCGATGCCGTGACTTTCTCTACAACCTGCTCAGTTTATCTAGGACATTCTTAACTTCTTTGGAAAGAACGACTTCTTGTGTTATCAAGCCCCAGTTGAGAACTTTCCACTCTACACTTTCATAGGCTTCACAAAAAAAGCCTGTACCTGAAAAGAGGTTAATTTCTTTTCTCTTGCTCCTTCCATTATCTGGCTTTTCTCTCAACCACTTGTCTTCTTGAACAGATCACCAATATCTTTCTCCCCCACGCCAAATTTCTCTCAGCAGCAGACTTATCCCTCAACAAAACTCATCACCCTCCCTCTGATATTCGCAACTACACAACGCTTATCTGCCATCCGCTTATTGCAATCAATCCATTGTAAGTTTCATCAGCAAATTCGGGTTTAATGGTCTCCATCTATTCTTCGTTCACTAATACTCTTTCCGCTACCAAGTCAATCAATCATCATGGCTCCCAAGAAGAACACCGCCACCGAGGCAGGCGCTGCCCCTACCAGTCATGTATGCACTGAGTCCGAAATTTCACTCATGGTAGCCATGCTCAAGTTCATGCCTCGCCCGTCCACCTTCAACCTCGAGAAGATTACCCAGGAGATTGGGGCTGCCAGCCCTCACAGCACCCGCGAGCGCATCCGCGTCGCTGGCAACAAGCATGGCTGGTTCCAGGGCGCCACCGGTGCCTCTGACGGCACTCCCAAGAAAAGCCGTACGCCCAAGGCTCCCGGCTCTGGTGTTGGCCGCAAGAAGAAGGCTCCTTCCGATGACGACGAAGCAGCTGAGCAGGAAACTCCTTCGAAGAAGAAGGCCCGCACCAGCAAAGCCAAGGCTGCGGCTGCTGATGAGATTGAGAAGGATGACGTTCAGGATGCTCAGGATGAGGATAACACCGCCGATGGTCAGGTTTAAGAGAATTACAGTTACGCTTACTTATTGGCGATAGCAGGTGATAGATGAGTTTCTATCCTATCTTTAGTAGTCTAGATGACGGAGAAAGTCGCCATCAGAATCAGCGGTAGCTTCATTAAGGTCATTTATTTTTCAAGGATAACTAGATGTGTGTTTCGTCTCTTCTAGAGCATGTTGTCGCGACTTCGTATCTTCTGTTCTGAATGCGTAAAAGTTTCTTTCATAGATGACTCTGCATTTTTGATACCTTCCCGTTTCTTCTGTTCACACAATCTCACTTTATGACGTTGCATCGCATAATACTTATACCATCAGATCGTTTATAATCCATTACTTCATATACCACGCTTCCCTCTCGTGATTTCTTTTCTATTCACTTCTTCGTTCATATCCATTCAATTCTAATACTTTGGGCTGGGCTTCCCAGTCGGCAAAAGCGAAATGATCAGTATCCGCCCGGCGTTGGAAATGCCCGCCAAGGGCAATTCTTCCGACAAAAACATCGTCATCACGAGACCATGGTTCCAAGCGCAAAGCAAACAGGTAGACGAAGTGGAGGAAGACTCAAATGTCAAAGAAACCAACTCAAGGAAAACGAAAACGCAATCAGAAGTATCTGGCATTGTTGAGTGGTCTTTGAGTGACGAGACTGGGTAGCTCGTCATTCCCTCTATCCCACGAAGCCATGAAGAACTCCATTGGAACGGAAGACCACAGGAATGAATACCCTCTCCGTCGGAAAAATGCATAACAAAACATGCCTGAAGGCGCCGACTAAACTGGCCTCGGTGACGAGCTTATTCTACCCTATCCAGCATCGGACCCAACACCAATTCAAAACCTGGTCGCCGCACTGCTGCTCAGCATACAATCTCTCAACATCTAGGCCTCAGGGCGACAAACGTCCTTCTTAACCTGACTATGCGGCTGCGTACGTTGAACGACCTGGATGAATCTGGCTGTGAAGGACCAAAAACATTGATGTGAGAAGCTAGAACACAGCATAGGGAGAAGGCGGATGCGCAGCTTGGCGACCCCGTGGAAAGTATGAGCAGAATTCACGACGTTGAGTGCTCTGACGGTGAAGGCACCGAGCAAACGGAAGGCTTATATGATTGAATCAAGAATTGCCCGACACCAAGAAAGGCGCAGGAGCTGGTGAAAGAGCGGGAAGAAGACACATGAAGCCATCAAGAAGACGACTACTGTGGAATGGAACCAATTGATAATCATAATTAATTGAGGTTTAGCAAGTTGTTCTTCATATCATTTGACAAATCAGACCCTAGCTTGCTCGATCCGCCTGCAGATGCCAATCCTCTTTTCTGCTCTGCAGTCTATGACTTTTGGGTAACGACCCTAATACCGCGGGTTCTGTCCATAGCCCTGGTTCGGGTCGTATCCCTGGTTTCCTCCATAGTTCTGAGGTTGGCCAGAGTAATGCTGCTCGGGCTGGTATCCCTGATGCTGCTGGTACTGATCGGGCCTGTACTCCTGGTGTTGTTGGTATTGGTCAGGCCGGTATTCCTGATGCTGCTGATGTTGCTGGTAGTTTCCAGGGTTGTAACCTTGCTGAGGTCCGCCAGTCTCGTGATGTGAAGGAGGAGGAGGGTAGTTGCCCTGCACCGGAGGGACGGGCTGGTGGCCTCCGCCAAGCTGCACATTTGGAGAGCCCACGCTAACTCCCTCGTTGCCGATGTCGTCGGGAACGCTGATCTTCACCTTTGGAAGATACTTTTGAACCTTGCCCTCCACAATAGTTTGCACGAATACCCAACTCTCGCGCTCAAACTTGCGGTGTCCACCATTGACAACTCCCAAGATGCTTTCACGCAGGGTCTCCTGGACCTTGCGGATCAGACCACGGATCTTGTTGACCAGCTTCATCTTGATATCATCACCAAAACCACGGTCCGCTTGCCCACCAGCTTCTCTGTCAAGCTGTGAATCAAAGGGGTTGCCTCCCAAGATCTTCTCGAGAGGCCGTTGGAACTCGTCCGGTAGAAGCTCGAACAGCTGCTTCTCAATACCTCCCAACACACTGCGGAACTCAAGACGGACCTCCCTATGGACCTTGGCAAGACCGGTGCTCAGTTTGTCGCTGATGACCTTTGAAAAACCGCCACCGCTTCCGCTGTCCTCTCCATCGCGGTCACCAAAGCCTCTAGAAGCGCCCTCGTCAGATGATTGTTTCTTGCCGAAAAGCCCGCCGAGGCCCTTCACCAGGTCCTTGACCTGGTCCTCTACCTCTCCCTTTACACCGTCACCAATGTCACGCGTGCTCGTGTTACCGCGCAACCAGCGCTTGATGTGATCCAGTGCGATACGGGTGAACTGCTCGGCGATGGGAGCATGTTGCTCTCTGAGCTTCGCACCAACCTTCTCCTTGATTTCAGGGCTGATAACGCGAGCTTTTTCCTCGGGATTGCGCGCGGCATCCTTGACGGTATTACTGATGACTCCCAAGAGGCCATCGAGCTCGAACTTGTTTCCTCCTTGTCTATCGTCGCCAATGTGATCCTGCACAGCATTGATTGCGGCGGAGAAGAAACCCTTAGCACCACGAGAGAAGGAATCAGTGTGTTCAATGCCGCGAGATTGATCGCCGCCACCACCGCTGCGGTTCTCGGTCAGGTCGAAGATATCCCTGAGGTCATCGCCAGCCTCATCTGTGATTTTGCTGAAGTTCCGAGTAAGGCTGGCAATCTCGTCAGCGAAAGGCAGAGACTGTGCACCGTAGGCATCCGGAGGCGAGTCATTCAAGCTTCGAGCGCCACTGGGATCCTTGTCCTTGTTGAACAGTGAACGGAAGGCGTCGATGACCTGATCCTCAAGACTATCAATTGTCTTCTGCTGAAAAGTCTCCAGCTCGGAGGTTATGCGGGGTTGGATTTGGGGTGCAAGTGAGTCGACATAGTTGTCGATCTTCTCAAACACGATGTCCGGAATGCCGTGGCGGCTCTTGCCGAGGTCGGAAGACATGACTGCAGTGAAAATGAGGGTATGGAAGGGGTCTGGCGGACGATATGTTGTCTAGGGCTGGTGCTATGCCCAACTTGTACTCCCGCTGGTAAGGCAGAGGCAGCCAAAGCTAGGGGTGCGGGGAGAGCTGAGCTGAGGTGAGCTGAGCTGGCAATGCGGGGTGGTGGGGTGGACGCGACTGAGTCACGTGCTATGACGTCGAATCCCCGTGCGGTTTATAACGGTTGCTTTGTAACAGAACCAGCTCACACGTTTTAAAAAAAACGGACAACGGATTATGAAACGGCATTTGCATAGATGGTCTATGCTAGCTACGGCACAACTCTTATGAACATATAGCGTCAAACTTGGTAAGATGCGAAAACAGTTTTAAAATGCCAGAGAATGAAATTACCAACACAGCCTGTCATTCACACAAAGTTGCTGATATCAACTGGTTTTCCCACTTAACTCCACTACCTGCCCGCCTAGAGTTTCCCTGAGTGCGAGTGCCAACGGTAAGCAAGAGGTTTGATTCATCATTTCTTCAAAGACTCTAAAATGAGTGTCTTGTAGCCCTCAACAGCCGTTTCAAGGTCGGAAACAGTGATGTGCTCGTCGTTTGAGTGGGCCACAAGAATCGTCCCTGGACCATACAAATAGCGCTTGTGTGTGCCCTTCAAGTTGGGGACATCTGTGAAATAGTTCACGACAGTGGTGTTGAAGCCTATCTGCATTAGCCATGTTTCCATAACGCGTCGCCTATCCCATGCAGATGTAGCTTACCATCAATATCATAATCCAGACTTACTGGCTTTGCGCCTGCGTTAAAAGAGAGGCTCACATGCTCTGGCGTGGCGGCATATGCTGCCTGGCTGATGATGCTTTTGACTGAGTCTACGTCCTCGACAGCAACTCGAATAGACGTCCGCGCAGTAGCATTCTCAGGAATGACATTGCTCGCAATTCCACCCTCTATGACGCCTACGTTCAAAGTAGTGTTTCCGAATTGTTCAGAAGACGGCAAGTCGACGTCGATGATCGCACCCAACGAGCGAACAAGTAGATCAATTGCATTGCGTCCTTGTTCGGGATACCCAGAATGCCCCGCAATTCCGCTGGCCGTGACATTAAGGCCCAACACTCCCTTGTGGGCACGTACAAGTTTGTTCTCTGTCGGCTCGCCAAAGATGACCGCCTCCCATGTAACATTGAGGTTGTTGGCAGTCTGCATCCCTTGACCGCCTGATTCCTCGCCCACAACGAACAACAGAGAGACATCACCGTCTTTGATGTCACCACTCTCGAGGAGTTCCTCTACGGCAATGATCTGGGCGGCGACGCTACCCTTAGCGTCCGCAGTGCCACGTCCCCTAATCTCTTCGCCATTGCGTGAGTATGGAATGTAAGGCGGCACGGTATCAATGTGTGACGTGAGAAGAACGCGGCTGTTGCGAGAGTTTCCGGGATACGCGTAGACGTTCTTGCGGTCGCCTTCAACAGCCTGAAGCTCAACCGTAAATTTTGTTTCGAGGTAGGTCTTCAGAGCTTCCGTTCCAGGTGCCTCGGATTTTGTGGTTGAGTCAACCTCCACAAGTGTTTTGTGCAGACTGATAAGTGCTTCGGTGTAACTCTCAGCCTGTACAGACGACGCAGCAAGCGAGCAAGCGAGGGCGGCAATTCCGAGGGACTTCATAATGAAGACTTGTTCTCGTCGCATTTGTGCGAAAGTAATTAGAAAAAAAAAAAAAAGATGAACAAAAGGGCGGCAATAAGGACGTTTTCTTTTGCTGCGTTATCGGCGGGAATGATATTGATCATCGACAGTAAACATTGCGTGATGACGCAAACCCTGTTGCTTATCCAAATCGAACGCGGGTGGCTGCATACGCAGCGGGAGGGGTAACACGGCGCCAAGCTGATAAGTGTGGGGAGACGATACCCGATCTCTACTACTTGATGCCCGCGGTTATTGAGCGGGAGGTCGTTGAATTCATTAGAACTTAGGTTGTTGAGATTTTGTTACATACTTTAGCTCAACGGGAGATGTTCGAAAGGTGCCATGTTCAGCTAAAGCCGTTTAGGTGATGCGGGTGGCGCTCCACATTCCCACCGCACTGTTCGTAAATGTTGGAACAGATGCATCCATTGGCCTGATGTTGCTGTGGTCTGAATCTCGTGTATAAGAAAGCTGGAAAAATGAAAGACATGGCCGAGACATTGACATCAGCTACCGTATAAGCCATCCTTAAGACTCAAGAAGTGAACGGAACTCATTGATGGGATGACAGTTTGCTTTGCCGTATCTGTTGTTTTTCTGTTGAAGCTTCTGCCACTATCTGATGCTGGTAGCCATCCTCCAAACGTATGGGCGAGCAAAAGAGGCATGTCGCTGACGCGCTTTACTTCATTCATGCGCTCATAAACTCCATTCCAGGTTGAGTATGTCTCCCAGCTCAGTCAATAACATAAGACTCCCTGCTGGTGCCTAAACTTACGGCCGCAGGAAGATCTTGGAACAATTTGTACATAAGCGCTCCGCGTATCAGTAGTTCATTCATCTCAGGAACTATCTCAGTTGGGAGAATGGTAGTAAAATTCTACACAGCCAATCATTTCACAGTGCCTGCTTTGTGTGTCTGTCTTGTCAGAACGTATGGCCACGATGTCAACATCATACATACAAGGAGAGGTAATAGTTGCCAGAGTATCCTGCGAACTATGAATACGGCTTAAGAGGAACCCACCCTTTAGCAATACCTTCGCTTGATATAACTACCACTCATGTCGTTGCTGTGTACAGGCGGTGCTTGTTCTTTCCGACCTTAAACATGGGTTTAGGCGTTTTCTGACGTAGAACACTCATCCCCGCCTGAAGAGTAAAAACTCAAAAATCAGAGAAACGAATACACTCGGTTCCTCTTAGGCTTTGAGGATCTTGGTTCGGACTAGAAAGTAAGGCAAGAAGAGTAAAGTAATAAAAACTCTAATACATTGTTGTAGCCATTGTGGCGAGGGAAACTAAGAGGTATCTTTGTCTGCCCAAAATTCCCAGGGGCGTTGTTGTCGTAATTCCTGTTCTCGGAGATGCTCCCTCGTCACCATCAATGCTCTGCCAAGCCGGTTCTCCCCCCAATGCTTCCGTTGATTCATGGCATGTTTTGCAGTATACCCGATACCCCATACGCGATCACGAGATGCAGCTTCGCAGAGCAATCGATTGCCGGTGGCTAACAGTTTCCGTCCCAGATGCGCGTTTTGGCTGAATTTTGCGATGTTTCCTGCTTCCACAACGGCACTCTTGATCTGGTCCCAGCTTTCATGTGTGAATCCTATAGTTTCCCTGCCTAGCCGCTTTTGCTTTTTAGGGCTGTCTGAGGCGAGTATGCGAGATTGCCGGTCTGTGTCGCGAAACCGTGCAGCTTTGCAGTACATCATAAATTGTTCTGCGCAGTTAAACGTAATCGAACCCGCAGGGTCGCAATCGTCTACAGTGTGTCCAACAAGCTTGGATATCTCCTCTTTGCTGATTGTGAAACAGGACTTGTACCACTGGCAGAACTCGCCCCATTGTGCGTCTGGCATGAAGAAGAACAGCGGGTCATCCTGCTCTTCGCCCTGCGGCTGTGTTTGGGAGGTCATGTTGAGCTGGTTGTTGCGGTTGTTTCTTCAGATGCCTCATTGACCTTGTGTTGTAGGCGGTGTTCGGTGGTCAAGGTATGTTAGGAGACATGGTTAGACAATCGCTCGGTCATTAGCAGACATGCAGTCTAATCATTTGGTGAAGAAAACGCCATGTGAAAGGATTGTTGGTACCTGAGCATAAACGTAAAACCTTAAAAACAAAAGAGCCTTCAAGGTCATCTGGGCGGATAGCAAAACTCTAGGTTGTTACCTTAGGCATCAAAGCAAATGTAAACTAACATTGTCTGGGCCGAGGTGCCGACATCTGGTGGTACCATAATACGGTTTGTCTTGTCGTAAGGCTGCTAGTACAGCTCAAAACCCTTCCAAAGCTTAGCGTTGAATATCCAGCCGGGAAGCACCGGGTTCATATCAGCAAGCCTCGCGAAATGCAGATTGCCGAAGATGATTGGTTATATCCTCAATTTTGCATGCAGTTGTTGGGTCATTGGAGCGCTTCGTCCTTTGACGAGTTGCAATGACAGCATGTTCAACGAAGGGCGAGGTGGGTATAACTGGCGAGTGCACGCCTAATTAGAACAAGCACATTTTAAAACGTCAGAAAAGACAATCAGTCTGCCGATACGAGCCGGGTGTTAATTACGTTCAACCTCATTCTCGGTGTATTGATCATAACATTTGTTACCCTACTCACTTAGGCACCCTGAACCAGTTTAACCGCTCCAGCACCTCTCCCAACTATTGGGACAGGCTACACAGTCACAATCGCCGCGAAAGTGCCACACCCTACGCCTGACCCGTATCGAAACTTCCGTCAGGTCTCCCTGCTTCTGTAGCCGTCTAGTTCTGAGGCGATTCAAACAACAAAACCGATTCAGCCTGTCCTCACACCGAAGCTTCTTTACGAGCCTGAATGTCCAACTTCCTTTGTTTCCTCCACTCTTCCGCGTATCTTACTCCAAATCCATGTTCGAAGACGACACGAATCTCCTCCAACGTCATGTTCGCTGCTTCAGGGAAACAGAAGATCACAAAGACCCAGCCAAGGAATGATAACCCCGCATAGAAGCCAAATGTGCCTGATGGTGTCATTCCGCGCATCATTGACAGAAATGTCGACGAGACGACGATGTTAGGACCCCAATTGAAGATGTTGATCATCATCGTGCCCATAGCTCGAACTTCCATCGGGAGAAACTCGTTGGCTTGCCAGGGCACGCAACCAAGACCAGCTGCATAGAATGCCACGAACATGATCATGGCGACCAAGACTAGAATAGCAGGCCAGCCAACCTCTTGAGTGGTAAGTTTGAGAGTGTCTCGGTCTAACGGGATCCAATGGAACGCAATAGCTGCAACTGCGAGGCAAACCGGCATGCCCCACATTGTCCATATCAAGATTCTTCGACGGCCGATTCTGTCAATGAGGAAGATAGAGAGTACGGTAAAAATGAAGTTCGTTCCTGCCACAACGGTTCCTACAGCAATAGGATTCGAAAAGCCGACGATGTCGAATAAAGTGCTCGAATAATACATCTGGAACTTTGTTAGCCAAGCTACTGAGAACAGGACATTGATGTTACGTACAAGAGTGTTGAACCCGCACAGCTGTTGAAAGGCCATGAGACCGCACGCACATATAACTGCTCGCAAGTTTGCTGGGACGGTCCATAGACTTGTGACGGATTTGCGGAGTGAGATTTCCTCGTTTAGGGCTTTGGCTTGATTGACTCCGCGCTCAATGGAAGTGACTTTGTCGACAAGTTCGTCCTCCGTTCCGTTTGGATAGATTCGCCGCAACACCTGAATGCATTCATCACGCCGACCATGGAACATCAGTTGTCGAGGTGACTCAGGGCACCAAAACAGAAGAACACCGAGTATGATGGAAGGGATACCACCGATTCCTACCATGTACCTCCATCCATGCGGTGTCGTGTAAAAGGCAGCGTCGAATGCGTACGCAAGGACTGATCCACTTCCGAGGAAAATCATGTCGACAGAAATCATACGACCTCGGAATCTTGCAGGCGAGATTTCGGCGATGTAGAGTGGGACAATCTTACACGTTCAACGTCAGCCTCTTCAGGGCGTTCTCCGAAAGTTGAAAAATCATTAACATACCATGGAAGCAGATCCAACGCCAAGACCAATGACCAATCTTCCAACTGACATCTGAGCAACTGTGTAAGATGTCGCCTGGATGAGGGCGCCTATGGTGAAAAGCACTGATGCAAACCAGATAGCAGGCTTACGACCATACTTGTCGGCGGTAATACCAGCAATAATGGCACCGATGAAGGCTCCAGCTGCAGTAAGGGCCGTGACCAGCTCTTTCTCTGAATGGGTAAGCTCTTTGCCGCCAAGGTCTGTGCCGAGGACGACTAGAACTCCAGAGATTACACCAGTGTCGTATCCAAACAACATGCCACCGATGGCAGTTGCAGCAGCACAGAGCCACACAAAGGCACCAGGCTGTGTCTCTTCGATACGCTCTAGATCACGATGATCAACAGCCTTTATGGCATCAGTAACGGCATCGTTCTGCTCGATGTGTTGTACTCCGGATTTTGGAGTTTCATCCTCGTTTGCTGGGAGGCCCATCCTGGTGGTCCTTTTGAGTGTTCAAATTTTAATGAAGAAAGACTCTGATGACAGGCATCAATGAAACAACAGAAAGACTTTGACAGGTGATGAAAGGTGATGTTGTCTTAGGGAAGTCAATACGGACTCGGAAAAGGCGTCCGAGGTTTGAACTTATATAGATTGGGCCGCTTGGCTTCCACCTCGTAAGCGCGTAACGGCTGAGAGTCAAGGTTCAGGTGTTAAGTTCGTGACAGCAAGGATAAGTCAGGTCAAACCTAACACTAACCTATGGAAAGACGGCCACAGCTTGTTAAGCCTCCATTGCGGGGTTTTTCTACGCTTCGATATGTTCGACATGCTCATCGTCTGCAGTAGTCGCCCGGACATCACGGAAAATGCATCCGCTTTGCAAGTGCCAACATTCAATTGGACAGTAGGGGCCATGTGTGAACTATTCTGCTCCAGTTTGTAGCGGGGCCGCCAACAGATCGTGAACATACAACGGGGAGAAGTTGGGGAAGCCAGGAATGCTCGCGGGGTAGTTGGCAGGGGTTCATCTGGGGAAATAGCGTGCATGTTTCTTTTCTCCACTGAATCTGTGACGTTCTATGGATTGAACGATCGAGTCATGGCTTTTAGCGTCGCGTAAATATTACTATGTCTGGATGACAAGGCAGGTATTCCCGCAGACAGGTTTCAAGTCCTGGTGAAATTACCTCTTCAAAACTATACTACCTGGGTATTTGGAGGCTCTCAATTCGGCCTTGCTTTTCCAGCCCAGGCGATGGTATGTTGATAACTCGCTCAACATGGTAATATTCACGCGTCGTTCATTACAAGCATCGGAATTATATTCCGTTCAGAGCAAGCAATCTGAGCCCTGATGGAGTTGATGTCATTGTACATTATCTAGATATATTGTCACACTGTTAACATATCTTGGGTACATAACCATGGTGCTGCCGAAACAATGTTGTAGAGCAACTGCGCTATGGCCAAGACAAATGCTAGATGAAAACATGGGGTGATTACATAGGACTTAAACCGTACGTTTTGAACAAGCGGGGCAGATTGGATGGTCTCGTTCTAAGATGGGCAGGGAAGATAGCAGAAATTGGCCTCAATCCATGATACTGACGGCAGGCGCAAGTATCTGCGGGAATAAAGGTTATTCTGATGGCAAGCCAATACTGAACGGGTGAGGAGAAATGGTGTTGCGGTCCGAAAGTCATGTACGATGCATAGGATACTAGGAATCGTTAAACCGCATAGGTCAAGATAGCATACATAGCTATTTAATAGCCTTATATGGTTTAGCCTCAAATTGAATAGCCACAAATCCTGAAAAACGTTGTTGGGCTGACAGCCAACTTGATTTTTGGCTTGAGGTTAACTTAGTCATCGAACGGGAAAGACAAGTGATCGCCGAAGATCGGGGGAGGATTTACTTTGCTACTATATTGCCGTGCTTACGAGTTATCATTGACGAGGCCGGCGACCTTCGGAACTTGTGTCGGGGTATGTCGGGACCGTAAAGACTTGGTTGAGGCCTCGGGCCGCCCCCTTCTCCATTTCTCGCCGTTTTCTCGAAAAACCACTGGTCCTAGCAAATACGAGTGGTGTCAATCTCCAGCAATGAACCCCAAAGAATGTGCTAGTCTTCAACTTTTATATTTTAAACTCTATGATCAGGCTGCCATCAACGTAGAATTGTCCATTGATTTCTATGGGCAGCCTCCCCGCCTATGCCAACAGGAAAGCCAGGCAAGCGTTGGATTGTCAAAGATTATGTTAAAAATGGATTTGGATTCTCACTACCAATTTTAAGATGCCCATACACTTAGGTACTGGATGAAAGCAGTCTCTGGGCTATCCATACTCCTTCTTGAGGATTGTTCTTTTACAAGGTATCAAGGGTTTTCAACGTGCCCTGTATTGTGCCACATACCGCCTGCGTACCTACTGTGAACGCAAATTCATGTCTTTTTGGGATCCTAAATATGAATTGTCCAGATAGCATTTTGGGCCCGAACCTCGCCCGTGATTCTTTTACCCCATTGCTTGACTTTCATAATCCCTTCAAAACAACGTCGCTCCGTAATCTGACTGGATAACTCCGCTGGCCAACCTTCAAGATGTTCCATCTACTGCCACCGTAGAAAGTGTCATTCGGAATGGTCAGTATACGATAAGTTGCTTGGCTCCGTTACCCATCCGGTTTAGATATTTCTCTGACGCCTCGCGATCTTGCGACGTCTTCGGACGAGGCATTGGTCGCCACATCAATACCACCTGAAGTCCCGTGAACTAGCCCGGGTATTAACGAGTGCATCCAGCCCTTGAGAGGCTCTACGGCAAATATACAAATTAACACACTTCATCGTCTTTTTCCGGCGGCTAAATGAGGTGCCCCAGACCATCGGCGCCCAATTGACACGCAAAATGTGGAGAACCCAGTATGCGGGCTGCAACCTCCGAATTCCTTTTAATGGTTGATGGCTGCTGCACGCCGGAAGGCTTCCTCAAGTGACACAAACTATTGAATGTGTGGGGAAAAGCCCAAAACTAGAGGACCAAAAAGATTTTGATTGTCACTAGACTCGGATTTGGGTTCTGAGGGGATCAAAACAAGAGATGTTATAGGGTGTCAATATAGATGGTTTGGTAAAAAGAGAAAAGTCCTCGGCCGATTTTGCTGCAAAGCAAAGATACATCCAAAGAATTGCACATGAATTTATTAATCAGAAGAGTGAATGATAATGCCTTACGGATATTGGGATGTTTTCTACAATTTCCCAGTGCCAAGAAACGGGTAATGGGAGAGTTGAGGCGCATGGACAGTTGCAATATGTGCTTTAATGCAACCCAAATCTCCTTGTTCCCGGATTTGATTCCCGGTTAGAACTTACGAAGTACGGTTTCGGAAACTAAGAGGGTGTGTAAACAGATTACTAGACCTTCCATAGGCAGGCAGTACCACTAGCCTAGAATGTCCATTCCGTGACAGGTGATGTGTGAAGCTCCAAAGTCTTGTGAGTCTCCGCCTGTCAAAGTGTGGTCAGACCATTACTTCACAGACAGGAAGTATATAAGGCAAGCAATTACCCCCTTTCATCGAAGAACAGAGAAGTACCAAATCGAAAGAAAAAGTCGTCCGCTCTGCACCATGGTTTCTTTTGCTTCTCTTTTCGTGGCACTTACAGCCGCCGTGGGAGCGCTCGCAGCTCCAGGCGAGCTGGTCAAACGCCAGTCCACGCCGAGCTCCACCGGGACACACAATGGTTATTATTACTCCTGGTGGACTGACGGCGGCTCGCAAGTCACATACATCAACGGAGCTGGTGGTCAGTATAGTGTCACTTGGCAATCCGGAGGCAACTTCGTGGGCGGAAAGGGATGGAATCCTGGTGGATCCAGGTGAGTTCACTGATGCTATGCTATGGGCCGTCCTGACGTCTTTTCATACAGAACCATCACATACTCGGGCACCTATAATCCAAACGGTAACAGCTACCTCGCCGTATACGGCTGGACTAGAAACCCTTTGATTGAGGTATAATATTTCTACCCCTTTGCACCTAGAGTAGACCCCAGCTAATTGTTGAAAAGTACTACATCGTCGAGTCTTTCGGTACTTACAACCCATCCTCGGGTGCTACGAGGAAGGGCTCTGTGACCAGCGATGGCGGCACCTACGACATTTACGTGAGCACACGAACCAATGCCCCTTCCATCGAAGGCACTAGGACCTTTCAGCAGTATTGGTCCGTCCGTCAAAGCAAGCGTGTAGGCGGAACGGTCACGACAGGCAACCATTTTGCCGCCTGGGCTCAGGTTGGACTCAACCTTGGATCCCATGATTATATGATCGTTGCCACCGAAGGATACTTTAGCAGTGGCTCCGCAACAATCACCGTTGGTTCATCTAGTGGCGGTACCAGCCCACCACCGACCACCAACCCGCCTCCCAGCAGCGGCGGTGGCAATGTGAGTTAACCATTATACCAATTTGAACAATAATCCCCACTACTAACATCATGTCTACAGTGCGCTGCTAAGTGGACCCAATGTGGCGGCTCGGGGTGGTCTGGAGCTACTTGCTGCGCATCAGGCTCTACATGCCAAGCTCAGAACCAGTGGTATTCCCAGTGCCTCTAATTTGAATTTGGTACCAATCTGGATTGCATTGTTACCATCTGGCGTGTGTAGTTCTGTTGCCATACATCAACTATCCATAGCGACATACATGAGGATATGCCCGAAGACTTCAGGTCGACAGGCTTACATCCAGTCTTCCATTCGAAAGTTGGAAATATGCTTAGTCTTTTATGTACATACTTATTGAGAGTAGTTTATATGCGTTTTTACTTCGCTTCATGAGCTAGTGACGTGATGGTAGCATGCACCTCTTCACAGCTCTATGCAGAGACCTCGAGGACCATTGCATAGTGTTTAAGACTTCTTAATCTACGATGATTCTGAGTTTCTAGTCCAGAATACCCTTAATAAATTGGATGGTCATTATTAATTACGACAGAAAATGAAAGCTGGGTTTTGTTTCCTTCCGCTACTCCGAAAAGAAAAATTTCTTCAACTTAGGTATGTGGAGGCCTGAGCGAAGTTCCTCTGTACCAAGGGGTCACTACAACACAGTTTTGGTCCAAAGTATAATAAGATATTCGGTAAGAAAACAGAAGTTAGCAGATAACAATCAAATTTTCGACAATCCACAGACTCATAATTAGCATCTTCCTTACTGCGAGGCAGCATGGCGATTCAAGGGTCCCAAGTCCGACGACACTAAGCAAGTACCTCTTTCGACCTTGTCCCTGTCGTGTCGGCTATTTCTTCAAATGTCTTTTTTGCGAAACTTTATGGACGGACTTCCATAAACGAACGGGCCGCATTTATCAGTACTGCCACGAGCTGATACGGAGATGACAGTGCGGAGTTGATTGTGATAGGTATTTATAACCGGCCAATTCTTTGTCATTTACTCATTTAGTGAACCCATAATCTATATACTAGTCTGCCAGTCAACAATAGCTCATTACAATGCCTTCGCACGCTTCATTAGATATAGTTATAGTTGGTGCCGGACCCTCCGGGAACACTGCTGCAGCAGCGTTAGCCTCCGGTGGTCACAATGTTACCGTTCTTGAACGCCATCCGCATCTCCAGACACGAGGAGGAAACATAATTATTCAGCCAGCAGCAGTCCAATGTCTTGACCATCTTGGTCTTACAAAAGCTTTGGACGATATTTCTGTCGATACAACGAATCATTACCTATGGAGATGGAGGGATGTCAAGCCATTTACGGAAACAAAGGCTGTTCCGGACGGTGCGATTCGGAAACCTGCCGATAGACCAGCATTACAGCGAATCACATATGAAGCTGCTGTTGCCGCGGGAGCCGAATACCTTTTCAGCAAGGCTGTTGTCCAGATCCTTGACCAAAAAGGCATTCGACTCCTAGTCAAAGCGGCAGACAACAGCGAGTATTCAGCGGACTTGGTTATCGGCGCAGATGGCGTTAAATCGGTCGTCCGTAAGCTCATGTTTCCTGACCAGGATATGAGAGCGGTCGTAACGCCTGAATGTATCTTCCAGACAGAGGTGAAACTCCGCAATGTTCTACTCGACACAGTTGCCGCGCCTCTCGGTATTCCCTCCCATCATCTAATTTTCGGTCCTGGGCGTTACTGCGTTGGGCGGCCAACTCGCCATGGCACAATGCGTCTGCTGCTTTGCGATTTTCGATACGGCGACTCGTCTACTGATGAAGACCTTGTTGACGGAACGTGGAACTCTGATGGGGACCCAGCAGAGGTCCGCAAGATTTTTGAAGATTTCGGAGCCCCCCTGCGTGCCTACATCGAGTGCGTGGTGCGCGGTGGATACCCAATAGACAAGTGGCGTGTTGCAACAGCGCCTAAAATGGAATCCTGGCTGGGATTTGGGGGACGTTGCGCTCTCATAGGAGATGCTGCTCATGCCATGGTGCCGCATACTGCTATGGGGGCGAGCCAGGGTATTGAGGATGGGTTGGCGATGAGCACAGCTCTTCGCGGAATAATTACCCGAGAGGATCTGCCCTTAATCCTGAAGAAATGGGAATCGCTGCGCAAACCACGTGCCGAGAAAATGTTTGAACTCGGTAAACAGAACGTTGCGATGTTCTCCCTCCCGGATGGGCTGGAACAGGAAATCAGAGACGCGAAGCTTTCAACGGACGGTCTTACTGGGCATGCCACAAATTGGGATGACGTGGTGATGGACGAAGATGCAACTCACAGGTCACCTGAATTCACAAAGTGGGCAATGTGTTATGATGTAGTTGCTGAGGTGAGTTGAGCTGGAAGTCAAACATACGAAGCGCTCTAACAGCCATCAGACTACTAGGTTCTGCGGCAAGTAACACGTATCATGGACGATAATAATACAATTTGGATCTGAACCACTGCGTAGGGATTTGATTTTATTCTGAACGATGTTATTACTGTTAGCGAGTTTGCTTCAGCAGCATAGTCTTGGTTCTAGACCTTGGGCTATTGCCGATTTCCAGGCAGAGTAGAGTACATTACAAAACGACAAACTATACAGGCCTTAGACACCAGAGAACCAAATAGCCAGAAGTTAATCAATAACGTTTGTGAACAAGCTGCAGTCGGCTATCAAATATGTAATTCAAAGTAACTATGGAATTTTTGGTCGCCAAGTATGCCGATAACACATCCAACATCCCTTAGGAGTCACCTGAAAGACGCTGTTCAAATTCGCAGTTCACCTGCCGAAGCATGTTCTTCCAGTCATACAGAATAATCTTGTCGTATCGGCTCTGTGTGTCTCGCATGAAAGTTTCCAAGTTTGGGCCAGCATCAGGCGCAAGCCATTTAGAAGCCTTACCCTGATAACGGCTGTTGGTGACAACCCATTGTGAGCGCTCCCGACGAACAGAGTCGAAGGCCTTGAAGGCGGCTGTCAGAGCTGCGTGAGCTCGAACCTGTTTTGTCTTGATAGCTGTCACCGCACACTCAAGAACGGTCGCCAATGCCAATGCATCTTCTACCCCTATCCCGGCGCCCACGCCAAAGTGGGGTGTTGAAGCATGAGCAGCATCTCCGACAAGAACGATGCCACCATCCGCAAAAGTGTGAAGTGGATGGTCCAATGTATCAAAAAGCGCCCAAACACTCATTTCTTCTGGAAGTGTTTCAACCAAGGCTTGCACATTTGGAGCAAACTTTGCAAGGGCCTCCAAAAGCTCCCTCTTGCTTCCCACAGTTGTAAGAGGCTCCCCATCTATCCAATCACTGCCGTCGCGAACAAACGCAGCAAAGTTAAGATACTTGCGGTTAGCCACAGGATATGCTACGATTCCTGCGCCTTATCCCATGTAAGTTGTCGGCCCTTCTATGCTTTGGCACAGAGCCGCCTCAGCTTTCGACAATTCTCCAAGGCAGCGGTATACTTTTTCGTTGGCGTAGGAGGGGAACGCCGCTGGATTATTCTCGCCCGCCACGATTTGGCGAACGCGGGATTTGACACCGTCACACCCAATGACTTACACCGATGGCGTTAGCTTTAAGCTCAAACATATCTCTTGGGTCTAAAGATAGGGTACATACCAGCATCTTTCTCCGCGATTGTACCGTCAGAGAACTCAATCAAGTACCTTTTGTTCTTTTCATTGAAAAAAATGGAAGTGAGACGCTTCCTGAGTTCGATGGTTTTTGGTGGCATTAGATCAATCAACTCATTCAGGAGCTGAGCGCGATGACAAGCAATCATTGCCCCTTCAAGTCTTTGATATTCGACGCCGCATAGCTGATCTTTGTGCTGTCTCTTTTCGCCTTTCTGAGTGAAACCGTCCACAAAGCGCATACCCGATGTTTTGGCAGCCACTTTAGACAACCCTTTGGAAATACGAGGGTCCAAAAAGTCCATACATTCCACAATGTAAGATGGGAAGGCCAGGCCGGCGCCAATTTCTTTGAGTTCAGAGGCTTGTTCGAAGATTGTAAAAGGTATGTTCCGTTTTTGAAGTCCTAGGGCGACGTGAAGGCCAATAATGCCAGCACCAATGATCGCAACATCGAAGGGTTGGACATCGTTCGAAGCAATATTGGCCATGTTCGCCAGCTGCGTCCACGAATTTATTCACACAAAAAAAGTCTAAAATAAAGAGAAAAGAAATAGCTTGTTCAGTAATGCCCTGTAGGCCTTTCTGCGCGTCAAGAGTAGCGTGCTTATATAAGAAAGGTTTGGGAGGCTAGGAGTTCTAGACATGATCTATATGGTCATCGACACAATTCCTCCAGGTAGGCCGCTTAGTCAATCCGGATTTTGGACTTAAGCAGCGTACCGCCGGTATCCATTTTTTGTGTCATTTGAAACATAGACTGGCCTTGTTGACGATCGTTCTTGGGAACCTCTCCCCATCGGGCAAGCCGTTATCGATCGCGGTATTGAAGATTGACGGTGGTGGCCATTCGGCATGCTACCTTAGGTGAGCGGCCTTCCTATAAAGGGAGGTCCGATGGGCTGAACCATACCGGCGTGCTTTACGCTACTTCAAATTAATGTATAACAAAGTGTCGGCAATCGTTCGCGACGCGACGGAGCTCGGCGAGTCAATAGCACCGGCCGAGGTGAGCTTACTCTGGTACGCGTATCCGTATGCAATACGTCTTCCAACTACTCATTGATACAGATCATCATCCATGCAAGCAGAAATCAAGATTATCGTATTTTGATGGTTCATATAAGAATAGCAGTGAGTCTAACAGTTTCCTGCATCCTTCTATTGTTGCAATAACCGGAACTCCGGGTTGAAGTGGTTCCGTTGCCGGCACGCCTGCCGACTGCCGGCGGCCCATGTGACGGGCAGCCAGAAGGCTGGGCTTAAGGTCCGTGATCACTTCAGCCAGTATTTTTGCTGGAGTTTCTTCTTAGACACCAGACACAAGGAACAGACACTGAATTTCCCCTTTGAAAAGATACCCCACCATACGGGTAGCCCTGTGATCCCAATAGTTTCAATCTACCTAAACAGAAGGATGCACCTGCTCACACCTCCGTGTGTTGGCGGCTATGTTTAACAGCTTGCGCAAAATATAACTCCCCAGTCTTCTATAAAAGCAATCGTAGGACATAAAACTCCCCTGCCAAACAGCAAGTTGTCGCACCCATTAAAAAAAGCTCCCACCCCCCAAAGGAACTAGCCACCATCTGTCGTAAAATTAGTCGAAAAAGGAACATCCGTCCACAGTTGGTTATCATGCTGCTGCTCTTTTTTTTTTTTTTGGAGCAGCCCCGAAGAGTCGGCAGCGAAACTTCTCCCCCTGGTCTGGTTTGAACTTGTTGTGCCTCTTAGGTAAGTGTAGACGGTCTTGTTCCGAAGGCTGGTGATGGTGATAGCGGGGAGGGAAGGCATCTTGAAAAGAACTTCTTTTAAAAAGGAAAAAAACACGAAATTATTGGAAGGATGAAAAAAACAGACGAAAAACGCAAACGGCGACTTGGGACGTGTTGGTGATGTTGGAAGAAAAAGGAAGACGAGAATGAGACGTTGATATGGTAGAAGGTCCGTGGAGGGAACACCCCAGGGAAGTCGCGTACAAGTCGGAAGGCACACGTCCATCGTCAGTCTTTCCCTCAACGCGTTTTCTTCGAAGACACTGATCGAAGGTCCTTAGCCCTCCTCTTGATACCAACCAGCAGGAAGGATCATATTGGTACAATGATTATGCCGGAGACTCAAGGAGTATTTAAACACATCTCATGAGTTATCTTCCCTTAGTTCCCTCAGAGGAAATTATTACATAAGCAATTATGAGACTTAACATGCTGGCTGTTTGTTGCCAACTTCATAGGCACTGTGTTTCTTGACGTGATACTGCTGGCAGGCGCAGTCATGTGCCTTTATCCAACAAACCCAACAATCGGCTGATGTGAAAACACCGAACCGTGAGTCTGGCAATTGCAGCTTAGGGCAGTGGCCTGCGTCGCAATATGTCCAACCACATGTCTCTTGCCGTTAGGTACTGCATGCCTTTGGCATTTGAAAGGCTCTTTCCTTTACTTCGCCAGAGCAATGTGCTGGTGCCTGCCTTTTGTGAGTTAGAAGGACGACACGGAAAGAGCGTTTGTCCACCTGGTTTTGGTTTGAAATTTTTTTCATCTGCTACTGAATTTCCACTTAATTGGAACCAGTGAATATTTCTCTCTTTCCATAACTTCACCCACTGACTTTATTTTTGTCAACTTTTATTTTTCCCACTTTCCCTCATCAAAACCATCACTTCTTCCCCATCCCTTCCCCAATCCTCTATTCTTTTCTTCCTCTCATCACATCGCCTCTCCTATTACCAACCTAACCATCATGGCGCCCGCGCCGTCTTTCCAGGTCCTTGGGCCTGCGGAGATCGCCAGTGGCGACGGAATCGTTTCGGCCCAAAACATGCGGGCGATTATCATTCCGAACGAGGTTGTTGTCAACCACCCGCAAGGTGAAATTCGTATTCCACCTGGTACGATCGGCTATTTCATCAAGGATAGCCCAGTCAACCAAGACGATGTCTTCCTTCAGCTCATTCATCATGGAAAGCGAGGAACTAGTGAGTTTCGGTCCTCTCAGACAACAGCCTTTGCTAATATTAATTTTTACAGTCACTATTCCTCGTATTCATGTCCGTTTCGGGGCTTTCCACCACGAATTTCACATCGACATTCCCAGCGTCCGGTTCCAGCGTGTTGCCTTCTCTTTGGGACATGACAGAGCCTCGTCCATCACGGGGCGGGCGGTTTGGCAGATGTGGTCTAACATCAGGGACAATTTGCCCGTCTTGCGCCAATATGGTCTCAAGAAAATCGACGAATTGGAGGCCATACTCACTAACGAGACCAAATTTAACGAGACCGTAAGCTACTTGATCGGAGGTAAGTCATTTGTTCCCCTTAGGATAACTGCGCTAATATTTCACAGCTTTCACTGCCGATGCCTGGGACAAGATTAAGGAAGGCGGACACATCAAGTCTCTCATGAGTATCAAACCAGTATCTGAGGACTACCCTGGCCTTTCCAGCCAGCAGCAAGTCATTTATGCCCGCATCGCGATCAACGACCTTGATACTAGCCCCGAGCACACGGACTTTGGCAAGTATGGAGGACGTACTGTCGGAAACCCCATTGACCGACACAATCAGCATGAGGAACACATGAATGGCCGTCTTGCCCAGTCTCCCCACTATCAGATCGCCAAAAAGTACGCCTACAGAGTCATGATCCCATTGATGAAAATAAAGGGAGCCCCGGAGCTTATCATGGCGATGGCCGAGACTACTGTCTGTTGCCTTTTTGATACATGGCATTCAGGCGTATCATTTGCCAACGGAGAAATCAAGGATCCCATCAGTGCGGGTACTGTCGACCATTATATGCTCGTCACGCTTTTCCGAGAACTGTCTCTGAAGACTTTCAAGGATGTCGGGTTCCCTCTGTACCCCGGTAAGGGCTGCAATTGGTCATTCCCTCTTGAGAACAAGGGTCACAATCAACGTGGCTGGTTGCGCTGCAAGGTCACCGGCGAAGATGGACGAGCCATGCTCGTGCACAGAACTACAACTTCCATCGCCTATCTACGCAACCAGGAAAAGAAGAACAGCCCAGAGCTGGGCTTGAGAATCAGATTCACGCCTTTGGAAGAGATTGAGATGTCGGACGGCACAATGATCAGTTCGCAACTCCTCGGACTCTCCATCAGTTACAACTTGATGCACCTCAAAGACCAACTTAGTCTTCGACACGGGCAGCTGGTGATTGTTTCGATTGAAAAGATGGAAGATCCGCGAGAACGTCATCCCAACCCTTGGTACCGACATTCTTACGTTGGCGCTTGGAATAACTCCGACGAACTCCACAGTTTTGGTATCCGTATCGAGGTCATGCGTGAGACTACCAAGGAATGGTTTTCATTTCCCATTCAGTGCAATAACCTCTTCGTTGTTTACGACCCGAGCAAGAGCCTGGAGCATGTCGAACGGAAGGACAAGAAGCTTATGACGTATCTCGTCGACAAGAGGGTCACCACCTCTTGGCGGATGGCCACGCATATCATTCAATTGCTGGACCACCGCCGCTACAAGCTTGAGGAGTGCCCTGTCCACCTTTGCCCTTATCTTGGGGCTCGTGTTCAAGAGGTCGTTTTCGACCACCTGAACCAGAAAGTAACCTTCAAGCTTGTCGAAGAGAAACTCGTTGACCCCCCGAAGGCGGTCTCGTTCCATCACAACACGGTCAAGATGAAGCAGAACTTCCCGGAGGTCATCATTGGCCCTCAGCCACCCAATGGGTGGTTTAGGGAAGGTGGTCGAAAGCTCCGTTCACCTTCCTGCCTGGCATGCTGGACCAATGGCCAGAGCCTTGCAGTGAGAGAGAATGGATGCAATTCGCGGCGGCCAGTCGATGTGAAGGACTCGGATGATCCCGATGCAGAATATATCCGCAGCTCTCAGTCCACATGTTCGCTGTGCTGGGACAATTATCGCCGGCCATGCGCGTGGATCAAGCCAAGCGCTGGTCATGTCGAAGGAAAGTCGTTCGTCATTGACAATGGTCCTCAGTGCGAAGGCCTTTACCCTAAGCGGTTTGTGCAAGCTACCCCAGAGGCTATTCCAGACCCCATGCGTCTAGAAGAGTATTATGCTATGGAGGAAGACAAGTTCGCTCATGAAGGGATGACTAATGACGATGATGGCGATGGCGACGATATTGAAGACGGTTTCGAGGCGGAGGATTAAGCAGTGATTGATCATGTACCAGCGCAAGCTATTCAACATAGCAGCCAACATAGGGATGTAATGAGGTGCATAGGCGGGGGTTTCAACCATCTTTTGGCCATCAAAAGTTTTTGTTTTGCAGGTAGATAGGTATTCCATAGGTCAGATCACTTCGTCGTGGCTCAGAAGACGCAGACTCTGGACTTTCTTATTATGAACTTGGCGTTTTAAATCATTGATTGTGAGATCTTTCTTTGTAGCATTTCCACAATTGAAGATATTCTCTCCAGGGAATAAATTGATGTTTATTTCTTGTGTTCAATTTCTAAAAATGAATTTTCAGCAGAAATGCTGGCTGAAGTGGTCGTGGACCCCGTCCGTCTGGCTGCTCGTCGGCAGCCGGCGCCGGAACCCCTTCAACTCGGAGTTTTGGCCAAATGCCATACGGCTAGAGACCGTCATTTGCCATAAACGAGCGCTGGCCACCTTATTTGACATGGCAGCTAATGCAGAGAGCTTTACCCTTCGCCGTTTATACGAGCTGAGCCGGAGGCTATCCCAGATCCCATGCGTCTGGAGGAATACTATGCTATGGAGGATGACAGACTCGCCCAAGATGACATGGCTATTGATGAAGACAACGATGATGCTATTCAGGACGGTTTTGAGGCGGAAGAGTGAGTTTGTATGCAAGTAAGTAGCACGGTCATTCATAAATATCCAGCTAGGATTGCCGCTGGTATGTCCAAACGATAATGTTCTTCCCTGTGATAACTTTCCAGCTATGACTTCCCAACTCGATCTTCACAAGATACCACGACGTCACTCTAACCAAATTAGCAATGTCATAATGGCTTATCTTATGGTGGCAGACTTTTGGAAAAGCCGCAGAAAACCATTTATCAACCCAACGTGGACACCATGTGTGGCGTCATGTGATGTTATTAGCCAGCGGCTTGAGTTTCCAGTACGCGAGCCCACACACCCACTGTACGACGGAAGCACACCATGAGCCTTTTCTTATTTCATTGTGCTTACATGAACCCCCACGATTTTCATCGTTGGGTAAATCTAAATCCAGCCGAAGAAGGCATCAAGGACAAGCTAGGTAGTTGGGCAACATTTCGATAGCTTACGGCGGCACATAACCCTCACGGAAAAGGCCAGGCAGCCGTACTCTGAAGTGATGGGGCAATGATGTTGACAGCTCTGGAATAAACAACCTTTGTCTTGGACCATTCATGACTCGGATTCTGCTTGAGCTTTGCGCGTATGTGCCAGTACCTGTCAGGCAAAGCAGGATCATCAATTAGCAAACCAGGGTCATGCTTTCGCTTTAGCTGCATCTTTTAGAAATATTACTAGAGGCAACGGTTCAGCCCATGGTAAAGTGAGCTGGTAATCGAACGGCTCGAACCTTATTTCCTAAGCGTGTCAATTAGAGGGGAAACAACTGGGTTAAGGCCACTCTTCACGCTAACTCACCGCCACCTAAAAGAACAACTTTTCCGACATCTTGTCACAACTCTCCGAAAGGAAGCCCAACGTGGGCTTTGAAACTGCTTAGGCAACTATCAAACGCTCTTTCATGCCCTGAAATCAGAGTGCCAGATAGCATAGACTACTGCCCACGTGCCCGTCCCAAGGAAGAATTCGATGGAGATGTTCTTGAAATAGAGTCAAATACTGGTCAATCATCACCATCGGTGACGACCGATATTACGAAAAACACCGTGTCCTCTGGCAGCAAACCAAACCGGAATACATGAAGGAGATATCATTGCATTGTTCATCATGCCTTTGAGGCTGACATCAAGTCGTGTTCCCCAAAAGGTAGAGAACATCACGACCGAGGTGAAACCAGACGAGTGCCATCGGAATAACCCATGAGAACCACGACAAGTCAATACCCAGGATCGCATCTGAAGGCATTATGAAAGCTATTCTGGGCGGGAGTTCTGGGATACGGCGCTGAGAGCGCGACGTGGAGAAACTCTTCCTTGTCGCCGCGTAGGAGCCATGCAGGGCAAGGAACCAGCTTGCTGGGTGGCCATACGCCATATGGCCCGAATATTACCGTGGCATAGTGGCTCGATATCTTTGTGATACAAGTTGATGGCGAGAAGATTGCCGCTGAAGGTCAACAGTTCTTCATCGATGTTGACATGATCGATGTTGGAGAGAATTGCAAGTTGATCCTGAGCAACGGTGTTCTTGTTTGCCATCGGCTGCATTAAGTCAAGAACGTAAAAGTAAAGGATAGGGTGAATCGGAAAGTAGCATTGAAGAAGATCGAGTTGCCGCAAATTCTCAGAGGCAGAGACCTTGACTTCCCGCGGCGGCAATGTAGAATCGATGCGTGGAAGCAGCTGACCAACCCCGTCACCGTGCCGCAGGGTGCGAAACGCGGACCTAGTCAGACCTGAGTGATCTAGAGCTGAATGCTAGTTATACACGTCACTAAGTCGCTATGCTCGTTATTATGGCGCTAGGTTGCACGAATCCGAGGTAGCGGGTGGTCCAGCCGCAGCTGACAAGGACGCACTAAGTCCAAACAGGTGTAGACAAGCGTGCTGGAATCAAAATTGGGGGGCGTTTCGATGAAAAAGATCCTGCAAGTTTGAGTCGGTTAAAAGGCAGAACTATGTCCAAAGATATGAGATTAGTGAAGACAAGTTACGTCCGCAGCGATTAAGACAACGGAAGTTGGGCAGATCGTTGTCAGGCTAAACTCTCGGTCAAAAGTGAAAAAGCTCAGGGGTCCACCCCAACAGCAATAGGCGCGGACCACTTCGAAGGAAGAGACGCCGACCTTGAGCTTCTGGATTCTTGGTGATCCGTCAATTCATTGCAAAGGTCCAGTTCTCGGTCTTGCTTCGGTGTCGCCGGTAGGTGCATCGGACGAACTCAAGCCGAAGAAGTACCGGGATAGACTGTTGGAACTTTTTTTTAAAGACCGCGGCGATCTTTTCTCAGAAGAAGAATAGTCCAATGAAATCTGCCGTGAAAGGACGATCAGAAAGTGAGCTGATCTGGTTGGATACGATGCAGCGGTGTCCGTTCGACTTCGGATCACCTATCCTGCAGAGCAGGTGAGAGGTTATTGGTATACTAGTGTGAGTGGACTCTCGAAAGCAAAAGCTCGTTTGGTGGCGAGTGAAGCAGGCGTCAAGCTTCAGGCTTTCGATTCAAACATTCCTGCCTTTGCCAATGTCTTCGAATGCGCAACTCATCCAGGTCGGTTCAGTGACGAGTGTCAAATCCAGTCAAAACCAGTTTCTCGAGAAATATCACATTTGAGACGTCCGAGTTAAATTGCGAGAACCTTGAGGCTGATGAGATTGTCATGCCGTTGGCCACTACTTGTTCGAATCGAGAAGGTAGACCGAGGGTGTCTGAGCTGTGCCGCGCGGTGGACGGGTGACGAAAGGATTCACATGGAAAAGACCATTCCCTTTCGGCTACTTGGCGGCGATAGTGAGTCCAGGACATGGAAGAGGCAACTGAGGGGCGTGGGAATGGTAGCATGATATATGGAGCAAAGCAAACAGGCATCGGAATGAACTAGAATGGCAAATGATCCTTTGTCTGAAGAGCCATTCATATGTGAGTTAATAAGTTGTCTCTCTGCAAAAGCAGAAGAATTCTCCGCCTGTTCTCTCCACTCGATGCAAGTTACGATCTCTGAAAACAAGCCAGTCGGCCGCGGTTGAGGTGTACAGGAATACGATTCCGGGATAGTGAATTTTGCCGCCTCCCCCCGTGGTGTGTGTGGTGTGTGGATGATGTTGGAGTTTTCGGCTTGAGAACCTTGATGGCCCGGCCCGCCTCTCGCGGCTAGGCATAACCTGGGCGACGACATGGATGAGGCGTGGTGAGGGGGTGTGCAGACCACACAACTCAACCTGGCCGTGGGGGAAAACGAGGGAATCCCTGTTTTTTTTTCGTTTAGTTTCTCTCTCTCCGATCGTATGGAACAAGGGCACATCTTTACGTTTGCCAAGTTGACAGGCGCTGACGGGGAGGGATAAGCACGTTGTTGTGTCTCTCATAGGCTTGGCGATGTGAGGGGGGGTTGAGGACCAACCACCATGAATCGACGAATTGATCCTCGTAATTCTGTTTACCTTGTGCCAAGAAGTAGTAGCCTGTACCTTTTAGACCCTGTAATTTTTATTTGCGCGCGACTTATTTTCTGGGTAATAGTTCACTTGGCGATCGGAACCTTCACCAGCCTGACCTTGAGCTCATGCGTATATATCCTCCTCACCTCAACTTCTGCCCACCCTTCTTAATTCTTTTTACCTTCCACGCCTCAGCTCGCATTCATTCGCTGCTTATCTGATAAGTACTTACTTTCGCTTTTACCCGAAGCTATCCCGAGATACCGAAATCCCGTTTCCAGCTCCCAAACCACCACCAAAATGAAGGCTGCTCAGATCCTCGCCATCCTTGGCTTCTCTGCCATCTCCATGGCTCAATCTCTTGCTCCCTCGCCTACTGAGAGCATTGGCTGCGTCCCGCATGATGACCACGCGCGTTTACCTCTCTTCTACTCGTTGTGGTTGTATTCTAACAGTTTGTAGTGGCACTGCGAAGGTCCCCGCGAGACCGGGGCTGCAGCCAGCTCCGCCAGCGTCAGTCTCGCCCCCTCGCCCACTGAAAGCCAGGGGTGCTCGCCTCATGGAGATCACTGGCATTGTGAGGGCCCTCGTGTTACGACTGGTGCCGTAACTGGAACCACGTTGAGCACCGCCGTGGCCGTCACCACCACCGCCGCGGACCATGATCACGACCACGACGATGACCACTCATCTGGAAGCGCCAGTCTTCCCCCTTCTCCTACCGGAAGAGGAAACTGCAGCCCTCATGTTGACCACGTCAGTTTGTTCCTATCTGCTGGCTAAAATGTTGATTCTAACGTTTACATAGTGGCACTGCGACGTCCCGGCCACCAAGGCCGCCTCCAGTGTCTCCGGCACGGCCCCGGCGACCACCAACGCTGCTGCCACCACCGCCGGCAACAGCACTTCTCCCACTCCCACTGCTGTCCCTGCCGGCGCTGCCCGCGCTGGCTTCGGTGCTGCTGCCATCGTCGCCGCTCTCATGGCCTTCTAAGCTGGTGCGGATCGGGTCATGTTGACCCCACTGATGAAGAAGCGGAACATGTACCTTATGACGGGAAAAATCACGCGGATTCGGAATCACGAACATGATATTGGGACGGAGGTTTTTGGCATGGCACATCGGGATATCAAAAACGGGAACATACATTTGATTCTGTTTTCGCCATAGGCGTTTACCTTTCTTTTTCGTCTCCGGGATGGAGACGAGTAATACCTTGTAGCATAAAACCAACGAATATGGCATTTACTCTTATTTATCTGTCAAGTCATTGTGAGTTTAGCATGTTGCTGTATGAGATTGCCTGTTGAGTAAGGCTCACTACAAAGTAAACTCATGTCCAAATCAACATAGCACATTCAGTGAGAAGAGATTAATGAGAGTCTTCTCAAACCTTTAACTTTTATGAAGCTTGCACTATGTTTTTGAGTTTTCAAGGCTGAGTTGGCGGTGACACTTTCACCCCTCGTGTTCATCCAGTGCCACACGACAATCACCGCATGAACATCTAGCACGCCACACAACTTGAGACGGGCCGCAACACAGACCAGGCAAAGACCCGAGAGCGTGGTTAAGCTCATATAATCACGGGTAGAAAAGCATGCAACCCTACGCAACTGTAGCCGTTGCGGAAACGACGCACATCACCCGGGGAACGCCATCCGGAATGAAGATTGCAGGTGTCTCTGGAGTCCCCTGAATTCAGGGCAAGTGAGGTTATCAGGGTGTCAACACCAAACCAGAACATCACGTAGGGAATTTTTTTTTGGCGTAGAGGCTGCGAGATGGGATAGTGACCAGAGGGTCTGCTGCAGGGAAGAGTGGGCAAAGCAGCTTTGGGCTATACATGGCGCAAACTCAGATCTCACTACTTTGGGTTCTCACCGCGACATGGGCCATGCTGCATGCGTGAGGAAAATGTCTCACCCTGTCAGCAACCCAACCAACCAACTCGCTCATGCGGTTAACATGTCTTGATGTGTCACGCAAGAATTCTCGCAGCGATTACGGGATAAGGTTGGAAGCCATATTCGTGCTATTCTGCTAGCATGCAGATGTAGGATGGATCAAGGACATGGGGTTCGGGGGTGTGCGACAATATTCTTGGCATTGTGACTGCAGCCAGTGAGGCGAGAATCGAGTAAACTGAACCGAGGATTGGACGGGTTTTGCAGCATCACCATCATATTGTTAGTCCATTTGTTGGCGATGATGGTCCTTTAGAAGGTCTTGGCACATATTCATCGCCCACTTTATTAACCATCAAGGTTGAAAGGGAACCTTTGAAAGGTAAGAGGGTCAAGTAACTGCGGGGGGTTGGGGGTAGCTACATAGGGAAGCCATAGAAGGAAGGAATGGGCTACGGGTACGCTAGAGAAGAAGATTAAAAGTAAGAATAAAACTTGAATTAAAAAAAAAAAAAAAAAAAAAAAAAGAGAATCATGGAGAAGTCGAGACAGAGGAGAAGGAAGGGACGTTGCTTTGCGGTTGCGGGTTCCGTAGAGGCCATCAAGGTCCTCAAACCTGACGTGCATGTGGCAGGCACCATTGGTCCAAAACGGCATGTGGATCCAGGTTTCCTGCACCCTGGTTCGCCGGGGCATTGGCGGCTCCAATCAGGGCTGAGCAAGATACCAGCTGGACCAGCTAGAGCGGGCAACAGCAAGACACACCACACACATCGTGACTTCCACAACTGCAAGCTGACCCCAGGAGGCCATCCGGGTGCTCAGCCTTGGCAACGGGTCCTTCAGCCTTGGCATTCAGACCGCGTCGTTTTTGGCTCTTTCCTTCCTTCTCTTCCATAGTCCACATGTCCACATTTTTATTCCCAGCAAACATTCACACCCCCGGTGTCTCTCTCATCACCCACATCCCACGTCCCCATGTCCCACGATTCTATCCCAACTTTGCCATGGCGATTCGACAGCTGTCCACCCACAGTGGCACAATGGCGCCCAATGAGTTCATGGATCATCCCTCGGCCGTGAGCTGAACTCTTCCGACACACCCCCAAATCACCTCGTCCATGATTGGCGCGCTGTTCCCTCACTGCTGGAAACATATACCGAATAGAGGGAAATCATGGTGCTGGAACCGGCCCAGCCGCTGGCTCCAAACCTACCAGGTTGGCGATGCTCGCGTGGAGACGACGCAGTTAGGCCCAGTAAACCATTCCTCCGAGACACCACTTTCGTTGCGTAAAGGAAACGGTTACGATTTCCACCGAGTTTAGGCCCTTATTGGATGTCATCCTCACTGATACGGGATTGCCTACCTAGGACGGAAAAAGAGGGGAGGGCAAAATCGTTTCGACGTTAGAGGCACAAAATGAGAAGGAAAAAAAAAACACTAAATCTCGGCATGGCATATTCGACAGGGGTCTAAATCCATGTCTTCATCACGCTCTTTTGCCGCACCTGTCCGACTACATTCTTCTTCTTCCAACACCTATACCTGTCGACCATCATCCAATCCTCCACCTCCCTCTCCCTCCTTCCGACTGCCTGTCCCTCTTGAGAAGTCATCCCGCTGCCCTGCGACCTCTCATTGACCGACCCCCCAATCTTATCCCACTTCGGTCAGGCAGTCTTCTCGGCGAATTCACCTCTGAACCCCCGTTCGCCGCCTCTCAAGGTGCTCATTCTTGACATCCTCCACCCTTCCCGGGACCAACCTCGCTTCATCCCGGCCGCCTCAGTCCCGGTCTCATTCCCATAAAGCAGCCGGCTGAGAACCCTCCGATAAGCCGCAACTTGAGACCATCTGCAGAAGCAGTCGCAGCACCAGCTTCCAGCCTTGGACTTCAAGCAACTCAACTCAGCCCTGTCAAGTCCGGCACAGACAAGGTCCTAACTCGTTTCTCATTTTACACCCCCTCGAGAACGCCCTAATCCCATCATCATGGCAAGGTTCTCTGTTGCCGCCGTTGCGGCTCTCCTGAGCACCGCTTCCGCGTCCCTTGTCGCACGACAGACGGCTGCTGCCAGTACCACTGCCGCTGCAGCTTCGACTCCTACGGCCATCTCGCAGTGTGCAGTCACCTCTTCTACCCAGTAAGTAATTTTGGCGTCGACCTCATTTCCCGACTCACTTATAACTATGAAGATGCCCGCTCACACTCACGCAGAATCTGCAAGGCTGGCACGACTGAGTTCAGAGTTGCCTCCACCCCTACTGGCGCGTTGCCCAGCTCATACACAGGATGTCACCCGCACTTGTGAGTTTCATCGCCGTTATATTGGCGTTCGCTTCACTCATTCTTTATGCTAGATACTGCTTCTACGATGGCGGCGAGGTTCCTGTCTCGCCCGTTAACGCCCCTGCTGCCACAGCCGCAGCAACGACTACTCATGCTGAGGCGGGCGCCGCCACTGGTGCCCCTACCGCCGTATCAGACTGCCATCTCCATGGCACGAGTGTCTTTTGCATGTGGGGTACCTCCGAGTATCAGGTCATGACCACGCCCACCAACACGGCCGCTTCCGCTATCCCTACCGCCTTTACTGGCTGTCACGCTCATGGTTCTGACACTTACTGTCTTGCCCCGAACGGTGACGATGTTCAGATCGTGGCCGAGGGCGCCACGTCCTCCGACTCCGGATCTGGCCACGGCGAGGAACCCCAAGGAGAGAACTGCCACTTCCACGCTGGTGTTGAGCACTGTGTTGGTGCTGGTGAAAGCGAGAGCGGGGGTACGAGAAACTGCGCAAAGGTTGCTCGCGACTACAACATTCCCCTTCGAATCGGTCTTCTCTTCGTCATTCTCGTCACCAGTGCTTTCGGTGTCTACTTCCCCATCCTTATGATCAAGTGGATGCCTACCAAGACGCACACAGTATTCCTCATCCTTAAGCAGTTCGGTACCGGTATCATTATCTCTACCGCCTTCGTTCACCTGTACACCCACGCTCAGCTTATGTTTGCCAACGAGTGCTTGGGCGAGCTTGGATACGAGGGAACCACGTCTGCTATCGTCATGGCTGGTATCTTCCTTTCCTTCCTTGTTGAGTACTTGGGAAAGCGTTTTGTGATGGCCAAGGTTGCTGCCAATCCTACTGCTGTGTCCCGCCTGTCTCCCGAGACCGTCACTGTTTTGGTTCTCGAGTGCGGAATCATCTTCCACTCCATCCGTAAGCCGTCCAAACCTTGCTCTTGCCAATTTCAACTAACAAAAATAGTCATTGGTATCACCCTTGTTGTTGCTGGAGACAGCTTCTTCATCACTCTGTTCATCGTCATCCTCTTCCACCAAATGTTTGAGGGTATCGCTCTCGGAACCCGTATCGCCCAGCTCGGCGAGCGTTCCCCCGAAATGACCCAACGCCCCGCCGCTCCCACCGAAGTTGAACAGACCTCTTCCGCTCCCGACAGCCTGAACTCCCTCAAGGCGCCTACCTTCTCCCTCGTTAAGAAGCTCCTTCTCGCTTCTCCCTTTGCTGTTGTCACTCCCATCGGCATGGCTATCGGCATTGGCGTCCTGCAGCAATTCAACGGTAACGACCGTAGCACCATCCTTGCTATTGGAACTCTTGACGCCGTGTCTGCCGGTATTCTCGTCTGGGTCGGTGTGGTGGAGATGTGGGCTGAGGACTGGATGCACGGCGATGCTGAGCTCCTCCGCACTAGCCCCATTGTCACTTTCCTCGCTGGTTTCGGCCTGATTTCTGGCATGATCATCATGAGCGTGCTCGGCAAGTGGGCTTGAGCAGTTTGAGAGTCTCGAATGAATATGACGCCAATGGTAATGAATATGGTGCCTGTTAGCAGTGCACCCATAATGGGATGGGAATGGGAAAAGTTTGGCATGACATTGCATGGATTCGGTCCTTTGTTTTAGATAGATATTATACCCTAAACGAGTGTAATGATGTTTTCTCCCTCGTCTTCACTTTTAACAAGGTCGACCGCCTCCCCTTGCATGATGCCATGCAGATATACCTCGCCGATCAAGACGTGACTGTTCTCACCGGAAGGCCGGAGGATATAACGTCCCACACCCACTTCTGGGCACCCCCCACATTTGGGCACCCCATTTACACCAAAAACGCCGTTTTTCGAAATTCTATATTAAACTAAATACTTTACTTATTAAAGAGAATAAATATATGTTAAATAGATTAAGACTTAATTATAATACTTAAGTAGCTATATACTAGTATTATTAATAATAAGTATTATAAATTCAAGGTTTAACATTTATAATACTAATTTACCTAGCCTATATCTTAATATATAAAATAGGTAGAGATATTTAACTAATATGATTAGAATTTTTAAGTAAGATATAGTAGATTTATATATTCTTATACTTAGTAAAAAATTCTTTAAGCTTAGAATAATATTTTAAAATTTCCCTTAAGAAAAGTTTCTATTATAGAATTTTAACCCTTAATTATACTATATTTACTAAAGTAATACTTTTAAATCTCTTTTAGATATAATTATATACTTTTAATAAGTATAAATATTAATTTCCTAGATTTTTTAAATAAGTATATATAAGCGAAAATATATTTTTCTAATGTTAAGGAATACTAGTAAGTTACTAGTATCTACTAACATTTTAAAGCTTTTAGTTTTAAACTTCTATATTATAACTATTATTATATTTAAACCTTTATAAAAAATTAGATGGCTATAATTATACTTAACATAGTTTATATATATTTTCTTTTCTTAGTAAGTATAGTAGTTAGTTTAATATAGAATTTCGAAAAACGGCGTTTTTGGTGTAAATGGGGTGCCCAAATGTGGGGGGTGCCCAGAAGTGGGTGTGGGACGTTAGAACATGTCGGCTCCAGGGATGAGCCATACAATGTCACCCTTTTCGGCCTCTTCTGGCACGATACTGACGAAGCCACGGCTCGTACGCGCGAACCGCCGACGATTGAGCCGACCTGTCATTGCCCGGTTCATTTGCCAGTCTTCCTGGATGAACATGGGAAACTTTGAGGCGTTGCGCGAAAGTTGAATGATTTTGGGATGCGTCTCGACGCCCGCCGCCGCCCGGAAAGCCTGATGCACCGTTTCTCCCGTCGGCTCATACTTTTCCCCTGGGTTGTGCAGGGCGTATGTCGGGTACTCCTTTTTCTCGCCCATGTCGCGCGAATCAAACACATCCCATAGCTCAGTGACGGTGTCGACGCGCACGACACCCTTGAGCTGCAGCTTGTCTTCGTCGATAATGCTCCATGACCGCTCGCCGTCCGCTGGCGAAAGTCCGCGGCTCGCGCAAACTTCCGAAAGCCCGGTCTTGGGATCGCGGCAGATTATTTTCCGCGGAAAAACGCGCCAGTCGGGGACCCATGACGGGAGGTCTGGCGACGTACCGTATCGGCAGATTTCGAGGATACTAAAGGGCCAGAAGTCTATGTTTTCCAGGAGGTACCGCGCGACGGCCGTATAGAGTTGGCGGACCGTGAGGGAGTAGTCTACTTTGAAGAGCGGCGCGCTGCTGCTGCCTTTGTGAGAGTGGACGAGGTTCAGGGGCGCGTAGATGCGGTCTCGCGGATCGGTTGCGTTGAGTTGGCGGAAGGATGTGAGGAGGGAGAGGATGTTGAAGTGTCCGCTTTCCCCTTTCAGACCTTGCCTCGGGGGTGTCTTGTCTTCGTTGTCGTCATCATCATCCGCTTCTGCACTGTTTACCCCTTTCTCGAGACGAAGTCGTCGATACCCCATCCTATTCCACTTTTCAATCTTTGTAACCTGCCGCACCGACATGTCTATCCATAAGAAGTCCTTGCGTTGTCGCTGGAGAGAGTTGCGCATTCGCTCAAAGACCTGGAGGTATAGCGTTGTAGCCGGCAGAAACGCGGTGCGGTCAATCCAGACAGTGCCCGACAGGAAGACGCCGAGTTTCGTCGGCGCAGAGTACTCCTGGACCGTCCACACCCGCTCCCAATATACCGATACATACACTTTGACAGCGGCGCGGATGTCGGCAAACCGGTCCTGGACGTGGCTAGTTAGAATCTCGGGGTTTTGAGGTCTCTCTCCCACCATCTGCGGCGGTGCGTACGGGTCTTCCGGGCCGCTCATGAAGTACTTTGAAAAGGCGTGGTCGCCCAGTTCGCGGAGGTAGAGCAGGCCATCGCCGAGGTCCGGACCAAGCCAGGTTAGTACGAGGTCTGCGGCGGAGTATATCTCGCGCATGCGGGCGACCTGGTGGTTCCGCTCCAGCGTGTCATTCTGGTTGATGCAGATGGCGTCGATCCAGAGGGGTACCACGTCCGAGGAGTCTAGGATGACGCGGATGTGCAGGAGCGCGGAGTGGAGGTTCTTGGTTGCGTGGAAGATGTGGTTGTCGACGTGGATCGGGAGCGTATCTATGGCATCGCCCCAGACGTATGATAGCGCCGTGTAATTCGAGTGTGCTTCTGAGGTTGAGACGATTTCTGTGGTGAGGGTTATGGGGGAGGAGGGCGGTCCCGGATGTAGCTTTACGAGGCGGATTTCGCCGTCTTTTAGACGTGTATAGGGGACTGGCGCTTCAGATGGGGGCTCTTTTTGTTTGAAGAGTCTTTTGAGAAGTGATGATTTCTTCTTGTCTACGATTAGAGGGATGGGTGGAATCGAGGTGTTGGGTGTTAGAGTAGACATTGCGGTTGAGGGGATGTCAAGACGTCAGTCTGGGATGTTGTATGTTTGAGTGATGGGTCCTGGTTATATGAGGAATAAGCTTGATGCTTAAACTTGATCATTGACGTCAGGGAAGGGTGAGGCTTCAGAGATGTCAGATTACCCAATCAGGCAACAGTGTTACTGTTGCGACAGTTGGAATACGGAGTCGTGTAGCACTTCCAGCCACACGCCCGCCAGGCTGAGAGGCCCAAGCCTCCCAGACCCACGTGACAGGCCAAGGGGGAATATCCCCACCTTCTAGTCAACAACACCACTTTCAACTATCATAAACCATCGATTAGAACCAATTTACTATTATTTGTTATTAACAAACGGAATTCCGTTTCACCCCTTGTAAAACCTATACTGATCAGTAGTAAACCTTATAGTTGCTATTAATTTGGTTAACTTTATAATTACTACTCTGCTACGGATAAACCGTAGATTAGCAAGGTTAATACTAGAAGAGACGACTTCTTAAACTAGATACCTAAGCCTAGGTAAAAGTAGGGATTTCGTACTAACGAGAGAAGAAGCGAGAGTAACTAGGATCTACGGAAACTAGTAGAAGAAAGCTTCTTTTCCTTGAATCTACTAGTAATCCGATTATTCGAGTAACCTAGGGACTGTTATGCTTACCTTAGGCAGGATAAGGTTAATCGTAGCTAATTATCGCTAGCAAGAGCGTTCTATCACGCGTTTTCAATTATTAGAAGAAGAAACCTACCGAATCGACGGTCTTCTAACCTCTTTACGTTATAAAGGCGAAGATTTACGAATCTTATAAGGGATAATAACTTCCTTAACTATAACTATCCCCTACGCGCGGTGCTAATTACAAAGCGCCTGCTAGTTTCTTAATAAATCCCTAGACAAAGTACTAACTGCGAGGCGTTTGCTATAAAAGACCTCCCTACTAGAAGAAAAACACGCCGAAAGGCAAGTAAAGACTACTAGTAGTAATCCGCCTATATAGCTATATATATACGCCTCCGAGGCTACGGCTTAAGAGAAACGTATATAGTTATAAGCGTTATAAAGCTAACTATCTACTAGATTCTAAACTTCCTAATAATAAGGAGCAAAGCTTGAAGTAAGAAAGAGAGATTTATAAGAGAATCTATAGTAAAACTCTCTCCTTACTAATTCGAGACCTATATATACCCTTATACCCTTCGAGAATATTAGTAAGAACGGCGCTGATAGAAATAAACGACGAACCGACGAAAATCCCCGATTTTACGATTCTTTCCCCTTAGAATCGTAATATCCCGAATCGCCTTTTAACTCCTACTTCTAGGCTTATATCTTATACTAATCGCAGCTAACGCTATTAAGGATTAGAATTTAAGATTCTAAATAGAAGTAATCCTTTTATACTATTAGAATAGAGCGAAATTTATAAGAAGGATTGCTTATAAGTAGCGTTACTACTAAAAGCTAATTAATAGTCCCTATCCTATAGAGAATCGAAAGTATAATCGATCTAGTAGTATAAGGCAACTAGGCAATCGACCTTATAAACGCTAGCCTATAGCAACTAGGTTCCTATATAGGTTTCCTACTTAAGACTTATAAGAAGAGGAATCTTATAAGCCTTAAGCTATAGAACGAAGTTTCTCCCGATTTCGCCGACTAGTTAGAAGAAGACTTCTAGAATATACCTCCCCTAATCCTACGATTTTTTAAAGACTATTTAATCGGTAACGGCGTCTACGTCGAAATAGATAGCAAGAAAATCTCGAAAAACATAGCATTAGCCTTTAAAAAGGAAGAATTCTACTACTAGTCACCTTAAGAACTCGAACAAGGCGTTAAGAGATATCGCAACCTGAAGGCTTTAATAAAAGACCCCGAATTCTACGAAGAGATTACGAGACTAGCAATAGTAGCTAACAGTATAGGAGGAAGAGTCGAACCAACCCTATAGCTACCTCCTCTATAAGAATAATAATAGTAGTAACTACCGTACCGACCGCTATATCCTACGGTCTCTCCGTTAACAGACTTCTAACTATATAAGTTAACAGACCGTATCGGAAAGTAATTAATAGAATTCGCGAAACTATACCCCGACGATATAAAATATAGTAGCGATATATACGATATACTCGAAAAGAAGATGCTAGTATTCGTAGATTACTATAGAATGCTAGGAATTTATACCTCCTAATATAATAAGGTACTTCCCCTAATACTAAAAGAAATAGCTAAAACCTACTTCTACGCCTTGATTAAAGTAATTAACCTATAGCCTAACTTCGAGACTATAATTAACTAATTAAAATTATACTTCGAGACTAGGGAAAGGCAATAAGCGTACGTTACGTAGTAGAATATAACTACTCTTCCCTAAATTATTCGCGATAACCTTAGAAAGACTAAATCGGAGTATTTTAACATACTATATAATAAATTAAGCAAGATTCAGCCCGGTTTGCTATAATAAGATCATAACGACCGATCCCTCTATACCTAACTTCTACACGCTTGTAGAGATATTCTAGAGTATATAATAGCGTTATTTATACCGGCTAAGACGTACGAAGGACTTCGTAGCTAATTAATCTCGTCGATCGAGACAGCTACCCGTCTTAACTAATAATAATTCAACATAGTAGCCAACCTACTAAAGTAGTACTAGACCGATAGAACTTTTAATAGTCGAAGGCGTTATTTACGATATAGTCGTTTATTACGAAGTCGATCATTACGAAGAAGAAGCCGTAACAGACCCTTATTACCGCTAACGCCTAAGAAGTACTACGTATATAGAAAACCTAACTACTAGTCAACTAAACATACTATAGAAGAGAGACGAAAAGCGTACGAGAAGTTTAAAACTACCTAATATGCCTAGGATACGTTACTTCTAGCATATAGCTAATTTCTCGTCTAATACGAGGGTTTCGACGGGTTAGACTTATAACCTACCGCCGAAGACCCTTAGCAATACTACTACGTAACTAAACAAACTAGTAAAGGTAACGAAGAGGAAGAGACTAGTAGCGATAGTCAATTCTAAGTTACCGCTTATTTTACTATAATAGCAATTAACGGCAACAGGATCGCTACGATCCTAGCAGACTAGTCAACCTGCTATGCTATTACGAAAGAAGACTTCTTCCGTAACTAACTAGAACCGAAAAAGCTACCTTCGCAATTTATACTCGAGGGACGCTATTCTGCCTAGAACTTCTAAGGGATTATGCCCGACTCGGGCATAGCAGGATTCTCAACCGCTAGCCACCTACAATTCGTAGCCCTATAACAAATTTACAAAGGAATTACGTTAAATACTAAGGCGGCTAGTAGCGTTATAGTAAAATTCGGCGATAGGATACTACTAGAGTCTATAGGGACTACTAAAGTGCTAACGCCGTTTAAAAGCGTTAAATTTCACGTTATTAAGACTAATACTCCCTTCCTTATATACCTAGGAGATATAGACCGATTAAAAGTCTACTTTAACAACGTTACGAATACCCTTATCTAAGGAAACAAGGTCGTACCTATTATTCGCAAATAAGGCTACCTATAGTTATTACTTAATAAGGAGAAACTACTTGCTTAGAACTACCTTATAGACGCTAAATTGCGACGGGTTTACTATCGCTTCGGATACCTATCTATTTAACGATTATATAAAGTACTCTAGAAGGCTAGCTACCTAGTTAAAATTACGGTAATTAAGTAACTATCGAAAGTCTGCTATCGATACTAAATATATATACTAGCGCTATTACGGTTTAAATTTACGTTACGAGACGATTACGAATTTAACTACGAGGTTATTACCGACGTAATATACCTTAAGGGTAATAGACCGGTCTTCTACGTCGTCGATACCGCTATAGCGTTTAACGCCGCCTGGTTCCTTAAGGATATTTCTACGAAAGCTACTTAGGAAGCCTTACGCCTCTGCTAGATAGATGTATATCAGGGACCCCTAGACTAGCTAGTTACCGACGCTAGAACAAACTTCTGCTTAATAGAATTCCGAAACGCAGCGAGAGGAATAGCAATTAAAATCAAGGAAATTCCTATAAAAGCCTATAATAGTATTAAGAAAGTTAAACGATACTATATACCTCTAAGGAGGGCGTACGAAATCATTAAAGCAGAAGACCTAATAATTACGCTAGAATCAGCACTTTAAATAGTAGTTAAAGCAGTTAACAATACTATTAGCCCGAACGGAATAATGCTAATACTCTTAGTATTCGGCTTATACCTACGAATTACTAACGATTTACTACTATCTCCCGAAGTTATAAGGCAGGCGAAAGCGATTAAGAAGGCGATAAGCGAAGTATATAAACTTTACGTAAGGCGATAGGTAGTAGAAGCTATCGCTACCTATAATAGCCTTAATATAAGGCTAATTATTAATTTACTACTATAGTTATAAGTATAAGTATAGCGCGAAAAGAAAGGCTAGACCGGACTATTTACTTTAGTAGCTATAAACGGCGAAACCTATACTATCGATATACTACGTAGTCTAAAGACCTTCCGGTTTACTATAGTTAAACTATACTACGAAGATCCTAATTAACTACTTAATTCTATCGCTACGCTAGAAGAAGAAGAACCTAAAGCTAAGATACCGTAGTAGGAAGTAGTACGCGACGAAATTATCGTCGCTAGCAGAGGTAGTAAACCGGACGAACCGCAAGAGGCACCGGAGCTACCGAGAAGACGCCTAGGCAGACCCTAGAAGAGACTACTACTAATCGCCTACTTTATAAAGGAATTTAATAATAACCCGGATTATTAATAAATATTCTTATCGATTAAAAAGTAAGTAGACGAAGAATTAGTAATCAAACTATAACGAGAAAGTATTATTACTATACTAAGTAAACCGTTCGAATAGTTAACTAAATAAGAGATTAATAGCCTTATCGCTAGAAGAGTAACGTACATGATAAGCGAGTGAGACAGACAAGCGAGTGAGACAGTAAACCGCGACCGTCGCACCTTGACGCGACCGGCACCTTTTCCTCTACAATAAATCATGGAATCAGCTAGTATTGAAAGAAGGTTACAAATTGCCCTTCAAGCAATGAGAAATGACCCAAAACTTAGTGCTCGGGCCGCAGGTGCACTCTATACAGTCAGTCACGCAACATTAAGCCGGCGACTAAAGGGAATAGTCTCACGACGCGACAGCATGCCTAATTCACGGAATTTATCAGATTTAGAAGAGAAGACAATAGTTGAGTATATTCTCGACCTAGATGCGCGATCATTTCCTCCCCGGCTGAGTGGTGTGGAAGAAATGGCCAATCGACTTCTCGCAGAGCGCGACGCGCCTCCAGTTGGGAAGCGCTGGGCTTCTAATTTCGTCAAGCGACAACCACAGCTTAGGACGCGTTTCTTTCGCAAGTATGACTATAAGAGAGCTCAATGCGAAGATCCAGAGGTGATTCGTGGCTGGTTTTCGCTTGTGAAGAATACAATTGCGAAGTATGGTATTGCTGATGCTGATATCTACAACTTTGATGAGACCGGCTTTATGATGGGCGTTATTGCTTCTGGAATGGTTGTTACAAGTGCTGAAAGGCGTTCAAATACGAAGATGACACAGCCTGGCAATAGGGAATGGGTTACAGTTATCCAGGCTATTAATTCCCAAGGGGAGAGCATCCCGCCATACATCATCGTTGCAGGCCAGTATCACCTCTCAAGCTGGTATACAGAAACCTCTCTTCCGGGCGATTGGGCTATTGCAACGTCTGAAAATGGATGGACAACAAACGAGAGAGGTATTGACTGGATCAGACACTTCGACATTTATACAAAACCACGTACGTCTGGGAAATATCGCCTCCTCGTTGTTGATGGTCATGAAAGTCACCACTCCGCAGCCTTCGAGCTCTTTTGTCAAGAAAACAACATTATTACACTGTGCATGCCGGCTCACTCGTCTCATCTACTTCAACCCTTAGATGTTGGTTGTTTTCAGCCGTTAAAGAATGCCTACGGTCGGCAAATTGAGAATAAGATGCGGCGAGGCACAACCCATATCTCGAAGGAAGATTTCTTTGCAGCATTTCACGAAGCTTTTAAGCAGTCTTTTACGAGGAAAAATATCCAGGGAGGTTTCCGAGGAGCTGGACTTGTCCCTTTGAATGCAGAAAGTGTTCTCTCAAAGCTGGATGTAAAGTTCCGAACGCCAACGCCTGAGGAGGGGGTCCCTCAGACACCAGACCCTTGGATCTCTAGGACGCCGAGCAACCCAAGCGAAGCAAGATCACAGTCTACTTTTATTAAGAGTCGAATCTCACGCCACCGAAGCAGCTCTCCAGCATCAATTTATAGTGCTGTGAGTAAGCTAGCCAGAGGGACAGAAGGACTAGGGCATCGGGTAGCATTACTAGAGTCAGAGGTTCAAATCCTTCGAGAGGAGAATGCAATATTAAGTCGGCGTCGAAGGGCTAAGAAAACACGTCTACAGAAAGGAGGAAGTCTTACTATATCTACTGGAGAGGATATACAGTCGCAAAGAGAGGCAGACACGCAACTACAAGAGGAAACGCGACGGAGTAGTGGTCGCAAAGTGAGGTCTGAGACGACTCATCGTCGGTGTGGCGTATGCGGGAATACAGGCCACAACGCGAGAACATGTCAATTTATTGAGGAAACATCCGAAGAACAGGAATCCGAGTAGTATTAATCAATCTAAGATTTCTTGTTATAGATTTCGATATTATTGTCGCGAAGGTCTGGTTTACTGTCTCACTCGCTTGTCTGTCTCACTCGCTTATCATGTACGTTATTTAAATTTACTTAGTTTAATAAGAGAAGGTATTAGAACGTACGAATCTTCCGATCTCGTATCGTTAACAAAGTTAAAAGTAAAACAACTAAACCTTACGAGAAATCGAGACTTATAATATAAGGTTATGCCGACGATAGTAAGAAGGCTATATTAACCTAATCGCTAACGATTTAGCAAGCAAGTTAATAGCTAATTCTATTAATTACCTTATTACTCCTACGAGAAGGGAAATAACTATAGCTTCGAGATATTATATAAGCCTACGTTTAATCCTTTATAAGGCTTAATCGTACTATTCTCGCCTACCTACCGAAGCAAATTCAAGACTAGTACCCAAAAGGGACTATTATGGAGGTTATAAAGCCTTTGTACGGAATCGCAGAAGCTAGAACCTACTAGTAGGCAACGTATTATAAGCATTATAGAGAGAATCTCTAGATAGTTACTTCTTCGTACGATCTATGACTATTGATCTTATCTACCGAAAATCTATACTTTGGCTATATCGGTATATAAACCGACGATACCCTCGGTTTATTAGACAAGGCGTTCTTATAATTAGAAGACGAATAGTTAGAAAAAGCAGCTTTTATAATAAAAGCGAAGAATATCCTTATAATTAACAAACCTTTCTAATTTAACAGAGGGATAATCGCGCTGTTAACCGATAATTCGATTAATTTAAAGCAAAAGGGATAAGCTAAGAAGTTACGATATATTAAGACTACTAAACCTAACCTAAAATAGTAATATATCGAACAACGCGCTAGAGGGGCGTACATCGCGTTAATTTGCTAACCCGAGGCTTGTTTCGATTTATCTACTACTGCCTAATACTAAGACCCCTTGCTAGAAGCGATAAAAGTACTAAATTAACGGATTCGATAGCAAATAGAATCGCCTAACCGAGGAATAACGTTTATCCTACTCGACCTTATAATAGCTAAGCTATTCGTTTTCGTTAATAAGTCGTTTGCTAATAACTACGACCTCTCCTCCTAATTAGGGTTTCTAATTATCCTAGCTAACGATACTTCCTCTAATAGTAATAACGGAGAATTTACGATTTATAATAACCTTGTTTATTATAGCTTTACGAAAAGTAAATAAGTTACCCGTAGCGTATTAGCGTTAGAGATCTACGGGATAGTCGCTAGCGTCGATATAGCCTACGCCCTCGCTATAACCCTAGCGATAATTACTAACTACCTTAACCTACTAACGATTTAGATAGTTATCTATACCGATTCTTATTCGCTATATAAGTATCTCGTAAAGCTAGGTACTACTAAAGAAAAGCGACTTATAATCGATATCATAGCGTTAAGATAATCGTACGAAAGACGAGAACTATAAGAAATTCGTTAGATTAATAGCGAAGACAACCTTACTAATACCCTTACGAAGAGCAAACCAAATCAAGCCTTCGAGAGATTCGTTAATAGCAATACGATAACGATACGTATAGAGGGATAAGTAATAAGACCGTAACTACGGGAGAAAGTAGGGATAGGAGGCCGAATTAACGAGGAGACGGAACTATATAGGGATAACGTATTCCAACCGCTTCAACACCATAAAAAGAGAGTTTCCAGTGTTGCGATAGTTGGAATACGGAGTCGTGTAGCACTTCCAGCCACACGCCCGCCAGGCTGAGAGGCCCAAGCCTCCCAGACCCACGTGACAGGCCAAGGGGGAATATCCCCACCTTCTAGTCAACAACACCACTTTCAACTATCATGAACCATCGATTAGAACCAATTTACTGTTATTTGTTATTAACGAACGGAATTCCGTTTCACCCCCTGTGAAACCTACAGTTACACTGAATCCTTCGATATAGGTGTGGCTGTGCAACTGTAGAAGGATGTAGCTGGGTTGCATGAGATGACTCTCGCTGTAAATATGAAGAGGATTTCTTGTCTTCAAGTGACATTTTAGTACTTTAACATACAGACAGCACGTATATTCATCAATATGTTTTGTCCAAACCCCTGATATTGCAGTGATTGTTAGTATTATAGTCTTAGTTATTTTGTATAGTACCTAGGTAGCAGCTGAAGCTGAGTCTAGGTCTAATCTATCCAGAAGCATCATTCTTAGTCTATAGCTGCGACTTCCATCCACCCTCCGACTCAAAAATCTTTGCGGCAGCCTTGGCGACCGTCAAAAGGTGTCGGTCGTGGTAACGGGGAGCAACCAGCGACACTCCCACCGGCATTCCGTTGGGTCCCCCGAAACCAATGAGATTGACTACGGGCACATGGAGAGCCTGAACTGGTCAGCAAGAATCATCACAGCACTTCAGATGACTTACTGTCCATGGAGCGTTAAAGGCAGCACTGCCTGTGCTCTCAATACCTTCGGGCGCCTCATCCACCGAGCTCGGCACCAGGACGGCGTCGTATTTGGCCAGCATCTTGTCCGCCTTGGGGCGCGCCAACGAAATGTTATCGAATGCTTCCAACTGCTGCGCCCGGGTAATCTTGTTCTCGTTTTCCACGTGGCCAATCAGGAACTCATGCAACTTGTCCTTACCAACCCGGTATTCCGGCAAAAAGTTCACCCTTCCTTCGGCATGCAGCACCGTCGCATGCCACTTTGGCAAGTCCTGGAGCTCGGGCGCGAATTCAATCTCTTGGACATCGGCACCATGTGCCTTGAGCAGCTCTGCGGCCTTAGCTAGCGCAGACTTGGTTCCGGGCCCGGCGTGAGGCCAGACCATGGTCTTCAACAGAGCAATCTTGGCGCCCTTGATCTCAAAATTCTCCTTGGGGGGCTCGTCGTCCCGGAGCTCAAAAACATCGGCGAGGAGCTCCAAATCCTCGACGCTGCGGGCGAAGAAGCCTAGCGTGTCCAGAATGAGGGAGTAAATCTTTTGGCCCTCCCGGCTGATGGCGTTCCACGTCGGCTTGAGGGCGTAGATGCCGTTGAAAGACGCCGGGCGGATGGTGCTGCCGCCGGTCTGAGTGCCCAGGGCGATCGGGGCCTGGAAGTCGGCGACGGCGGCGCCTGAGCCGGAGGAGGAGCCGCCTGGCGTCCGCGTCTTGCCCTGAGCGATGGCGTGGGGGTTGAAAGTCTTGGGGCCTTGGACCGTCGCCGCGAACTCTGTTGTCGTTGTCTTGCCTACGGGCTGTCAGTTTTGGTTGACGCAGGGTTCAACACGGCTTACCAAGCAGCAATGCACCGGCATCTCGCAGAATGATGATGGAGCCAGCGTCCACCTGCGGCGCGTCGCCTTTGTATATCGCCGAGCCATGTTGTGTCGGCATGCCTGTACAAAGTCAGAATTACCCACGCGGTATGCATTGCAGTGTATGCTCGCCTTTGGTGTAGATGATGTCCTTGACGGCGATGGCAACGCCGTGCAGAGGGCCGCGTTGCTCTGGCGGTATCGCATCGAGCTTCTTTGCCTGCTCAATCACTTGCTCCGGATTGACATACTCCCACGCCTTGACGACGGGGTCTCGCTTCTCAATGTGAGAGAGCAGCGATCGGGCGTACTGTTCCAAGGTCAACTCGCCCGCCAGGATCTTGGCACGGGCTGCGGAAGCCATCAGTCTGTAAGGCTCGTCTGCCATCTTTTCCGATAATGCTCTTGTTTCGAGGACTTGTTTTCGAGTTGAGAGAATTGCAGTTCACAACACAAGCTGACGATGATGGGGGTTGTGTGTGAGTTGGTTGAAGTTGAAACAAAGGGGTTTGAGTCAACAACGCGGGGTCAAGGTGTCACAACTATCAAAATTGAAATCGGCCTGCGAATGCGTCTTGCCGACCGGTGCTACAATGCCAAGTCCGAATTCGCAAGATTGAAAAGATGCCATGACTAAACTTTGAACCAGGGGGGACGGCTCCTTTTATGAGGCAATTCGGCATCGTCAACAGGTCATTCGGGGCGACGGCCAACCCCGCGTTGCCGTTATCGCCGCTGGCGGGCCGCCATAGCTGTTATGCTTCCCCGCAACCAACCAAACTCGAACCCCCTTAGTGTTGCAGCGGTTGGAAAGTCATCGGTATGTTTGGCCCGAATGGAAATTGCCCGCCGCCGAAATGATCGGTTTGTAGCGCACGATAAGCCGAAAGGCCCCACTGAATTACGCAACAGATTGACGCCGTTGAGCGCCTGCGGGGATAGTGTGTCAATGCCACCAACAGAGCCACGAATCAAGGGACCCAATCACTAATCCGGACTGAGCATGGCGTCAACACGACAACGCCAGTGATGGAGTTGCAACTCCGTCTCAATGGTTTTAACAAGTTCCAACTCAATATTGTATCAGTTACTTTACATTTCGGCTAAATGTGTCATTGCTAATCTCAGAGACAACGTTCAAGCTTCCATCTTCTTCGATTTCTCTCCAATTTGCAATTCCTCTCCGTCTGTCATCTGCGGCGAAGGAGGCGCATACAATTCGCCCTCCCTCTCACCTTCAAAGAATCCGTCCCGTCCCTCCTTCGCCAACATCTCATACTCCATCGGTGTGTTCTCATATCCCCTCGGAAAAACCTTGACCTTGAATATCTTAGTCAAGGCAACGTAGATGATGGAAGATGTACAGAAGGTCAGGACCCAGCCCATCATGTACATGTACTTAGCCGGCTGGCTGACGCTCTGCGGCTGGTACTGTCCAACAAGACCGGGAAGACCCATTACGGTACCGCCGATCCAGGCGAAAACACCAATCCAATTTACCCCAGATTTGAACCAGTAAATGCCGTCCTTGGAACCTTTGTAAAGAGAAGGCACGTGGATGTTACCTCTTCGAACAATGATGTAGTCGAAAATGATGATCTGCGACAGGTCAGCCATGTCCACCGATACCGAATGTTCGATGACCAAGTACTCACAGCACAGAGAGGAGCCATAAAGATGTTGTAACTCCCAAGGAAAGATAGAAAAGTCGACGCATTCGCAATCAGCTTCCACGGGAGCACCACAATCCCGAGAATAGCGCATACTACCTGCCCTCGGCGAATGGTCAGATACTTGGGGAACAGCCCTGTCATATCCGCTCCGAACGGAATCGAGTTTGATCCGAAATTGGTCGCAAACATGCTGAGAATGAAGCTAAAAGACACGAAAAAGACCCCGGCGCGGCCTGCGGGTGTCCAGTAGTGGTCGAGGATGGCGTCCAGCAGATCCCACAGATTCCAATACGCCACTCCCCATGCGCCCTGCAGAGATGTAGTCGACGCGAGACCGAGGAAAAAGACGAGTATCTTGGCGAAAAATACACAGGCACCCTGAAGCCAGCCTGCGTCACGAGGTTCTTTGCAATACCGTGCGAGGTCGGGCTGGTTGACGAGCATGGGCGAGAGCGATCCCATGATGACGTTGATGCCGCTCATGACTGCCCATCCCAGAGGCGTCTTCGCCGCAGCACTGGCACCGGCGGCTGATGCAGCGTTAATATTGGAGATACCCGTGCCGTGAGCCATGCACCAGCCGAACAACCCGAAGCAGGCGAACGGCATGATGAAGCCTTTGATGGTGAAGATGTAGTGGATGTGGGTTGGGTGTACCCAAGTCTGGAACGGCCTGTTAGCGAACCGTGTTGGATAAACACTTTCGGTAAACACTTACAAACGGAAACTCGGCCAGCCACACGATGAAGAAGGCCAAAAGCTGCTTCGACGTCACGTCGGCCCCGGCGGGGAGAAGGTTGGCAAAGTTCTCCCAGCCACTGCCGAATATGCAGCGGAAACAAACAGACAATAAGTTTGCGCCGTAGTACGTCTGGATGCCGTACCAGATGATGCATACGATAGCCCGAATGAAGACGAAGAAGTAGGAGCCGTACATTCCCATCACTGATCGTGCGAGAACAGGGCTGGGGACGAGTTAACGACCAAACATTGTGAATTTCAAGGACGCAACTTACTATCCCAGGTGATACATGACACCCGGTCTCGCCATGCCCGTGACGATAATGGCCGATATGAGTGAGCCGAGAACACATGAGATGAACGCTTGTTGCCATGTCTGCCAATGTTAGTTCTCACGCCTTGAACTTTGTTCGTGAGGGCCATACCAAGCCTACGGCGACTAGCGAGGACGCCACGTTCCAGCCAGTCGTTCCAAACATGTTGGAGAACCAGTACAACGGCAGGTTGTACCACGTCCATGTGCGCTGTTCCGGCGGGGTCGGTTCGAGGTCCTTGTTCGACCATCGCGAGTCGCCGATTTGCGTCTGTCCGTCAACTGTCTCGGAAGCCTTGATCCAGTCCTTGAAAGCCTCCTTGGACTGGAACGGTGCGGCCAATTCGGCTCTGCTCGGCATGCTTACACGAACCATCTTGTTGATAAGTCGGGTGTTCAGCCGTGCTAATTCCAGACGAACGTCGCTGGGCCGATGGAGCTGGCGACATCTTCCTTCTTCAACGCGGACGGCTGAGCAGCGCCCAGGCTAAATCGGCGCTACATCATGATGAACCTACCGCGCAAGTCTGACGGTCGACCTTGGTATCGGGCTCTTTCGAACCGATAGCGTCGCGTCGCCACGCGAACGGTAAAGACCAGATTCGATCCCCGATAAGGATTACATGGGCGCATGCGGAGTGGTGCTTGGCGTGGTGATGTCGGCCGGGGACCCGGTTCTGGTTCCCCACCGAGATAAGGCGGCGTGTTTTTGTTGGCCTCGTTTGTGATGGGCGATATGATAGCCCGACTTGGGAATGGTTAGTGTGTCGGTTCAAAACTACCGATGTTGACATGCCCACGTGGATTGTGCTTGGGGTAGCATGCGAATGGGTCAACTTCGGTATCCGTTGTCTGTTTAAGGCTGTGCAACTGCAGATTGACAGATGGACTCCTAGGTCCTGGACTACAAACAAGACACAAACCTATCTAAGTGTATGTGACGGTTAATGTTGCACCGGTCTAATCACGGGAATTGGGCAACATTCAAGTCAAGCCCGCAATAAGATCAATGAAAGCCTTGAGTAATTGACTTGGCGCAATCTCTTTTCTTTATTTGAGATAGGTGACAGTCGCACCAGTGAGATTGATCCATGATGTATGACTATTTGACAGTGCCATTTCACAGTCCGACCACCACTGATTCCTACACTATACCCTGATGCTACATGATACGCTACTTTCAGCTCTTGATTTAGACACAAAGGCGTTCCAAGATGCATCTAGTAAGCGTAGAACAACACATTCTCATTCTCTGAGCGCCGTATCTTCTTGTTCTCTGCCATCAACCAGAATCGCATCGCCCACGCACCAGCAGCTGTCGCAACACTAAGGGCAGCGCTTGTGGACATGGCCATGGTGTAGCGAGGCTCGTCACTTTTGGGCCACTAGAGTTCGGTTAAAACTACTGAGGACGGTATACAAATAGGGGTCAACGTACCATATACGGGGTCCAAATGAAGGAACTAACGGCGATACAGTTTACAATGGCCAGCGAGGACGCCTTCTTCTCCTTGGTCTGAGAGCAAGTTGCTGATACCCAGCCAAGAATAATACTGTTGACGGCGTATGTCCTTCACAATTGTCAGCGACTGTTATTGTTGTCAGATATGTTGAACCTTACCCAATAGAAAAGACACACATGGCGACTATTAATGACGGTAGTTAGCGTTGGGTGTTCCTGAGTATAGAAATGGAGTGAAAGACCTACAATATCTAGCGGCTGTATTCAACGTTGCGCAGCCCAGGACAAAACCAAAGACGGCAATCGCTTTGGCGATGGTAATATGCCTGCAAATTTTTGGTCAACTGCTGTTTGCATTTGTGATCTGATATTGAACAACTCACCAAGTTCGCTCGTTAAATCTTCCGGAAGACCAAGACCATGCAATTGAAATGATGCCCGCAATGAGATAAGGTAGGCAGGTCAAGACAAGCGTTAGAGTCTCATTGAAACCTAGAGTCTTGACGGCGGTCGGGAAGAAGTTTTTGAAACCATTGGCTCCGAGATGGAAATGCTGCATCGCTGTAAAAAGCCAAACCTTAGGGTCTTTGGCTGCCTCCAGGAGACCAGTCCAAGTCGTTGTTTGACCGGTGTTGCCCACAGTGTCGCGGAGAATGCGCTCATTGGCTAGTATTCTCTCCTCTGGGGTAAGCCATCGTGTTGTCAGAGGCTCGTCGGGCAGAATGAAGAAGGCAATAACGGCGATGATGAAAGTGACAACTCCTTGGAGTATGAACAGCCACCGCCAACCGGCGAGTCCGGCCTAGAATTACGTTAGTGACAAGAACAAGGAGACTATCAGATTTGTGCGTACCATTCCATCCATTTGGAAGATACCCAGCGCGATCAACCCCGCAAAGGCCGTGGCCAGAATATTGCCCGTATACAGGATGGATATCCGCGTAGCCAGCTCTTTGCGCGTGTAAAAGGTTGCGAGGACGTACAAAGCGCCAGGATAGTACGGGGCTTCAGTAATTCCCAGGAAAAAACGGGTGAGGAGCAAACCCGTGTAATCCTTGCTTACGGCTGTGAGCCCGCTGATGATTGCCCAGACTGCCATGCAGGACCCCATCCACCAACTAGGGCGGACTCGAGTCACAACCATGTTGGCAGGAATGCCTACAATGACGTATCCTGCGAACAGGATTGCAACGCATGTCTGGTATTGTGTCGGAGTGAGGCCAAGGTCTTCCTCAAGCGTATTCAGTCTCGCGAGCGCAATAGCGTTACGATCCTATTCACAGAGAAAAGTGGTCAGTCTGGGATCGTAAACGAGAGATGCAATCTTGTCTGTGGCACCTACCAGATAGTTCAACCAGTACTTAAAGCATTAGTCAGATCATCATCATCTTTAGGAGCTCGTCAAACTTACCATCAACCACAAACTGTCATGCAAGTCAGTCTCCACTCTGCTCGACTCGTGTAGGGGGATAGACTTACATTGGCATAATCCACCAATCAAGCTTGCGCACAAGAGCTATCTCACGGGGGTCTGTCTTTTCGTGTGCCCCAGAGTAGTCTCGTATGGTTGAGTCAACCTTGAGGGTGCTCTCGACCTCCTCCAGCACCCCCGGTAAAGTATCGTCTTTCTCAGCTTTTCGCCGGTCCATGGTGGGGAATATTCTACTCGACAACTGTACAGCTTCGTAATCCCCTAGAGTGACAGAAAGATGAACAAAAGGATCTTTGGCCAGGCTAGATACACCTGGCGCCTGGCACTTTATATTCTCCTCATGGCTCCATTCTGGTGACATCTTTTTAACCAATAATTACAAAACTTCACCATTTCCGGGCTCACTACTGGGTGCCGAACGTGAACAAGCCTCTCCCCCGCACTGCCAAGTTATCTTGCCAAGACCTTTTTGAGTGGTTGATGTCTTGGTCTCGTTTCTTACTCGCGGCCACGATGGTGTGCTCAAGGCTTATGTGGCCACGAGCGGTAAGATGTCAACCACATCTCTAGGCCCAGTCGGTGTAATGTCTGGGCGATTTTGGGGGTAAAGCTGGGCAAAGAGGGGTAAGCCCGAGACAGGCAGTATTACATGGGCGAAAAACTTTCAAACTTGGCAGCAATGCCAAGCTTTGTTGACGTGGGTGGTGGCACAAATAAGCATTTTTTCAACGGGATGGCTGTTGTACCATTTAGGGCTTCTCTTAACGGCTGCCGTTCGAATTGGTCTCCTCAAATTCTCTTCAGGAGTCTTTAAATAAGCACATCATGAAACTAGACGTATGATGTGACCTCCCATGTGCCTACCTTGCACAGCGCAAAGCCCAGAGCTTCTAGAGACATAGCAATCATGTGTGAGAGACAGGAAAGTTGAAATCATGCATTATTGGGATCTTAGGTATCGTCATGCTAAGATTTGTAAGCTAATATGCTTTGCGATTAATTGCTTGTTATATTTAGCTTTGTATACGTCGTGGTTTGCTGGGCATATTCGTCGGGCCTCATGATATCTGAGGCACTACAGGCTACATATGGATGTCGCCAGAAGAAAACAGCAGCTTACCTAGTACGAAAGCTCAGGGGTAGGAACTACAGGGTGTCGTACCGGGCGACGACAATCCAGACGGCAGGCTACGCACAACTTGCTCTAGTCTACTTTTAAGGCTATCCCATCCACCCATAGACTCGATACCTATGGATCAATTAGGTCCATGGATGGGACTTCAACAGACCGCCTTAATTTCAAACATTTTAAATTTCAAACATTTTACAAAATACACGAAATTAACAAATGCCATTCCCCTGCCCAAGGCGAATTATCAGTATCACGATGCCATCTTGCTTGCGGCCAACCTTCGGGTTTCAATATAGATTTGCAAAAACTTTGCTTCCTCCCATCACCACCATACTTACAGTTTGGTGGTATTGGATTACCGGTTACTTGCACAGCAACATTCGTTCAACCACATTCTATTTAACAAGTAATAAAGGGCGAAGCAATGCCAAGAAAGAAAGTGGTCCATAATGAAAGGCGGAAATATCATAGGCGGAGACAAGGGTGTCATACGTCGAAACGGGCGACATGGAACAAGTGCGGCATTAGGCAAATTCTTAGTATTGGCTCTGTTGCCAAATCTCAATTAGCCGTGACCTATCATCTCTGACTTCGGCTGGTAAAAATTTGAGCAACAGTTTCTAATGGAGTTGTCTAGCTGCACTTGTCCAACCAGACGATTGCTCTTTGCTTTATGATTCCTCTTCGAAAATGACTTGCTATTTAGGCTCCAAATATTTCAAGTTTATCTTTGTTTTGTTGATTCTTGTAAGCTCTGCTACTGAGCTCATCTTTTACATTCTACCTAGCCGAACTTATCCCAGCTATGATTATCACCATCGCACCGGTAGTTTAGTCTTACTTTTACATTAGCCTCAGCTTGGGCTAGCACGGGCTACCCACTGGTGTCATAGAGATAAAGTGAGTAGGCAAAGTGAAACGTAGCAAGAAATAGTACACAGCCGTCAGATAGCCTGAGCATACGCCAAGGAACCTAGAGACGGAAATATCATAGGCGGAGATAAGGAGGCTATGGTATACCCCCTGACAGCATCTCTTATCTGTGATGTGCATTTGGTTAACCGACTACGGGTCAGCTATCTGTGGGGTATTTACGGAGTCCTGCCACCTTGAAAGACATTCGTCCATGTTAATCGGGCATACACTTCAGCATCGGAGATTTTGGATAGGTCCCTAGTTCCACTATCTCTCCAGGAATCCGATCGGTTGGAATTCTTCCCAATTATTTTCTTCCTCCTTTCCTCGATTTGCGAATGACTCAATCCTGTACCATCAATAGAAGGGATTTGTGGACCAGCTTATGCTCATTAAGATGTTCGGATATCAGACTTCCGCCTCAAGGACGGGATCTCATCCTGAGAGCCCGGTGAGCCCACATACGATCCCGCCTGTTGGGCCACCTCCACCACCCCGCAAAGCGCGGGTATCTCTGGCTTGCAAGCGCTGCAAGCGGAGGAAGCAACGTGTATGTATTTCTCGGGTACTTGGGACACACTTTAAGTGCTAAACATGACAGTGTGATGGCGAACACCCAGGCTGCAAATCTTGCGAAAAGGCTAATGTGGTCTGTGTCTATGAAAGACCAGTTAGACCGCAGTACCCTGGTGGCAAGTCGTTATACATCAGTGCCTTGGAAGAGCGTATAGCCTTCCTCGAAGCGCAAATGCCAGATTATGCTGAGGACCACTTTCTAAAAACAGGTTCAAGCGTCGTGCCAGAGCAGCAGGGCTTTCGACGTCGCGAATCTCAAGAATCATATTCTGAAGATGAGCCTTCTTCGCTGGTCAACGGGGTGGCATACTTGTCGCTCTGCGCTTCCGGCACAACAGACACTGCGCCGGAGCCTTTCTATCTTGGCTCCAGTTCTGGGGCGACAATAGCACGTATGCTTCAAAGTTCCATCTTTCACAAAGATGGTAGTAGAGCCACTAGTGATGCCATGCCCTTTCCGCAGCCACGTCTTTTGCGGCCACCCTCGAACCCACCTTCGTCTTCAAGTTTGGATGATTTCACCTCAGAACTTCCTTGTCTATCACAGGCGAAGATACTTTTCAATGTTTTCTTCGACCGCCTGCATACTCGTTGGCCCATATTAGACCGCAAGTTGTATGCCGTTCTGTTTGAAAAGCAGCATAACCAAGAGGCTCTGTCGGTGCATGAACGAAGCATTATGCATTTAATCTACGCAATTTCCGCAAGATTCCTACAACTAATGAAAAAGCCATGCGAAGTAAATCCCGAGGTAAAATGCACCTTGTTCCTTTATCCTCCTTTACTATTATTGATTAACAATTATAGGGACATCTTCTTGCAGCGATTGAGCACATGGACTTCGTTTTGGAGCAGCACAATCTGGCCACGGTTCAATTCCTCATATTACTTGCAGTCCATGGGCAGCGGAGTCCATTCGGAGCAGGTTGCTGGTCACAAGTTCGATATGCCATGACCCTTTGCATAGAACTTGGCCTGCATAGAAAGCATGCAAGCATGATATCGACTCAGAGCCCACGTGAGAATGAGATTCGAAAGAGAGTGTTTTGGGCCTGTTACTGTTTGGATAGAATGACCAGTGTGGTGCTTGGACGCCCGTTTGCGATTGATGACAGAGATATTGACGTTGAGGCAAGTTCAGTCCTAGCTCTAGAGGCTCTTTATGCTTACATAGTGTGGCAGCTTTCGAGCGACAGCGACATCTTTTGGGATCTGACTGCACTTGGAAACCCCCCGATGCCTCCAATGGTGGCTTGGTCAAATATGAAACCCTTCATCCATATTATCAAGTTGTGCAAGATCAAGTCAAGAATCCATAAATACGCTTACCGCGTCGATAAGGAGGTGTTTACTGGGCCTGCAGAAGTAAGGGTCAAGATTGACTCAAAAATGGCTATCATTCGGGCAGAATTAGATGAATGGGCGAAAACGATTCCTCACCCGCCAAAAGACGCCACATCGATCACTTGGATGTACGATCCGGAAAGCGCTTACCACGACTCCAGAGATTTCTTTCACTTGTAAGCAGAGGTTCCAACAAATGGACCTATAATGAAAGCTGATTTCCATGTGCAGGCAATACCACAAATCAGTGCTCTCGCTCTTTACCGTTCTCCTCCCGACTTTGAATACCAGAGACTCTAGATTTCTCACTTGCATGCAATCAGCAGCTTGCATTTGTACGGCATACAAACGTCTCAACCAGCAAAAGACGCTGAGTTATACCATGATGGCATTACACTCGTGTTTTATAGCTGGCCTGACGCTGGTGTATTGTCTTTGGCGAGACAAATCCGTGTTCTCCTATGACGCACTGGAAGCTACTCGTGCCTGCTCCCAATCTCTCACCATATTTGGTGAAAAATGGCCAGGTGCCGTCAAATACCGCGACGTGTTCGATGCCCTCTCAGACAGCCTATTCAAGACCATAGTTAACCCGTCTATGGCTTCATTTACTACTCTAGACCCGCTGGGGGCGGGCTCTGAAACCCAGCCACCTGCAACTGCTGCCATAGCTTTACAAAGTGGCGCGGCAGAGAAACCGACCATCAGTAACACCATTTCAGATGCTGTCAAGGAGGCCTTCATGGAGGTCGATGAAGAAGCACCGGGAGGCTGGCAGGGATGGAGGATGTTCAATGAGATGGTGCAAAACGACTTTACCGTTAAGGAAATAGAGTCCACAGAGTTCGGTGAACAAACTACCAACTGGCATGACTCAGAACTTTTGCAAGATGAGTCGCAACAGAGCCAAGGAAGCACACAGATGCATATTGGAGTCACGACAGATCCAGACTGGGATTTTGGAGCATTGGAGGGGCTGCAATAAGCCTAGAGATGGCTGCAGCGGGTCTGGAGGAGGGTATGGTCAAGGCGACCATTGGGGGGGGGGGATAACCTGACCAATTACCCACTTATTTAAATGAATTATGGGTCTATCTGACCAATTTTATGATTGGCTGTATTGAGGTGAAGTGGGTCCACCTGACCATGGAATTTTTAATCGGTCAGGTGCACGGACCAGTTACTGATTGCGTCCCACTACTGATTAGGGTGCATACCCCATATTAATATTTAAATCCCTATTCTATTCTGATTCTCTTCCTTTTCCCTCCGTAACCCTTTCAAATCGTATGCGCCCCCCCCCCCCTGGCGCACCGATTCCTAATTACTTCCGAATCAGTTCAGAAATCCGACATCATGCCTTCATACAGGGATTCTGTAAGTACAATGGAATCGGTTTAGGATCGATTCAGAACTGATTCAGAATCAGGACGATTACAAGACCTACAAATGTCAAAAAGGGTGGTAGGCCAGGGGCGCTGGAAGCGATGCACACGCAGAGCGCCTAGGATGCCAGGAAGGCGCTAGGAGGAATGTTTGGCCGAGGACCGCGCTAGGTGCGCTTAGTCACAGGGAACACGCCGGAAGAAGGCGCGTAAGGGATACGGACAGGTCTTAGGAAAAGAAGAAGCACAATACACATCACGATTGACCCCTGAATGTGCGCCTACGAATATTCGAACAACAAAGAAGGTCTTCTCCAGGGCGGCAAGAACCACCGCATGGAGGATCTTCCTCCCTTCGAGTTCAACGAGGTAAGTGATTCAGAAGCGATTCCACAACGATTCAGAAACAGTTCTGAATCGATTCAGGCTGGCGAAGTCAAGCTCGCCCCTGGCGAACTCTACTGCCGCTGGGTGGTAGATCCAGCAGCATCACGTGCACCAAGGTAATTCAGAATCAGTTCCGGATCAGTTCAGAACTAATTTCGAATCGATTAGACGGAGCGGTTCTCGAGCGAGTCGAACCTCAAGAACCACATCAAGAAGCACAAGCTCGACGGGGTCCCGGCCAAGGTTAAGAGCCGCAAGTCCGGCGCGAACTCCGTCGAGGAGAACGATGATGCAGCTGGTAAGTGATTCTGAACTGATTCTGTACCGATTCTGAACTAGTTCTAAACTGATTATGAATAGAATTCTACGACCGCATCCACGGCATCGCCATCGGCGCTCGCGATGACAGCGAGCTGCAGACTCCTTCCAAGAAACGGAAGGCGCAGACCCCTCCCCCCCTTCTTGCCGTGCCCACGCGCAAGCGGGGCAACCAAACTGTGGTAAGTGATTCTCAATCGATCCGGAATCCTTTTGGAACCCATTCTGAATTGATTCTGCAACAGATCAACTTCGCCGAAATGCGTCGCGCCGCCGGCTTCCCTGCCAAGGGCAAGTGCACCTACTGCACCACTGCCCGCAATGATAGTAAGTTTAGAATCAGTCTTGAAGCAGTTCAGAACTAATTACGAATCGATTCAGAATGTCCTCCCGCCCTTCGCGATCAGGAATGTGAGGTCTGGGCCCGCTTTGAGGATGATGAAGAAGATGAGGCCTGAATCAATTCAGGATCGGTTTGGAACCAGTTTGGGACTTCTTTCGGGACCGATTTGGAACCGCTTTAGAATCAATTCTTTATAGATACCCGGGGCGTTCGGTTTTTAAGCTTTTTTTTTAAAAAAGCATTTCTAAATCAATATAGAAATGATTTAGAATCGATTCTCTACCTATCCTATATGCTATCAAAGTCCTAACCTTCTCCGCCGCTCTGCTAACTCTAGTTCCTTTTCTTGTAGTTCAAGCTTCTGTTTTTCAACTAGAAGTTTTCTTGCTTCTAATTCTAATCGCTTTTCTTCTAATTCTAGACTTTGCTTCTGTAAGTCAAAGTCATCTTGTTGTCCCTGTCTGATTTCGTTTCTTAAGTTAGAAATAGATGTTCTTTGGAGAGTATTTGACCTAATAACCCCAGAAGATGAAGCATGGGAAAGACGAGGGGATCGATTCCGAATCGCTTCTGAAAGACTTCGGGATCGATTCGGAATTGAGGATGGACTTCTTGAATTAGTACCCCTTGAGGGACTAGACGTAAAGAGTCGGGTTGATAAAAGCCTTTCAACACGTTCATTATCTAGTTGCTCACGGGATTCCCTCTGGCGTTGGCGTTTAAGTTCTAAAATAATTTAGAAATAATTATTAATAAATATTAAAGTATTTTTAACTTACGTAAACGGCTTGCAGCTGTATTATAACGGCCAATAATAGAAACATCTTTCCAGGAAAGCCGGATTCCTAGTGTTGTAAACACTGTATCCTGCTCTAAAAGATGGCGATCGTATTCTGCACATCTAAGTACTTTTGAATTAGTTCTCAACGCATTCCAAACCAATTCCGAATCAATTCAGAAGGGATTCCAAACTTACTTCTGGATACATGTAAGTAATGGTAAATACCGATTACTCCAAGTATATGAGGCTTCATGTAAAACCTCAACAGTATTTGTATTAGGTATGAATTGACTCCAATCTGATAAGGGGATTTTAGAGCAGTTCTGATTAAGTCCAGCTGCAATTGTTTTTCGGGCTTTATGTTGAGCCCATGCTTTTATTTGAGGTTCAGCTAAGTAAATTAGTTCCCAAGTGATTCTGAAGCGATTCGGAAGCGATATAGAATTGATCCTTACTCTCAAATGCCTGACATAAAGCGAAGTAGTCTTCTGAGGAACGGCAGAATAGTAGGCTGCGCATTTGATTCCATAGAGAGTCAGGGCTACGGTCTTCTGTACAGTATGCCTCAATCCCTCGTTGGAAATGAATTAAACAGAAGCGTACAGAGCGTTCAACCTGCCATGCCCATGGTCTATGCTCTGGGTCACATTCCAGAGATAGATATTTCCCAAACCCTAGATAATTAGTTATAAATCGGTTCTGAATCGGTTTAGAAACTATTAAGAACCCATACCAATAAGGTTTTTATGGTCTTGATCAACTGTAATACCTAGTAGACCCCTACCATGAAGGTGTTTCCACTTGACTTTATATCCAAATTTCTTATAAAGTAGTTTAAACACAATTGTATACATCTGCTGATACATTTCTGTACTTTCAGAATTGGTAAAAACTCGGATAAGTGGAATTGCTAAAATAGTTAGGAATCTGTTAAGAATCCGTTCTAAATCGATTTAGAAGCGATTACGCACCTTTCGAAGATATCGAATTATACCATCCCCAAATAACCTCAACTTCCTCCTTTCCAGCTAGATGTTTATAGTTTGTATCTACCTGGAAAGTATTAAAAGCCTCTTTCTTCCATAATTCAGCTTGCTCTGCATGAAATACAATACATAGGTATGTATTGCCGTCATCATTAAAGTACTGAATATACTATAAGTAAATTAGTATTGAACCCGCTCAGAACCGATTCAGAATCACTTCATACCCGAATTTGACGCCTAGTTTGAGCATACTGGTATTCATACCAAATCGCTAGACGTGAACAGCCTGCTGGAAAGCTAATTGCTTCTTGTTTACGGATAATTGAGCGTAAGAAGTCTGTATTTGCTAGACTTTGATGAACGCTTGTAATAGTCTGGCTATTATAAGTATCACAGAATTCCTGAAGTTCGCGAGATTGTAGGAATGCATCTAGAATCAATACTGGATTAGTTCTGAATCGGTTCGGAAACGATTCTAGAAGGATTCTCACTTAACCCCGTTCTAGGTTGATTGATCTTCTGGACTACCTGTTGCAGCCTAGATATAATACTAGCTGGGGCTCTAACTGGTGGTGGTGGTGGATGTAAATGGACCCCATGAGAAGTTAGAAGAATAACTGGGGTAGCTTCTAGATCAAGCGGGACCCAGAAGTTCCATTTTACTGAACACGTAATTTGAAGAATTGTTTCAGGAACGATATGATTAGCGTCTAGATTGATTCAGAATCAGTTGGGAACCCATTTGGAATCGATTCGATACTAATTTACTTACCGCATCGTGTAATTCTCCTCTTATTGCTAGCAAAAAGATAACAGCTATCAGTAGGGGAGCTTTCTTCTATACTTCCCCCTTGAAGTATAGTTTTGATTAGAGGTAAATATAGCTGGAATTCGATTGGAGGAAAGCCAATATAATGGTTTTCTCCTTGGAGACTTTGTGACCAGCAGATGCAGCGGGCTGTAATCTGGGAAGTTCCTGGAATATACTAAAGTGATTCCGAATCAGTTCCAAATTGATTCCCGATCCATTCAGAAAGGCTTCTTACCCCATACTCTGTATTAACTACTTCAAGACTACATCTTTCTGTAAACGGTCGGCAGGCGGTATGTTGTTGGAAACGTTTTATCTGTGCTTGTGCCCATCTATTTATAAGTATTAGTATATTATTTCTAAAAGGGTTCCGAACCCGTTCGGAATCGATTCTGAATGCTTATGAAACTGCTTTCCGTTTGAGATCATACTGTAGTACCTCTGTTCGTAATGCTTCAATACTTTGCAAGATTTCTGGGGTAACTTTCTGATGCTTCCAGCATGGAAGATTCTGATCGAAATAAGAGCATGCCTTTCCACCTGTACAAGTGTAAGTTGAACGTAAACAAACAGCATTTTGAAGGAATGCTGAAGTCGTCCGTTTTGGTGGGAATTGCCGGGCATGGTTGTACTGAATCTGTGATGTAATTAGTTCTGAAGTAGTTCGGGATCGATCCCGGATCGATTCAAAAGTAGTTCGTTTACCATTCTCCAAGGCGATTTAATATCCTCCTCATTTAAAGTCCTTATATCAATAACATAAAGGACTCCATTCTCACTTGTTTCTGGATATTCTATAAATGTAGGTAGAAAGATTACTTTTTGAGCAAGTACATGAACATCCCTGAGGCTATTATGCCCAGAACGGGTTGCCTCTGATGAAACAAGTGTTGGAGGTATTTCTGAATCGGTTTCGAGTTGATCCTGAATCGATTTAGAACTAATTCCAAAGTCGTTCTCATATATCCCTACCTCCTCATTTACTGGTAAGCCAGACTGGGCCTGGGCTGGTAGTTGATAGTAAAGATTTAAGTCTTCTTCAGCTTCTGCATCAAGACTAGTAGGTTCTAATAGAGGACTTATTCCCTCTAGGCGAGGGAAGAGATTTTCAATCGATTGAAGAGCCATTGTAAATCGATTCGGAACGGATTTGGAAGCGTTTCAATGTCGTATGTTCTTACAAAAAGTATGTCAAGGGTGAGGTTTCAAACCGCGCTAAGGAATTTCAACCTGACCATAGCTAACTAGCTGACCATGGTCAGCTGATCTCAGGGTAGCCCCACAAATCACAAAATAAGTGGGTAATTGGTCAGGTTATCCCCCCCCCCCAATGGTCGCCTTGACCACACCCTCGTCTGGAGTGTTCCTGATGAACTTGCAAAAACAGAGTCTCGACAACAACTGATTAGTCATCGCATCGGGTCGGTTAGCTCAGTTGGTTAGAGCGTGGTACTAATATGTCATACGACATGTCTGGTAATGCCAAGGTCGGGAGTTCAAGCCTCCCACTGATCATATCTTTTTGTTTTTCGTCCATTTGTACATTCTCTGTCGATCAGTGAAGAAGAACGGCACTCATTATAGCTCCAAACTTAAAAAAAAAAAAAAAAAAAAAAAAAAGCTTTTACTTCCTAGCCTATCAACGTCTACTCGGTTTATACCAACTGCCCCTTCTTATAAGGGTATTTGCTCTTGAAGGCCTCTGCGATCTCTGTCCTTGTCGCTACCCAAACGCCTTCTTTTTGTGCAATGTAATCTACAAAGTCTCTCAGAGCTCCCAGTCTGCCAGGACGACCAATAATGCGGCAGTGTAAGCCAATGGTCATCATCTTTGGCGTACCTTCCTGTCCCTCTTCATACAACACATCGAACGCATTCTTTAAGTGAGTATAGAACCCCATAGGGTCGCGGAACCCCGAGCCAGCAACGTGAAACTTGAAATCGTTGCAGTCATAACTGTACGGCACCATCAAGCAGCCCTTCGCATCCTCCCTATCTCGCTCCAGAGGAAGGTCAATCCAGTAGGGTACGTCGTCAGCGTAAGTATCACTAGCCCAGACTAACTCCTCGCCCATCTCCTCGTACACCTGGGGCACCAGAGTCCTCGAGTGTGGCGAGTTGCGACCATAGTACCATCCCTTGGGCGCGTATCCCGTCAGCGACTTTAAAGATGTGATGGCTTTGCGGATATACTCCTTTTCCTTCTCCACAGGAAAATCATGGTAGTCGACCCAGCGGTACGCATGCGATGCAACATCATGACCTTCCTCGACGCAGCGAGTCGCAACCTCTGGCTGCTCCTCTACGGCTTGCGCGACGGCATATAGAGTGAATTTCATGTGGCGTGAGTTGAATAGACGGAAGAGGCGCCAAAAGCCTGCGCGAGAGCCATACTCATACTCGGACTCAACATTGTAATTTCGCTCGTTGATGCGAGGCGGGCCACTGGGGTTCTCGCGGAGGTTCGCCTCGGAGACACCATCGCCGGCAAGGACGGATTTCTCGCCACCCTGGAGCCGCGTTAGTAGTCGTCGGATTAGATAATTGGGGGAAAAGGACTCACTTCTTCGTAGTTGATGACAAAAGAAACGGCGATTTTAGCGTCGTTGGGCCACGTGCAGGCAAGACCTTTTTCACCGTATCCCTTGAAGTCACGGGGGAAACCGTAATCCGGGTGCGAGTGGTAGATTTCAGGCATGTTTAGTTCGATTCTTTACTTCGATTATGGTGATAGTAAACATATGTTGTCTGACTTGAATGACTCTTCATGAGGTCAGAGAGGTGAGAAAGGGAACCTTTTGAGGCTGATATTGATCGTACACAGTCGTCCGCTTCCCAGCGTACGGATACACAACTACAGCCTTTACATCGGCTCAATTTTCCCGTCTGATCTTCTATCCCTATCAATACCCCGCTGCATTGAACGGAATACTGTTTACCGCAATGTTCGCACCTCAAGCTGCCGCTCTATGCAACCCCGCTATCCCATCAAAGCTGCATGAATTCAGTTTCTTATCGCGATAAGTTTCGCGGGGTAAGACGTAGCAGGGGTTAGGGTCCCAAGATCTTCGTCGGACCAAATGAACCGTCGGAGCTTAGGGACTTTTGCCACATGGATGCTGATAAGGAGGCCAAGTGGTGGGGCCTTTGCGGGCGTCAACGAGTTTGCAAATTGGAGATAAGAAAGTACTGGAAGGATGATTGTTGAAGTAATGTCCACTCGGATAGTGACATTTGGAAACGATAGGTGATTGTTGAAGGGAGATGAATTGAGTTGCGGGAGGGAAAAGACGTCATCCCGGTTAGCTGAGTTAAACTTCCGGGCTGGAGCCGAATGAAACCTTGCATTTTGATGTGTTCATCTTCTATGTGATATGTATTGAAGCCTGTTTTTGGGGTCTTCCATGTCCTAACTCCGACTAAATGCAACATTTTGTGAATTATTGACGCTCATCCAGATGCTTGATAGTACTTTCGCTGAATCCAATGCTTCCATCTAAACGCACTCAATGGCTGTCCTTCTTCTCGCCCTCAAGTTCGATAGGTGTCGATTGCGAGGGGCCTTCGTCTGATGCCTCTTCAGATGCTGGCTTCTTCGCCTTCAAACTGGTGTTTCCCACGCCCAGAGTAAGGACCAGACTGATGCCAGAGCATACAACGTAGTAAATGAAGATGTAATGCAATCCCTCCATGTATGCCTTCAAAATGACTGTCTTCTCTTCTTCAGAGAATCCCTTCTCGTCTAGCGCATATGTCGAAGACGTGAGCTCTGCAATCACATCATCTGTAACGAAATCCTTCCCACGCAACTCTTTTCTCAAAGTGTTTGACAGAATGACTCCTGATATAACAAGACCGAAAGCGCCGCCGATGGTCCGGATGAAGTTTCGCAAGCCGGTAGTCACAGCTCGGTCCTCGCTGCGGGAATTGGCGTACATCCCTACCAACGTCGGCTGTAGAGTGAGTCCAATGCCTGAACCGACGATGATGAGCAGTCCAATGAGTTCTCCTAGTCCAGTATCGCGGTCAAACATGATAGTAAGACCGTTACCGAGCGTCCAGAGAAAGAAGCCTGCGAGAATGCAGGGCATGTAGCGTCCGACACGGAGCATATACTGCCCAGAGAGGATAGAGAGCACCGACGTTGAGAGGATAACGGGCAGAATAAGCGCTCCAGCAACAAGCGGAGAGTATTTGAGAATAGACTGAAAGTAGATCGGAAAGTAGAACAGATTGCCAAAGTATGCCTGGCCCATGAGAAATGTTTGCCCGTACAGACAACTGCAATGTGGCGCCTGATACAGGCGCAAAGGCATGATGGGTAGTTTTGCGAGCTTCCATTCAAAAAGCACAAACAGAACTCCTAGCACACCACCTATAGTGACGGCTGAAATAACAAATGGCGATGACCATGGGTACGTCACACCGCCGCCAGATAGCGGGATGAGAAGCAATAGGACCGAAGCCATGTTAAGTACTATGCCACCGTAATCAATCTTTTTAATCTTCTCAGCGTAACTGCCGGATTGGTGTTTCAAAGGCAAGCAGAAGAGAATCGTGAGAGCTGCCGGGGCACTGATGATTGGAACCATCCAGAAAACCCATCGCCAGGTCGACTTCTGAACGACCGCACCGCCAACGAAGGGACCAACTCCGTTTGCGAGAGCTAGAACAGCTCCAAGGACACCTGTAGCTGATGAGCATCCAGCATTCCATTAAAAAACGCAAACACTCACCTTGGTATTTTCCTCGATTCTCCAATGTCGTGATATCACTGACGATGATCATCACAATGCTGTTGATCCCGCCACCCCCAATACCTGCGATAGCCCTAAAAGCAAACAACTGCTCTTTCGTTTTCGAGAACCCGCAGAGAATATCTCCGAGAGCCATTAACACCAGGCATATCATGAGAAGATTCTTGCGCCCGAAAAGGTCAGATAGACGCCCGTTGATAAGCTGGAAGGCGGTAGAGGCGATAAGGAACGACGTCCCAATCCATGACGTCGCCGTGCCGGTATCCAGGTCGCCTGCAATCGCCGGGACCGCCGTCGAGACGCTGGTCTGGTCGATGAAGGAGACAAAAAGACACACCGACAAGGCAGAGAAGGCCAGCAGCATACGCTTTCGTGACATGGTGTTTCTCTGCCCGCCAATGCTCTCCGCGTCGCTGTCTTTCCCATCCTGCTGACTTGTAGATGATGTTGGCATGTCGACTTCATCACCACTTGAAGCCCTGTCAGCGACCAAGGCTTCTTGTCGAGAATGTTTGGATGTGGCATCGTCTTTCATCATGGTATTCCCCGTGGCCCCTAAAGAACGGCGTGCCAAAAATGGAAAACTTCTGGTGTCGAAGACATTGCGAAGTGCACATTCGACTCAAATCAATGCGCCGCAGCTCTCGGTGCCGAAGCGCCGGTTCTTCCATCTCGCAATTCGATCCGTTAATGCTTACACAAATCCACTACGTCAACACCGCCAATGGAAACCGTTCACCAAGGGGGAATTGTTCGAGTCCGAAGCGAGCGATCCACTAAGGATATGTCGGCAGGAGGCCCGATGCGGATTGGTAGTCCCCTCCGCCGATCGTTGGCTGGATTTCTTTATCGGCATGTTTTGAGCCGATGCGCACCCGCAAGTCGTCTTTAGCGTACGTGTGGGTTGATTTTTGTTAATACCTGACTTTTTTTTTTTTTATTCGTTTTAGTGACATTATGAATGCTTAACAATTGGGCGTTTCAAAACGGTTTACTGCAACCCGTAGCTGACGATAATTGCGGTATTCATTCAACCGAATGATGAGATCAAGGCGGAGGATTTCCGGCGGCATGCATCGGCAAGTTGTGCGGCGGGAGCCAGGATGTTGCGCCTTACGGCGTAGCGTCAGTAGTGTTCGGGAAGAATGATAATAAGCTGCTTTATAATACTCTAATCTCGTCATTGCGACATTTCTTCCAACGACACCGAGAACTCCCCAAACGCAGAATCGTGATTCAACCTGGAAAACAACGTCCAGATTGATAGCTCGTAACAATGTCAAAACTCTTTTCGCCGTTAAAGGTCGGAGCCATTCAGCTGGAAAACCGGCTGGCGTTGGCTCCATTGACACGATATCGGGCAGACGATGAATGGACTCCAACGCCCATGATGAAAGGTGGGCGCGACACACCACGCTTCAATTCCGGTGCGCTAACTCAAGACAATCGTAGAGTATTACGAGCAGAGAGCCTGTGTACCGGGTACACTGCTCATTTCAGAGGGGACTCTCATCTCGTATCGCACAGCCGGCCGATGGAATGTGCCTGGCATCTGGACTGAAGCGCAGATTGCGGGCTGGAAAGAAGTGACAGACGCCGTTCATGCGAAAAGATCATTTATTTACTGCCAGCTGTGGCACCTCGGTCGTGGCGGGCGACAAGATATACTGCAGCAGCTGGGCTTGAACTTGGAATCATCAAGCGCAGTTCCCATCAACGAAGACAGTCCGACACCTGTTGAATTAAGTGAGGAGGACATTTTGCAAACAATTCAAGACTATGCGCAGGCCGCTCGGAACGCAATCAAGGCTGGCTTTGATGGCGTGGAAATACACGGCGCCAATGGTTATCTGCCGGACCAGTTTCTCCAAGACACCTGCAACAAACGCACCGATGCCTGGGGCGGTAGTATCGAAAAGCGGGCGCGTTTCCACCTCGAGGTGACGAAGGCTGTTATTGACGCCGTAGGGGCTGACAAGACGGCCGTCCGGTTGAGCCCGTACAGCGATTTCCAAGGCATGCTGATGGACGATCCGGACCCGACCTTCAAGTACCTAACGGAGGAGTTGAAGCCCTTGGGTCTGGCGTACCTGCACCTCATCGAGGCGCGAATCAGCGGAAACGACGACACGAGTTCGGGCGGTCAGCGGACGGTGCAGTGGCTGGTTGAGCTTTGGGACAACACTAGCCCCGTATTGATCGCCGGTGGACTGGATGCAGAGAAGGCAAGGGAAGCAGTTGACGAGACGTACAAGAAGTACGATGTTGCTATTGTCTTCGGCCGCTTCTTCATTTCCAACCCTGACCTTGTCTTCCGCGTTAAAGAAGGCATTGACCTAGAGAAATATGATAGAACGACCTTTTACACGCCCAAACTGCCAGCAGGGTACATCGACTACCCTTTCTCGCCCGAATTTCAGGCAACCTTGAAGGCGTGACGATACATCAACAAAGAGAACAAGAAGGCGAGTGGTTTCAGCATGGAGTTCATATAGTAGACAGGGTATCATTAATATAGAAAAGTACTAGCGTTTGTACCATCACGGTATATGGTCAGTATAGATAGTCGTGGTCTGCCTAGCAAATTATGTCCAATCATAAAACATTTCTTCGTGCGCCGAGCTTCTATGGGTCCTGGTCTGGATCTTGGTCGTCAACTGCCCGATGGTCGGGAGGACATTTTCTGTATCGTTTCATTGTATTTCCTGGTCATGCTTCTTCGTTGACAGTGTCTAAGCGGCGCCGGCGAATGCGTGTAGCTGAATACCGCAACAGACTTCTAGTAGACTTGTTGTGTTGCAAGGTAATGCCGTTGCTGGGTTCCGAATCGTCTTCAGTAGAGCGTAGTTCAAAAGCGCTCGCCACTCTCCGAATCTTATCCTTCAGCGCACGTATAGAGCTCCTTTTTGTGAGAGTTCCCCGAGGCATAGGGGCATCTGACGGAGGTATTGCTGTCGGGCTTGACTGGCTGCGACTATGTTTTGGTTTATAGTCTGGTTTGGTGTTTTCCTTTTCACTAGGGTCCGACTTTGGGGGTATTGCAGATACAGATGCCACTCTGCGGATGGACTTGTTCGGCTTAGAAACGTTCGTAGTTGACCTAGACGGTGAGGTAGCCGATATTCCAGTTGATTTTATGCCCACAGAATCCAACGTCGTGGTCGAAGGCCTCTGGATATTTTGCAACAAGTCATGTTGACTTTTCGAGCGTTCTCGAGACCAGCCTCGGAATGAGACACTGGTCTTTGTGGATATTCTTGCTGTTGACTTGCTGCTCGGAGTTTCCTTGACTTTCGATGTCGATGGAGTTCTAGGAGCACTGGGTCCTCGAGCTCCTTTCGGGGTCGCTGTTGATCGTGGAGGATGGGGAGTTCGCCTAGGATTGGGAGAGTGGCTGGCCTTGAGTGGCGGAATATCCGTCTCGTCTTCAATCTCTACCGCAGCGGGGATATCTTCGATTTCGAATGGTCTCCCTGGACGTCTTCTCGCTCTAAGTCGTTTGAGATAATCTTCTGAGCTGACCTTATTAAACGACATCTCCTCCGCTGCTCTTTCAGCCCGACGCCTTGCTTGTCGGTTCAGGTGCGCGACCTGCTCTGGTGACAAGCCCATCTCGAATCTTTGCGAAAGGATCGGCTTCCCTCGCCAAGCTTTTAGAATATGAAGCTGTGTAAGAAGCTGAATATTCGGCCTCGGATCTGATGTAGGAGCAGCTTGGTTTAATGACTTTGGTTTCGAGTTCGGTCGCTTGATCTGTCGGTCGGTGTCGCAATAAAAATTCAGCCTCCCCCTGAGCTGAAGGAAAATGAAGTAGGGGTCTATGATGCCCTCTTCTATTGTACCATGATCATCCAAGCCATAGCGGGCTATCGCATCTGCAGTCGAATTCTTGAGGGTGGCAGAGTGTCTCAGATGCGGTCACGACGGAGGCAGGGCTTCTCAGGGTGTTGGATACCGATTATGTCGTCAACGTTACCACTTCCGTCTCTGGCTAAGAGAAAGAGCTATGAGAACGCGTTCGTAGTCGGGGGAACCAGTCGCATCGTGGAGAAAGTAGCGGGTAATCTTGTTCGCCGGGATGATCCTTCGATGGGCCGGTTGCCTCGGTCAAAGATTTCGAGCTTAGATGCGGCTCAAAATGGATGCAGCAGCATTAACGTGATATACCGTTAAAGCATTCGGAGGAGAAGCGCATCAGACGGCACGCATCGTTCGCCCTAGGTAGGCTGTTGTCGAGGCGAGCTCAAGAAATGAAGCTCGTCGAAGATGATTCGGTGCGGAAGGGAAGCTCGGGAAGTGCAATGCAATCAGCCAAGTGGGTCCTTCGCTTCATTGCATATATGTGATACCTGCATCGTTTCTACCTCTTTATCTCCCTACTACCTCTACCTGCATTCGAGAACCTAGCTGTACATACAAACAATAGACCCCGCAATGTAAAAAGCTAAATAAAACTTGTTTATCAGCAACACGTCGTATAATTCTGCAACCAGCCTTTTCCTTGGCCTGTGTGACATGAAGAAGCTGCCAGAAATATGGCCGAACCTATGTCAACCGTGTCCTTAATCGGCGTAATTGTCATTTAACAGAGCGCGAATACCTGCCTATGTAGGAAGAGGCTCATTTTGATTCATCTGAGCTGCGCAACCAGGTGTTATACTGGGCATTATACACTATAGCTATTAAAGCAGAAGAATCAGAAATATTAAAGTGTGGGATAGTGCGTAAATATCTACGACTTGTATGATGGCTTCGCTGCAGTTCACATTGATAGTAACGATTTTTGCTCATGATTTAACTATTTTGATTTGTTGGCCACCTTTTAGTCCAACGTTGGGTCATTATGATAGTAATACACGTCATCAAGTCATTCATGGGGTGAAATCCCTCATAGCCATCGATCCCTTACAACTTAGCAGCATCCTTGGGGTTCTTGACCTCCACAATCAGCTTGCCGGTGTTGATGCCCTTGTACAGGTCGACCAGAGCCTGCTCAGCCGCCTTGAGACCGCCCTTGATGATCGTCTCCTTGCGCTTAAGTTTGCCCTCCTCGAGCCACTGCGCAAGGTCCTTGCGAGCCTGCGGGAACTCCTTGACGAAGTCGAGGACGATGAAGCCCTGCATCTTGATGCGCATGGTAATGATGTTGGAGTAGTTCTGTAGTTCGTTAGACTCCGTGCCCGAGAATCAAGTGCACAGGGTTGCTTTTCTTACCTTGGGGCCCTGGGGGTTTGCGGAGTTGTACTGGCTGATGCCACCGCACATGACGAAACGGGCGTGCTCCTTGGCCCGCGCCAGCGCCATGTCCAAAATCTCGCCACCGACGTTGTCAAAGTAGACGTTGATGTAGTTGGGCGTCGCCTCCTTGAACTTCTGTCTGAACTCGGGGTCCTTGTAGTTCAGAGCGACATCGAAGCCAAGCTCCTCAGTCAACCAGCGGCACTTGTCATCAGATCCAGCGATACCAACGACGCGCGCGCCCTTGAGCTTAGCAATCTGACCGGCGACGCTACCAGTGGCACCAGCAGCGCCGGAAACGACAACAGTCTCGCCGGGCTGGGGGTCACCGATGCGGAGCATGCCGAAGTAGGCGGTCAGGCCAGTCATGCCGATGCCGGACAGGTAGTCGACGGGTTGAGAGACCTTGGGGTAGGCGGAGACGGGCTCGATACGGCTTTCATGCAGGACGCTGTACTCGGACCAGCCGCCGAAGGCAGGGAGAACATCGCCGACGTTGGCCTTGGAGGACTTGGAGGCGATGACACGGCCTACGGTCGAGCCACGCATGGTCTCGCCAATCTGGACGGGAGGGAGGTAGGAGCGCTTGTCTTGACGGGAATCAGCGGTCGTTCGGCGAGTGGTTGATTAAGGGCAGAAGAGGCTTACCGTTGAGCCAGCCGCGCATGGCAGGGTCAAGACTGAGGTACCAGTTCTCGACGAGGATCTCGCCATCCTTGAGGTCATCGGCCTTGGGAATGGGCTTCTGCTCAGCTCTGAAAGTCTTGCCAGGAATAATCTCTGCCGTGGGGCGCTCGGCCAGGACGATGGAAAGGTTTTGATCAGACATGTTAGGAATCGTTTAACTTTCTCAACGACAAAAAAATATTGGGAAATTTTAATCGAATAATTGATACTAAAAAGATGGCAGAGTCCAACACGAAGTTGAAAGGGTCTGTTCATATATAAGGAGGGAGCTTAGGAGGGGGGTTAAAGTACTTGACTTGAGTCGTTTGTTCCTCGGCCGACCTTACCCCTCCAAGACCATCACCGTGAGTAGGTACTTTTTGCACCAGTTTTATTTTTTTTATTTTTTATTTTACCTTTGACTATGTCATGATTTCATGCCCCGCGCCGGAGCACCAGGTCGAAGAGGGACATAGGCCCGCATGAGCTCCGAGCCTCAACGAACGATCGAGGAATGTTCTCCGGTGCACGGGGCACGGGCTAGTAGGGATGAGGCTTGGACGTGTTTCTTTCTGTGTCTACGGGCGAACTGATGGCCCGTATTCCCCGGAGTCACCGCCCGGGCAGCTGTGTTAGTGACTGGAGACGGAGATTTTCCCATCGAGATGTGCGTTTGAGGAGGGTCTAAGAGGGGCTGACCGTTGAAAGGTTTGAGGGGGCCTGGACTACTCCAAGATACACGTACGCAGACACGGTGGTGGTGGGCATTTCATTGGCAAGTCTTGGTGACCAGGACCAGCCTGCTGCGTCTCGCTCTCCGTTCCCGTGGTGGGGCTGACTGATCAGACATGACGCCATGCCGAGGTAGGGGGGTGAACTTTGCGACAGTGACACCTCAGCTTCGTGAGTGATCAGTCGTGTCTGCCGACGGGGTCGGATCTGTCGCTGCCTCAGCTTCTCAAAGGGACCCTATGGAGCAGAGACGGGAACCAGGGACATCGGAGCGGAGTTACTGGGAGGGGGGACCCAGTGGAGGGGTTGGGTGGGTGAGAGCGGCGCGACTTGCATACCGCACTCTGGATTAGAAATGCGATGTGAAACTCTCGAGCCACAAAGCTAGGACGGAGACTTTTCTGTTCCCAGTACGGATATACATGAAAACAACCAATTACTGCAATGTTGAGCTAGTGGGTGTGGCAGGGAGAATAGGAATGGAGCTTCGACATTCACTCCATTGGTTAGCCTCATTCTTTGCGCTCTTTTGTCTTGTATGCGAAGCCGAGGCACATTACTAGTGTTTTTATTTTTATTTTTTAACCTTTTTCTTTTTTAGGGTCCCCATCGGTCAAGATTCCCAATGCGGTCCGGCTGGCGGCGCAGTTTGGCCAACTGGCCCGTTGTCAGCATCTAGCCCCGTCTAGCCGATCGCTGGATCTGTTTACCGCTCGTTGCGACGACTGCTTAAAGCTTAGCGTCGTTCACCGAACATATGCCGAGGTCCTCTCGGTCAGGGTCGGTAAGACAGGTGAAGTCTTTGACTAAAACATCTCTACTGTGACATCCTTCAACATAGACCGAGCTCATGTATTCATTTCGGTATTCAGACGCTTACATAACCCTATGTTCATAAAGGCTCCCAATAGGTTCACGGGTACCCGTGCGTGTAAAATTTCACGGGTACCCGTGGAAATGACTAAGCAACCTGCCCACGTCAATGAACGCGTCTTGTGTCATACACCTTTCACGCGTTATTTGCATCCAGCACTTCAGTCATATATTCTTAAAAATGGAAATAGCTCTCAAAGACTTAATACTCACATTCCCAGACGACAGTCTCCCCCCTGAAAGCGATCATAAATCTCGCGATGAGCTTTTTATGTCAATCAACAACTGGGCGGCGACAAAGGGATACGTATTCACTACCGGGAGATCAACAAAGGAGAAAAGCGGACGACGGACGATTACATATTCATGCGATAGGTCGTGTCATCCGCCAAGCACATCAATAGCGCGGCAAAGGCAAACTACTAGTAGGGGGACTGGTTGTCAATTTTCCGTCCTTGCTAAGGAATCTTTGGATAAGAGCATATGGAGCTTGAGACACCGGCCCGATAAGCGTTTTTCTTCTCATAATCATCCCCCAAGCCAACATCCGTCTGCTCACCCAACGCATCGCAAGCTATCTGAGGAGGATCAAGCCAAGGTGGCCGGTCTTTCAAACGCTGGCGTCGCACCCAGGGACATCAGAACATACATACGACAAACGACAGACTCTATAGCGACCCAGCAGGATATCTACAATCATATTGCAGCCGCTAAACGAGATGTTCGTGAAGGGCAGACCTCGATCCATGCACTTGCCAATCAACTTGATGAGGAAGGCTTCTGGAGTCGCATGCAGTTTGCACCAGATGGCCGAGTTACGGCTGTCTTGTTCGCTTATCTAGATTCCTTAGCCCTTCTCCAAGCCTACCTAGACATCATGTTACTAGACTGTACTTATAAGACTAATAAGTATGGTATGCTACTTCTTGATATAGTTGGCGTCGATGCTTGCTAACGGTCGTTCTGTATTGCGTTTGCATTTCTTAGCGGCGAGGCAGAAGATGACTATACCTGGGCTTTGGAGCGGGTCAAATCCTTGTATAGTCAGTGCAACGCTAGCCTACCTGCGGTTATCCTCACAGATCGCTGCTTAGCATGCATTAACGCTGTTGCAACCATCTTCCCCTCTTCTGCATCTTTGCTTTGCCTCTGGCATGCGAACAAGGCCGTTCTTCAACATTGTAATCCAGCTTTTGACTCTACTAAGCCAAAGACAGTCAACAATCCTGCAGCGCTCAAACCTTCAACTCAGAGCTGGGAAGAATTCTATAACTCCTGGCATTCGATCATCAGCTCGCCATCTGAGGTGGTTTTTGAGGAGCGCGTTTCCCAGTTTGAGGAACGCTATCTTCTGGACCATCTCGAAGAAGTCGGCTATGTTACGTCCGTTTGGTTGAAACCATACAAGGAGAAGCTAGTGAAAGCCTGGGTCGATCAGCATACCCATTTTGGCAATGTAGCTACTTCGCGAGTTGAGGGTATTCATGCACTACTTAAATCGCACTTGAAACGATCTACATTAGACCTTTTTGAAGCTTGGCGAGCAATGAAGCATGCTTTACTAAATTAGCTATCGGATCTAAAGTTAAATCAAGTTAAATAGCAAATATAGATACTAGTTGAGCTTTCAGGGTCAATATACGGCGCAGTGCTTGGCTAGGTATCGCATGAAGCCTTGCGCAAAGTAGAAGAGCAACGGAAGCTGCTCACGAAGAAAGACACAAATCCTTCCACAGCCTGTACGGGGATGTTTTCTCGAGTATATGGTCTCCTATGCTTACACAAATTGAAGACTTTACAAGAATAGAATCTTGTTCTTCTACGTGAGCACTTCCATGCATATTGGCATTTGAGGCGTGATGGAGCGCCGTAGCTATTGCTGGAGCCTCGCCAGCGCATAGAGCCCAGGTTGCAATTAGAGAATCCCAGTATTCCCAAATCAAGCACTAGACGAGAGCCTAGCGGGTTCGAAGTTGTTGAAGTTGCTTCACGGGCCCCAAGCAAATGCAGTAGGTGTCATACAGTTGGCCATACTATGACTTCAAAGGCGTGCCCTCTGCGATACATGCATTTATTGCCTGAACCGACACCTACTCTAGATCTAGCTATAGTATCAACTGCGATATTTACCGGGACGACGACAGATACACAAGAACCTCCTTCAAACGCCGTGCAGGACGTACCAGAGTTGGTTCAACCGACTATTGCTATAGTGGTAGAGACCAGTATATCACCACCTCGGGTATTATCACCATTTGCGCATTCGCATTCACCTTCGCTGCCAGGATACGATTCACCTCAGGCGATATACGGACGGTACTGTGCAGCAAGAAGCGCCTGGTACGGTGCTCAACCTCGTGGGAGTGTCAAAACAAACCAGGAGTATCGAAGGGCAATGGGACTTCCGCTACGTTATGACAAAAAGTGTTATGAGTGGTGTCTTGACTATAAGCAGATGAAAGGACGCTGCACTACCTCACACGGGTCAAGGGATTGGACGAAGGAGGAGATGATGGCTTATCTGGACTGGGATAGGGCTGAACACAAACGGGTCGATGAGCTGATTATTGCGGAAGATGGACAAAACCCCTTTAAAAACAGTGAGAGAGGTATGAGCGAAGTCTGGAAACGAGTCGAGCAAGATAAGGCAGAGCAGGAGGCGTTATACGCTGGTAGTAAGCCCGAAGAGTGCATCGTAGTAAAGTCGTAAACTTTCCGGATAAGTTTGATGCAGGCCGTGCCTCTCATTGGCTCATGAGCCCCATATCAGAGTTGCTTAGTCATTTCCACGGGTACCCGTGAAATTTTACACGCACGGGTACCCGTGAACCTATTGGGAGCCGTTCATAAACCTGCGCTTAGTAATACATTGCCGCATTATATGTCAATGGACTGTTTAATGCAAATTGATTGTAATACCATACCATACCCATTTCTTTTAGAATACCATGGTTTTTCTTTAACCAACACACTACACCTTACTAATACAGCCCAGTTCTACATGTAGAAGCGCCCCTCAACCGGTGGTTTTGGATCGTCTAGCACAGTCCCAAAGCTCAAATGTCCCACCCGCTCATTCGTCTGGCCATCAATCGCAACTCGATCGTACCAATCTTGAGGCATTTCAACCTCACCCCATTTTAGAGGATGGTAAGCCATCTCCCCAGATTCACACGCAAACCTATCTCCACTAGTCTGCAGGCTTTGCTTCGATCCCACCACAAGCTCTTCTAGCTCGGTATCCTCACCACTGCCTCCCTTATACTCTGTTGTGGGAACCTTTGACAGCGGCGAAACTCGGCACGCAGCAGCCATTGCTAGTGAGTTGGATCCCACCACGGGCATATACCCAGGTAGCCGTTTCAAAGACAAAATAATTGGACCGGCCATCATGATTGATCCAAGAATAATCAACATCAAAACGGGCAAAGATGAGGTCCCAAGCCCAACTACGGCGTCTGGCGGAAGACTAATCGTGTCGGCCTTGTAACCACCTGGCTCGTCGGGGTTATCCGTGCCTGAGCCTATGCGGAAATAGTCTGTAGCGTGTTAGTGAAAGGTGAGACTGTACTCGCCCTGAAGGTAGATCAACTTACTGCCCTGCGATACAATGATGAAAAGCGCATTTGAGAGTAACCAATGCAACATTGTACTTGTAACCATAAGGGGTATGCTATACCTGTAAGGCAATTGCAGCCGGTACGTAGCGATTTGTTGCCCTCTTTGTAGCGTCAGCATCTGCCCAAACTGTGTCACCATAAGGGCAATAGATATACTCACTTCGGTGAAGATACGCGTAAGGGGCGATACTCGGTGGAGAAACGCGACCACTCACGACCCATCTCCAATCGTGTAATAAGGGCGTTGTACGCGAGATACCAAAAAGATAAGTACAGTTGCGGCGCGTTAGCAACAAGCACGGATGCAATAAAGGCGATGCCGCCGTCGACTGGCGAGATGACGCTGGTTGCATCTGCAGGATTGGCCTTTATCCAGGAGCTTGCAGCAGATCAGCTTCACTCTTCAGCATCCATGGTATGGAAAAAAAATACTCACAGCGGTACACCCTCAACCAACTGTTTCGCGAAGCAAGCAATTGCTACCACGTCACCAAAAACCAAGATACTGTAAGTGCCGAACCAAGCCGTTCGAGGTACGCACGCAGCTCTCCGGACATGCTGATCTACCCACTGTCGAGGCCCTACCTGGACGTAAGCTGCATCTGATTCCTTATTCTTCCCCTTGTTCCTGGCTTTCTTCCTCACCATATCTTGTGTAAGGAGTCCAGGTCTATTGGTCTCACCATCATGCGTGGATAAGAACGATGCAATGGCATCGCCAGGAGTTACCAGGGATTCCTCCGATCCCAGAGCGTACAGGATACCGATGCAGGTAAGTATCTTGATCAAAATCGATACCACGACGCCGAGAAGTAGAGGCTTGGAAAGAGCGACGGCGCAAGTAGTTCCTAAATCTCTCGGTTTTGCTAGGCAGTGGGAAATCTCCAACGTATCATGGCTTTTCTGGAAGCCGAATGTGATGTTCTCGCTGGAAGCAGAGTAAAGAGTACTGTTCCATCCTGAAACGATGATGGTGCTTTCGTTCCGCCAAGGGTAGTTTCCACCCCCAATGTCTGCCGCTGAAGGATAACGATACCAGTCAGAGGTATTCATGTGCCAAGGTCCGTCTGTACTCTCTGTAGTCATGAAGGCATTGCATTTGTTATTGCAAAGTGGCACGTTCTCTTGAATGGTGCCTTCCATGTGACACTGTGTGGCAAACCACAATGCGTTTGTTTCGTCTTTGGGCACGAGGGGCTCCCAGAGGTCTTCGGCGGTGCTGCTCAGATTCCATAGATCTGATCTACGCCATGGAGAACCTTTCGTGACTAACACGACGTCGCTATAGTCGCGAAGCCCGTTGCATCGCTCCGCAGTGTACATTGTCCTGCATGTCGAAGTGTCCAATCTGGACCACTCGGATGCATTGGTTGCCGCAATCGACACGTTGGTTCTTTCGGAAGAAACGGTGTTGTTGCGATAGTTTTCGAAAGCAAAAATAGTCTCTTTGGTCCCGTATCCGTTATAGCTCCACCACCAGGTGCTGGGATCTTTGACAAACAAGTCGCGAGTGAACAAGCTGGCACCCGGTAGGTAGTAGCGGCCTCCTTCAAGGAAAGATTCAGTGGCCACTGTGACGTGAAAGTCACCCATTCGCCCGTCCATCTGGAAGATGGAGCTGTTGAAAAACATGTGAATTGGAAGAGAAGTGATGAAAAGAATTATCCACGCTATTGCCTTGAATCGCGAGAGGCGAAATGCATTTCGCCATGATGGGATACCGATATCAAGCCAGTCTCCTCTGGCATGTGCGGCTGCGACCTCCCGCCTAGATGGCGCGTTTAGAACCTGCATAAAGAAGTTGGATGAAGCGAGTACCGTGGTTGAAAGCACGTTGAGAAACAAGTGAAGGAGGGTATTGGTGATGCTGACACTCCGGCTTTTACAGTCTGCCGTGTAAAACTTCCACACTTGTGCCACGTTTTGAGTCCTTGAAATTGCCGTCGCTAGGATTCCCAGGAGAATGAGCACGCATGTCGACATGAGCCCGATGTTGACGATGGCTGACCGCCGCCATCCGCTCGGAAGCCAGCCTTGCCTGGGCTTCAACTTCCGGGCCCATCTGGAAAAGGATGGCATTGGGGATGCATTTAATAGCAAAAAAACAAGGGGATATTGGGTTGCAAATCAGCTTTCGCGGCCGGGTAGTCCACTTCAGACTTGTCGCATCCACTACTACGATCAAATGCACAATATGAAGCTGTGAAAGATGGAAATTCAGTCGTTACGTGCGAAGATCCACGCGTTTTGTCAGGCATACAAAAGGTCCAAAGCGGTGACGCGACCAACTAGATCGTACAGAGAGTTGCAACGGAAGTGAGGCAGTGAAGTCTTTCATTGGTCAAACCTTGGGCTTTGGCTAGGATCGACAGTTCGGAGCCTCCTACGTGCATCCTCCCATGTCTTTTTTTAATCATCAGCATTGGATCCAAGCCTTTGTGCAATCCTGTATTGCAACCTATACCGACAGGCATTGAAGCTCAATTTACACCCATGGAACCCGCTCGGCAAATCCTTTGGCGGGTCATGGGCTGACAGGAGCCCAAGGAGCGTCTGGGGTATGACGAGGCTCAACAGAATGAATTTCTCCGCTGTAGATAGACTCTATAAGTCATAATAGACTACATATTTTTGACTACCAGGAAGCTTAATATTGGCCGATGCAACCTCTGGCTGCGTCAGGAAGGCTCAGATAATAACATCGATTTAAGGTCGACGTTTGGATGGAACGGAGATTGAATTTCCGCGGTCTAGATAATCCTGATAAATTGTTCTTCGTCCATGGAGTAGATGATTGGCTTTGGGCCGGCTTAGCAGTGGTCACTGCTTGAGTGGACAGGAGACTGTTAGACGAATGTTGTGAGCTGGGTCCAACCAGAGGGTCCCAAGTCCACCAAAACAATTGCTAAGTAAATCGCCACCAACCCAGAGGCCTAAACATCACCTCTTTAGATGACTACATATTGATTTCAACGTTTTGTTTGGAACAAAGTCTATTCGGCCTGTATTCTAGCTTGCCAATAACAATCAACTGTGTTCGGTCAGTCTATATCCGTCTCCTCTAGGCATTTACTTGGGCAGACATCCTCTTTCCCGTTTATAATTCACCCTTAGTACGTTAAACAAACATTATCCCGAATACTGACTTGCTCGAAATCGAAGTATAAAGAACCTGAATCTAACTTTGAGTATGGATACTTCTAGAGTGCGGAAAAGTGTCTGAATTAAGCAGTTGGCTTCGGAAGAACAGTAATGACAGGAGTCTTGAAGACATCCCAATCGTTTGCTTCCTGGGGAACGCCGAAAGGCTTGAGCGCTGCAAAGCGCATTCTGAGTAAAGTTAGTATATCTGCAAACTCATCATACCGGAGGGAACGCTTACTGGTATTGTCCAGGTGCAATGTTGGAATCATTTGCAAGCTTGCCCAGCCATATGTATGTATGCCGAGGGAAACTGGTCTTGGTGTTGCGAGTTACGACATGAATGGGAAACGGCACGACATCATCTGGAGTATGGATGTCCTCGCTATAGTAGCCGAGTGAATCGGCATAGATGAAGTTGGTAGCCGAGCCCACATAGCCGTCTTTGCCGACGACCGGGGGGTATTTCCATTGGCTCTCCTCGAAACCAGGTTCAAAAATCTAAAGTGATCTGCAGTTAGTATGCCTGTATAACACAGGCTGTCATGGCAAGGAAACCGAAGACTCACGTCCCAGCGAAGCTCGCTGCATCCGTATCTGAAAGTTGCATAGACACGAAAGTAGTCATGAACATATCTACCAAGGTCGAACGTTACGCTTGCGATTTGATCAGCTCTCTTAGAATATTCTAGTTGAATTGAGCTTACTTTGGTTTCTGGTCAACATCTAGAGAAGGAGTGCCCGAGTGCATGGACACCGTGCCAGGTTCCAGCAGTGTATCGTATTGCTCATTGAGGCTAAAAGCTGCGCCAAAGTAAGGAACAGCGAGCTCTTCACCCAGACTCGATGAGATAAGAATCTTTCCACTGAAGAGTGGTTGTCGCGTCTGGTCCAGACCTTGTGGATAGTCGAAGATGAACCTATTGATCGCTTTAGCTGCTTGTCTATTACGCCCATATCAAGGTCGCATACTCTGCTTTTCTAGCCTCGCCCGGCTTCAACTTGAAGGTGCCAGAAGGAAGCTCAACAGAAGGGACCATCTTTAAAGGCTTGAGGTCGGCAAGAACATTCAAAAAGGGCGTCGACGGGGTCTTGGCTTCGATTCCAGCTGCCGGCTGAAGGGCAAAGTGGTACTCTACCTCAACGTCCGCATTATTAGCGATCTCGACCGTTTGTACTTTGTTGAAGTGCTCCGTGTCGTTCAGTGCAAACTTGTCAAAAGTAAGGCCAGTCTTGTAGCTCAGAACCTTCCACGCATTGACTATACCTGAGCCGACTTGGATAGTTGGGGCCCAGAAACCGGTGTCCAGTGGCTTGTTGCTGTCGGCGATTGACCAGGGCATACTCGCACCACTAGAGATGATGCGACGGTTGAGCATCTTGCCAAAGCCGCGACCGTGAACTTTGCGGCCGCCATACTTTCCGATATACAACGCCGCAATACCAGCGACATACGGGCACGACATTGATGTTCCAGAGAGGACGGCCCATCTGTTTCCTGGGACAGGGCTTAGGATGCGACCCCCAGGAGCGGCAACATCGGGTTTCAACTCCAAGTTGTAAAGACCTCCCCAGGAGGTAAACTGGTTGGGGTAAAGTCCGACTGAGTTGTGCATACCGACATAGTAGTCAGGATCGGTGAACTTGCTGAAATCTGCAGTGACGTTGCCGCCGGCCTTGATAGTCTCGATGATCGCCTCCCCGACCTTAGCGTCTACGAGAGACTTTGGCTTGCTCAACCAGCTCAAAGGATCCTGGGTCGCCTCTTCATTGTTATAAAACATGACGTAGGTGGCATTGTACGGCATAAGAGCAGACTCCTTTTCCAGGAGATCACATCCTCCTCGACGCACCAGCACAATCTTGTCAGAGAGATCGGGAGTGTTTTCGGGAACATCTTTGCAAGCTTGTGCAGGGTCCGACGTGTCGAAAGAGAGGGGTAAGATGGACCAATCCTTGATGGTCCATGGGTTATAGTTGCTGAGATATCCCGACAGCGTAGTATTGCTCTGATCGCCCAGGTTGAAGGTCAACTCAAAAGGCATGCCGGGCCAAGTGCCCGCCTCGCCGGACGCAATAGCAAGCACCTCTTTGCCCGCTGCTCCACTGCTCCCGTAAATGGGCCCTTCAACGCCACTGTTAGCTGCAGAAATGGTGACAACCACTCCCTGCTCTGCAATTCGAGATGCAACCGTCGCCCAGGGACCACCGGAGAAGCCACCAGCGCCGCCAATACTAGCAGTAATCACATCGGCCTTGGCAATGTCAACGTAATTCTTCTCATTCATTTTCCATCACTCACCCCTTCTTCGTACGCTCTGATGAGAGCGTCGATCAGAGTCGCATCATCAGTACTACCCTGATGCTCGACGTCAGTTCACAACCTTCTTACAACAATGACTATTATCTGATCGTCAAAACTTACAAGTTGCGAAAAGACTTTGTAAAGGTAAAGCTCTGCTTCGGGAGCCACTCCGGTGAACCTGATTAGGCCAATGAGTAAATCCACACCTGCTAAGAAAAAGAAGTTGAAGTTCTTACCACTCGCTTTTTCCAGCGATAATACCAGCAACATGGGTGCCATGATGTTTAGAGTCCATCGGGTCATTATCAGGTTTCTTCACGGCCCCAAGCGAAGGCCATCCTTGAAACTTGGTTAGGTGCAAGTCCAACAGAGTACCAAGAGCCAGGGATATTACTGACCTTCGTCGCCAACAAAGTCCCATCCACCAGCGGCTTTGAATCCAGGACCGAAACCACCCCCAAGCTGAATATTCAGTCTACCTGTCACCGAATAAAACGCAAGGAGAGACTCACGGCAGGATGATTGTAGTCAGCACCAGTGTCGATAACAGCAACCCTGGCACCTTTTCCGAAGATACCAGCTTCATGTGCCTTGTCAACACCAGTGTGTTTATGCTGTGAGTAATTGAGGGCCGCGATATCGCTATCAAACTGAGCAACCGGTTCATACGGGGAAAGCCAAATCTGGTTCGCAGTCCAAGCCTTGGAAATTCCCGCGTCTAGCTGCAGACTGTCGATGTTGTCTGTCTCTGATTCGATGGTCAGACCAGTAAAGACATCTGACTTGAACGTCTTCACGATCTTCGCCCCTCGATTAGATGAGAGCTTGGCAGAGAGGGCGTCTACATCGGTACCCTTCATCGACGATGTTAGAAAATGGGTGACCAAATGGAATCCAAAGGAAATGGGATGGGTAAGACCTTTTCGACTTCGATAATGAATTGCTTGGTAGCGACAATCGAATCGGCATCGTCGCGACGGCGAATAGCGAGCACACCGCAAGCCAAAGGCAAGGCATGCAAGATGTGTGAGACACGCATCCTGTCGAATTCTCTCGATGCTAGAATCAAGAGCTTGTGTGATCTCCTCAATCTTTCGTCTTTGCTCTTCCAGTATAGGTTTTATACTCGTTTTTCAACTCTATCGCTATCGCTTCGCGAGTTTTGAACTATCCAAGAGCCTTCGCACAAGCTTCAACAAGCTTTCCTGATTGAGATGGGAGTGCATGTATGCGTTCCAATGACAGAAGCTGATAGTACGTGATGCAAAGGCAGCAGGGCCCTAGACGCCTCACATCCCTTGCTCATAGCCGGGACAGGATGCAAACATCCGGTGAGTCGTGAGCTTCCCCCTGTTTCTCGGGCTATCACACAATAATCTTTCGTTGTAATTTTGATGCTGCATTACTTGCTTGGCGTTCAAATGAAGGAAGGACTGCAGCATCGTCTTCAAAGTAGGACTCCGTGGGGGTAACTAAACTATCAGACTAACAGGCATAGGCTGAGACCCAATTAGGAAACCTTCATAGTTCCGAGAAGTACATGTTGAACGAAACGCGTGTTCTTCTTTTCTTCATCTTCATCAAGTCACATTCTGTTCACAAGCCAAGGTCTGTTGTATAGCATTAGTCCTTCCGTTACCAAGTCCCAGGCCAACAACGACCTGTACCATCTTGCATCAAAGTCAAGCATGTCAAACTAGTGTCGGTTACGATCTTTACTATGTACACCTTGTGGAACCCAAGACAAGGGCGGAAGTACGGGATGGCGGGATAGGCGCAAGACTACAAGACCCTGGGTCAATCGGAAGTGGTTCGTGGGAATGGTGCCGAGCCGCAGAGTTAAATTTTAAGGGTCATGGTATGCTTAAAGAAAGGCATGACGAGCTCCAGGGTATCCGAATGGTATGTTTCTTGAGATCCTTGTGCCTGTATGCTTCCACCCTAGCCGGACAGATTGGTTGGCCAACATTTGTGTAGAATCCTCAGATATGCAGGTCCAATCCTCTAGTAGCAGGTTGAGATAGGCTATCTGATGGTCAGGGTGTTCGGGGAAACGGGAAAGATTCCGAATAATTGCAGTCTTCATAGGGCATTAGCGAGCAATGGAACCTTGATAACCGACATTATAATACGAGACCAGTGGGTTATGACCTTGTAGCCTTCTGAATATAGAATAGCGCTGGCTTCAGACTCAAAACAGCTGCTCGCAGAGCTATTCAATATCAGGTCCATCAACTTATTCCGTGATTGGGTGAAGGTAACTTCGAATGTCTCCGTGATGAAACCCCGCTTACTCGGGGCACTAAACCTCTCTTCTGACGACCTGAATCAGTAATCCTACGTAGTAGTCATGACATTTGGACCAAAATATGTGGGAGTCATGATTCAAATCAGTATTTACTTTGGATCCGGTTCTGTGGGGAGAGTGATTGAAGCGATGAACCATATCGATGAAGAGCAAATCTGTGATCTGAAGTTTCACACCCACTTTCACAGGATGACAGCCCCCGATGCTTGAGATTTGAGATTCACATCGGTGAAAAATCACTCAGGGGCCGTTCTCGAAAACTTCCAGCCACCGGCCGTGCTGCCGCTCAGTCACATTGATGTTACAATCTAGACCCAGCGCAACGGTGCTCTGACAATCTCGGAGCTGAACGATTCCACAGATCGCATGGCAATCTCCAATGCGGCACATCATCTACAAATTCCTTCGCTCTCCGTTCATCTGAAAAGTGGCCAAAGCAACAAAAATTCGCCTCGCTTCGGTATGGAACGGTTTGGAATCTTTCTCGATGCATCTGGGATAGAGGTCCAGGCATTCCAAGATCTGCTACGTCATGGCGGCCCGGCGAGAGCGGGGCGCCCTTATGATCACAGCTTTGACGATGTCACGGTTGACTCCTGGCAAGTTTGCAGTCGATGTTTTGACAAGATTGAATCATTCATTCCTCTCTGACAAAATGTAGTTTGTGCCTAAGACATTGATTGTTGTGCGACTCGTTCGCTCTGAAAGAACGACTCATGAAAATGGCCAGGTTCGGCTTGACAGCTCATAAGCGCGGCGGCTAAGGCCAAAAACACTGAATATGGCACCCGTCAAAGAATAGCGGCGTTCTGCGTAGCTTATTCAAGGCTACCCATAGATGGACATCCTCGAATGTCGCCGTACTGCGGAGCAGCCACACCGTCGGTGTGGTACAAGTGGGCGCCCGTCAAAGAGGTAGCACGTGGTCTCTGCGACTTCGCTCTACAGATGACTGGAGGCCGCGGGACAGCCGTCAATATCCTGGGGCCGGCGCATCCTGGGATAGATTCGCTTCTGGGTGCCTGGGCTGGGGGTGCAACAGCGAATGCGATCTCGCCGTTGAAGAGGGAGACAAGGGGACGACATGGCTTTGGGATGACAGTAGAGTCATGTTCCTCCCCTTGCATCACGACGATGACATCCGTCCCTGGTTGATCTCGAGATAAGGGAGGGCTGTGTTGCTCTTGGACAAGTGTTCTTATCCATCTCCATTACTCGGTTCAGCAGTCCGCGGGTATGGTGGCCACGGAACCACTGGCAAAGAGAACAAACCTTCACTCGGATGGTTATTGTTTTCTCCGTCCGCAGGCCTGCCCGGATGTCCAGCGTCGCTGCTGCAAACCTTTTATTCGCCCGCTGTCTGATAAAAGGCCGTAGCGTAGCTTTCGCTGAGTTGCACTCCACACATTCAATACCTAGCCCTTGGCTGGAACCTGGGAAAACAGATCGGCACGAGAGCGGGTGGAAAGGCTGACTACGGATGTTGGTGGTTTCATAGGTAGAGTGACAAGTAAAACAAGTTAGCAAAAAATACTTAATCTCAGGGTCGAACAATAAAAGCTGCACCAGCAAGGGGATTTGAGCGACGCAGAAGACGCTTGCGCAGGGCAGAACCTTGACGGAGGTCGTGGCATGCCTGCATGGAAAAGGAGGAAACATGGAAGAGTCTCATGGGAGAGTCTCATGGGATGGGGAAAATGCAGAACTGGGACAATGGGAGAATAAGAGGAAGAAAAGGACTGTGCGTTGCAGCTTGCTGTGAGTTGCACCAAGCACTTTGAGCAAGCTCAAGGATGAGCTGTCCTGGTTGGCACAGGTCTCAGCTCAACTTCCGCCTTGGAAGTACGTATGTCCATGCCAGAGCTTCCTCAATGCTCCTTTGCTCTGCTCTGTTCAGTTGAACTCGACCTGTTCGGTCCCTCCTGTGCTCCGTTCTGGCTACACTTGGGTGCTGAGTTCGAGTTGTGCTCTGATGTCCGGACTTGACTCCGCACTAGCGTTTGACGCTAGACACCATTACAACCGAGCAAGGACGTTTATGGCTTAAGTCAAAAGCATGGAAGTCCCGGGCTCGTCGGCTCGCAACTTAAGGAGTGTGCCTTGGATAGCCAATTACTGCGCGGCTAGGTCCTGTGTGGTTTACGCCGGGGCTGGGCCAAAGCAAACACCAGGGCCGGTCCCTGTGTCGGGAGCTAATCGCTGTTCCGCAACGGAGTCCGGTGTCGATCGTGGAGAGGCGAATACTCCGAAAGTTCAGGCTCCGGCAGTGGCTGGATCCCGGGAAACCAACGGTTAATGTGTCAAACAGAATTGAAAGGTCTTGGCCGGACTTGTCGTCGCAGGGGACGCTTGATGGTGCTGATAATTCCTTTCTGTCAGCTAGACTTCACTCCCTTTGCTCGGCTCTCTGGCCTCTTTTGCCCCGCACACACAAACATAGACACACCATGTGAGAACGACAACGAGGGCCAACAGAGTCTAGAGCATTGCTGATACCGATTGAGATGAAGCTCAGGGTTTATGCCAGCCAAGGTTTGCTTGCAAAGAGCAGAAACCATATACCATTGCCAACACCACCAACTGACCTGTGCCAATCACGCGACGAGACAGTGTTCTCAACAAGGAGGTGTCGAAGCATCCGAGGCACCGCTGCGATACTGCTCGGGGCCCGAAAAGGAACATCCTAAGGGAAATGGGCTCAGATGCTACCAGGGCACGTTTTCGAAACCAGGGACCGGCCGGTCAGGTACTCCATCTGATGTGGTGATGCATTAATGCTCCTCTCATGATTCGTGTTGCGACGATGGGCGGTCGTGCGCTTTAGACCTATGCAACCTAGCACAAATTCCAGCTAAGGCTTTCCCATATGAAGTAGTCGACATCTCTCGTACCAGAGTATTTCTTTTCCAAAAGTAAGGTGAGAGCTCTGGTTCTGCTGTCGCATAAGTCGAGAGCTACTTAATCATATCGTCGTGGTCGTTGCTGTGCTGTTTGTCTGGCGCGCGCGCACAAGAACGTTTTATTCAGTCACTCTTTTCTAAAGTTGTTATCATTCTCCCCTCTTTTCCCCTTCCTTCTCACCAGATTTGCTTCAGTACACAAACAGCGACGAAGCCGCATCGATGCAGTCCGAAAACAACGCGCCGGCGCCTCCGTCGGGTGCCGCCGCCGACATCACCAGCGACAACGAAGAGCATATTACCTCGTCCAGGGCAAGCTACGAAGATGCCCCCCAAGAACAACCGCCCAGCAACTCAAGCTCCAATGACCCTCCTTCAGAGGACAGAGCGCCGAGCGAGGACAGCAAGAAGGCACCAAGCAGAAAAGCATCTGGCGAGGAGAGTAGAGCGGCTGTTGCAGCAGGAAGCAAGCCACCGTCGAACAAAGCACCCTCTCCAGCAGGAAGCAGACGGGGATCAAATGAAGCGGCAGTAGTAGCAGGCGAGTCTGCGCCTGGAGTCGCCAACGCTCCCGTCGCAGCCTCTGATGCAGCAATTCCCCGAGAGCGTGGCCCTGGTGACGAAAATCGTGAGGCATTCCGCGATTCTACCATTACGGCAGTCAGCGAGGGCACGGCACAAGTGCTTGGAAGAGACGGTGTGCCCAAGACCACGACAGACCCAGCAGCTGCCGGAGTTCTTGCAGAGACCGCTCCCAGCGTCAACAGGGAAGTCAACGATGATGACGAGCTGGAGCCTCTGACGAAGTACGTCGACTGGAAGGAGCACATTTCCATTTCGATCGGCCCATTCATCATCCTGTTCTTCGACCTGGCTTTGCCTGTCTGCATTTACTACAGTTGGTTACGTGCCCAGCGCAACCGTCGCCGCGAAGCATGCGCGCCTGCGTACCAGGCGGGAGTGACGTGCGGTTTGCCTCCTGTTGAAACGGTTGAGAGTCGAATCTTGGGTTTTGCTATCATCGCTTTTGGTTTTGGCGAGGTGTACATTCTGGTTGTCCGCGTCTACAGACTCATCGCCCGCTACGAAGAGTGCGCGCCGCTGTTGTCTAAGCATTGGTGGGAGCTGGATGCTACCACGTGGGTATACACGCTCGGCCTGATAGCAGCGTTGGTTCCGTTTGTCTGCTCAACCACCGTATACGAGCCATTTGTGGTTGAGTGGCTGTACCTGTACTCCCCTGGTTTTATGTTCATGGTGTTGGACGCAATTGCCTTCATGACGCTGATCCCGATCAAGCTGCCCTTCCGTATCAACTCGGACCCGAAAGGTGAACGGCTGAAGCCTATCGTCTACTACGCTGCCGAAGACTTCTTCGCCGTCGACGGCGCCCAGAATCGCGAGTTCCGCAAGCGATTCGTCGAGCGATACAAGAAGTCGATGATGTTTCGCAAAATGATCCTGGAGTTGACGTTGTTCTGGATCGGAGGATGCACATGTTACCTAGGTTACACAGCTGCCATCATCTGGGATCTGGAATTTGAGCGTGCTTTCGGTACGTCGTTGGGCGTCTTGTTTGGCTGGATCATCGTTTGGGGTGTAACTGCGAGATTCTGGATTGACTGGGCGATCAAGCGGGAGAAGAAGTGGTGGAAAGAAAACAAAGCCGAAAGAGAAGCGGGAAAGATTCAATGAGACTAGTGTCTAATCACAGTCCTCCCCTCTGAAGAACGGCCGAACAGGTCGTGCTGAGGTATGGGGCGGCTTACTACTGTCACCTAGTGTTAATATTGGTATGGTCAAGATTTTGTACTTATTGAGGACGGGTGAGATTAAATCCAGGGCATGAGAACCTGGAGTTAGTTGGGAAGATACCGAAAGGATGGACTTCTGCGGATAATGAATAAATCAGTCATATTGCTTGAAGATGTTTCCTTGGTGAAACTGATTGGACAAAACACACCGGACATGGAGTATCAGTTGCAGTTGTGTGTCGGAGTAACTGTTAAACCAAAACATGCCACATATTGAAGATTCGATTTTATGCCAATGGCATTTCGAGAACAAAGGAATGGATACGTCCAACAAGCCCCAAAATAGTAGCAGTAATAGAATTGTTTAACGCCGGTGCATCCCCGTAGGGGGAAAAGGGCGCTTATACAGTAATCTACATAATCCAGACCCCAAAGCCTAGACTTAAGAGTAATATTATCACCCTTCCTCGTCCGATTGTCATGCCCAAATCTCGGTAGTTGCATCATAAGCGAGCCCGTCGCTTGATGGCTTTGCCGTAGCCTTACAAATTTCACTCAAAACTCCTCCACAAAAAGTTATACCGCCGCCTAGATATCAAAGTCAATTGTGTTTAGCCCTTAAGATCGGCACAAGTATCAAACAGCTTGAGGTTAGAGGCGGCGTCGAGTCCGCTCGGGGCATTACAGGCACTCAACTCTTTATTCCACGCAACAGGTTGCCTTCGTAACATGACATCCGCATGCGCACAACGTCTCTTCCAACGATTATTCTATTAATCTAGAAACGCAATGATCTTTTCTACATAAGAAGCTATTTCGATGGAAGACATGACCAACGCCTCCTGCCATCAATTCGCCGAATACAAGACGCATGAGGTGATCAATTTATGCAAATTACATCCAATTTGACAGTCCTTGCTACTTACTCCAACGGGCCGTAACACCGAGTCATACTCCGTCCAGAGTGCCTTTCAGTGCCGTATGGTTGGCTATAGCGCTTAGAGGTGGGCCTATATAAAAGCTTATCAATGAATGCGACAACGAGGTAATCCACCTCTAAGAGGTTTGGCATGTTAGGGCCCTCTCGTATGTTACACGCGTTCTATGGAGTACACTACCTTGGTGCGCCTTAGGGTGCCTGGGGCCGTTTGCTCACCGAAGATTTAACCAGGATAGTAGATGTAGCTGTTTTATGGATTGGGTTTAGGCTTGCACAAGAGCAGGATCTTCAGGTCAAAATAGCTTCACTCCACTATTTCCAACTATTTCATTGGAAATGCGTTTCCTGTTCACCCCACAAATGGGAACCGCGGAAACCTCGGAACGGAGCTGGCCGATCCAGTGCTTAGCAATGACAAGGTTATCCTACGGGGTCTTTACCATATAGGAATCTGTTCGCCGATATAAACTATCGCTCTAGAGATTCATATATGGGTGGTAATCCTTCGTCTGATGTCTTGAAGCTTGTTCGTTCCTAACCCCACCGTGGCACCAAGACCATCTACATACCTTCGTTTTGATTTCGTCATAATGGACGCCATAGCTGTCAATGACCCTCGGGTCAAGTACCAGACAGCGAACCTAAACGGTGTAGAGTACAAGTACATCCTTGCAGAGCCGGCATCTGGTAATGTAGTCGGTACTATTTTCCTCATCCACGGATGGCCAGATATGTCCCTTGGATGGCGCAACCAGATCCCGTTCCTTCTCTCCAAGGGTCTCAGAGTTGTCGCTCCGGATATGATGGGATACGGAGGTACTGCTGCGCCTGAAGATGTGAACTTCTAGTGAGTTGGTCCACGCTATACCATGGTGATTCACGCTTTGAGAGTCGGTATAACTAACCAGCCCAACTTAGCACTTTCAAGCGCGCCTCAGATGACATCGCCGCGCTCGCGAGCCATCTTGGTGTGTCGCGCATCATTCTTGGCGGACACGACTGGGGTGGTGCTGTTGTCTACCGTGCAGCTCTGTGGCATCCCGATCTGGTCTCGGCTTTCTTCGTCATCAGCACACCGTTTGCTCCCCCACGTGTTACCTACGTCGACCAGGCCATCGCTCTGCCTACTCTGCGCTACCAGTTGCAATTCCGTAGAGACGACATCCAGGACTACATCGGGCTCAGCGATTCACAGAATGCCACTCGTGTACGACAAATCCTGAACACCATCTACGGTGTGAGGCTTCCCAACGGCCAATCGGCCTTCAACTCCAGCGGAAATGGACTCAACCTGCAGCTGCTCGATGGTGTGACGGAGGACACGCCGTTGTTGAGCAAAGAAGAGCTAGATTACTATGTGGAAAACTATGTCAGCGACCCCTTCAACCGGACGCTGAACTGGTACCGTACCGGTGAACTTAACTGGAAGGATGAGAAGGTCTTCGTGCCTTGCAACACTACGTTCGTGGAGAAGTACGCGCAGCCTGCACTCTATATCGGCGGATCTCTGGATACGGCGCTGCCTCCGATCTTGTCGACCGGGATGGAGACCTACTTTGACAGCTTGTCCCGCGGGGAGGTCAACGGCACACATTGGGTGATGTGGGAGAAGCCTGAGGAGGTGAATAGTTTTGTTGGCAACTGGTTGACTGGCTCAGTGCTGGGGAACCTGACTGTTGGCTTGAACCTGACCGCAGCTGGGAGCGCTCTAGCTCTTCATTAATGAGGAGGCTGTTATTATGGTTGAAGATGTGAGATACCAGAAGAAATTCTCTGTAATTTATATTATTAGACATAATATCATCAAAGCTTGAGACATGATTGAAGATACAATATTTCGCCTCCATAGTGACTGTGGTCTGCACCGGGTCTGTGTCAAAATCTACAGATATTACGGAAGGGATTGGACCTGGACATGTCCTTAAGTTGGACTTGCTCAAATTAATAGTAACTTTATCACAAGGATTGAATTCAGTCATTTTCTACTAGGATCTGTGTTGGTCATTAATGAACGATACGACTCACGCACTCTTCACTCTCTTATGCCTTCTTGATCCCTTTAAGAACCCTAAACTTGCACGAGCGATATGAGCGGAAAGTGAGGTAGGTCTCTGAAATATGAAGCGTGCTCTTGTAGACGGCATCTCTTATAAGCTGATCACAATATCGAATCCACTCCTTGAAACATATACCATTGTCCATACCTGCAAGCCAGCATGGGCCGAAACCAGCACTCAATTCAGACTCAAACGGCGGGATCGCATAATGTACCTTAAAGAGAATGGTCAGTGAACCGTGTTGTCTCGGTGATGCAGTGCGAAATGGCAAGACAGAGCTATAATTGGACCCGGATAGTCAGTCTTGGGGATCTCAAGACTACCATTCGGGTTAATTCATGTGACAGCGCTGGCTAGAGACCAAAGAACCATTACACGAATGCCGACATTAGTGGTTTCGCAAGGATGAAAGTCTATTTGGTCAGAGTGCGACAGTGAGAAAAGAAAGGTTTGCCATTATTAATGGCTTGTCCCGTCCATACATGATGGTGAAGCTCGTGACCTCTCGCAATAAGGTTGATTGCATAGTTACGATGAACTCGCCGAAACCAAGTCCATCTTTTCCCAGGACGCTTATTCATGTTCTCCGTAATCCTCTGTCAATCGCTCTCCACAAGTAAAGTATATCGACGGTTAGTAATCAACATTGTCGATTCTGGTTAACCTTCAAGTAGTGGAGGTTAGCACTGCTGCCACTTGCAGAGGAGCTGAAGCTTAATTCAGCCCAGAATTGCTTCGTAGGGTTACCCTGCAACTAAACATGCCTGATCCGTATCGAATCGAGTCTTGTTCCGTACTCTACGCAAGACCATCTTATCGTGTAACCTTTGCAAGAGTATGTATAATGATATTGACGGTAATGACTCTGGGTTATACCTCTGCGGCCAATCATTCCGACTCACCGTCATCACCCCACGCTCTTCTACCAAGCTCGGCCCCTCATCTCCGATTGTACCCGCGGCCCAGACGCCGTGTCTATGCCGTGTCCAATCGCAATCCCTTCCCAGACTCCTCTTTGTTTTAAGCGATGTAGGCCGGTGCAAAGATTTACAAACTCGCCATTCCCAGATACGTCTAGCGGGTCATGAAAATTGGGAACAAACATTCCAGGGTGGCGGTTCAAAGTGGCATTCACAGTCATTCCGCTCCCTTTTACACGGGCATGACAGGCCCCCAGCCTCCTCACCTCCGTCAGTCTTCGTTACCTGTCTCTCGGGAACCAACAATCGTCGTGAAAAATGTAACGTGGGGGTGTGTCATTGCCAATCACCCGGGCCAATTGCATATGCCAGGTAGACGAGAAAGTATATATCCCATGTTAATTAATGGATCGCCAATGCGAGCTTTTTGTAAAAAATAGCTCACAGGACCGACCGTCCGTCCAGTCGTTGGAGGTGTCCTATGACTGTAAAACAACGCAGAGAAACTTTTCATTGATGGTGACTTGGCGAACGGATTAATCCGTAGCGACAGCCTAGGTCATCGTCAACACCTTTTCCGCAGGAAAATGATACGGCCTTCCGCACCTATGTTGTACAAAGACAATCTACATACACCCTCGCAAAGTTAGATTCGGAGTCGCAAGGTACGCGCTACCAAGTGAACTTGAATCCGCCGACATGGCTCCCGAGAAGCACACAGCTGCAACATCCGGCCCCGCGGTCGGGCCTATGACAACCGGAGCGGGCGCCGATATCGAAGGCACAGCACCGACCGATGGCCACTCACCACACCGCGCAGGCGACGACGATGCCCTCGCCATGGTCGGCACGCACACACAACAATACGACCCTGCCGTCGCTGCTCGCGCAGTGCGCAAAATCGACTGGTTTCTCATCCCCGCCATGATCTTTGGCTGTTCGTCACACCTCTGCCTCTCATTGCTTTCCACGGTTCTAACAGCCTCGTAGATGGATTAGTTTATTACGACAAGGCAATTCTAGGTTCAGCAGTCCTCTTTGGGATGACCAAGGACCTGCAACTTTCCGTCCCGACTCCCGGGGGTGGCGTCGACACCTCACGGCTCTCCTGGGCCACCTCTCTCTTCTACTTTGGCATGCTCGCAGGCCTGTACCCGATGACTTACGCCCTTCAACGCTTCGACATCGGCCGCATACTCGGAGGCGTGGTCATCTTTTGGGCGGGCATTTGCATGCTCACAGCTGCCGTGACGTCTCACCAGGGCCTGTACGCGCAACGCTTCTTCCTGGGGTTTGTCGAGAGCATCATCCCCACCGGCTTCATGTGCATCATCTCCGGATACTACACCCAGCTCGAACAGTCCCTCCGCCAGAGTTGGTGGTTCAGTTCCACCGGACTCTTCACCATCATTGGCGGCGCGCTGAACTACGCTTTCGCGCAAATCCATTCCGGCGCTCTCAAACCATGGCAATACATCTATCTGTTGGCGGGCTGCCTGACGTTCCTCTTTGGCTGTTTCTGCTTCGTCATGCCCAACTCGCCCGTCTCCGCCTGGTTCCTCACTCCCGACGAACGCTTTGCCGCCGTCGAGCGTCTACGATACGGCCAAACCGGCGTCCGCTGCACCAAGTTTAAAACGTCACAGCTCCGCGAGGCAATCCTCGACGTCAAGGTCTGGCTTATCGCGCTGATGATGGCGTCGGCATACACCATGAACGGCGCTGTCTCCGGTTTTGGGCCATTGATCGTATCGACTTTTGGATGGACGTCTCTCGAGTCGATTCTGTTTCAGTTCCCACTCGGTGGAATCTGTTTCATCGTTATTCTTCTCACGGGCTATCTCGGTTCTCGATTCTCCAACATCCGGATTCTCATGTTGGTCATCTGCTGCCTCCCAGTCATTGCAGGTTGCGCGTTGATTTGGCGTTCCGCCTGGACGTACCACGCCGCTGCTCCTGTGGTAGGTTACTCTATAACCGGCTTTTTCGGTGGCGTCGTGAGCCTGATTATTACCTTGGGCATGTCCAACGTTGCGGGCCACACGAAGAAGAGCTTCATGGCGGCCACGATCTTCGTGGCCTACTGCGTCGGCAACATTGTTGGGCCTCAGCTCGTCAAGTCCCAGAGCAAGGCTCAGCACTATCCCGAGCTCTGGTTGGGCCTGATTATCTGCTATGTCATCTGCATACTTGCTGCTGGTGCCCTGTACTACGTCCTCTGGCGTGAGAACAAGCGTCGCGGGGCGTTGCCTGTTGACGAAGCAGAGCGGGCCAAGTTTGCTTTCCAGGACTTGACGGACAAGGAGAATCCATACTTCCGCTACGTTTATTAAGTTTCGTGTCAAATGGACCCCTTCCGTTGAGAAATGTCGCTGTATTTATGGATTCGTGAAGGATAATTTATAATTCATAATTGGACACATGCTGTCGCAATTTCACAATCTCTAGTGACATGTTACCGCCACTTAAAGCCATATTGGAAATCACACCTCACGTAGTAATTTGACTTGTCAAAAGATGGATTTGTCCCGATTGATTCATACATCGGGAGCATCATGGGATGACTCATGAGCCACACATACCCTGGGAGGGGCGATCCATCTAGCTAGAAATACAACTCAAGGCAAACCGTACCGCGAGCAGAAAGGAGCCTGCCACTCCGTTCCGTGTTTTTGCTGCCATCGCCAGCCCCGCCCTGCTCGTCGTAAAAAGAAAAGTGGCCTGATAGCCTGCTTTCTAGGCTTCAAAAGTTTGTAAAAGGAATAGAAAATCAACCAAATAGAGAAACCCAGAGCCATGCTACTCCGCTTGCGTGCGGGCTTGTTGCGCCGGTTTCTCCTTTGCCCCTGAACGCCATTCTCTATGCATATATATCTTGCCGGGGCCCCAATGAAAAAGAGAGGGGGAAAAAAAGAAACCAAAAAGAATATGCGCCGTATAATCGTTTCCCAAAATTCGTTCGTTCCGGTTTCTCTTGATTGGCCTATCCACCAACCAGTAATAAACTTGCATTTTGAAGATAAAAGAGATCATCATCTCGGTGATCTAGGAGGGTTATTGGGCAGTTCCGCCGGCATGTTCTCCTCCCCCCGGCCATCGTTTAACTCGACTGGTGATTGTGTCGAACCAGGCGGTGGCGGTGGCGGCGGCGGTGGTTGTACTGGATGATGCGGCTGGTATCCTGTATGTCCTATTGCCGTGCTTCCAGGAGGCGGCGTTGGATAGACGCCCTGCATGTCGGACTTGGTGGCTGCCACGGGGCTCACCATTGGGAACTGAGGCGTGCCCAAATCGGTTCCGGTTTGACCGGTGTGTTGGGGGGCGATGGGTACTTGTTGCTGATACATGCTGTAGTTCTGTTGCGGCCAGACACCGCCCTCGGGGGGAGGTTGTTGTTGTTGTGGCGGTTGCGGCGGCCACTGGGAGCCGGGGAAGTATGCGGGTTGGAAGCCGTGAGGCGGCACGGAGGTCGGAGGTGACGAGTTCGTTTGTGAGTGCGGCGACTGCGCGTATTGCTGGGGGTAATAAGGATAAGCCTGGGGATGGGGTACAGCATATTGGTTGTTGTGCTGCCAGTGGATGTAGGAAGTAATGGCTGATGTCATTTGTGGTGAGGCGACCATCTTGTCCCCCTCGGCTTGAATCGTCTTCTGGGAATCGGTGGTGCTAGGTGCCTTTTCCAAGTTTGCTTTCCGGTAGGCGTGAAGAGCGCGACCTGGATGGATTAGTATGGACATTGAGCAGAGGTTACATTCGCAATGTGTGAAGAAAAGGGAAAGAATAGTGACTACAGGCTGCGAGCGTAAAGGTGTATAGAAACATACCAAAAACAGAAATGGTAATAACGAACAAGACGAAGTTAACTGTTGAGATGGCTGTCCCGGCAAAGGTGGCGGCAACGAAGCCTTCGGCAAAGGGCTCAACGTTCATCTTGTAATATATCTCGTACTTGGGTCCAAATGTCACGATGAATGCGTCGAGGGAGTCGAGATCATCGGCATGGCTCGCCAACAGAGCCATAGTAATCATCCAAAAGACGATTGTGAGAAGTTCGAGGCCGCTATAGAATGTTAGCATGACGCGCAAAAACCTCTAGGAGAGTAAATCTTACAGGTGTACCCAGCAGTTATACATAATTGGAATGTACATAACAGCAACGCCCAGCCATGTTAAATAAGAAAATGTCCAGGCAAATGCAAACCACGAAAACGCTGTCTTCGATATCAGCATCATGGCACATGAGGGGTAGCGGCGGGGTGGTGGTGTGACTTACGGAAACCTTCAGTACCGCTGAAGGACTGTAGTACGCGAAGTAACTGATCAGCAAAGGCTTCAAAATGCATATGAAAACCAAAACGCCAAAAGGTTAAACAAACATACCGTTATCCTGCGATAATTTGTCGCCTTTTGCATCGTAGTCAGACCATAAACGGTGACTGCTAATGTCGCAATAGAGAGAATCTGCAATTCCACAACCGTCAACCACGTATTCTCTAAAACGCCAGCTCGTATCCCTCATGATATGTCCATGTCTCCGCAGTCGGAGATCTCGTGCATAACAGCGTTCGGAGCGGGCGATGGTGATATTTCCTTACAAGTTGTGCTATCCTAACAACTGCAACCCAAACCGGCATAGCCGGGATATGCGATCGGTTCCTCCCATCTTTGGGCCAAATGTTCTTGGTCAAAGAAGCCATCGACGAGGAGGTGGGTGTTAAACCCCTTGGGTTTGGGAGGGGAGAGTCCTCGTCAGCTGGCCCGATCCCTTGCGAGACGGTGCGTCGTCGGGGCGCCTGTGGATGTATTTTCGGAAAAGCGAGAAATGGGGGGCGAGGAAGACACTATCAAGATCGTCGGGAGATTCGGCAGTAGCTACAAGGCGATCGGGGGGGTTCTGAGGAGAGGGAATCGCAGGTTTCAACTACGGCTACGGCTCCGTATTGGCGTTTGATGTTGGCGTCGGCGTCGTGCTTCGTCGCGTTAATTATTAGGAAGTCGATGGGATGACGGCGATCGTGTCGGTCTGCCTTTAGTCGCGATGCAATCGACGTGTCGTTACAGATCGATGTCGGAGGCGCAGGGCTGATCGTGTGTGGTGTGTTGTGTGTTGGGTGAGATTGGATAGACAGGCCCTGTGGTGGTGTTGATTGTTCTTTTTCGCCAATCGACGTCACTCAGAGCTGAATAACCGGCCCGGAAGCTAAGGGCTCAGCGCACTGAACAAAGGTTTTCCCGATGCAACGTTTGGCGGGAGTCAGTGCTGGGAATAGGCTGGGAGGAGCTTGGAAGAAAGTTGGCACCGGTCGCTAGGCGGGTTCGGTTTCGTCTGTGAGTTTACCCTCCCGTCAGCCGTCCTTAATTTTTATTTTCTATTTTTCGGATGAGCTCTACGGACAGGTTTAGTCGGAGCGGTGGGAAGTATGTGGTGGGAGGGCGGAGAGCGTTCCTTGGGCTGAGTTATCGGGGAATATGATTGCTGCAACAAACATGGGACAAGGACATGGACCGGTTGGGATATGATGGATGGGAATGGGGAACCTCCTGGTGGATAGTTGAATGGGAATACCTAAATGACCGGGTAGAAAGACAGTCAAGCTATTCCAGTTCCATCCAGAAACAAACAAGGGTGGGAAGAGTCGATGGAAGGCAAAAGAGCCGAGAACTGGTTACTGATGGCGGATGGCTGTTATGCTGGGCGCATTGTTGGCTGGGCCCGTTTTGTGTATGTGGTGGGATTATGGATACCACCACCAGCAAATCAGCAGAGGTAAATGGAGAGGCAAAGCACCATACGGATAGAAACTGGGCCGGGCGGCACGGGACAGAAGCACAACAGAAGCAGGCCAGGGGACGCTGGGGGGACAAAAGCAAAAGGCGAAGGAAGAACCTGGCAGTGAGTCTGTGGGCATCGGTGGTGGGCGGGGAGAGGGGGGGAAGAGAAGGAAACCTGGGCACATTGGAGCCAGAACGGACCATGATACCCAATCATGACGAACCGTTTATCTGGGCCCTCCAACCTTTTCCCAAAGATTGCGCCAAGAGAGGATGCCAAGTGTCCTTGAAGGCCAAGAGACTAAGAGAGGAATCAAAACCTCAGAGGAAGCATGCATCAGAGGCCCAGTTTCTTTGGGCGTCCGGCGGCACGGGCGAGGGAGACAGAGACCGTTACTATTGGGCTATACTGGCTGAAATGCCCCGCTACGCCAAGCGGAAGGCTGCTTTAGAACGTCATGATTCGACGGAGATGGGTGGGAGGAGCGGAACCAGGTATATCTTGGTATAGTTTGTGTGAGGGAGTACTGTGGATGGATACATGGCGGTGGAATCACCGGTGGACGGGGAAAGGATATTTTGTGTTAGCGGAGACATCCACATTGAAGCCTATCACCTGTGTAGTAGTTCGGATGCTGCTACTATGTAGTACACTCACAATGTGACCATGTAGGTATACCAAGTAGTGTAAAAGGCAACCGTACAGTACGTGCTTTGGTGTTGTTAAGGTTCTCCTTGGAAATACCTGAAGCGTTGTCGTTGGAGGGACTAATGGAAATGGCCTTCTTGGGGGATCTGCAGAGAAGCTCACCCCTGAGATTGCAGATAATAACTTTTAACTGTCTACATAGCAATATGGAAACATCAACGAGCCCCAGTAACCTTTCAGGTGTCCCGTCACCGCTTGGCCTTCGTCAAAAGCGCTCACCATCTGGATGAGCATGGGGATGAATACTAGCAGATAGGGTCCTTGTCTACTCCGTACGCCACCCTGTACGTACTTGTACCCAGCCCTCCAAGGCCCAAGCTGCACCCAATCACTACCAGCTCATGGCAGCCCGGCGTGCCCCAAACGGCATCGTTTACTGCACTGGCTACTGATCACCACGCCGTAGATACAGAAATCGCAAGGATGGGATAACGATGGATCATGGAACGATGGAGTCCAAGAGATGGGGATGGCTCAGAGGCGCTCCATTCTATACTAGAAAGTCCTGAAAGCACTGCCGCCGACTGGGTGAATTCCTGGTGCTCTACTATCAGCGCTGTGGGCCTCAGTAATGCTTCGGTTTTCGGTTCCGCAATCTTTCATCGTTTCCGATACGGTGGTCCCAATGGTTTTGGTTCTATACTAAGTTGAGCCATCCCGGGAGGAAGTCTAGGAAGAAGAATCCCTTTTCGATGGTAAGAGTTGCGACCGCTGTTTTAGTCTACGCAGTCTATACAGAACCGAAACGTCAATATCAGTGCAAAAATATCGAACCCAACATCAGGCATAGTATTTTGAGGTAGTGTCACGATGGACGCACCAACATACAAACCAACCACTTCACCAAGGGTGGAGAGCACCCAAACATTTACCGTTTGTATCTGGTATGTCTGGTTCAAAAGCGGTTGGCGTCCTGAATGAACGCCTTCACCCACCGTCTGAGACACGCCTGTTGGGTGGAGAGTGAGTGAGTGTCTTGATCGTGGTCTGGCCTACCTATATTTTATTCCCGGTCTGCAAGCAGGGGATAATCAATTACTGTCTTGCAGATGCTGCAAGAAGTGCCATGACCACCGAGGGATTGACCAGCTGATGTTGCTCACCGTTGCCTGCCTTTTAGTCACCAACTGATCCAGATAGTCGATCCTTCATCCTCCAGCTTGTAATCATTTTTCGTTCACCCTGTCACGGTCTATACCGAGTCCTTTGCCTCTCTAGTCCAAAGAGCGGCACCCATCAAGTCGGTGTTTACCCGGCCGTCTATCGGAGTCCTTTGCCCGTTTTGCGGGTGCGGAATGGTTTTTCTGCCCTGCATCCTCGTTCCATGCGCCTCGATGGACCCCCCTCAACCCACAAAACGGACCTTGTGTCGCCCCAGCCAGCCACGATCATTCTCTTCCGGGCTGCAGTCCTGGCGATGACAGGCAGCGTCTATCTGACTGCTAGGCTACGGAGTACTAGTAGACGACACAGGATTGGGCTACGAGAGCGAGAGACTCAACTGGTACTGGTCGAGGCTAGGAAGCCCACAACATGCTGCTGCAACAGGACCACCGCAAGGACATGGAACGAGGTGCAGATGCAGGACACTGAATCCGCAGGACGCAGATGCAGCATCCAGGACGCAGTGTGCAAACAATTCACTCGCCTCAAGTTGAGTTGCCAAGGATCTACCCACAAGTCATTACATCCACTACCGGTAGTCTCTCTCTCTCTCCTCTCACCCACCTTGTGAGACCATGACTTTGGCGACCCTACCGCCAAGTTTGAGCGTCGCCAAGAACAGGGAGAGCGAGAAAAAAAAAGGCCACCTACGAAAAAGAAATGCGGGGCTGGGCCCTCCAGGAAGTGTGCAAGATCTTCCTCGTTCTCCGCCAGAGGCCTCCGCTCGACAAGACGCTTGAAGTCACTCGTCCTCGGGCACTCCGTTCCCCTCTCTAATCCCCCAAAAAGCCAAGAATTGTTCGTTCTCCTCGCTCCTCGGGGGTTCTCTACACATGTATTTCCACGTTTCTCCCTTTCGACCATCGGAAAGTCCTCGTTGGGTCCCTTCCGATGCCTCTTCTTGTCATTCCGCCTCTTCACCTCCATTACCCCTGGGTCTCTCCTGACTCGGGCCCCCGGATACCCCCTCCCACGGCACCGGAGGACGTTCGAATGAGGCCGGTCTTGTCAGCAGCCTACAGGCACATTGTCGCGGGTTTTTAATCACAGAGGCCTGCCGGTCCAGCGGCCTTGTCCTTATCGAGTCACCCGGAGCCCGGTCTTCGCTGGAGAAGCCCAATGTGTTCGACTTTGGAGCTGTTTTTTTTTTTTTCCCCAAGTCTTTAATTCCCGCAAGGCCCATGCCTGCCGGGCTCACATAGCCACTGTCAATTTTTCACATTTACTCGGAGCCACTTCCCCGTCACAATGACGACATCGTCATACCTTGTCTGGTTTGATGCTACAACAAGATACACACACGTAGAGGAGCACAAATAAGGCCCTGTAGCCATCGAATTCGCCAAGACGAAAAACGAGCAACGACTAAACCCTGGGAGCTTCGATGAAACGGTCTCGACAGACGCAAACAACGTACTGCTAGGTATCGTGCTCAGTGTTTGTTGTAACGTTTTCATGCAGTAGTAGCAAAGGTAATCACACGATAGCTCCGTGCGCCAAGACCCATTACTACAGGTCAGAGTTTGGCCAACGCCCGGCACATTGCTGGAGAAAGTCAAGGGTCAGTAATGGCATACCTGTCCACTCGCCCAGCCACCGGATGAATGATTGTCAACGGACGACCACGCCCTTAAGGGTATGAGCATCGTCACGTTGGTCTGTTCGCCGCCGAGATCGCTGGCCTACCTCTAGAATCTGGATCCATCAATTGCCCAGACTCAGTTGCCTAACCCACCTGTAATTTGGTGAGAGTGGCTGTATGGTTATTGCGGTATGGGCCGGATAAGAACTCATTCTCGTTGGCTTAGATGCGGTTGACTTACTCGCTCTCTCAACCAACTCGCCTCATGTTCCTGCCATGCTCCACCTTGTACTTCGCCAATGCCAAAAGACGAGAGCAACGGCATCGCTCAGGTAATAACGACTGCTCTGCTACTTTACACATGTTGTAGCTGTCTTTTCACGTGATTCCTTGTTGCTTTTTTGGTGGAAAACATGATGCCCGGGCAATTTCATCCATGGGTGTGCTGCAAATTGGCCATACTTGAAGAGTTGGTTTGCTCATCTGCGTGTACTGACAGGCGAGATTATGACGCTGGCGTATCTCATTCAAAGTCATGTAACATGCCGATCAGCACCTAGAATTTTGTCAGAGTTATCTTAATTTGTGGATTGTGGTTGATTCCATGAATCTGATCGAAGTCGTATGACATGGTCAAGTTCGGGTTACACTCAGCCCAACAAGGCGGTTCGGGATGTGGGCAACGGGGTAAAAGTTGCTTACATCCCATCCCGAATCCCCAGAACTACCAGAATTTTCTGGCCCCGTTCATTTAATTGCCCGCTGTTTGCTCGGAACAGTGCGGAATAGTGCCCTAGTTGTAGTAGCCTATTAGGTATAGCTTCATCCTCCACTCAGTCTGCTCGGTAGACAAACCATGAAGTTCCGCAATTTCATTGCTTGTCAACACAATAGCGGAGCTTTGTCGGTTATTCAATGCCTCAAGTATGACTTGGCCTATGCGTCCTTTTGAAATGATTAGTAGTCCCGTCAGTTCAGGTGACCAAACTTCGTTTGTCCATCATGAAACCAATATCAAGATGTGGCTCTCTACCTAGCCAGAAGAGATTAACTGGGCTTGCAAAGTGGCATACTGGAGAGATCCCAGCGACTTTTTGACCGATAACGGTATGTAGAAAAGGTTTCTGGCTATACTGTTCTTTCAGGGAAAGAAACGGGGAGTAATAATGTTCCATCAGCACCCTAAGCCACAACGTTGTTTTCTGTATTAGAATCAAAAACAATGTCAGTGTCTATGATATGAATCTTTTCATGCTGTAAGTTAACGTAGAAGCAATAATTGTTGGGCCGCATCCCTTGTTTCACTGAACAGATCACATAGTGTGCCATGGGAGGGATTGGTACTTGAACCATAGGCATTGATGTGCAAAAGTCCATTCGTTAAGTTTATTCATCCGTAGATTCGAAATTAGCAGATGGGTTCAAGTGCTGCTGATCGTATCAGGTGACAATATGGATCAAAGGAATTGATTAAACGTCAACTATAAACAAACCTGCTGGACTCTGGAAAGAACAGGCCTGGTTCCGGGCCATGTCTTTCACATCGGCTCAAAGATTTCCCAGTAATCGAGATGGACCATAATCACATGGAGACTATTGCATATGATCGTACGGCCAAGGAAAGCCCAAGATACCTTGGCAATCAATGGAAGATCCAAGATACAGTCGACTAAGGGCAGTGTCTCGCAAAAGTATTAGAAGCTTGCAAGTGTCTGAGCTATAGTAGGTAGACTCGGGCTTATCAATACCGCAAGCGGCTTCCTAGCTCAGCCACACACTAGTTGTGAAAATCTTTGGACGAGATATTCTTACTTCGGCTTTGAGAGCACGATTCTTTCAATCGTCCCTGGCTGGGACTGCCACTGAAAGATGCAACAGCTTCGAAAATAGCACACATCAGTTTTATCGAGACATTATTAAAGCAAATATTAAATTAATTAGAAATAATTTTCTATAAACAAAAGAAATGAAAGCTGATTTTATGTTTTGAGAATGCTCCAATGCCCCAATGTCCAAAGGAAATTCAAAAATTACCTCCCATTTTCGAGTAGCCCCTTAACCGAGAACCCCGGAGTGAACAAAACGACAAATCCCCCGATGCAATTACACTGCTAACTTCAGAACAGCTTAGAGTAATCGTTGATGGCATCGTCCAATGCCGCCAGAGTGCTGTCCAATGCGGTCTGACCCCCCGACTTGGAGCCGGCATCGAGGAACTTGACGATGCCCTTGCCAAAGGTATCAAACTCCTTCCTCGTGATCTTGAGATAGGGCAAGATGGCCGATGAAGTGGTCAAGGTCGGGAGGAGGTTCTGCTTCTTGGCCTCTTTGAGAAGACTCAATGCTGTTTGAACCTTGGGCAGAAATTCATCCTTAAGCTGTGACACGATACTCGTCGAGTCGGCGGGCGAGAAAACCGTGTCGAGCTCGTTCGCGTCCAGCATTGCCTGGCGGTTTGCTGACTGAAGGGATATGGTGTTCAAAAGGACGCTGCGAACGTCGAGGACACCCTTGATGAGCTCTGTGGGTGACTTTCCATCGGGGTTGGAAAGAGCAGTGGTGAGATTCTGAACGGAATTAATAACATTGGTCAAGTCAGTCTTGATCGTAGCAGCCGTTGGGATAATTTGTGGTAAGTTGCCGAATTGCCCGTTAGTTTTGGCAAGGTCGCTCAGGTCTGTAATGAAGCGGGGGAGCACAAAAGCTGAGGTTGTGCTGAGAACAGCAAACGAAGTGACGATCTTGGATATTTGCATTTTGGAATAAGAGTAAGCTCAAGCGTTGATAAGATGAACAGTTGATCGTGTGCTTTGGATCGAAGCCGAGCGAAAGACTTGAGATAGTTTGGCTGATGAAGTGAATGATTTCTCCCCCATGGTAAAAGTGCGAGTAGCCCTGTATTTATCGATTTGCTCATGCGTAAACACGGCATTTGTGTTTGTATCTTTGACCATGAGCCTTGGTGGACCCTGATCGTCCTCGGGCTTCAAACGACAAGCCGTCCCGAGACACCTTGCCTTCTACGGTGTCTCATCGACACCCGGTTAACAGTCAGGACAGTCTAGGCTTCCTCTCCTTTGGCAGGCAAACCCTAACACCCCCACGAACTACCGGGCCAGAACAGCTGTGAGAGGCGGAGGTTCATTGCCTGTTCCTCGGCGGCGCTACGAAAGAGGCGGGCTGAATTTTTCACACAAGTGAGCTGAATCCGGACTCTACGGACTCGCTGTTTCCGGGCGTCAAAGAGAATGTACAAATTCCATGTACATAGCTTTTGAGCGCTAGTACTAATCCATAAGCACATCTGCTTACCAAAGAGGGGTCTGGAGCTTTCTGGATGGGCCAATTTGGTGATCGGAGAGTCAGAATGATGACAGCTGATGCTTCTGGCTTGGGAGACGTTGACTCGAGGCGTTGGAGGATGACTGTTTGCGTTTATACCAGGTGTCTTTCTCTGAAAGAACACTGGAAAATTTTCAGTTGCGGAGAAAAAGACCTTCAAAGTTTAAGCGATGCTTACTCTAACACTTTTGCGTCATTAGGTGGGAGGAAACTCGTTGTAATTGCTTGCTATCTCGAATTGCTTCAAATGTGATCCAGACTACGAGCTGAAGCTCAGGATAAGGGACCTAGGAATGTTGCCCGTGGGCCAGAAACACCACCCTGAGGTGTCTCACAATTTTGTCATCCCGTGCGTGGGTCTGGGGAATCGCGTGGTTCCCTCCTGGCATGACAATGACAGTATTCTTTGAGAGATAAGCCACTGACCTGGAAGGATCAGCATACATTGTCAACCAAATCTCGAAACTTCTCGCCATGTTCCTCAATTGCCTTCTTGGGAGATTTTTCAACGGGTGCTTGGAAGTACCGATCTTCTACGTTTCCTCACCCATCCCTTTTTCACGTATTTCACGGTGTTTCTAAGCTGACCGCTAAGAAGCCCAGGCACCTTTGCTATACCTGAATATCTCAGCCCTTCTTTCATGGTCCTGAATTGGCACCACTCGCTTCATCGCGTTTACACAGCATGCAACGAACAAATTCAAGGCTTTGGGGGCCCAGACGTCGCAAAGGATGTGCAAGATCCTCTGGGTATAATGGTTGCCACAGAGACAGAGAAGTAGGTTAGAGGCCTTCAATGGAAAGTGGAAACTGTCTATAAAGAATGCATCTAAAATAGTTAACCTATGTTATGTTGGTTTGCCGGACGTATCTTTATATTCAGAATGTGTGGTGAAGCAAAGTGCTGAACGTAGGCATGTATTCAAAGTAGTAGATTGAGTGGCTTGTCTTCTCCTAACTATACTATGGAACGATATCGTGCCTAAATATGTTTTGTGGGCGAAGCGGAATAAAGATATTCCGGTTATTCTATTTCGGGATTATCCCTATAGGCGATATGTGGGTCACGTGATGGTGAGGCTGCGCACTTCGCCTCGAAGGCATCACGACATACCCCCCTAGAAAAAAAAAACATCAACAACAGCGAGAACGAAATTTTTGAAAATCGGAGCAAAAACGGCCCCAAATACGCGTGCTCGCGGCCACAGAGCCCCCTTCGATGCAATGCCATCCTCGGCCTTGATTCTACGTCCCAAAGGGGCCCAAGATGGCCGCAGAGCACGCCCCGACTACAATGAAAAACTTGAGAGCAAGCCGCAAAATACGACATATCAATAGACAACACTGTTACCACCACCACAGGCGAGCCACAAGCCGCTACACGAAGCACTAAGACTGCGCCCAAACAATCAACTTCAACACAACAGCCGCCGACAGGTTTTGGGTCACCTGTCACCCCCGACAAAGTTTGCAACGTCCCACAACGACGAAGATGAGTCCGACAGAACAGTATCACCTTCCGCACGGAGAAAGCACCAGGCATTAGGCATGCTACGATCGATGCCACACAATACTACAGACCACAGACAGACTGGTCCCCTGTCGCCCCTTTTGCGAAGAAGGATTGGTGTCCCTTCAACGCGCGACAATGTCTGCGGAATCTGTGCGGGAGCTCTCATACCCAGTAATCGAACATGTCGGAGTCAGTAGAGCATTGTGCTTCGTGGAAGACCCTTGGGCCAATGTGGTGGAGGGCAATAGTGGTCAACAGGCAAGAAACAAGAGGCCACATAGGAACCCGGCAGGAGGCAACAAAGAATTTACAGATGCAACTGAGAAAACGGCACATACAAGTCCGGGAGGATACGGACAAAACAAAGAGACAAAGCTGAGCGCTGGGGGGAGACTGTAGGTACAAAGAACCAGATACGGTGCTACCAGCACCAACTGAACCGAAGCAGGAGGACGCAAAACAAGCATTCTAGAGAGCAACACAAAAGCGAGAAAGCAGACAGGAGAGCAACACACTTCTTCAACAGAGGGCACAAACACACAGAATAGAGAACATAGTGGGGAGCTTGGGGATAGCTGGCCCTGATGCAACATCAGGGCGAAGTGGGGCGTCGCTGTTCATTGTCGACGCTTCGGCTACCTGCCAAACCCCGCTTTCCGGGCATAGCTGCTGGCATAAGAGCGGCTTCATAACCGAGTAGGAATAAATCAATCAATCAATCAATCAATCAGCATCACGACAGAATGTTAACTGTGCTAACGGAAAGTCTTTCCAATATAACCACCGAGAACAATCTAAGAAAGGCATACTGCCGTATGGTGAAGAAATAGTGGCCAGAGTAAACCGCATTTTAATAATCGGCCAAAGGAATATATATTTCACAAGAAATCTTAAGTGATGGCGAAATTACTAGATTTCCTTCACGAATGGTTGATCTAGCGTTCAGGGTTGATTCTGATGGTGCGTACAACAATGTATGTATGGCGGAAGGCCTGCAGCATTCGATCTCAGCCATCATTCCCCAGCGAAGCTAATAAAGTAACCCCGCGTTGTGAACAGTATTTGCTCTAAGGCGTCTGTTTATTCACGACTTGGGTTGATCTAGTCGCACCGGCACTTTTCGTCATGTCAGAAAACCCACGATACGCAGCACAGTAGCTGAGCTATTCTCGGGTGTGTGAGCACCATATCGGTGCTGCCGATACATCAGTCTGATTAAGCAAGTCAGAGCTATGTCGTTGAGCAAACATCCTTGGGTCATAGGACCACCGCTATGTGGTATTTGTCTGATTTTCTCAACTCAAGCTTCGCCACACGCCAATTTATCTAAAATATTAAATGATGACAGGGTCGAACATAGTGCAATGATCTGCTTAGGATTGTATTTGAAGCTTAGTACGTATTGATATAGATGGCATAGGGGGCTGCAATTTTCTAGTCTTTTGACAAATACCTCAAGCCTAGCGCTAAGCTGCTGGGGCTGAGTTAAATGAGGCGCGGGAAATCGATTACAAATTCTTAGTACACTAGAAGACTAAAATTCCAAAGCAAAGTGGATATGGAGAAGGAGTCATTCATTTGAACTTTTGTGGTAGAGAACAGGCCCTTAACTTCCCATAATCAGATTTGTCAACGGTTAAGAGGTTCTGGCCGGCTTGATCCAAAGACCATCGCATTCAACACCCATTTCCTCTATGTGAAAGGGTACTTAGTAGGTCTTCTTTGTCCCAAAATCATTACCTCGGCTTTCATTCCGTTTTTACTGATGTATTTGTTTACTATCCGCTGATGTATCATAATGATAAAGGAGTACTGATTGTAGATCGTTCTTTGAAGTTTGAATGAAGGCGATAAACAGCGACGGCACACCATGCAAGTGCCTCTAGAATACTAAGAACCTGTACAATAAAAAGCTTTAGAGTACCACCACGGGCTTCCAAATACTAAAAAGAAATCACAGCAATGTCAAAGCGAGATGTTCGACTTAAAGTCACACAATCTTTAACAAAAGCTTTCTTCCGCGCTATCATCATTTATTCTAGAGATGCGGGCAGAATAATCACGTTTCGCAATGTAGATAATAGTCATACATCGACTTGCTGTTTTCAGCCTCATGTACTTCATGAATAGCTCGTTGCCCATATGAACGAAAACAATATATACTTCTATTATGAAGATTTAAATTCTATGTACATAAAATTTGCCATAAACTTGGCCCACCTGTTTAAAGACCACTGGTCTGCGCAATCTTCTCCAAAATCAGATCGCGGTATTTGTACATACCCGGCGTACGGGGATGGAACGTCTTAATCTGGCGCGTCGGAGCAAAGTAGCCGACCTCCTGACTGTTGAAATTTCCAGCCTTAACATCGCCGTTAGCCTTGTTGTACAGAGCCGCCTCAGGACCCCCAGGGAAGTCAGTGACCACGTGCGACAACCGGCACATATAACTGGCATATGGGTCTGGGTTGCTTCCCAGGGCGTTGTCGCAAGTTGCAGGGTCAGGCAATGGAATGCTGCCTTGAGAAAACAGCGCTTGCCTCTCAGCGGCCTCTGCGTTGGAGGCAGCAGCAGCATCGGCATCGACATCGGGCCAACCGCTGAGGAAGAACCAAGTGTCATCACGCGATGAGTCTGGCTCTTTGACCGAACCTTCGCACCACAGGTGATTTCCTGATTCAAAGGCATACGATACGTCCACGTAATGTACCTGCGTGTATTCTCGCGCGTTGTTGGCATCGTTAACGGCTTCGATGATGACGTCGTTCAGGTCGCGGACCTGAAAGAAAATGAAAGTTAGTAACTGATAACTCACCCCAAGAATAGAAACGAACTCGTGGAAGCGCTGTGGTAACTAAACCAGAGGAAACCTTCCAGCGGATGTGTACTTACCAGGTTATTAAGTTCTATGCGCAGATCTTGTGTGAGGTAGACGATACGGTCGAGAGGCCAATCACTGCTTGGGTTGTAACCCGCCCACAGGTAGTGGAAGGTGGATTTGTCGCAAGTTGTTCCTGCGGTGTCGAAGAATGTCGGGTAACCAGCAACATAGAGTTGAGTGTCCTGACGGCCTGTCTTGTCCAAGATGCGCTGGTAGGCGGCCTTGAGTCTGGCCTGCAGCCCGTTTGAGCTTGTGTCTGCCATGTGGTCTCTGGCCTTCTTCTTCGCTTCCGCACACCAGTTGCGGTTGGAGGAACCCCACCTCCACGTGTTGGGAGTAACGACACAGTAGTACACCAGGTCAGAAAAGCCAAGATCGTTGCCGCCCATGGTCAGTGTCACAAGGTCGACCTGGTCCGCGCCGGTCCATTTGTCAATCTGAGCGTTGAGACCGTCCGTGGTGTCTCCTGAGCACGAGAGGCGTTGGTACGGAATGGAAGAGGAGCCGAAGAAGTTGTAGATGAGATCGCCATAATTGTTGGATCCAACACGGCACTTATCCGTTGTAGTCACACCCGTACCCATGCCGCTGGCGTATGAGTCGCCAAAGTGTGCATACCCTCTGGTTGACGGCACAAAGTCTTCAGGTTCAGCATCACTATCCCATACTCCGTCAAAAATGATCCAATCTTGAGCCTTGGAGCAAGATGCGCGTTTCTCGAGGTTACCAGAGGTGACGGCCTTGATAGATCCAGCTTCTTGCTCTGTTCCTGTACGAATACCATGTGGGTGATGTGGAGATGTCGGTGATGATAGTGGCTGATGGCGGGCCTCCAATACGGGCGGGATGTCCCTCTTGACGCTTGTGGGGGCGCATGCTGGCAATGGAATATCTTTGTTGCACCTCTGACTGAAGAAGATGCCCGCAGCAATGAAAGAATATGTGTCGGCATTTCGGACGCTCATTTCTGGGTCGCATACGCCTTCCTCGTCATTTCCATTGGGACAGATTAATTGGCTTAACTTTGTGGTACCATCGCGTTTCGTGATGGTGCGCCGCTTTCCGTAAGCTACCTTTGAACGATCAAAGCCGCCCTTGGCGAGTTGGGTACAGCCATTGAAACCATAAGCAACATCTACCGTCCTGAATTGCAAGTTGTTAGCTCAATGAGTCTAGTCTAGGAATTGAGTGATATCGAGATGATTGAATAGGAAAATAGATGAGTGGTTATGGAGCAAAGAGTTAACATACTTCTTGTCACCCATGGCGTACTTGGTATGTGTGGCTTCGTGTAGAATAATTGCTCCCATAGTCCACTGTGCTTGTCTGAGGTCAAGCTTGTCACATTGATTGAGCGCCGTCTGCGTGTAAAGAATTTTTCCCGTTTTGAAGAAGCTTGAACAGAAATTCATAATGTGTGTGTCGTCGTTCATGTGGGCTACAAATCCTGTCTGACACATTTCCGTGCCAAAGTTGCAAGTAACATGGAATGTTTCTGTTTTTGACCGACCACCGAGGACTGCGAGTTTAAAGTGTTAGTGGTAAACTAAATAGAACAATCAAACTGCGAGGGACTTACGATCCGCAATGCGCTCGTATTTATCGGCGATGTCCTTGGCGAAGCCGGGTTGGTCCCGAAGCGACTTGGGAAAAAAGTGTTCGTAGTACACTCCGTTCTGAAGACGACCTTTTGCTGCAAGTGCCATGTCGTAGGCATCACTCATCTCACCCTGAATCTTTGCCTGCATTTCACTTGTGCAAGAATCGTCGATGAAATTGACCGGGATTGAGGAGATACAGGGCGTCGGGCAGTAGCCACGGCTGCAAGCGAAGTTGCAAATGCCGGCATCATCCGCGCTGGCACTCTGCCCGGTAATCTCACTGGGTGCTGGAGCTGGGTTGAGCCAACCTGTTGAGGTACAAGTACATATTTTGACTGAAGAAGTTCGTATGCGTCAGCGCTTTACCCTAGGAGCAGTATGAGGAAGGCTTCGAAGATAAACTTACTAGGGCAGTAGCCAAGGTTGCAGGAATACCGACACAGGCCATCATACTGTGGATAGCTTGAACGTGCCTCTCCGTTGACACATGCCTCGTTTGAGAAGGGTGAGTTGGGCGGGATGTAAGGCTTCGGCTTCGTTGTCGAGCAGTATTCCAGGGGGCAATATCCGTGATCACAGGCGTAATCACACAAGCCGTCGTAGTTTGCATCACCGTTGGAAGAGTAACCCTTGATTCCAAGACTTTTCGGCTCTTCGAGGGCTTTTCCACTCTTGGTGCAAACACAGGCGGTCAATGGGCACTGCGATCAAAATGTTAGATCATTCCAAATGACTACCTCGAAAAGAGGGAATAAAGGGGCTGTTGGCATAGACGTACGTAGTTGTACTTGCAGGTAAATGAGCATAGCTTGTTGAAATCTCCAAAGCGAGTTGCTCCGAAACCCTCAACACAGGCCTGCTCCGAGAGCTTGAGTGCCTTGTCACTCTTTGCGGCTTGAGACGAGTATCCCGAGGAAACAACAGCATTCCAGTTTGTAAGACCTGCATTGCAGGTGCTTGAGATTGTGTGGCTTGACTTTGCCGTCGCAAATGTAACAGCCCTGTTAAGCTCCGCATTGACCTCAGCTCTATCAACCAATGAATCCATGGGCACGCTCGTTTGGTAGATACCAACACCATCCGCAGGGATATAATCCCATTCGTTCGGTTTCACCAGCTCGTTGAGGTGTTCGCCGTCAGTGATCTGAAGGGTTGCTGGCGATGCTAGTAAGGCTGCGACGTAGATACGGTCTTCGAAAATTTGCGACGGCTCATACTCAATCTGCAGTTGGCTGGCCGTGTTACCTGTCGTGCCTCCATCGCCACAGTTCTTTCCGGGTGATCTGCGATGCCACATGACAACGCTCTCCTTTAGGACCGAAGGGTTGCGGTTCTTGTATGTGTCGATGAGGAACGGCAAGTGAGTGCGCCATCCGTCGTGCGGCATGTCCTTAACAAAGTTGTAAGGGGCCTTGCCGATTTCGAAAGCCTCGTACTGCCGGTCGTCCAATGGCCCAATGTAATGAGACTCGCCGTAGTCGTTCCATGAAATGATCTGAACCCACTCAGGCTTGACATTCCAAACATGCTGCCAGCGATCATACTATATCACTTATATGTCAGAGAAGGTTCTTTAAGGCCCAAAAAGGGCGACGTTCATCGGATCCGGTGATGGATTACTTACCCAAAGGTTGTCGCCTCGCCACGCCCAGTTCTTGTTATATCCTGGAAGATTGGTGTAAAACCATGGCGAAACTGGCATCATGTATGGCTTGTTGCCGGCCTTCTTTAGAGCTTCGGTGTACGAGGCATCAACATAAGTCGTCATGTTATTCTTTCCGTATGCCCAGGCTGCCCAGTCTGAGGAAAAGAAAAAGACGTGTCAGCAAAACAGTTCAGACTTGTGTGAACCAAGATTTCACATGATGGTCGGACAAACTTACTGAACAAACCATCAGCAACACCGCCTGCCAAGGTGCTAGCTGGACCTGCGCCCAGAGACGACCAGTCAGGTACGAAGAAGCAGCCAGTGCTTTGCTTGATAGCAACCCAATCTTGCGCGTTCTCCGGTCCCTCAAATGTCGAGACCAAGGGCTGTCCGTTGTGCTGAAAATAAGCTGAATGTTTACCGTACTTTTGAATGTAGCTCTGAACAACACCCTGTGGCCAAGGGCCGTTGCCGGCATAGTCGAAAGAGAAGAAAAGCTGAAAGCCAGATTGCGCGCCAGCTTGGAAAGCCAACTCTAGGGCCTTTTCATTGCCGTGCCAGTCATACGCCATGTTGAGCGCAAACGCATCGATGTGTGCGTCCTTGGCGAGGTTCATGTTGGATGTCCAGTCGGACACCGTGAAGTCGGGGGTGTTTCCAACCTATAGAAATTAGCTCTTTTGATCGATGGCAAAACTTCTTTTGAGGAACAACATGCCATGAAGTGGGCAAACACAGCGGTTGCTGCCGCTTGAGACGGCGCAAGGAGCGCCGCCAGAACGTTTGAGAGCTTCATTGCAGAAGCTTATGAACTCTGTTCTGTATTGAATACAAGAGAGATAGAGTTGCCTGTTCATGACCTTTCGAAGAGGCGGGCAGACTTCTCTTTATGTTGTCCGTGGATGTCGAGCCCAAAGGCTCATCCTCTCGATCATGCTTCACATTGCCGCCATTTCCGACTCGATCCTACCACTTTGAAAAAAAAAAAAAATTCTAGTCAGCTTAGAGCAGAAACACCGACGTCGGCCGCGATACCTCAAGGATGTAGCGGGGCTGCTTCCATAGCCCAAGTAGCTGACATGAATGGTAAGCATTCAGGATGTGATGGTCCAGACGGGACGAGGGGCAATTTCCGTTCAGCTGCGTTTACGCCCCAAGAACAAAAGATCTTTTCCATTGTGATACGATTTACCTTCCTAAGCTAGACTTTCAGTCTGACTACAGGGACTGAGAAGGCCTGCTGGAAGTTGCCGGTCCCATTCTCCGCGAAATTTTGCTCAGCTGCGTCAAAGTCCAAAGCAATCTAGGCTGACTTTTGGGTGACAATTTCTTTTAGCGCTTCCAGCCAAAGAACTTCAGTAGTGATGCCCTTGCGGACTTGTTGGTAAAGGGAAAAGAGGCACTGCAAAGACAGGGGGCGGCGACATGGATATCAAACCAGACCAACAACCAACAGCACTCTCGGACTATGCATTAACCAGGGTGCGTTTAATTGACTCAGCAGGGAAATGACTCGGCCACAGGAACACGCATTATTGCTCCAGGCCTCGACCGTTGATTCCGTACGTTGAGGAGATTATCAGCTATTTTACCATACGTGCCTTTTGGAAGGACAGCGCGTTTTTGAGTTGAATTGGAGTTGTCACAAGAACTGGCCTGTGCTTGTGGGTGGTGACGGGACAGTTTTTTGTGTCGGGACTGCTTTTACGACAAATGAAATCCACTTTTACTAACGGTATGTGAGGATACTCCTTACAACTTCTTGCTGTTACAAGAGGCATATGAGGTGTGATTGCAGCAAGACAACAGTGGGCTTTTCCTGGTCACTCCATTCTTAGTGGAATCCCCTAGGGAATCCCCTAGGTTAGGGTTGTGGAGTTCCAGGGACGCGCTGGGATGCCAAAGTTCCGCCTTCTGCGAGGAAAGGATGGTGGTTATCGGTATTACCCACAAGCCCTATGCTCAGGGCCCTGGACATGTTAATTAGACATGAACAGTTCCCATGCACTCACTGGCTTGTTGCCTGTTTAGAGCTCAGAATAAGAGCTAGTAACTCCACATACGTAGTATGCACAGTGGAGAGCACGGCGTCTGCCTAACAGTTAATTGCTCGGCCATCCGCCGCAGTCCATCTGTCACAGGCATCAGCCACAACACCCAAATTCACATATCAAAGTCCTTTGTAGTCCAGCCGCGATAGTTACATGGCTTTTTCAGCTTGGGGCGCGCAGTATTTACTGCTGCAATAGGCTAAATCTGACAGTTGCGACTGTGGTAGTCAAGGCACAATAATGAGAGCCAAATACCCCCGGCCTTGTGACTTTGTGTCATCGAACCAAGTCTACTAGTTGATTTTAACTGCTCTAACCCGAGCAATACAGTCACGGTCCTTCTGGCTTGGTAGGAGCAAGAAGCGTTCGGCCCACAGCCGAAAGCACATGCACGATGTAGGCGAATGTGACATTCCAGCTGGCAGGCCATCAAAGCCCCTGACATTAGGCTCGGCTAAGTTGTCCATTTAAGGGTCCGGACCGGCTTTTTGGGTCCTTGAAGGAGCAAGGTCATCTCAAGAATGGTGTGCTTAAGCTTTTTTTTTTTTTTTTTTTTTTTTTTAACGGACGAGGCGCCGTTTGTGCGTGAATGACTGCCTAGCTATCACGCTTCGCCTTGTCTTTATGAGGCCTTTATCGTCCCTGGTGGCTCGCCAAGGGCAGGTGAACCGGATACCCATGTCAAAATCACTGCCCTCAGTGAAACTTTGTTGGTACAGACCATCATGACATTAGTTACCCCTGGCCAGTGTGTTGGAGGGGTGGATGCAGATGCCTGTACGTGGGACCGAAGGATGGACTTTGGTGAGTAGCGAGCCGGGGGCCGGGCCCATAGAATTAGGGACTTTGAAGTCAATGGCTCCATTACTCCATATTTGAGCCGCAGCCCTGCTGTCATTCTGATCCCATACGTCTGCCTTATCTTGTGCAACGCTGCTGGTCCACGTGTGGACGAAGATACCCATAACTCATGGGATGAACTTCTGCTTTTACCCCCTGGACTGCGGGAAGGATTGCATTTCCTGGTCATTTTCTGTGGAGAGCCGAAACAAGGGTCCTGTTCTCGCTTAATACCACGCGGGATGCCTTGGACTCTACGCCACAGGCAAACGCGCCTCCCCCTCCCTCCATCCTGTTTCTTCGCCCCTCTCATGTTCTTATCATCAAATCGTCCGCGATCAGTTCTCAAGCCTTCGGTTTGATCATTAACCGTTCAGCTTGGTTTTCCCTCTTTGTGAATAACTCTATCTTTGTGGGCTACGCTTAGTCCAACAAACTCTCAAGCAATGGGGACGCCGAACATGCCGAACTGGCTGAGGATGTATGGTGATACCAAAAAAGACAGACCCCGATATCATATCCATTTGGACCCTGACTGACTGACACATCGGTCTTTGATTTAGTTTTCTGCTGATACTGGGCTGCGCATCATTTATTCCACAACTTCATCGTTTTTGGATCCGACGCGATACCAGCGGCATTTCCCTCTATTATGTGCTTGCAAACCTTCTCGTCGCCACCGAGATCTTTACAATTAGCTTTTTCTTGGTCATCAACCAACGGGTTGAGGGCTCTGACTTCTTCGTTCATCACCCTCCTGATGCTGGCGACGCAATCAATCTCGTCCATTTTGCATTTATTTGGTTCTTGTGGCTTGCAATGTATGTTTCAAATCCGTTCAGACACATGATCCGTACACCCAAATCATTGCATTTACTGACTGCGTTCTCACCAGCTTCGTTTTCTGTCTCGTATATCCTTCCGACCAGACCTCACCACGCTCCAAATCTGCAGTCACCATATTCGTGTCTTTTCTTCTAATCTCCATTGTTCCCCTTATTGCAGATGCAACAGTCAACGATATTCGCGAAAGGGATCGTCGACTCCTTCTGGCAATTTTTGGCTATATACATGCTTCCTTCATCAACCTTGTTATTACCATCTTTGGTATCATGGGAATGTACATCCAGATCCGAGAGGTTTACAAACAGCCACCAGGCTCTGGACTAGGTGCACTTAGTCTCCAAGGGCTAGCTATTCAATCTGTTGTCTTTGCTTTACTCGGCATATCATGGATTTGGCGTCTTGTGTTCCCTTGGGAACACCTGGACTGGCCAGAGGAATTGAGCCTTGCCCAGTTGTGGGCCCTTGCGATGGCGTGGTTCCAGTATGCTGGTTTCCCAACTGTTGACTATCTTGTCTTTGCCCTCGGTCAGGCTTTTATCCTTTTCTTAGCGTTGCGACGTAGAGTCACAAATGTGTCGCCAAACGAGACAGAACCATTGCTGGGATCTGATGCTTAGCCATTGAAGCGATTTTAGGGAATCAGTAGAACAGCGGAGGAAAGAAATCTTCACCCACTCGTGTATTAGTCTAACTGCCCCACATCTTGCAATACAGATCATTCAACTATCTTGAACATCACAGGCTTTGACGCTGGCACAATAATCTCCGGTCGTCCCTCATTATCGCTAGGGTTGGTGACCTTACCCGCAATATACGATGGCACTTGGACGACCGTCTTGGCATGATCTTCCGAAGAACCCCAGTTCCACCAGTCCACCAGTCCACCCTTGTATCCGCAGCAGAAAACGTCGCCGGGGATTAGTTTGTCAGGGAGAGTTGAATCAAATATCCTGTAGTTTGTCCACGACTCTCCCGGGAATAGGCTCGTGAAGTCTTCGTCTGTTGCTACAGAGGCAGAAACATCAGGAGCGTCGTAGAGACGAAAGCATCCATCCTCGTCCTGGATGCACTCTTCCCAGTCTCCTTCATCATCGGCCGCGACAGGCCGGCGGAGATAGAGACGGAGTCCGTGCCGGTTAACATCCTCAGTAAGGCCGAAGACCGAAAAGCATCGGAAGGTGATAGGCTTTGTAGCTTTTTCCACGCTGCCGTTAGGCCCGGCGATACCCTCATAGGTGACGCGCAATAGGATTTTAAAATCGTTCTTGTTGGGCTTGAATGTCGGGGAACATTCTAACGTGACAGATAGAGCGGGTGCCCCAGGACTATAAGGTCATGGGAGTCAGCTGGCTCTCGCAAATGTGATGTTGGAAGAAACTGACTTACATTCTTTCATGTGGTCTCACAGGCCCATGCTTGGGATCACACCAGAGATTGAAGTTGAAGACTTCTTGTTCAATCTGCTCGCGCTTTTCACTTTGGCTTGTTTTAAGTTCCTGGTCTTTCTTTTGCTCGTGATCCTCATTCTCGAGCTCGGTCGACGATTTGCCAGACATGATGTTGGAATTGAAAAAATACAATGCTGAGGTTATTTGGCCACGTTGTGCGTGTGTGGTGGCGAGATGAAAGTTGTATGAGGGAGGATTCAGCGGGGCTGCATCGCTTCCTTCTTATCTCCCTATTATTACCTTATGTAAGCCTTGCAGCCAGGCAAGATACTGGGGAAGGCTTACCAAAATACCGAAAAACATGCTCTGACTAATAAAACTTGAATCAAGTCAATTGAGAGCTAAATATTGCCACGGGACAAGGATCACATTGAAGAGGAAAACTCTCAACGAATAGCCCATACACGATGCACTCTGAAAATCTTAGGCTGGCCGGTTGTAAACTCTGCCTCGTTTTAATCTTAGTAAAAAGCCTCATTTGTGTCCAGGACCAACACTAGTACACTCACTTTGGCTATTTGATGATCTGGGGACTCGCTTGCAGTCCCTCTGTCGCCGAAGCACCTCTTCAACATCACATATATTCCTGCAAACGTGCCTTTAGTTCCTGTGTAAGTGCTTGTCATGATACCCGTTGTACTCTGCCAAATATTCTGTATCCGAGTTCGGTTTAACTGGGATGAGGGGTGGGATTAGCGCCTTCAACCTAGAAAACTACCTTCAAGTCTTTGAACTGCTTTCGTCTGCGCGAATGTTTCGAGAGGCCTGTATATGTCATATAAAGGGAGTTGTAACAATGGGTTTAGAAAATGCTGTGATAAGGAATCCGAGTCGCTGTGAAAGACGATGAAGAAATTCACGCGTGACATCGAAGACTGCCTGAGGGTTTCTGTATTAATCAATGAAACAACCCACAATAAAACCTAAGGACGAAGGTATCTCGTGGATGATCTGTTTCATTCTCAGCTGTGCAGCTATTTCGTTGAAAACATGTAGGAGATCCCAAAACTAATAATGAATGAAAAAAGGCTACTGAAGACTTTATTACTGGCGTACTTTTCAAATATTTCTCTTGGTAGATACATTCTTCACTCACGCAACGGGCAACCAGAAGGATACATCTCTGCCTCCCACCCCAGACTTTCCTTCAATAACGCTTTTTTTCATCACCAACCAAAGAAAATATCTCCTGCTACGCCCGCACGGGCGTCATGAATTCTCTGTAGTATCCTACCCTATAGAGTGCACCTGCTTATCGACGTCAAGGTCTCCTTCTTCTCCCGTTTCTTCCACCCGCTTTTGTGCCTTTCAGCAGTGACTCAGAATCATACCTAACAGCATAATTAATGTTGCTGTTGAACATCTCCTCAAAGTCCATACCCTAATGCTAATGGAACCCTGGGCACGCAACGGATATGCAATGCGGAATAGCGAACAACATTCACATCAGCAACTAGGTTCAAAGTTTAACGGTATTTATTGAAATACATAGACAAAGACATTGGTATTCTACCCACCCTTCACAGTACCTCTGAGTTATATCCAGCTGCTTCTATTGCACTGTAATCACTCTATGTCATATCACATCATAAACAAACAATTTCTTAGGCCTTCTTGCCCAGCTGCTCCTTAATCTCTGCCACCACGGCAGCGGTAACCTCCTTTGTCGTCGCCTTGCCGCCAAGGTCGGCGGTGACGATCCCCTTACCAGTGACGTTCTCAACAACCTCCATCAGCTTATTGGCGGCATCCTTCTCGCCGAGCCAGGCGAGCATCTCGGCAGCAGTCCAGAAGGTGGCGACAGGGTTGGCAACGCCCTTTCCAGTAATGTCAAAAGCAGAGCCGTGGATGGGCTCGAACATGGAAGGATTCTTGCGGGTAGGGTCAAGGTTTGAGGTAGGGGCGATACCGATGGAGCCAGCGAGAGCGGCAGCCAAGTCGGAAAGGATATCAGCGTGCTTTATATCGTCAGTTTCAACACTTTTTAAGAAGCCAGCAGTTGAATAAAGGTAAGCTTACAAGGTTAGTTGCGACAATGGTGTCCAGGCTCTTGGGGTTAAGAACCATTCTTGTAGTCATGGCATCGACCAGCATCTTGTCAAGGGTAACGTCGGGGAATTCCTTGGCAACGTCGTAGACAACCTCATCCCAGAGGACCATGCCGTTGCGCTGGGCATTGCTCTTGGTGACAAAGGTCAACAACTTGCGAGGACGGCTCTGGGCCGTCTCGAAGGCGAACCGGATAATGCGCTCAACACCGTGGCGGGTGAAAATGGCAGTTTCGGTGGCAGTCTCCCAAGGAAGACCACGATGGGAGCGACCACCCTGACCAGCATACTCACCCTCGCTGTTCTCGCGGATGATAACCCAGTCAAGGTCACCCTCGCCGCAGTTGCGGAGGGGAGACTGGGTTCCGCGGAGCACACGGGTGGGACGGACGTTGGCGTACTGCTGGAAGGGCTGGCAGATGGCTAGGCGGAGACCCCAAAGGGAGATGTGGTCAGGGACGTCTGTCAGTTGTCAGTTATTGATTGCTTGGAGATTCCGGGTATCAAGGATTAGTCCTACCGGGAGCACCAACGGCACCGAAGAGAATGGCGTCATGCTTCTTGAGCTGCTCAAGACCACCGTCCGGGATATACTTGCCGGTCTTCTTGTAGGTCTCGGAGCTCCAGTCGTAGTCGGTGAAGTCGAGATCGAATGTTCCTAGGGTCTCGGACAGGGCCTTGAGGACCTCCACGCCGGCGTCAATTACCTCGGGGCCGATACCATCAGCCCCCATGGAGGCAATACTGTAAGCCTTCTTGGCAGGGAGTGCACTGGGCGACATTTTCGTTTGTGTGTCGGGGAAAAGGGCCCACTGGGTATCACAAGTAATGGCGTGTAAGGTGATGCTTGGAGAGTGATGCTGAAGCTTTCCAGTATGAGATGAATTGTTGCCTTGAAAATTTAAGAGAACCCTGAGATGTCGTGAAGATGTCTTCTTTTGTAATCTTTTGATCACCGCCGACAACGGCTAAATCTTGCATGAGAATGTACAACATCTTCGGAATTGTTGCCGCCAAAGTCGAGGTAATGTGGAAATGCGGGATGTAGCGGGGGCGGCGAGGGGTCTGGGGAACGGTGAAGAGTAAGTCCGCGGGATATTCTTCAACCGCGGACAAAGCTAGCCCCACCAGGCACAATGGCATTGCGTTAATTGCGCAACTTACCAACAGCACCTCCACATAAGCATGCTGCATTTCGATTAATTCTGGAGGCGGTTTTCAAGCTTTCTCCAAAAGATATCAACAGCCACATTTCTATCCAAAGAGAGTGTTTGTGTTGGCGAGCGGAGGTCTACTAGAGTTCTCATCTCTACTTTATCGAACAACGCTGGCCAGGCCGAAATGATTGACGCGTCAGCGGTTGAAGCTGTCCTGCAGCACATATTACCAGCTGTGAAAGCTCACAAGGCAGAATCATCAAGCCCATTCATCCTTGGCTTGTCCGGTCTTCAAGGAAGTGGAAAGTCGACATGGGCAGAAGCTCTCACACAAACCCTGAACACCAAGCACGGAATCAACACAAGGACACTCTCCCTTGATGATCTCTATCACGACCATGACCAACTGGTAGCCTTAAGAGATTCGAACCCAGGAAATGGACTTCTTCGTACTCGTGGACAACCAGGAACTCACGATGAAGAACTGGCACGTCGCTTTTTCGATGACATCTCTCAGCCCTCCAAAGGCAACTCAGAGTCAATCAAGTGGCCTGCATTCGACAAGAGCCTCTTTAGCGGTGAGGGAGGACGGGTCCCTGTCTCACAGTGGGACAACGTACCGCGGAATCCGCCACTAGAAGTGCTTATATTCGAGGGTTGGTGCCTTGGCTTCCAACCTCTTTCACCCGAAGAAGTTGAGCAAAAGTGGAATAATGCCAAGGCAGGATCAAACAGTACTTCTTCCGAGGAAGACCAGTTATCCACAACCACCTTGGCCAGTCATGACTTGGAACACCTGCTACTCATTAATAAAAACCTGGAAAGGTACTGCAAAACTTTCATGGGCCCCTGGCGTTTCGACGCTTTTCTTCACCTAAGTACAGATCGATTGGTCAACGTCTACCACTGGCGCCTTGATCAGGAGAGAGCTTTACGGGAGAAGAAAGGTGCGGGGATGACGGATGCCCAAGTCATCCGTTTTGTTCAGGGCTACATGCCTGCTTATGAATTGTATTTGGACAGGTTGACACAAGAGTCGTTCTTTTCACAGGAGGGCAAGGTTCATGTTCGCATCATCTTAGACTCGAGCAGGGCGGTCTTAAGTGTTGAAAAGGCGTAAATCTTCAATAAATACCACAATAGCCTCACCATAAATATCAACACGTGGCCCGATTGCTTTGAAGACGTATCGTTGGCATGCTGTCCCTCCCACGTCAAGGTCAAAAAAGATTGGCTGATAGCAGCCACTCCGATTAGAGCTGCCATACATTGTAAAACCACGTATGATCATCGCTACTTCTCTTCCGGAGGCTGCCCTTCTTCATTCTCTTCATGTTCTCCAGGATCAACAAAACACCATGCACAGACTTCAACTCATTGGTCTTTCAGCCATCCGGGGAAAGTCAGGCCCATCCCTTTGGGCCGGGGTTCACCTCCACCCACCCATTGAACTGGGTTGCCAACGTGACAGACCCGTCATATTAACTCAACTAGTCTAGTCTGGATGAGCATATGTTCCCCGAGTTGCCTCTACCCCTCATGCAGTTACATGAACTGACCTTCAGCTCAGTCTATTCCCCCGCGTTCCCCGCAAACTTACCCCAAGTACCCCGGTAGTTCCTTTGTCCGCTGAAGCTAACCAAAGCCTGGATTACCAGGGTGACTAGAGCTTTGTTAGATGAAAATCTTTGGGGATCAGTTGGCCAAAGAGCCAACCGACTCGAAGAACGCATAGTTCGAGGAGAGGAATGGTACGATCAAATGCAACCCCGTGGAGGTACGATTATTACCCCGGACTGAAGAGATCCTGGACATAACAGGGCATTCCAGGTATAAGAACAGAACAGAGTCCTGCCATCCGATCCGCCAGACAACTCACGGACCCAAACAGTTCCTTTCTCCTTTCTTGATCAAACCTCTTTGTCAAACCCCTTCCCATTTGGCCACTCTTTGATCATCTTTTACTGTGGACCTCAGTCGTCCCAAGTTTCACACCTCCATGGCTTCTGAGAAGAGGCAGCCGCAGGACCTTGAGTCCAAGCCCAATGACAACTTCGTGGAAGTGTCGGGAGAGGATGAGAAGGGAGGCGTGCTTCAGTCTGGCGCAGATTACTCTGGTGCGGTCAAGAAGACTAGCCCTGAGGAAATCGCACTTGTCCGCAAGCTTGACTGGCGGATTATGCCAACACTTTGTTAGTTGACCGTCCACTCAAACATGTAATTAAGCAAAAGGCTGACATTTTGACCAAGGGTGCATGTATTTTCTCAACTACGTTGGTTTTTCCCGATTCCCGACACAATTGGAGGCCATGGAGACTGACTTTGGGCTTAGCTTGACCGAAACGCCATCGCCCAAGCTCGACTTGACGGTCTCGAAAAGGACCTCAACCTCGAAGGCTCTCAATACAATACATGCATTTCAATCCTCTTCGTTGGGTACGTCTTTTTACACTTGGATTTTTGATCGAGTTCCAGGCTGATATCGATGTTTCCAAATAGGTACCTCTTGATGCAAGTCCCTTCAAACATGCTCATGTCGTCTGATCGCATTCGTCCATCGATTTACATGGCTGTTTGCATGATGGCCTGGGCTATAGTCTCTGCTTGCACTGCTCTGGCAAAGGATTACACAGGCCTTGTCATTGTTCGCTTCTTCCTGGGTGTTACCGAGGCTCCGTTCTATCCGGGAGCCATTTACATGCTGTCCATTTTTTACACCCGCAAGGAGATCGCCACGCGTATTTCAATTCTCTACTCGGGGAACATCTTCGCCACCTCTTTCTCTGGTCTCATCGCTGCAGCTGTCTTCAACACTGTTGATGGAAATCACGGCCTGAAGGGTTGGCAATGGCTCTTCATTATCGAAGGCTGCCTGACTTTCGGCATCGCCATTATCGGCATGTTCACCCTGGCTGACAGTCCTCTAACCACCCGCTGGCTGAAACCCGAGGAGCGCCAGCTCGCACACGATCGTATGGTTCGGGACACCGTCGGCCTCGAAGAAAGCAAGGGCGCCAGAGCTGGATTCAAGCAGGCGATTCGCGATCCGCGTCTCTGGTTGTTGTGCTTTATCCAAAACATGCATCTCTCGGCTTGCTCTTTCAACAACTTCTTTCCCACTGTGGTCGGCTCTTTGGGCTTCAACCCCACGATCACACTTGTACTCACATGCCCTCCTTATCTTGTCTCTGGATTCTTCGGCTACGCCGCAGGACTGACCTCCGGCAAGTACAACGAGAGGACCTGGCATATCACCGTGTGCATGAGTATGGCTATCGTGGGTTTCGTGATCTCTTGCGCAACGCTGAACACCGCTGCGCGCTACGTCTCTTGCTTCCTTTTCGCATCAGGTATGAATTACGTTCCCATGGTTCTTTATCAACAAAAATGACTAACTTCTAAAAAGGCGCATACGCTGTCAACTCTCCCATTCTGGGCTGGGTATCCGCGACCCTGGGTTCCACACCCGAAAAGAAGGCCGTCAGCTTGTCGATCGTGAATGTCATCGCCAACGCATCATATGTGTACACTGCGTACCTTTACCCGAAGAGCGATGGTCCCCGCTATTTGACTGCCATGGCTAGCAATGCCGCATTTGCATTCGCATGCATTGTTGGCACATGGGCTCTGCGAATCTGGCTAATTCAGACAAACAAGAAGATGGACTCCGGCGCTCCCAAGTACGCGTACTAATTGGGCCCTGAGTAAAAGAGTAGAAGCTTTAATCTTGAAGCTTGGCTTAGCAGGAGATCCCCTGCGCATAGTTTCATCCTCGCCAAAGTAAATGTAAATAGATTGATATAAACACCATGAGTCACGAGTAAAATCCCTGTTGGCGCAAATATTGATTTTCACTATGTTGCCTTGCCGCGCATACCAATAATGACAATATTTGTCTATATTTTTACCGCCTCCTCCATAAGGAGGTCAACGAATCCTTATAGATCTTATCATCTAGCTGTTGATAACTAGACTGCTATGAATCATAGGCACTTCGCCGAAGTATTCTGCTCCATAACCTAAGCTCCTTGCTGCTTCCAATTGCAGGTAAGCCTTTCAGCCGCTTGAACATTAAAAAAGCTTTTTGAGCCTTGAAGAAACAGACCAAAGCGGCCCTGCCGATCATTGGAGAGACGTTTCCTTCTTATCGACTCGGTGTGAAACGAATAGACGAACGTCACAAGTTTGGGCTCGTCAGCTTGTTACAAAGACAAAGACCACTGAGTATTTAGTACCCTCAAAGTTCTACAGCCTGCAAAAACCTTCTGTCACCTCCGCAGTCCAGTCGTCTCGAAATTGCCAACTTCATAGCGTCTGCGGACGACCAGAAGCTCGGTGTCACCGTATTCGATAGCCGATGTCAGCGGAATTTAGGTATCCGTAAACCAAACCGGCTGACCGAAGTACCTGGTCAATTTTACCGGACACATGGAAAGCTGTGACTTATCGTAGGTATGACCAAGTCGGATCCACAGACGGGTCGAATTGTGCCGCAGCAAGGAATGGGTAATCGATCGCTCCAAACGAATTAGCGAACAACTGGTCATACCAGACCATCGACTCTTGCCCTTCTCCAGGCGCTGTCTCCGCATTATTGACCGATGGGAAAGGTGTCGCACCAAGATTCAAGGAGAATGATGGATTATCAAGAGTAGGCGAATCCTGCTGGATAGTTCCTGGGAAGGTAGATTGGGCTCCAGGTGTAGTAGCTGACCAGGTCGCATTGAGCGATGTACCGGATGGGGGTGATGCTTGAGCGGGCCACCGGTTCGTTGAATGGTCGTCCGGAATCGATAGTCCATCGCTTTGGTTTTGCGGCCATGGCATGCCTTCTGTTGCAGCCGGGATCTGGTCGTCTGGCCTTCCTGACGACGTCGCTATGGAGGGAGAAAATCTGGTTCGAGGATGTGAAGCATTCGGTGGGACGCTGATCGACTGAGATCTTAGGCCCCGAGATCTGCTTGAACTGCTTCCAGGTCTATGTGATTGCATTGTATCATTAGACCTCGGTTGAGTATTTGCAGAGTGATGATGGCCGCCTGCTTGCCTACGGAGCGGGTTGTGTGGTGTTGATAATTCTCGAACAGCTGCTGTGAGCTCATCAATAGCAGATAGACAGTATTCGGGCCATGAGGTATCTCGTGCAGCGATGTGACGCAGGATGAGCTTCCCTGACTCTACGTGTCTGAAATCAAAGAACATGTTAGTAGCACAATGATGTTCACGGAGTGTCTGAATACTTACTTCAACGCACTAGACAACGGCAGCTGCCTCTCAAATGCTGCATAGATCAGAATGAACGCGCTGATCCAGACTGCCCACGTGAATGATGGTTGCAGCAGAGGCTCCGAAAGGCATACATTTGCTGGATCATTCGTCATCTTGTGTTGGACAAGGTATCTTTTCAGCACGATGAAAATCGACTTGGCTGCAAATATACAGTTTTGTAACCCAGCGGAATAGGCGGGACTAGACGGGTCGGACGTCATCATTGGGCGATTGAGTGAGATCATAGACTCGTATTTTAACAGGAGTAAGAAGGTGCGGTGACCGGAGGATATTGGGGTTTGGGGCGTGTTATCGTCAGGGGCGTCAGCCATGTGAGGCTCGTCTTCGACAGCGTCGTGGATTTCATTGGACCATTTTGCCAGTTCTGCTTGAACATAGCTCGCGCGATCTGCGGTGTCATCTCGCGAATGAATGGACTTGTTTCGTAACTCTAGTATTAAACCCCGTATTCGTGCATGTTTGACTAGATACGTCAACAGCTGAAGACGGTTGTCTTCACCATCAACCGGGGCGCCGTGTCTTTCTTCTCCGGGATAACAGACATCTACGTCGTCGTCTCGGATATCTAAAGGCAGGCCCAGTGCCTGGCAAAGAAATCTCTCAGTGCTGTAAATGCACCAGAACACACGTCGGCGCATATGCGCTTCCTCTTTTGTGAAAAATGGGTATCTTGAGGGGCAGCGATGCAGGCCGAGATGGAACGCCATGCGAACAACGAGGCCGCCGAGTCTCGAAGCTGAGTTGAGCCGTAGCATCGAGACAAGGAACAGTTGTATAGCGAGTGCTGCCTGAGTAGCTTGGACCGATGCTGGCTGATAAAGGGCAAACTGCGAAGCTGACATTGCCTCTTCGACGGTGCGGAAAACAAGAGAGCCATGAATAGGTTGGCCAAAGGGCGCCCTTTGGCGACTATCGGCAAGTGAGATGGACAAGATGGACTTGACGATAGACCGCTCGAGATTTCCCAAGGAAGAAATGCCAGAGGCACTGACCTCTTCAAAGAGGACCAGAACATCTGGTGCGCTGAGGAATGGAAGTGTGGGATGCCATGCTTCGAAGTAACTCTTGGACCACTCCACGAGTTGCTCAAAGGAAGTATTCACATTATCACCATCCACCTCGGGGGCAAGTTCATGAATTCTCCAAAGACTCAAATCGTCGCCATCGCGAGAGGAAGTCTCACGCTGTAGTTGATCATCCTCTCCAGGGACGAGGTCGTTTATGTTATTGGTGGACTGCGACGTCCGGAGGGCAGATTTGCGCGCGAGCCTCACATAGACGCCACGGATGAAGTGAATGCCGCTGCCACTACCGACAAAACGGGCGGTGTCATGCTTGCCCGTGTCTCGCATCAACCCATATTCGCGGGTGGGACGGTCAGTAGACCCTGAATGCTTCCGCTTACGTGAGTGGTTAAAATGCGCCGGGCTTAAGGTACCAGACTCGGAGGTGGCATTGGGTGACTCGACGGCGTCCATTCGGTAGATGGATAGTCGATGGGCAATCCTAAGAAAGAAAGAGACTTGACTGGCGTTCAAGGGGTAGAGGCAAAAACGATGCAAGTAAGAGGCAAGACAGAACAGGGCCGTCTTCAGTGGACCGCGAGAGGGATGGTGGGGACCCGGAGCATGATGCGGTATAGAGGAAGACAGAAGTTCGAGCGGAATTATCCAGGTTTCTCAAGTTTAGCAAGAAGAATGAAGGGGGCCATGAAAAGTTGTCTACCTACCACAGACGCTAGTCAGGGGATAAGATCGACCAGTAGACCCATGGATAGGATGTTCGACAAAGGAGCGAGAAAGTCGGCCTCAGGAAATCGTCGGATCAAGTGGGCCCAATGGCACGGCAGCTTCCGGCATGTGGGGCTTTGCGGACAAAGAAAACCCCGCACAAGCAATGGACTGTTGTTCTTGAACTCGATCTTCCAACGCTGTAGATCCCCGGCCTGGGCAAGACGACGGCAATAGTGGCTCTTGTAAGTCAGAGACGAAATTCAAAATAACAGTATAATTATTTTATTGCTATGTCTCGGAACAGCAGTGAAAGAGACGGCGGTAGCAATAGTGCTTCTCAAAGCCCTATCGCCTGTGAGAGTTGCCGGCAAAGGAAGCGGAGGGTATGTTCGATTGAACTCTGACTTAATTGAAGCCAGCCCCATTCTTCAACTTTACAGTAAACTAACACCGCTTCTAGTGTGACAGAAAGCTGTGAGTAACTGTGGATGTAGCTTTGGCTGCTTGCCCCCTGTCTGGCCAAGGCTCTGACGCGTCCCCGCAGGCCATTCTGTCTCCAATGCAGTCACGAACCCGGTAGATGTCAGTATCCGGAGCAAAGCAAGAGGTGAGTAAAGTTGATTCTAATCTTTTCTTTGGTTTCTTTGATCGTCCTTGTATTGATCAGATAATCCAGAGGAATTCCTAATGGATACCTGAACAAACTCGAAACTCGTCTCGCAGAAACCGAGGCCGCTCTGTTCAAAGTTCTTTCCGGGGCCCTAGACAGCCATGCTTACGACCCAGCATTTTCTCCTGCTCTCCTCTCACAATCAGCGTGGACACCGAGACAGAATAAAGTCGACCGCGTCAAAGAGTGGGAGAATCTTCCGCTACAGTCTTCTAACGACATCCAAGCATGGTTTCGCTTCAAGGCCACCGAAGGCAATGATACGGCCACTGACTTGCCGGCCGCAAGCCCACAGTCGTTGATCTCGTCTATATCAGATCAGCTCGTCGTCCCTCAACCTTCGAGAGAGCAGGGGCCTACATCGAATCCTCAAGCTGTTGTCGATATCCCTATTGAGCCACAATTCATTGAGCCCATGACGCCGATCAACACAACTCAGGATGTCAACAGAGCCGTACCTGACAGCCATAGCAAAGCGAAAGAGTTGTCAAAGTCGCAACAGAACCTCTACTTTTGAGAGCCTCTAGGACTTTAACTGACCAGGACACCAGCAACTGCAGGTCTATCTCAATGCAGGTCTGCCGTTCATTCAGTTCTCCTTACAAGTTACATGACCAATTAGGATGGTTCCTGACTGCTTAACTGAAGACAAAAGGGCATCTAAACTTGGTTGAGAACCTTGTATAGCAGTGTTCTTTGCTTAGTTTGTCTGATATTATGCCAAGCCGTACTGTTCAGAACAGCGCTTAGCTGCAAAACTGTCCAGAGGTAGATATAAGCCTGTGACGGCTCCGTCGCTAAACCCAACCAGCTTTTGAGCACGGAACCTTGGGGATTCAGCGTTAATCTCGAGAAGCCAGGCCCTCCCATAGGTCTAAGACGAAAAAGGATCTTCTCAGGGGTTACAGTCGCTATGAAAACGCACGCCAAACTCGACGTTTAGCCATGGGAAGGCTGCATAAGCAATGCAGCTGCGGTATCGAGACGCCGCAGATGACCATGTTTTCCGTTTGCCTTACTCTCTACGTTGATTCGAACAGCATAGACTTACGGCTCTCAAGGATGTGTTCCTGAAACGCCAAGCCAAGTTCCTTTGGTATTCAAGGCTGTAAGACATCGGCTCCATAGGAAATACTTTGAGAGAAAGGCTAACCATTCCATAGTATTTCTCTATTATACTCGGGAAAAAGAAGCTAATAACAAAGCTTCTACGTTGCTGCACTCCCTGAAAGAAAATGTTGCTGAGATCTCGGGGATCATAGGCCGAAAGGACTGTATTCCGAAAGCTTTCATCCAACTATTCAATAAACTCTGCAACTTCAGCCTATATCTGGCTGCATCAACAGTTGCAAGGTCTAAACCATGTGAATTGAAAGTTTGACTTTGTCCGAGAACTCTTCGACACTCCAAAAGCATAGCTTGTGAGCTTCCAACGCTAGGAAGCTCTCGCCCCATAGCCTTTGTCAGTAAAATACATCAAAAGATATCATTAACAGAGCAACCTACCCTAATCATTGTAAAAGTGACATTGGGAAGGGCATCCTCAACCCAACCATGAGGGGCAGTGACGAGCTCGCGGGGAAGTTAGGCAAGTCAGAATTCTTGCTCGTTACATCTAAACACTTAGTATATACACCAGTACGAACGGGAGTACCTATATCCGTGATTCATAGTAATTATTTTTGGTTCTTGAGCAAGAGGTTGGTCCAAGGGTAGAGTATTTTACAGAGTAGGGGCATCACGGTTCAGTACATTGCCTCTTCTTGAGAAAGGAGTGTTGTTTTTCAGCGACTTTTGAGCCAATATGGAATTTAACTGACATGAATCAAGTTTCTATAGCACAATTAATACACTTTACTATCTTTTGCAAGCTATCATGGGAGATGTTTACGACTAAGCAAACTGGCTTCAGCCGCTGGATTGTCCCTGTCCTGCACAAGTTTGTTTTTAGCGACATTTACAATATGTCTTTTTTTTTTTTTTTTTCGCTTTCTAAATGTTGCAACAATGCGAAGAAGCCAACTTTAACTGTCTGTTACCCAGACAAAAGCGTCAACAACCGGAAGCATGTGTTGAATCACAGTCCGTCTGACCAGAGTGTAGTACCACTCAATGGGACGTGTTACAGTCTCTTTCTGAAGTGAAGCATGTTTTGGTGAGCGTTTATTTGACACAATTGTTTGATCTCGCAAATATACGAAGTGTAATTCACATACAGAAACTCGGGATTCAATTTGCAAGTCTTTTAGAACAATTGAAGAAAGCATCACGCTCAAGTCTAAGCGGAGTAGAAGTAGGGGACAATGCAAAAACTACTGAGGCATAGCCGCTACTAGGTGGTTAAGGCAGCTAAGCCAAAACAAACACCTCAGGGCACAAAGTCTGTAGCACATGGAGTATGAAATTATGGCTTTCTATTAATTTGAGTATGAATTAAATCTGGCAACGTAGGTGCAATCGTACTCAGAGCACTTTGATGGTTTGATCTTGCCTGGTAAACTGTGTTTTATCCACAGTCGGTTGCTATGGGAATAGCTTTTCATAATCCACTACCATCTTAGAAACAATAGTCAGCATCGATACTATCTACAAAGACTACCGATAACAGAAGATTGGATCAAACATACCTCTGCTTAACAGAACATGCGGATGTTCCAGCTGAATCCGCTAGAAGGGCCGTTCACATCCTGGTTCCAGGTGAAACGACCATGAGGGGTGTCGTAGCCAACCCAACGGCCATCCTTGCGGAACTCCAAAGCATAGCCGGGCTGGCAGGTGACGAGCCAGCTGTTTCCAGTGTTGCCAACACCCCAAACCGCGTCGCACACAGCCCGACCATCGTCAACGATCCAGGCTGATCTCAAATTGTCGCCAATGGTGTAACCGGAGAAGGTAAGGCAGGCCATAGTAGAGGGAATGGCCATAGCCATGGCGGTGATGGAGAACTTCATGATGAATTTGGGTAGAGACCTTGTGGACAACAAAAGAGTTTTTGAAGAGATGACGCTCTTGATCTGGGAGAGGATTGCTGTACTTAGGAACAGTAAAAGCTTCTATAGCAATTGAGACTCGGCATATATATAGTATTCTCATTCAATACAAACCTATTGAGGGTTCGGAATTATCCCTGAGCGGAAGGATTGTATTGCATTCGAGGACCACAACTGTAAATTAGTTGGCATTGCCTAACTTGGCAGGAGATGCTTCCCCTCGTATCGTGACCTGCCAATTAGACGCCGGATTTAGGATTATGGAGTCGTTTCGCAAAAGGCTGGATTGCTTTTTCTCTTTCTTTATGCATAGGCGAGGTGGAGTGAACGACTTGAAGTCGCCTCTTTCGATGTTCTGGGCGGTTAGTAATGGCGGCCATCTTGGCGTGGATGCCCGTTAGCTCATAAACCCACCTGTAACTAGGCACGTGTTTTCTTTAACAGAGCAAATGTTTATGTGTTTGCACTAGCGCCTGCTGAAAGAGGCTAGTATCCCGTCGAATGCGAGATGACCAATCGGGGCTTCCATTCTATTAAACTCATAGAATTACTCCCTATAGATGGACAATACACCTATCCTATCTCTATCCTAGTTATACTAGAGGTACAAGTTAATTTCATAAATAACGTACACCATATTATTCCTATTTAGTGCTTGCATTTTTCTTGTGAATTATTTCTGTATAACCTAGAACTTGGACAAAAAGTGACTAGGATAATTGGGCTTTTGGGCTTAGAGAAACTGGGGCCCTGTCGACTTGAACGGATGATCACATACACCGCGATCTTGGCATTAGTCCAATCCTTACAATCTGTATCCGTATGTTCGTACCAATGTGAGAAGATTTACATCATATACGCTCAAACTGTCTTTCGATGCAAAGGACTTATTGAAATTGTCTTTCTCCCTTGGTCAGAGTCTTTCGGCAGCAAGAATCTCTACCTGATCAGCACCGACTTAAACAGCATCTCGTATCTCATAGTAGAAAAGCTTCCTAAGATTCCTGGGTATTGTTAGTAGGTGTTTATTGGCGGACTACTTTCTTCTATCCTAGGCATCATCGTTAGAGTCAGCATAGAGGTGTGGTGGGTTCTGGGTGGGCATTACTAACCCACATCGGTCTCTTGACGGGGTCTGCATTCAGGGACTTGGTGATGGCACATGTTGATTGGCAAGGCAAGCATTGGCTAACCAATTCTAGTTACTGAGCCAGCTTTTCCGACGTTCCAGGACACAGGCGTTTACATGGTTGCGATTGTGACTTCGTTTGTGGCGATACTTTTCCCTCATGATTAAAAAAACCACGCCAGTCAACTGTCTTGGCCAAGGCTTTGCCTCGTTCCACCGACGATACAACTCACGGAAAGACGTGAGACTGCTGCCAAAGGTGGGGACAGCTTGTGGGCAATACAGGTACATACTTCGTCAAGACATCATAGACCGTCTGAACAGTTCGGTAGACTAGCTATATCCACTCTCACAATCACAGCAATGGTGTTTAGCCCCGCACTTGGACTGTATCCCCTCCCTTTCTAGCTCTTGAGATCAGCATGATCCTCATCATACTGGCTCGGCTCCGTAACACCTACTACTTCAGAGTCAAAGTTTGCCGTGCTCCTCACCTGGGCGCCCGCCCTGGCGTTTGCCTGTGGCGGTTTGCTTGGACAATCCCACTGCAAGGGTTACTACACTGGGCTGTTCTCACAGCGGCTCTTATGCATATTGGGTCCTAATCATCGATTTTGGCTATGCGTTGGCTAGTTGCTTTTCCGACTGTTATGCTATCTACATAGCCAGCGATTTTGCGGCTTTGGCACTAACGTTTGTTCTTCCCTGCACCGTCCCCGCTTCATGGAGGGGCGGTTGATTCTTTTTCATGTGCTCAACTTCAATAATACGTCGGCTTTGTTATTTGCCTTAGAAAAAGAGCCTCTTTACCATGCCGCTACTGTCACGGCAGCATAGAAGCTGGCGAGAGCCAGAAGTCCATAATCAAACAAGTAATCAATCCTCTGCTGAGTCGAGAACAAAAAGCACTGGACCCCATCACTAGAACTTAACGCAAAGAAAATGGCATTGTAAGATTAAGAATTGCCGCACCAGCTGTAAAGCAGCTATCAGGGGCCAAGGGGCAATTCGACGGTGGAGATCGATTGAGAACAGTAGGGTCCAATAGTAGGGAAACGGACAAAACTGGAGTGATCCGAAAAGGATACCTGGAGGAGGTAGATGTAGCAGGTTTGAAAAACAGAAGAGTCACGTGTAGCAAATGAAGCCACAATTTTTCAAGCAGATTAATGTCATTAATCAACCAAATCCATCATTGAAATGGAATGTATTGAACTGCAGCTCCTGTGGAAGTCGCACCATAACTCAAGGTTAAGGCCAAAGCCATCAAAATTTAGACCCATTGAGCCTAGAAATGTCATCAAAGAATCCCATTCTTGGTACACGAGGTTGTCTTCTGTGCGTTGGAAAAGCTGTTGTTCATACAGTTCACCTCGTATTGCTTCAATTGCAGCTGTTGGATTTCTTGCATGAGCCAGAGCGGACATGCTATTCGAGGGAAACTACCACAAAAGTCAGGCCCCAGCCCGGGTGTCTAAACACAACTTGGTCTCGAAATACAACTACATGTTCTTCCCAAGAGAAGTAACACGGTGAAGAGTGCAGGCTTGAATTTTTGATATGTCTCGTGTGGAAAACGCTAACATGTCATTCGCTCAACCCAGTTGCTTCTGGCTACCAGATAGCGAGGCCCTGTGAAACCTCCCAGCACAGTTGCGGTAAGGGAACGCTGTTGTTGTTCCAATGGAAGGGAAGGGATACATTGCGACCAAACTTGTCGTACTTGCTTCTCGTAGAAGTATACTGCTATGGCAACTATCCAGAGGCAAAAGCTGCAGAGTTATGCAGTCATTACAGTAGTGGAAACGTAAGCCGCCATGACAAGTTCGCCTAGTCGCGGCTTTGCCCATACAAATCTACCCCGCCACGGGGCCGAGCTACCCCGCAGCACCCATTCCGCGGCGGCCCGGCTTCCTTGCTTTTCCGCTCGGCTTGCGCCGGAATTGGAATTGCGGAATGCCGTCCCTGCGCCAGCCGTCCCAAACAAACATGACCTCACAACCAGGAAAGTTCCAATTTGATGTCAAATTGCAGCTTGAGGATACATTCTTTCATCGTCCGTTTGAACAAGAACACAACCGTCACGATGTCTAGCTCTCAATCTTGGGTCAACGTCTCCCCCAAAAGCCACTTTTCTCTGGCGAATATTCCTTTTGGTATCATCTCCACAAAGTCAGATGCCACTCATCGTCCTGCTATCGCCATTGGAGAACATGCGCTGGACCTGAAAGCTTTCGCCAAGGCAGGCGGCTTCCATGCTCTGCCGTCAATTCAAGAGCGGATTTCTGTCTTCTCTTCGACTACATTGAACGACTTTGCCGCGCTTGGTAGACCTGTTCACAAGGAAGTGCGGTCATACCTCCAGTCCATCTTGAGCGACAACACCCCGCACGCAGGATTGCTCAAGGACAACGCTGAACTGCGCAAGACGGCTTTGATTCCCTTCTCTGAGATCCAAAACCACTTGCCGCTTGCCATTGGCGACTATACCGACTTCTACGCCGGAAAGAATCACGCTTACAACGTGGGTGTCCTCTTCCGTGGTCCGGCGGCCGCGTTGCAGCCCAATTATGTGCATCTCCCAGTGGCGTATCACGGTCGTGCGAGCAGCATTGTCGTCTCCGGCACGCCCATTCGCAGGCCGTGGGGCCAGATCCTGAAAGACCCGAAAGCAGAGCCAAAGGTGCCCGTGCTGGCGCCGTGCGAGCGACTGGATCTGGAGTTGGAGATGGGCATGTTCCTTTGCAGGGAAAACAAGCTCGGTGAGCCAGTGCCGGTTGACCAAGCCGAGCAACACATCTTTGGCTACGTTTTGATGAACGATTGGAGCGCTCGCGACATTCAGGCGTGGGAGTACGTTCCTCTTGGACCGTTCACGTCAAAGAACTTGGGAACCAGCATTAGCCCATGGGTGGTGCTAGCAGACGCGCTTGAAGCCACGAAGACGGCCGGTATCGAGAACTCGACAGAGCTGCAGCCCTACCTCCGCGAGAGCAAGAAGAACAATGTTCTCGGTGTTGACTTGGAAGTCGATTTGATCAGTAAGTTCCCTGCCCCGCAGTGCGAACTGCGATAGTCATCACGCTTAGACGCAGGCTGACATGGAACCTTTTTAGCTGCCAACGGAAACAAGACAACGATTAGCCGAACAAACTCCAAGAATCTGCTATGGTCTTGGCCGCAGATGATTGCTCACCACACCATCACTGGCTGCAACCTGCGACCGGGTGATCTCCTTGGCTCCGGCACAATTTCCGGCACCGAGTCTGGCACAGAGGGCAGCATTCTCGAGCAGACACAAGGAGGCAAGCAGGCAGTGAAGCTGAACGGCGGCGAGGAGCGCAAGTTCTTGCAGGACGGTGATACCTTGGTAATTCGGGGCTGGAGCGGCCAGGAAGGCGCGCTGGTTGGTTTTGGTGAAGTTTCGGGCAAGATTGAGGCTGCGCTGCCTCTTTTTTAGAGTCCCGGATCTGTAGCAGGTGAATCACTTTGAGCTATAGCGTTACCACTACGATAATGGAAAAAAGTGCTTTGCTTTTATAACGGAACATTGATTGCAGAGATCTTGTGATACAGAGACTTCTACTTGATTCTCAGCTCATCTGGCGTGTCGGGTTGGTTAAAGTAGTGCGCCTTCACGACCGCAGGATGATCCTTCAAATTCTCAACCACCCGCCCAATAACCGGGTATTGACTCAGATCTACTCCGAATCTCTCGGCATTCCAAACGGCGGGGAGCAGGCAAATGTCGGCCATGGAGATCTCATCGCCCACTGAGTAATTGCCCACCCACTGCTTCGCAACAGCCTCATAAGCTGCTAGCCCGTCCGTCATGAGTTCGCAGTTCCACTGCTCCGCGTTACCTCCCAGTGCCCTCACTCTCCGCATAATGCGCATATTGGTGACTGGCTGAATGTCGCAGCACACAATGTTGACTAGGCTGCGAACAACAGCTCGAGTCTTTGGATCTTTGGGGAGGAGAGGGGTAGAGTTCGGGTGTGTTTCGTCGAGATACTCGAGCGCAGCGACAGATTGGGTGACCTTGAAGTCAGCTTCGGAGTGGTTTACGAGGAGAGGTACGGTAGCTGAAGGGTTCAATGCCCTGTGAGAAGAGGACAGATGCTCATCTTTGAGCAAATTGGTGGGAATTGTAGTGTAAGATATGGATTTGAGGTTAAGAGCAATCCGAAGGCGAGCGGAACAGGAGGAGCGGAAGTAGGAGTAGAGAATGTAGTCTGGGTTAGTCATTTTGATGGTTGAATTGATGCTGCCTGGAAGCTTTTGCTTTGAGTGAGGAAGCAGCCGAAGAGGAGGTCGAGAGCTTTGAAGATCAGCCAGTTTATCTTATGTCCCTAGCCAAAGGCCATAAACCCCTTTCGTCTTGTCAACTGGCGCCCTTCCGGCCTTATAATCGAAGAACCGCTCCTAGCCTTGCCCTGCCGAAAGGGGCACTGTTCAGGTCATTGGGGGCTGCATACGCCCGGGAGGATCGTGCGGGGAAACCGGATCTCCCCGCCTCAACGGCATGTTCTTACAGGGAATGTGCCTTGGAATCAATCGATCAGGAGCAATTGCAATTCAAACTCATGCGGAACTTCGAAGTTGTCATCCGCATAGTGAAGTGAAGCAGTGTCCTATTCCGAGCTCACTTGGCTATATCACACGTCAGATTAAGCCATCTTTCAGACACCAACTTTCCTAGCCTTCCCTCACTCATTTTGGTATGCCATTGGCAATGAACGAGATAACCTCGAGCTGCTTATGTCGATGCAACGCATCCTCAATTGTTGGCACGTCTCCTGAACTAGCAGCGAATCGCTCATAAAGTTCAGCGACACTCCTTGCAGCAATGGGCAAGTCTTTCTGCCAATTACTCCATGTCCACTCGATAGCCTCGATTTTGCCGGTCCCAAACTCATAAACTTCCAGAACCACAGGTTCATCATATCCCCTCGCCTGTAGAAGGGAGCTTCCAGCCGTTAGCCGAATCTCACCCTTCTCACAGTTGATGGACCATTTTAAACGAGGCTCGCCTGGAAACGTGGCACCGAAGCGGAAGTGGCCTGACACCGTGGCCGTTTTCTGCGCAATGTTAGAGCTTTCGACTATTGTTCCAGCAACAATGATAAGATCTGGAACGTCGGATTGAACCGTTTCAAGGACTGCTCGTGTAGAGGGGTCTACTATTTTGAGGTTGGGGTGTTGGATTTGAAAATGCGACGTGAGGTTTTCCACTTCGCCAAGCACGTGCTGGACCTGATCCCACACTGCAAGCCGAATGAATTAATTAGCGGATTTTGGCGAATCAAGAAAGACAAATGACCTTACGGTGAGCAAAGTATATGGTGAAGAGATTACCCCCTACTTCCTTTTGTGTGAAGTACTTCAAGTCAACTGGCAAGGTCATATCGGGTTTGGTAGGGCTGTCGATAGCTCTGAACTCGCTGCTAACCACCTTGCCCACCCGTTGCTGCTCAAGCAGCTCACGAATCTTGACAAAAACAGGTGCGACTCGTCCCTGCAAACCGACAATAGTCGAGCCTATGCCCATACGTGCAGCCTCGACGAGCTCCTGGGAATGTTTAACATCATGAGCAAGCGGCCACTCGAGGTAAACTGCCTTGCCGGCAAGGATACTGGGGAGAATTGTCTTGTAATGCACATCAACGCGCGTGCAACAGACAACCAGATCGACATCCTCATCTTTAGCGAGGGCTCCGGGGTCGCCAAACGCTTTGGTCTCAGCTGGTAGATCGTAGACTTTGATGGCGTGACGTGCCTTTTCCACGCTAGAGTTGCAGAGAGCGACAATCTGGTACTTCTCACGACCTTTTGGGGACAGTAGATAAGGCAAGTGAGCATTGCTTGCCCAAGACGTGTTGTCGGACGACGCAAGGCCGACGATTGCTACTCTAATGAGCGTCATGGTATGATCTAATTTGAAGAGGAGGCGTTTCGTTTGCTGGTGGAAGACCGAGGGGTTGGTTCAGGTGCGTTGCTTGGTTGAGAGTACGATCTGGGGGGGTCCGCCGCCCATGCCCATTCACAAAGACCTGTCAGAAAGTTAAGGGAGGAAATAAGAAACTCCAAGCAATATCCGGTATTCCAAGATTAGTAATCAAGTGTTTTGTTAGTCGATGCCCAACTGTATCGGAACTAAATTAAGTGCGACGATGAATTGGAGGCTAATTCTGTGCCTGTAGTCGATTCGATCGTTGCTATAGGGCGTCGATGAAGGGCGTTGGTCTTAAGTGAGAAAACCACTGAACTCGCAGACGTGGACAGTACTAGGGTTAAAAGAAAAATGGGATCACGCTGCTCTTGGCGGGTAATCGGTTTTGAAGTAAGAGTCGCTAACTGTTTGTGTTGCAATATGAATAATTATTGCACGAAACTTGGCTTTCATGTCGGCGTTAATGCAATTAGCTGACCCCAGATCTGCGCTCAGTATTTGTCATTGCAGGCCCGAACAATCGTATTCTCGTTCCCCTGCACCCGAGTAGAAGTAGACCTTACCACTACGGTGTCCGCGGGATCCAGTTTCCAGTAGGTGTTCTCGTTCTCGTTCTCGCTATCTACGTATCATGCTGTCAAAAAAACGACCCATACTTGTGCTGGGCTGTTATTGTCTTCAGCTAGAAGTTGCATACACCATTGTCGTCAAAAAATGTGTAGATGGAGGTTTTGGTCAACACGTTATGTCTGGTTGTATCTCTTCGGATTGTTGATTTCGCACTGACTTCTTTGTGAAATAGTTAGGCAAAGTTCCAACTGCAGCACCACGCAATCCCAAGTAAGGTGGAGACAAACAAGAACATCAGTGCAAATTGGCAGTGGTCAAAACCATCTGGTCTGAACAAGGAGTTGGCTCAGAAATTCGATGAAATTGAAGAAGCTCCTCTGTAACGGGAGATATGGAGGTTGCTGAAGCACGATGTCCAAGTTGCAAATCACATGCAGCAGGTTCTAACTATGTCGTTTTACATCGGTGATCCCGCAGCTGTGCGCGTGACTTAAACGAGATAATGAATTTCAGCGGCTTAAATACTTTTTTGTTGACGAATTTCCATCTATTTGAATGTGCTCTCCAAGTTTTCTCGAGTAATCGCTATCTTCATTTGACTCAGTGGAGCGCACTTTGTGCTTTCCGGATAATCATGTTAAGCAAAGTTGGGCAAATGCCATGTATGATGTTTCCTGAACAAGATTTTCACAATTCTTGAAGTGAACCGGAAATACAATGGTTACCCAACTACATCAGGACATAACTTGCCGTTCATCTTCTGTTGTTAAAAGAGAGCATTGAAACTACAATGGTGAAAGGAAATAGGTTAGCTCTATCAAACTCTTCCATGTCCTGAACCAGTCTGGTAATACACGTGCAATGCTTCAGAACAAAACCAAATCAACACCCATCTGCTTAGCGAAAGTTTCCCATTGCGTATCATTCCCACGTTCCCAGTAGTCTGTCATAAAGCCGTAGACAATCTTGCAATTGCCCAGTCCGTGTGATTCCATTGCTATCATTCTCGTGGCGATTATTGATCGTTGGGCTTCTGTCATCGCTTCGCATCCCGCTGTAAGAAGTGGCCATAAGAGTGGTACATTGACTTTAGAATGGAGGTCGATCTTCTGAAGTAATTCTAGGATAGATTCAACAGCTGACTGAACCTTTTCATGGCTCTTGGGTAGACCATAAAAGCGTCGATAGAGAGATAAAAGCGTTGCGTTGATGAAAAGTTTGTGTGTACAATCTAGTTCCGTCGAGAATTCTGTTGGCTCGGGTGAAGATGTTTGGCTTCTTATGTATAGCAAGAGCGTCTCGAGTGACTGGGCTTTGAGTATGTTGGCCTGAAGTATTTGTTTCTTTTCTTCATCGCTCTCTGTTTGTGACGCGTTTTCTAATTCTGTTACTTTAGGAGAGTTTGAATCAGACAAGTCGCAAACTTGGTTTAGTATTGTGGCCAGGTCGAGGGACAAGCCAGTTATTGTATCAATATGGCCAGGCCCTGGCATGCTCTCGAGAAGTTGTATCCAGTCGAGATGTCCTTTTCGTTGTTGAACAGGCAAGGGCAGTCCGGAAATCCTGTTCATCAGGACCAGCTGAGCAAGCCATTTGAGACCGAGGGCCCATAAAGCATCTGTACTATGCCGCTTGCCATCTCGGCGAACGATATTAATAGCGCCGTTGAGATGCTTTCGGTAGGTAGATGTGTCTCCCGCACATAAACTTGTCGTTGCCAGCATCAACGAAGTCACAAGCAATGTCGCACTTTCGCCTCCTGAATGTCTGGTCATGATCGCTGCGCGGAGACTGGAAAGACATTGACCTGTTGCTTCCATCGCAGAAGTTTTTGAGTGTATATTTCCTTTTAGTCTGTAGTGATGGCTACAACTTGCGGCTAATATTGCCGTAAGCATTGGGGGGCTGCTTTCTGCCACTGGTATGGCAAAACTGAGCAAAGAATCCGGCTGAAGTGGGAAGTAGATTGATGCGGTATGCGCGATGAAATGATGGAAGTAAAATCGGTACTTGTGAGATTGAACCATGGGAAATGGTGTCATTCTGTAGTCATGCAGCACTGATCCGGGTGACTGAGGAGGTGATAGCATCCATTCGTGAGTAGCCAGTTGACATGGCTTAGAGACAGGAAGGTTAGGTGGTGGTGGAGTCTAGAACAAAATAATAGTGAGCCGGGCTTGCTCTCCATGTTCAAGTACAACGTGTTCACCCCTGTAAATGCAATCTTTAGAAGACAAGTAACGACCTACCTGTCGGGACAATGGCGTGGGTGTTTTGAATGCCGTAGTTTTCACATTTAGCTCATAACAGCAGAGTCTAGGGTACTTTAAGCAGCGAGAGCAGACTGGTTTCTTCTCATCGCACTAAAATACCTGCTGTTAGTACGTGCCAGGCTAGAAACTGAACCATATCCGAGTTCAACGCCTAGCTAACAGAGCGTGTTCACACACCTTTGACTTCTTCCGTCGACACTCTGTACAGCCTGTGCGTCGCCTTTTGGGTCCCTCCATGACTGCAAGCCCACCGTCAAATTCTTGCTTCAATTGAACACCACGACGGTTGCTTTTGTTGCTTTTCGTAAGGAATGTCATTCACGCGCATCGGGATTGGATCTTGAGGTCAAACTAGTGACGATGTCCGTATGGAAATCTTGTCTTTGCAGGGGATGAAGTGGCGATTGACAAATGAAGGGCGCCACGCTAGACCGAAATAGAGGAAATATGCGTTCTAGCCAATGATTTAAGAATTTACTCCTCATTGAGTGGGTCGAAGCGATCCTTATCTTCATCCGGAGCAGGTTTAAAATGAGTCGTGTAACTCTCAAAACCTCTTGAACGCCATAAAATTATTGAACAAAAAGCGACGAAAAGAAGCCAGAGACAGCTTTTGAGTTTTCTTTACTATTCTCATATCGAACCTAATTGAATTAACCTCTCTTATAAGCCCCAGAAAAGACAGCATCATGTCTAAATCAGTCTTCGAAACGGCAGCTGCTTCTGTCCAAGCTCGAAATCGTATCCGGAACCACATCTTCCAAACACCTCTGATTCCTGCGAAAGTAGTGGGCAAAGATGACGGATCCAAAGTCTTATTCAAAGCAGAGAATTTCCAACTTACGGGTTCGTTCAAGTTACGGGGCGCCATGTCCAAGATGTCGGCCCCTGGAGTAGAAGGGCGCTTGATTACCGCATCGTCTGGAAACCATGGCATCGGTGCCGCGTGCGCAGGTCAGACTCTATCTCGAGACGTTACAGTGGTCCTTCCAGAGACTGTTGTCCAAGCGAAGCTGGAGAAGATCAAATCCTACGGTATCGACGTGATTTTACACGGAGAGGAAACGGGGTTGGCCGAGCAGCATGCGCAGCAGCTTGCTGCATCCGGTGCCTTTACGTACATCTCACCCTACAACGACTTTGACATTGTTGCCGGACAGGGAACGATTGGCTTAGAAATACTCGAGCAGTGCAGCCAAGTGGACAACATTTTCATTTCGATGGGTGGAGGCGGACTTATTAGCGGCATTGGATCAGTCATTAAAGCCTTCAGTCCGCTCACTCAGATCTACGGTGTTTCTGCCACAAATTCCAAGGCACTTGCCGAGTCTATGACTGCCGGTCGTGTAGTTGAGACAGAGCATCTGCCCACGTTAGCTGAGGCTGTGGCTGGTGGCCTTGACGAGGACACAATTACTCTTCCAATTGCCAAGGCTGTTGTGGATCATGTCATCGAGTGTGATGAAAACGAGATCTCGGCCGCTCTCAGGACGATGGCATTTGGAGAGAATATGATTGTCGAGGGTTCGGCTGCACTTGCCCTTGCAGGTTTTAACAAGGTTGCACAAGGCCTTGCCGGTCAAACCAGTGTTATTCTTTTGTGTGGTTCTAATGTCGACCAAAACGCTATTAAATCAGTTCTCTACGGATCGGCATAGAGTAGAGTTCATGAGTGTGGGGCTATTCAGTTTAATGTAACAGAGCATCTGGCCTGTGGTAACATTCGCAACTACGTTTGTGTGAAAAATGTGCGAACTGAGAGTCGAGTTTTCACAGCTCTTAACCTCGAACAAGCGCGGCGCAACACTATAGGCGTAAGAGTATCAAAAGTTCATGAGATACTCCTTTCAACCTTTGCTTATAATAATTATAGACGTCCCTGGATTTGAGTTGAGGAGTAGCCGTTTTAGAGGCATAGTGACCATTCTTGTTAGCTGACATCTGGCAGTATGAATATTCCGGCTTCGCAAATTGAAGTCTTGGCTCCTACCCACGAAGCAAACAGGTTCCACTCTATTGCGGGGCATGAGCAAGTTTACAAAACCTAAGCCGATCTCGCTGTCACCGGATCCGAAGTTCGAATACAGAACAGATATGGAGTACGTAAAATTTCTATTCAAATTAATATCCGGTACCATACCCGAACTTTCTAAACATAACACATCGCTACTTTTCCGAGTCCATATAAGACACACCCTTTACGTAACACTGGGACTTCCTTGTGTTAACGCCACAAACCAACATCATGGACATAACTATTCGCCCTGTTGAACCCGCTGATATTCCAGCCATCGTTGACTTCGTCAAAGAGGGTCGGCTCGTCATGTTTCCGATGCTGGATATAGAATCGCAGAATCAGTATGCGCAACAGGAACTTGCCAAATTTCAGCAAAGATTCATAGATTCCTCTCACGGATGGTTTCTTGCGGCCTACTCGAATGACCAGCTTATTGCAACTGTCGGCTACCTGGCCTACGATGACCGATTCCCCAAGCTTGGACTTGGTTGCGAAGGCGTTGTCGAGGTCGTAAGACTGTTCGTCAACCCAGCTTGGCGCCGCGCAAAGCTCGCATCTAGATTGATGACCATGCTGGAAGAAAGAGCAAGACAAACGGGAATCAAAACACTATACTTGCATACCCACCCCTTCTTGGACGGCGCAATCAAGTTCTGGGAACGACAGGGGTTCGCAATCGTGGGTTACGAAGATGATCCCTTTTGGCAGACGACACACATGAGCAAACGCATAGCAGAGTGACGCCTACCACTCCTGTCAGAGACAACTGAACGTTTTTCTCAATTTCGTCACTTGTCGCATGTACTTCATCTCCCAGTACGACGGGCCGCTGTAACATCCTGCGGGGAACAACTGTCTTCAACCATGCCCTTGGAAGACTGTTAGGGCGCAGCCGGAAATGGCACTCACAGCATAGCCTGCCCGTTTTACGAATTGAGATTGTCTAGAATTATGGAAGGTTATTTTCGGTTTAGACGAAGAGATATTATCTTCGTCTTGTATTTTTATCAATGTTATCACACCCTCATCATACATGTTCAGAGGAGCGGCTCCGATATTCATCATATTGTTGGACACCCCGTGCTACTATAAAAAGAGCAAGAGTTCAGATCGATATCAAATTCTAAAGCCATCATTCAATTGGATCTCTGTCTGTTACTGAGAGTCAGAATTCCACTGGTATGTTGAGGTTGGTGAAAAGACATACCTGCAGACGGGAACACTTTTCGTAAGACCTTCATGTTGTGTCGGAATCAAAGTCCTTATAATCTCGGAGTAGGAAAGCAACTACTTACGTTTGACTACACCTGAGATTCATTTCTCTACGACCAGTGAGAAAGAGTACTTGTTTCCCAATGAGTGATTTGTTGTGATCATGGCACCTCAAAGCGCCTTTGAAGTTCGAGATCTCACTGATGTTTTTGTCGGCTGCAAAGACAGCCGTCTAAACCAGCAACTTTATCCAAATTGTAGGGGTAACTTGTTGTACAATTCATTTGCATATCAGCTCGGCTATTGCGATGGTGCTTTGGAGAATCTATTTGCCACAGCCGTAAAACAGGCCGATGTTGCCAGTTTTATGTCGGAAGCATCCCCGGCTTCACATCTACTCGTGTACACCAAGTGTAGGTTGGAGGGCCTAGCTGAGTGGTCCGAGTACAGCAAAGTCACGATCACATACAGCATTTCTCGAAGCTCGTGCCGGAAACTGATCTGACTACTTACGCGAGTTCATCGCTTGGCAGGGGAGTCCGTAATTCTGGGTTCGAGGCTCCATAAGACAGGGTATCACACGTGGACGGCCACCAGGTCCCTCAGCCCCAGCGGGGCGATAAGCCAATTCTTCACTTGGAGAATCTTATATAGTACTGTAATACTTTGGATGATGAGGGGCCTATGAGTCGTCTGGTTAGAAGCTTATGATCGAGCAATCTCATATTTGGAGGACTTCCAAGCTAGCTTCTTGGTGGCTTCTTCGGTTGCCCTGTCGCCCGCGAGGGGCAGTATACTCTGGGCTGCGATTCAAAAAGGTCGTTGGGTGCTTCCAAGAGAGAGACGTCAATGTTCATAATGTCTACTTGGTACCAGGTCTACAAAATAGGAGCACTTCAAAGGCATGGAGTCCTTGGACGGCCCCATTTACACGGCAAGATTCATAGACGTGTCGATCTTTGCCAAGTAGAAACAGCTGGTCAAACGTGGGGTTCGCTGCAAAAATAAACCGAACAGTATTCTAGCAAACCTTGAGGCTAGGCTGCCTCGATACTTCAAAGCCATCAGCACTCAACTACTGACGGACGCTTTCAGCTTGGCAAATAGAAAGCATTCTGGCCGTGCTAGTGAATTCAAACACAGAATGGCACGCTGCATATAATGCAGGTCACGGCAGCTAGGTAGAAATCTTACCCTGGAGACGGTGCGTGCGGAACTCCGGACCCGCCCAGTTCATCCTTCGAATTCGGGCCTAACTTGAGGTTACATCCGTGAAACATGGGGGTAATCTACGCTTGTGAAAACAATATTCAGATCAGTGTTCGACCAATGGTGCAGAGTTAGTACACAATGATATAACCCAGCCGCATGCACATTGGCATAAATTGCCTCTCAATCTCAGGTTCTCAACGATCCTTTGTCCCATCTCGGCTCGACTTGTGGCGCAGGTGTGTATCTGAACAGACAGATTACTCCGTCGGGGGGCCTGTTACCCCAGTCACCTCGCTTCCTAATGTGGCGAAACACACGAGGGAATGCCATAGGGTTACACTGCATGAGGTATTAGATAGAAAAGTCAACAGGACCCCAAAAGCAGTCACCAGTGACGCCCTCTGTTTCCAACTTGTCTTCCAGCTCAGGCCGCTGAGCTGAGAAAATCAAGTCAACAGTGAGGGCAATTTGGTGATCCGGCGATAATCTCTGAATGTTAGAGATGTTCATCATGTAGCTGTTTAGTTGACTCTACTTTGATACGCCAAGCCATTACTATCAACTCGTTTCTGCTTCCAAGCCACATTTAGATAGATTTCATTGTGTGCAGGTTTTGCGGAGAGCATATTCTGACAGCTGGCGAAAAATGACGCCCGAAAAGCGGTTTGTACTATCCGCACTACTGACATTCACAGAGTTGACACATCTCGACGTGGCGCTCTTCGTGAGCTTGGTAACAATCGAAATCCAGCTTCCGTGATAACATGTCCCAGCCGAACATAGTCTTTGGTGTAAGAACTATAGTACGAGGCTGTGGAAAGCCAGTACTACTCAGTTTACGTCTCCAGCCAAGAGACTCACGAACGTTTTCGCCTGAGCGAAGTACAAAGAAGCGATCTTGATTCAAACCACCATGACCGCGTATTCGGGTCAGATCCCTTGTGCTCAGGTCAACGCTTGTTTCAAATGTATGGACCATACCTTCGACCCTTGCTTTGCCGAGATTCAAGCCACAAATGAGGTGCTCCTTCGGCAGCCGGAGCATTTGTGTGCGTTCGATATTGGTGAACCGCACTTTAAAGTCAGGTAGTGCCCTTATGCCCGGTGACAAGCTGGCAAGGCCGCATTCATGGACCTCCCCGCATGCGAAGTAAACCTATGAGAGGAAGCTGTGCAGTCACTGGCTGTACCGTCATCTTAGGGTTTCAATCTCTGAGGGGCTAGGAATCCTTCCTCTGAAATCAGCCTTTCGACCGGGCACACGGAAATGTGGGGTGGTGACCCGAACTGTTCACGGCTGCCTTGAAGTCCCACCATCTCCGATCATAGAGGCTGCATCTTGGGTCGTAGTGTAATAATGCTACCTACAGGGGCGGATACACCCGTGTTACAGCCTCTCTATGAAGTTGATATCGGGTGGTTCCTCACATGCCTGGTGATACGGGGACAGGGGCATAAAGTGCACCAATGAGCATGTTCGAAACATTGTCGTCTTTGTCTCGCATGCTGGGACTGGGGAAGTGCATTGCCGGCCGTCCAACGATCTGTATTACATCTTTTCTGGATATATTTATGAGTGAAATAGGAAAGACGCAGGAAGGGGAAGCCGGACCGAGTTGCTCCTTTAAGCTTTTGGCCAGTAAGAAGATATGCATGTGGCTCATTCAAGCACGACATGACGAACCATTTCCAGCTCCTCTCGGGGGTAATACCCAAACGGGGATATGAGGAGGTGCTAGGATACGTTAGAGCACCAACCACAGTTTATTACGACCGAGTTTCTTAGAGTAGACGACGATCATCACCTAGTTTTGGGGTTTTGGAGCCAACGCATGCATGTTCATCGCAATTTGTGGAGGAGGGGGGGGGGGAACCCTCTGACATCTGTCTGATGTTGACCTCAGCTCAACGCCACATGGTTTCCACATGGCACGTAAAATATTCGCAACAGTGAACCCCGAGTTTAACGGCGATCTTGAGTAAATCTGGGCAAGAGTACCTCTCCATATCCCCGGATACGACGTATCTCCTACCCCACACGAACGCTATGCTTTCCCATGGAAGCCATCCTGAGCTACGCTCACTTAAGATGAGAGGAGGCAGCAAGTCTGGACCCCTAGGCATCGATACCTAACAGTAGCTCTTTTTTTTCTCTTCTACTATTTTGGCAACTTCTACAAGCTCGTTTAAGACACCCATCTACCACTTGAAGAACTAACTTGTAATCATGTTGGCCACAAAGCCCCTACCTGTCCCTGTGCGCCTGAAAAGAACCAAGACAGGTGTGTGTCCTCTCACGTCCAGGGACAGAAACCCGCCCAGAGCGTTTCACTGATCGATAGTTGATTAGGTTGTACGTCTTGGTATGACATCATTCTCAAGGCATGATCAGCCCAAGGAGAGCACTGACGTTGCTGCAGCAGAAAGGCGAGGAAAAAGTGCTGTGAGCAAAAGCCTCAGTGCGCCCGATGTTCTCTCAAAGGACTGGGCTGCGTATATGACTTCGTCGAGAAACCCCGTCCAAAGTACTCCCGAAAGACCTCACCAGGCTCTCAAAGAGCTCGCCACACCCTCCGGGGTCATCGAATAAAGCCAGAGGAAGGTTTCATGCACACCTTTGAGGTAGCCAAGCCAACTGTGGCGCAATCGCCCGAGAGGAAGAAGGAGGCCTGCACGCCTCCAAGCCAACTTGACATGGACCTTTGCAACATGGACATAGACGAGTCACTGGATTTCTTCGAAAACCTGGGCAGCAGCAGCGACTCGGAAGCCTGTTCACTTCTCACCAACAACATCACTGACGACTCGGCGTCAGCACGCTCACTCTCCGTCGATCCTAGCTCACTTCCACTCGAACTACAATTTCCAGCGTTCTCCGATTTCGCCGACGACAGCCACAGCAGGAAGCTTCTGCAGTACTTTTGCGACACGCTTTCCCACCTTATCGTTTTCGTGGAAGAGCCGAACAACTCGTTCCAGAGTCTGGTCGTCCCACTCGCTTACCCCAACTCGCCCGTCCTTCATGCTATATGTGCTTTCACCAGTAGACATCTCGAGAATATCGGTATCCAAAACGACAGACATTCCTCAGAGTACCAAACAATGGCGGCAAAGGGGGCGTTTGAGTTAGTGAGGTGGAGGTGTCAACACGAGGAGGTGTTAGCAACCCTCATGCTATTAGTATACTACGAATCGGTAAGCCGACGACCACTTTACCACTGTCGAATCTCGCTGACTTTGCAAGCTCACGTCTTCCAACACCTCCGAGATGGCCATTGGGCATCTCCAAGCAGCATTTCTCGTCCTCAGTTCTACCCCAGAGTCGGAAAGAACGGAGAGCATACGGTTCCTTGAAAAGGTACGGCGAAGACACAGAATGCCAGATCTGAGCTGATTCTATGACACAGGCTTTTCATTACTACGATGTGATATCGGCATTGTCCCTCGGAATCAGCCCAGTTTCCGCTGTGCCAATGTCCGACTACACATACCCGCTTGCCGTTCTACCGCCTCCAAGGCAAAGCAACGGGGCACACGGCGACCCTTTTCTTGGGGCGATGGTAGACCTTTGGCCGGTCTTGTACCGCCTCACCATGGTCGGGTCTTTGAAAGAGGAACTCGATGCCGCTCTTGTCGCAAACGAAAACAGAAAGGCTGCCGTCCTCCAGGTGGAATTCGAGGCAACGACAAAGGCAATTGAGAAGGCGCTTCAAGATTGGCAGCCCGCTATCAATAATAAGGACGTTGTGCCGTCTACTCAGGAGGAAGAAGCTCGCGTGCTAGCAATGGGCCACAACTCTCTGGCCTACCGCCATAGTGCGCTGTTGTACTTGCACCGCAGCATCTACGGATATCCTATGAAACACCCCGATGTCCAAAAGAGCATCAGGCTGTCTCTGGAGAATTGTGCGGCGGTTGTCACGTCGGGTGGGCCGGTGAATGCCCTTTTATGGCCCCTTTTCGTGGCAGCATACCACGCCGTAACGGATGATGATCAGGGTCTGGCAAAAGTTTTGTTTGCGGAGATTGAGAGACGACAGGGGATGAGTAACGTGGGAGGAGCTCGAGAAGTTGTGTTTAACAAATGGGCTGCCGCAGGCGTGGACAGCATAGACTACGGTGACAAAACATGGACAGGAATTACAAGAGGCATGGAGCATAAAATAATCATGGGCTAAAATAAACAAAGATGAGAAAACAGATAATTGTAATGTTTACTACTTAATCACTCACAGACCAGACAGTAAGATCTCGGAGTATTTTTCGGAAGTGAGTATTCAGGAGACCGGCTTGATTTCTGTACCACTGTTTCGTTTGTAAGTATGCTTTCTCTCGCCAATTTTTGCAGCTTTGTCTACATAGGAGCTCTTTCTTAAATAATATCCCAAAAACAACAATATTCAGCTCCCAGAATGGCACCTCCAGAAAAGCTGACCAGTAGTTAGGGGCATAATCACCAGGGCTAGGTAAGTAAGTCTGACGACATATGTCTATGGGCCAAAAGCTTGGCCTTCAGTTAGTGCCGATACGACCTGAAAGAAATAGTAGGGTTCTCTAAATTTTCCAACCTCTGGGATCACATAGCGTAGACATAGATAGAACCTTCAATCACAGGGTATCTACCCTCCAAACTGCTACGTTATCAAGAAAACAATCGACCAGTCAGTCCCTGAACCATCTCTCCCAATAATGTATCTGTTGCCTTGCGCACCCGTCACAATACAAACAAAGTACGATAGTCCCGAGTTCGTATAACGGGCATCCGCGGACCTTGATCCAGTAGACATCCCTGCCTGGACGTCCACAACCCCTCGTAAAAAAATAAAAATAAAATAAAAAGACCCCCAGTTTGACACCAACCAAGCATCAGGCCACGACCTAACGGCGCCCACGCAAGCTCCAGGGTTTTTTTTTTTTAAAAAACAAACTTAAAAATGGAGCCCGCGGACAGCGTCGTAGAAACAGTCTCCATCAACGCAAAAAGAAAAAAAAAGTGTCACAAACAGCCAATTGCAACTGGGCTAATGAACCAATCCGTTCACTGGACGTATCCAGGCGTTGGCAGGCTCAAACAAGGTTTTGATGGTTATTGAACGGGTCCGCGGACAACCGGTTCGGCCGGTACCAACATGGACATCACCCCCCGGAGTAATAGAGAAAAAATGTCCGCAATTACGAATTATTGCGAAATGCGACTTGATCGCTATTTGTCTAGCTGAGAGCGCGGTCGTCGAGTGACGTATTACGAATTATGTTACATTAGCGCCCTTCTCAGCCTCATTACCCTCCCAACAACTCAATTCATGTAAACGCCACCACACACCTCTGTTCGTGATGGCACGGCCCTTTCTCATTGGTCCAGGAATGATGGTATTCGATCGTCAGGGCTAAGGTGCCTACAGTTCTTGTATCCTGGTTGGATGTTATCTTGGCCCGGCCAGATAATGTAGCTGACAAGGGCCGGAAAGAACAGTTTCTTGTGTGCCCGACAGTGTAGAGTGGGGAATGTCGGGGGATGCTACTTCACGTCCGATGCACAAGGCCGTCATAGTCTTGGGGATGGTTTACGTGCTCGTGAAAATGGGATGCATTGCATCCATGTTTTGATTCGTCATATCTGGTCATTATTCCTTCACAAGGAACCGGATCTCGCCGGAAGGCCGTCACCGAGCGAGTCTCTTCATCTCCGATGGTGGCGCTTACCACCGGATAGGCCCTTTCATTACCATCAGTCATTCAGTTCCACATCATGCTCTTTCCCTCTCCTGCCTACGCACCTCCTCCTGGAAAACATTCCGACCGGGCGACAGAGGTGGCGGACTTGTCGGCTCAAGCTGAATATCAGCGTCGTTCTTCGTTACGCGGCTTTTGGGTGGGCCAGATACGGTGCTGTGATATTTCGCGGTGGCAGCAGCCATGGCGGCCGCTTGACGGCGGCGGCGGCGGTAGTAGAGCCAAAGCATCACAGATACAATGGCCAAAGTGATAAGAATGACGGGTAATAATATGGCCAACAAGTTCGGACTCGAGCTGGACCTGCCGTCAAGGTCTAGTGGCGGGCGGATGGTGAATACCGGGCCCGAAACGTTCTTCTGCTCTTCTGAAAGAGGATCGCTGTACATGAGGATGAGGGTCATGTTGTTAGAGTCTTTGTCCTCGAGATCGCCCATACGCGGCGTCCAGTAGGCCCATCCATCGCCGCCGCGGATATTTGTCACCGAGAAGGCGGGTGCAGCGTCCAGGCTGCCTGTGTTACTGACATCATATCCAACAATGCCAATTGGTGTAGTGGGATCCTCAAAGAAGGTTGCATCCCAGGTGACTGTGAAGAGAAAAAAAAAACACGTTAGCTGTGATGGAGGATGATGCGATTCAGGCTGTTGGTTTAAGCTTACTGTAGTAGGTAGTCTCCACGTGCACAGTACTTCCACGTCGAGGTTGGCAGAAGGGGCCGTCCGGTCCGGGATTGTTATTGCAAACAGAGAAAACTCCTCCGTAACCCTTCGTATTGCTGGCCTGAGGTGGCGGCGGCACACCGGTGCTCGTCGTCAGAACCCCGTTGGTGGCCGTGACGGTGAAAACGCTACCAGTGAGTGCGTATGGTGGCGGGCTGATGGTGGTGCGAGCACCATTGCTGGTTACGATGGACGGAGTAATGGTTTTGGGGTGGCCATTTTGGTCGATGGTGATCCAATCTCTAATGGCACCAGGGCCTTGGCGGGGCTGAATAGCGACAGCAGATGAAGATGTCGCGAGCAGTGTTGTCGCTGCCAGCGCCGACAGAAAGAATCGCTGGGTATTTGGGAACATTGTTTCGAGTCTGCGTGGGTCACAGGCCGGAGGAGCTCAGACGTCGTATTCGGTGAGGAGGCATTCGGCTTTCATCCGAGTATGCGCCGTATTACAGTCCCGTCTCTTTTCGTCCGTGAAATAGGAGTTGAGTAACGACGAGAAAGCCGTGCAGTCGACGTCTGAAGAGACGAAGGACCGGCTGAATGTGAGAAAGGGGCACAAAAAAGGAAGAAGAAAAAATAACCCCCCAAGATCGGCTGACGAACAACGCTCGCGCGCCCTTACAGCGAAATGTAATCGTACCTTGCCGGGCCTGAAATAATAAGTGGCAGCAAGGGAGAAAGGGAAATGGACCCAGCAGAAACGGATGTTGGCCGGCTGGGGGGATCGCAACGCGTCATACGAAATCGAAATGGAGGGGCGTCGGCAGCAGAAACAGCAGCAGCATTTGTCGCCTGTCCTCCTTAGCGGGCTACAAGCAGGCAAAGCAGGCAGAGGCGAGCTTGGCTTTGGGCTTGACGTGCTTGGGTGGCTGGCAGCAAAGAGTAAGAAAAAAGCTGGCAGGATGAGGGACGACGGCGGTAGGCTGGGTCAAATGGGTTGAATCAAGTGGAATGGGCTTTCTTCTTGTGCTCCGCCTGTCCCGCTACAAAGGTCTTTGACGAGGCATGGAGCTGGCATCGGCACCAATGAGGAGAATGCTGGGCGTGAGGGCGCATGCTTGGCAAGAGAAATCGCGGGCATGGCACGGCAGCGTGGCAACCGGTTGATAATGGGCGGAGACTGCCAAGGAAGTTAGTGATAGGTGGTGCGATGGGCTCAGAGGGTCTTTGGGGTCTTGTGGTGGGAGCTTGGACGGCTTGGACGAGTCGACGAGCACGTTGATGTCTCGGCAAGCCCCAAATTTGTTCTTGGGTCGCTGGCATCAGGTGTGCTGAGCAACCCGGAGCGCCCCTGTCGATGCGGTATTGGCATTCTGGGCATATGTCTCACGGCATGTCAACGGTTCGATGTAGACGATGCTGCGGCACCGATCTCCGAGCAGTCTTTTAGTGAAAAGGGACCGGTTCCGAATGCGACATAATATCTCCTGGGCCCAACATTGGGGGCTGTGATTCCGTCTGGTCTTAACGTTCTTAGTGCCCCCCTTGCGTCTGCGCGAAATCTGGCAAGCAGAACGAAATGCCTGTGCGCCGATTTTAGCTCAGGCAAGAAAGTAATTAGCAGACGAACACCGGTCGCATGTTCTTTTTCTTGGGCGATGGTAAAAGACGCTGGCTTGGCGGGTTGAGGCACAGTCCAAGCTGGGACAAGTAATGGAACGCCAAGGACTGGTCTTTGGGATTCGGGGTGGAGGGGCGATACGACTGTAACAGGGAACATGGCGATAGGGCGCCGCGGCCACAGGCTAAGAAGGGTAGAAAAGAGTGCGGGGGTGGCCTCCACTGAGCCTGTACCAGCCAATGTCGGGCTTGAAGCTGGCGAGTATGTACCCTATGGTGCCTATGAATGAGTAACGTAGTAGTGTGATTGAGTCTCCATAGGCCGTTTCCGACTGTGGCGTACACATATAATAGCCGTCGCCTTTTGCCATCGTCGTTGTTGGGTCACGGGCAGGCGATCGTCTGGCATAGCGTTGACAGACGACAAGGGATGTAGACGCCGTCTATGGGGCTTCTGGAAGGGATAATAAGGCGCTGTTCAAGGTTTTATTCGTCGAAGTCGAGGTGTCAGATTGGGTTTGGCAGCGCTGGTTGATTGATCCGGACCTGTCCGCAGTGTCAGAGTCGAGGATGCCCTGGTATGCCACCGGCGCAGATGCAGTGGTGTGCATCCGTACCCAACCCAAAGAAAGTCTAGCCGGGAATGTCAATCCTCGTCGCTGGAGGCAGTCATGTTCGTTCCTATGTACAGGCAGATACCTGACAGAGCGAGAGACAGACAAGAAAGACTTGTCTGACTGCTTTGACTTGGCCGAAGAGGTGGGATGATTACACTTCCGATGGACGAGCAGCGTGAGACGGGGCGGCGTCATGGTTGGCCAATTCGAGGACGCAGAAGGAATCCAGAAACAAAAGGCCCTTGGCGGTGTCCATATCGGTCCTCCTAAGGGTCTTGGTACACCATCGTTTAGGGCTTGAGGAGCTTGGCTTATGTTGCGAGATATGCGCGCAATGCTGCGGCACAGTAAACTCGCCAATCCTGGGAAAGGTGGATATCGATGGAGCCGTATTGCCGTGAAAACTGTAGTGTACGATTGAATATAGCGATCGTTTCTGTGATGGACATGATGCTGATGATGGTAATAAAAGATAAACTTAAAAAAAAAATGGAATAAAAAATAAATAAAAATAAAAAACACAAGGTGTCGACTGGGGTGGTTCGACCGTGATGAAATGGTGAAGGATGCCAAAAAAATAAAATAAAAAATAAAAATGAACTGGTCCGGAACGGGACACGGACAAGACACTCAAGTGGAAAGAAGCATATCGGAGCGGATCTTGCCTTTTGGGTGGGTGGGAAGTTAAGGAAAGAGGAGATCTGGGCCATTCCTTCCTTTCCTGGTATTGCATTTGGGCAAGAACAACCGACCACATTGTTCCTTCCTTCCTTTCCCCTCTCACCATTGGCACCTCTTCTTACTGGCCAATTATTGACGTCCGTCGTGTCACTCTCGTGTTACTGCAAATCCTTTTTTTTTTTTTTTTTTGCCTCCAATTCCGCTCCCCTTTAGCTTCTTCTTCTTCTCCCCACATCGTCCATCACCATCACCACTACCACCATCAATCTCCATCTCGTATCCTAGGACGCCATTTGATACCGGCCGAGACACCATCCAGGAACATTCAGGTGACATCCTGCGCTAGCACCGGGTGGCAGACGGTAGCCATCAATGTCACTCTCCCTAAGCTACGCTACGCTTTGGTTGTGGCCACACTTGTGGGACATGGACACAATGACAGCTTATGAGGCATTCTAGTCCCCTGTGCCTGATGGTGATATCTCACTGGCATCATAAGGTCTTTCTACCATACCTTTATGGATATGCGTACTATGTAAGGCCATTCCCTACTTGCTACCACTACTACTACAGCAACATTCAACAATCACTCGAGCCATAGGGCCCTCGCCCATGGCCTTGATCCTGGTATCCCAGTCGCCCCTCTGCGCCATAATCCATTCAAATCGACGACCTGCCTCGTTCGGCTACAGTTAGGCCGTAGATCCCTCCTGTTTCCACCTAACAAGATGCAGCTAACGCTGTCTTGCATGTTTATTCCCCCACATCGAACTGGCCGATAGCATCTCGGCCCTCAAAGAAGCGTCTTTTTTTTTCCTCATCCTCTAGCAGCCTAGCAGCCTCTACTGTGACAACCCCGCCCGCTATACCATTCGATGCATCCGTCAGGCCAGTCGTCGTTCGGCCATGATGCAGCCACGCCGAATCGGCTCCAGGTCCGTCATCACGATGCGCCAGATGAAGCGAAGCCGGTGTTCCGCTTCAGCTGTGTCTCGTTTTTGGATGTCACTGTCTCCCACTGTGCCAGTGCTGTCTCAACTGCTGCGTGTTCCGCCCTAGATCCATCCCCCTGGCGCCCATTCACGATAGTCTCTGCAAGTGCCGCAGCGGCCTGCCACAACCATGGCCTGCCACAACCATGCCATTGTCACCCTGCATTGCATAGTAATGAACACCGCAGAGCTATTCCGGCGCCGTGGGCCAACGCGAGGGGTCTAACATGGACAGACATGCGCATTCGAGGCACAAGCTAACTCTCAGTCATCAGTCAGTAGCTCTGCCACTCAACAGCTTACCAACATCGTGGGTCATGGCCTGTCCCCCGCCGCCCCCTGATAGCGCTAGGGAAGCTCTAAGCTCTAAAGCGGCACAGAAGGATCATCCGCCCGCAGGCATCTTGACCACTCGCCTGATGGAGAGGAGGGGCAATCCATGAGCCACCCAGCGACCGAGTGATTGTTTCTCTCTTTAAGTGGAGTCGACTTGCTACCCTGAAGGCGACTCGATTGAGGCCTCGCTACCCATTGTGCGGGACCTTTCCCAGACCTGATGATCGTTCTCTTCACCTTGCCACCGAGTTCGCGCCTTTCCATTTCCCCCTCACCGTCTACAAAACCGGACGTCGTCTGAAGCTCAGACTTTGCAAGGCGAAAGCGCGGTCATCGTTTGTCAATTGCTCTCAGCCATCCAGCATGAAAGGCATCCGCACCGTCGCCCTCGCAGTGGCTGCCGCCACGGCCGTTGTCGCCCAAGAATGCGCCGACATTCTCGTTCCCAAGTACACTCCCCCTCAGGTCGCTGCTGGCTGGGAAGCGCAACTTGTTGCGAATGGCTACAAGAAGCCTCGAACCATTCACGTCGACAGCGAGGGTGCTCTCCTCATTCTTGATGCTGGCGTTGGTGTCTATCATGTTACTTTCAAGGACAATGGCGGCACTTGTCTTCACCTTACCGAGAGCAAGCTTCTGATCAACAACACTCGTGTAGGAATACCTCATATCCCTAGCAACACAGCAAGCTCCGTCACTAACATTTCCATGTCTAGTTAACCCATGGTATGGCGTTCTCCGATGATGGCAAGACATTATTCGCATCTTCGGTTGACGAGGTCTTTGCGTGGTCCTATGGCGCCAAGTCCGGCACTGTCAACAACAACCCCATCGTCGTCATTGACAACATGGCCAACAATGACCAGACAACACGCACTTTGGTCATGTCCAAAGCCTCCCCCAATTGGCTCATTGTCTCTCGCGGTGTCGATGAAAACTTTGACATGGACGCCCTTGATGTCTCTTCTGGCCATGCTCAAGTCAAGGCATTCGACCTCACCAAGGTTGGCAGCGACCCTTTCGACTTCAACACGGATGGCAAGCTCCTGGCCTGGGGTATTCGCAACGCTGTTGCCGTGGCAGAAGACCCCGCTACTGGTAATGTTTGGGCCATGGACAACTCAATTGACGATATCACCCGCAATGGTGTCGACATTCACGCCAACAACCCTGGCGAAGAGTTGAACTTGCTCGGAACCGTCGCCAATGAGACTGCAGCTGGCAACTACGGCTACCCTCGCTGCTTCGCAGTTTGGGATACTAGTATCTCGCTCAATGACTCTCTCAAGGTCGGCGACCAGTTTTCCATGGAACAAAACAACACCATGAACGACACCCGCTGCCATAACGACTACATTGCTCCGCGCCTGACCTTCCAGTCCCACACGTCTCCTGTTTTCCTCAAGTTCGATAAGGACGGCTCTAACGCTTTCATCTCTTTCCGCGGCAGTTGTAAGTACCAGCGTCTTTCTTGGATGAAATAGCAAGCTAATTGTATCTTAGTCAACCGTCCCGACCCCGTCGGCTACGCCTTGACCGCTGTTGAATTCGCCAATGGAGAGCCTGTTGCCAGTCGAGACTCCACCAATGCGCTTAAGAACATCATGTTCAACAAGGATATCAGCACCTGCCCGGACCAGTGCTTCCGCCCCGTCGGCCTTGCCTGGGACTCCCAGAACCGACTTTTCATGACGTCCGACAGCACTGGTGAGGTCTATATCCTGAGAAAGAGCGATGCGAAGCCCACATCTACCGCTCCTGGAAGCATCGCTACCTCAACTGCCAAGCCCGATGCTGCGAGCGGCATGGCCCCGTCTATTGGTCTGGGTGTGGCTGCACTGTGCGCCAGCTTCTTCTTGGCCTTTTAAGTTGGAATGAAAGCATACGGATACCAGGCTAGGTGACTAACAAAATTGGCGAATGCGGTCTCACGGATGGAAATAAATGACGGTAATCCAGGGTTGAATGGAGGATGGTGATGGGCCATGTAATGACTTATGAATATATTATTATACCATGTCAAGGACGAATCTTCTCAACCGTGACACTGCCTTCTGTCATCGCGTATTATGAATCCAGACAGCCATTACAGTACACCGGATTGGTAAGCTCTCGATTAACTCAATCCGACTGAGGGCGGGTACTTAGGACATGGCCAATCACTACAGAGCCAATCTCCTCTCCCTTTTCAAGGCCAGGAATTGCCCCTGAGTTATGCCTATGCAAGCCACGAATTTGCTCTGCTCTGCTATAAAGAGCTGCAAGCTCACATGAGAGTACATCGAACAGGTCCAACCCGAAGATTATATCGCTATGCGAGATCAATATGCAAGCATCTCCCGAAGAAGATTCCCCCCTATACCGCACAACGAGTATTCCATTGAAGCATCATAGACACACTTCGGAGGTGGGACCTGCAGATGGTCCCAGAAGGGACTCTTGTTCCAGTCCGAATCATCGGATTCGGTGTCGGTGTCGGTGCCGACTTTTGAGGTAGCACATAACCCTCACGTATCCGGATGTCTGCTAGGTGGCCTTCGGGCTTTTCCTGAACCAGGCAGGACAGGTATGGAGTACCAGCTACCATGCATCCCAAGAGCGCAACTCATAGCACCTTTGTATTTTATCAATGATATTTATTATCCTCTTGTGAAGGTACGGCTCATACTTGACCTTTTAGATCATCGTCCTGCCATGCTTCGGTTTTGATTGAATATGATTGCTTTACTTCATACATATATATGCCAAATAGGGAAAGCAACCACGATTGTAAGTGGTGCCTTTTGAGTGTGTTTCCCAAACTCAGCACTCTTTGACTGCGTCATCAAGTACGTAGATTCAGATGGACCTAAGTTGCGGCTCAGGGTGAAAACGATGGCATTTCGTCGCGAGATAGATTTTGTCATGCACTGTCGCATCTGAAGGAGAATGATCATGTTTCATTTCTTGTACTCAATGCTCTGAACAAGGCTATTCTCTTCTGTGATCCTTCGACACGGGGGAGATCTTGCGCGGCGCTAACCATGATCTTGGTTTCTTCCTCAGTGCTTCCGCTCCGTCACTTGAACCCACATGTCGGAAATAACAAACAGACCCATTGTGTTGTATATCTTCCATGGGCGCGCAGGATCAATGAATGCCAGCTCAAAGTTTCGAAACATCTATTCCCCCAAGTCAGCGCTTTCTCTTGAGCGGGATGGCGTCGTTAGACATGAACTGAGAAACCAACTTACCTCAAATATCAGCTTAGCAAGTTCAATCTGCGCAACCGGCTTCCCCAAACACAAGAACCTCCCATACCCAAACACAAGATCGTTGACGCTCTTCATGGCGGCAAGCTTATCTTCGTCCTGCTCGAACCATCTCTCAGGCCGGAACGTCTTCGCATCTTTCCCGTACGTCTCCTCGCTGCGGTGCATGGCGTATGCCGAGTACCCAATACAAGCGCCTTCAGGGAGGTAAACGCTCTCCCCGTTGACATTAATAACATCACCTCCAGCCGGGATGTTTCTAGGGAAAGTGTTAACCACAGGCGGCCGCATACGCAGCGACTCGCGTATGACAGCTTGCAGATACGGCAACTTCCTCGTCTGCTCCAACGAGATGAGCCCTTCGCCGAGCGCCGGCGCGAGTCCGTCCCTGACAGCTTCGTCGATCTCGCGCTGCAGCTTCATGTACACACGCGGGTTCGCAATGATGTGAAGCAGCGAGCCCCGAATAGCGCCCGCAGTCGTGTCCGATCCCGCGATGAGCTGCTCCAGCGCCTCCGACCGCAACTCGTCGCCAGATAACCCGTGCCGGATGAAGGACGCGAGCATGTCCGACTTCTTTTCCGTGTCTTTTGCGGTGCGCTCGTCGACGTCCCGGAAACACGCGGCGATCATCTTGCCGAAGCCGTTGTTGTCGTTGGGCGACGGCGCGACGAGTCTGCCGATGATCGGGGCATGAACGAGCCAGCTCACGCCGAAAGCGAGGGCGTAGCTGATGGCCGTGATTCCCTCTTCGCTGGACTTGAGATAGTCGTCCACGTCCGCGTCTTTCTTGAGCATGCCAAAGGTTTTGCCTAGCCCGACGCCGGAAATCACGTCGAGGGTGAAGTACTGGATCTTTTTCGCCAGGTCCATTGGTACGACTTCGTTGTCTGTGGAGATGTACTTTGTTCGGATGAGGTTGAGGAGGTCGTTGACGCGGTCGTCGATTGATGGCTCCAGGTCGAGGTTTTCACGACCAGAGTACTAGAGTAAGGTATGTCAGTGTCTGTTTTGAGATGATGATTGGTAGTGTGAAAAGGGGGTTGGAGTACTCCTGGCGCCATCTGCTTCCTCCGTTGCTCGTGCTTTGCGTTGTCTGTCTGCGTGAAGACGTTATCTCGACGGTATTCCACGCGACAGGCGCGGTAATACCAGTCGGAGCGCTTATAACCTGGATGTCTGTTGACGTGCGACCAGACCTCTGGAGATGAAGTCACGAGTATGCCTGGTGCTATGCGCGCAATCGGTCCTGGTAGTCGTTAGCAAAACCCAAAGATCAGAAACTGTGGCTTTCCAGAGAGATTCAACGTACCATGCTTTTCGCTCACGTCTTGATAAAACTCGTGGATATTCGGGGAGAGAATATGTCTGCTGTGTCCCAAGTGCGTAATGCCCGAATACCATGGTCCCCCAAACTTTCTCAGCTTCACATAATCGACAATGCGCTGGACAATGAAGTAAAGACAGAGCAGGCCGCCGACGGCCGGCAGCGTCGCCAACTCTGAGAGTGAGCCGACAAGCCCCATGTTCAAAGATGAGGATCAGCTGTCAGAGGTTTGCAAGCAAAAGCGACCATCTTGCTGTATTTATCGGATCGCTCATAGAGTCCCCGCACCTTTTTCCAAATATGTCCCTTTTACCATTTCGGTATCGAAGGATGCCACGCGCATCTTCTCTTCCCACACCGCGAGACGGAACCACCAATCAGGATTTCAGCATCGATCAGCAATCGTCGTCTTTCTGGTCCCGTTTCACGCTCGGATACCACCTTGATGCATGTGTGAGATGTGCATTAGTCTGATGGATGGTGGTTTAGTTGCCAATCGACACCTCCGGAGTGGTCCATATTCGGCGAACTCGGGCGGGGGTGGCCTTCGCAGGCAGGGTTTCTGGTCCTCGTTTACGGCGATGGGACGCTGCGGCAGTAAGACCCTGTCGTCCAGTGGGATGTAAATGCCGCGAGTTCAGGGGCTTGGATGAGGTCATTTACGCCCGGAATCTAGATTTTTGCTGTCAGCCACGAAGTCACTGCTCACTTTGTACAGAGTTGCATGGGAGGTGTTGAGGTGGCGTCTAATCATTAACTCTGAGAAATAACCACGGGACGTAATATGTGAGACACCATTTCTGAAGGTCGTAACATCACGAAATTTGCAGAATTTGCCGTGTAGAGTTTACCTCCCGATTTTGAAACCAAAATGGATTACAAGATTCAGAGGGTCATGGTTTAGGAAGGGTATGTTTGCAACTCCATCCTGTCGCGGAATATCTACTTGGTTCCGAACAAAACACCAGACATCGAGAGCCTAAAATCGTTCTTTGAAAGTTTGTAATACATCAGGCATTCTAGTCATGAGATTTGATGCTGTGGTTCCTAGTGATAGCATGTCATACGTTTTCTCTATGCTTTTACCCAGGTGATAGTCCAAGTTGCTTTTATTATCCCTTGGGATGAGGTCAATACCACAGGAAAAGGGTCACCCTCAGCCATCATCACGTTTTAACGGAATATCTGTAATCACTGGAAATGATCATTATGCGAAAGTCTTCCACAGCATGATCATCTGTCATCTAGATCTTCATCCGTAATACACCTCCATCATTCAAACCAACTTTAGTGACTCATTTTTTCTGTGTAGCCTTGAGCCTTAGACCAGGTGATCACTCATCCAAAGAACCTCTGTTTGAAATGCCAACTCGGCGAAACTCTCATCCAACCTAGCACAACAGATAATTTCTTGGTGTAAGTTCGAGCAGGTGATCAGTTCTCTTAGCCTTCAAAGATCTCAAAACCTGCAGTGACTTCTAATTTTGGATTGTTCCTACCATTCTGGTTCCTTTCACTGATGAACCCAAACCAAACTGATTATTGTGTTCTGGCTATTGGTAACAGAAGGTCTACCATTACTTCTCTTTTCACTTTCTGAGAATCACTCAATTCCCTTTCAGTGAATAAGGTGCCAGACACACGTGATTTACAACTTCAAAGTCATTCAACAGCAAGAACGACCTCAACCTCCTGCCTCCTGCCGTTTTTGCTTCCCATCAGCCAGGAGCTTCACCTTTTCAGCCAAACCACAAATATCTTCCCTCCCTCCATCTCTCAAACTTCTTCCTCAGCAATAACACACTTCAAAACAGCCTTCACATTACCCTTCACACTTCACACTCAATTCAAAGACTCTCTTCATCTCCCACTCTACCATCAACATGAAGATCTACGCTACTCTTTCCGCCCTTCTCACCGGCTTCGTTGCGACCGGCTCTACTGCCGCTGTTGGTAACCCCCAGGGCGGCCACGTTGAGCTCATGTCCCTTGAAGGAGGCTTCGCGTCGAGCTGTGAGAACTTTGAGATCACCAATCGCCGCATTCCCAACCAGAGAATCTACTCTATTAACGCCGTTTGCCCCGACCCTAACGGTGTCAAGTACAAGACCAGCATCCAGCTCAACCGCTGCCTGAAGAACCAGGACGGCAAGCTGGCCTGGGCCGAGATGTAAGTTCATGCTGACTTTCCTGTTACTCACTTCACTTGCTTACACAGATTTTTTTGTGTAGTGGCCACTTTGACGACTCTTGCGAGGGTTGCTCCCTTCAGAAGATCAACAAGAATGAGGTCGAACTTCGCTGCATCTGCCCTGAGCGCTGGGACAAGCCCATGATGTTCACCTCCATCAATCTCAGTAAGTATCCCGCCCTGCCGACTTCTCGCATAACCAAAAGCTAATCTGATTCTCGCAGACGAAAACATCCGCAACCAGGGTGCTACTCTTTGGTGCTTCAACCAGATCGGCACCCGCGAAGCCTAATTTCACACTTTCACATCTCGGTTCTTCATTGGCCAACGGCCGCACACATGGGGGACAAAGACTCAATGTCTTATGAGATGCGAACTTGATAATGGTTTATTTCATGGATTTGGCCTGGCATGGTGTTATGAAGGATGATACCACTTAGAATTGGTATTCCTGGACTTGGTCTCATCACTAGTTAGGACACCAGTCACAGCTCGTAGAAGCTCTACGCAGCAGTCAAAGATCTGCTTTCACACAAAAGCCCATGTCTCTTCCACCTTGTGACTTGTAAATTTATTCTGGTGACACTCTTCGTAGTTGCAACGTTGTGCCCGCCTCAGTTTTCTTTGTATTGGTTTCTTTTGTGTGGGTGCACCTGCACAGTATGGAAGACTTAGTCACAGCGTCTGAGTAGTTCATACCTGTTTAGTTTTGACAGTAAGCACATGTCTTTGGATATTGTAGAAGACCTTTGTCACCCCAGAAAGCCTGTGTATGAAGATTGTCCTTCATAGTACTACTAAGCCACAGGCAACAAGCCAAAAGCACCCAGACCGAAAGTATCTTGAACTTTTACTTGTATGAGAAACCCATGACGCCCACCCTTTGTAAAGTACAACCTTTGGATTGATCCACAGTTGCCGACGTGATCAATTTTTATAACTATCAAGTGCTTGTAAGTAGTAAACTGAGAGGCCCAGATATTTTGAGCTTTCTGAATGTTCCATGACCAAGGAAGGGCGGGGACAGAAGTGCTTGAAGACGCTGGGCGGAGACAGAAGTACTTAAAGACGCTGGGCGGAGTTGCGTCACCGGTTCTCTGCCACAGGTATTTTACATAAGCTTTCAAGTGTTGGGCGAATAAAAAATATCCGATATGACACCCATGTCTTTAGGGCACAACTCCTTTGCCTTTCTGTAGAACAGCTCCGAATCTTAGCTTTTGTAAGATACATTATTTGATTGGGGGATATTGAGGCAGCAAAAGATTGAGGTGATCCGTGGAGACATGCGTACGATTCTCGGACTCGGCCCCACCTATGCCGATGCAGCTCGGTGAAAGAGCTCTATCCGGCCTGAGCATTTCCTTATTACACGAATTGGGAATATCGGGCTTGTCGCGGACTCGCTAAGGTTGCTCGGGCTACCTAGATGTAACTCAACTGAATTTTGGGCCAGGGGACGTTGGGCTTGGATTACTGTACAAGGATCAAGCTTATGTGATGGACAAACCGTGGTTGCCAGGAAAACACATGACGCGGCAAGTTTGTGAGGTTTAACGCATTTCAGCTAATGACTGAGATTTACGGCTGCTTTCAGACAGGGTCATCAAGGTGCAGGGAATTTGCATACAGACAAAGCATGGTCACAAGGCATGGGAAAAGCAGTATCTTGGTAAAGACATATGAGATTGTATTTTTTAAGAGCCAAGTGGCTGAATCCTCATTGAAGAGGGAAGAAGTAGGTATTTTAGACATAGAAGAGTCGTTCCATCGTACTTCTCGATCCTTGGGAGGCGAGAGGACTTCGGGGGAATCATTTCGTAATCATCGTTGCGTTGCATCGTTTTTTTGATTTTGGTTCGTTTCGTAGATTCGTATCATAGGCTGTCGTATAGTAAGACCGCACGTCTTATGCGATCGAGCTCGGGACTTGCTCAACATAACTTTCTTCATGTTATGCTCAGCACACCCGACATATATAGGGTGTGTCGGAGGTCTTTTGTAGATTTCCAACACGGATGATTTCTTTATTTGCATCTCTCGTGTCGGCGGTTTGGTGGAATTGCAAACCGCCGCCGAGGTTACATGTAGCTTGCCCAGGTCTGGACGGTCCGCAGGTGCAGACTGGCGAGACTGATGGGCAGCTCGAGTGGTGCGTTTGTGTTCTTGCTGGGTCCGCTGAGACAAGAAGCCGGGATCTTGACGGTGAAGCTGTCCAAGCCAGATTCGGCGCCCGTGCCGTGCAAGCCGGTCGCCTCAAGCTTTTCGAACTCCTCCTTCAGGCTCTCGACGTACGAGCTCTCGACGTGGGCTGGGATGATGTTAGTATGAAAATGAACAAGATTTTATATGCTGGCAGGTGACTTACTCTCAGCTACGTCGGTCCTGTTGTCGAAGTCGACGGACCAGGTGCGTTGGCACCCGCTGGCTTCGGCACCCTGCTTCTCGACCGAGAGGCCGAGTAGCATTGCCAGCAGCACTGACAGGAGCCCTATCAGCCTCTGCCACGGGGGCGAGGCCTGGGCCATGTTTGTTGTTGTTGAAAGGGGGGGTTCTCGAGGATGACCTCGGAAGAGGATGAATTCCAAAGGAAAACAAACAACAAGAGACGCGGGCAGTGGCACGTCTTTAATAGAGAGTTTTTCGCGGGCACCCGGCCAACGGTGATCGCGAACCGGGGGGGCGCAATGAGCGGTGGGCATCGGGGCTTTCGATTCAGCCACTCGCTTTTTTGTCGTCTTTCTTCGCGATCTCGTCCGGCGCAAGTTGTCTCTTTCGTTGAAGACAACCCTTGAAGAGGATTAGTGCATCTGACTTGGCCATGCATCTGTGGGCTGGGGGTTTTCTGGCGGTAAGGCTTTCGCACTGGCTCGTGGTTCGTCTGAAGGCCGAATCAGCAACTGATCGGTCATGGGTCGTTTGTTGAGTTCCCACAGCGATATGTTCACGACGAACCGGAACCATCGCGGGGGCCGCCACCCTGGGCGTTGTGTTGGGGTTGTGATTGGAGCGAGACTGTCGTCGACGGGGTTGGGACAATGTTGACAGGGATAAAGTCCACACCGCAAGATGGATGGCGAAAGGGTCCACAGGCTGACGGAATTCAGACCCAGATTGGCACGAGGCTCAAGGGTGTGCCGGGCCTGTTCGTGCCCAACCCTTTTACTTGTCTGCGAGGAGGCCCGGCCGGTCTTGGTCGGCGATTGTGGATGGAATGGCTCATCGACCGGAGGCGGTCCCGGCCGAGTCGGAGGAGTCACTTTTGATGCAGGCCTCAGGTGTCAAAGATGCCGGTAGGAATTACGGCCTCAGGCAAAGTTGAAAGTGGAGGTAAAGCGAGAAATTACAAGCGGATATCAGATCATCTGATAAGATGCCAATGTCCAATCATACGTGACGCCGAGATCTTGGTTCTTTGCCAACGGCGTGGCATCCCTGCCCAAGATCTAGCAGGTTGCCGCAAAATGTTAATCATTGTACATCGAATCTATTCAAAGAGATCTGTCTATCCTAGCTTCATGTCCTAGGAAGATGTCCGAATGAGATGGGTGAAAGGTCACTCGCTATGACTCGGGTGATGCATTGACTGTCGATTTGCGTGCTTCCAGATTCGACAATTCCCACATACAAATTTTAAGGGCAGAGTGAAGATTCTTCAAGTCTCTTCTTAACCCCACTAACGATTTCAATCATCCAAACCGGACAGCACTGGGCAGTCTGGGCAACTCGGCATTCTCGGCCGGCACAATATGATTCGTCCATTGAATGGAATCACTTGCCTAAGCCTTCCCTTTACTGTGAGTTATCGATCCACAAGAGGATCCCATTAGGGGCTTGTGTTTGCAAAAAGAGGTCTTGGTCCCGAGAACCTGCACCATTTATAGCTGTATTGCCGCCTCCGACCTCACTCTGACAGTTCTTCGCTCTTAGTTGATCTTTTCGGAGTGCGCAATTCGAACAACTCAACCCCGTCAAGTGCCCTTCCTGCAGCCAAAATGAAGTTCGCCACCGTCATTGCTACGCTCGCATCGGGAGCCGCTGCTATCGAATGGCTTCCTGTCGTACCTCTCCATGCACGTCAGGTGACTAGCGGCCCCAAGTACGAATGCCATGAGGACTGCGGTGTGTACCCTGAACAAGTCACGACATACATAGACCCTTCATACTGATGAATGTTAGGTTACGCAATCCTTGACGCCAAAACAGAGGGCTACTGCACCAATCAGACCTGGACTGATCTTTTCGAGGGATGTCTTGAGTGTGCGCTGGAGTTCAACATCTGGCAGTACTACAGCAACGGTGTTACTGCGGCGGCCAAGAAGTGCAACCTCGACGCTACCCCCGTAGCCGCGGCCAACGCCACAAGCAATGCGACCACCGCGACAGGTGCAAATCCTACGGGAACAGGGTCGTCTACGTCTAGCAGCGTAAGTATAGCATAGATCTTTATTTGGCTCAAGTGACTGATGTTTTGTATCGCGTAGACGGCAACATCCACCGAGGAAGCCAACAGCGCTAGTCTGAACAAGCCCGCAGCTTTCGTGTTTGGCATGGCAGTTTTGGCTGCTTCTCAGCTCCTATAGTTTCATGTATGGACGTGGTATGAAGATATGAGGAAATTCTTTGTGTACATTCCGTCAAAGACAGTTCTTAATGGCTGTCATAACGAAGCTTCAAATTGTGGAATAATGTTACATTATCTACCTGGATAGTGAAAGTTGGTAAAGTGTCGTTAAAGAATAATGGAAAAACACTTCCATCTTTTTAATTTTGGCTACTGGCTACGCAGATATTTTTGCTGTCAAATTCAATGGTGCTACATGACCACAGGAGCAAGCCTAACTCTATCGAGGAGACCAGCAATATCCTTCAAAGACCCACCAACGCAAGTAGCAAGATCTGAGATGCTTTGAAATTGTAAGTTAGAAGATATCCTTAGTTGTAAATACGAAAATTCTGAACTCCAATTGTTAGGCAAGGCAAAAATTCATTAAACCATTGTACTTGGTTCATTGAGCGTGTCATTCTACTTTGACCGAGGCATGTCAAAATCAAAAACATGGCTACCTGACCTTATAAAGCTATATATCTTGATTAACTCCATTTATGGCGCGAGCTTGAACCCGTTAGGGCTCGGATTTGGTTCAGTTCTATATCCGTGCCTATCTAGAGCTTAGAATAGCTCTTACCTGGCGGTTGGTGTTTTAATGAAAAATTACAGCATTTCATAATTGTAGGTTGCTCCAGTTGTTCTCAAAACATTTCATGAGGTTACTTGCTGGGCGCTTAAGTCATCTGTACAGCTTCACGCAGCTTGGGCTGCAGAAAGACAATCCTGGGTTCGATAGAAACTAAGGACCTCAGCAACACCAAACCCTGCTCCAAATTATTCGTTACTTCTACTTCGACTTCACTGATAATAGTAAACAGTCGCTTGAAACCGGTCACGTGGGGCAGGAGCCGTGGCCGGAGTGGTTATAGCGCTGCGACGGCGTAACTGCCCGGAGGTCCGGCTATTACAACAGTTACCACGGAACAAACGCACCTACTACACCATTTTAACACAGTAGCGGTCAATTTGGCTCATAAAAAATCACGAATAGGCAGACTCGCACCCATAGGGCCTATAGAGGTTACGTTGATTGGGAGAAGGTTGCTTTAGATTGACTATTTAAGCAGCTCCACCGCAGGTTTATATGCGTATCCCTAGCGCTTTGGTTCTATTTTCTTGGGCTTCCGCGATACTTATCAAGCGTTTTATAGTTCTCTCTATCTTCTTGTCGTTCTGTTCTTCCGTCCTTTTATCCTCAAAAAGGTCCTAAGCATTTCTTATTGCGTAACACTCTGTAGTCGAGACGAGATCTTGAAGGAATACTTAGCGAAGCAAAGCCAAGTAAGTGCACGACTACATACCGCGTTCTAATTGAGTTTGAAAAGGCTGCTTGAAGGCTTAACCAAGAATGGCACCCCTTCTAGCAAGGGCACGATGATGGTCTACGCGATTTGCTGAGGCAAACGACCGCGGAAGGCTTCGTGTCGAACCCGTCAAGCATGCGGTATCCGGCCTCCTTTGCATTGGAATCCTGCTGCTGGTTGTTCCAGCAGGTATCAAGGATGTCATAAATGGCGTCTCCGAAAGTGTCGGCATCCATGCTTCTGCCCCATCCGGTGTTCATGTTACACCAGGTGGCGTAGCAGCCTTGGTAGGAGTAGGCGCTCGCGGAGCCGGCGTACTGCTGGAAGTTGTTGCCTGAATCCACCTCCCGTCTGACGGCGTCGACAAGGTTGTAACAGCTCGAGTACTGTATGGCACTGTTGCTGGTGCAATACGTGACGTCGGCTAGGGCTCCACTGTTGCCCAACAGCATGAGCCCGGCAAGAATGGTCGTGTGTACCCCGAAGTGAGAAGGCATGGTGGTCAAAGATGTGCGTGATAGAGTTTGTTTTGCTGAACCAGAAACACAGATGAAAGTTTGAGGGCCCGCTCTTATACTTTAAGATTGATATATATCTTACACTTGAAGTTATCATTTTGCAGAATGATAAGATACTCATTTGTTAAAGGTTGCTGATTGATATGCCCCACGATTGCTTACACATAAACCGGTGATATGCTGGGGTACGGTGGGGCGTCTTTCCATTTCCAGTGCTGTGATGACACAGATAAGAGAAAGATCGTCTCCCATCAACCATATTGCTAGAGGCCGATGTGCTAGAAAAGGAATTATCACCTTGATAGATAGAAATGAGCAGTTTTCAAGTGCTTCAAATAGACCTGGGCTGTCAGATATCAGTTACGGTGGAGTTTAAGTGGCCCAGCCGCCGACGCTTCCGACGCTTACATCTCGTTACATTGATAGAAGCGCTCCATTAGAAAGTCGGAAAACATAAACTGTGTCGCTATCTACTATTTCCTGGTCCGAGAGGTACAAGGTCGAAGAGAGAAGGTTTGAGGGTATGAAAGAACCGGGCCGCAAGGCTCTTAACGCCTGCCTAATATTGTGTCTTTTCTGATTACTGTTTACCATACCTTACTTATGCTATCTTCCAGGCAAGCGACACCAGCGTGAGCATCAAACCAGCTCCTGGCGCCAGGATTGTGTATACTATTTTTGGAGGCTGGCGGTTGGAGATTGGCTTCACTAATACCCCAATAACAAGCGTCCCTTCATTCATTTATCTGCTCACCACAAGCATCATCAGAAGTGACATCGTCTAAAGAGGTGATCAAGCAGCCAAAGCTAGTTAGGCAGCTAGGTGGGTCGATTGATTGTACTTGAACCATCTAGTCTGTCGCCACTTGGATTATGCCATATGTTGGTGGTAACTGTTACGGCCAGCTAACTGACAGTGGGTTTGTGTTAACAGTAAGCCAGGGATTGAGAGTAGTAACAGTCGTTCCGTGGTCCTGGTCGAATAGATCGTAGATCTTCAAAGGTCTTGGTGATCAGTCAAGGCCTCAACAAGAGTCGTAGAGTAGTCGTCACTTAGGTATAGCTGAAAGTACCGGTTAGGGTAATCACAAAGTTGATTGCTGAAGAACTAGGAAAGGTAGGACTCGAGAGGACTCGAGTCCCAACTATATACAAGTCTGGTTCCATGCTGAACACTTCCTGATCCTGGGGGACCGACACCCAGGACGTCGGTCCATCGCCATGGACCGCCCTTGGTTGATTGATTGATTGATTTATTCCTACTCGGTTATGAAGCCGCTCTTATGCCAGCAGCTATGCCCGGAAAGCGGGGTTTGGCAGGTAGCCGAAGCGTCGACAATGAACAGCGACGCCCCACTTCGCCCTGATGTTGCATCAGGGCCAGCTATCCCCAAGCTCCCCACTATGTTCTCTATTCTGTGTGTTTGTGCCCTCTGTTGAAGAAGTGTGTTGCTCTCCTGTCTGCTTTCTCGCTTTTGTGTTGCTCTCTAGAATGCTTGTTTTGCGTCCTCCTGCTTCGGTTCAGTTGGTGCTGGTAGCACCGTATCTGGTTCTTTGTACCTACAGTCTCCCCCCAGCGCTCAGCTTTGTCTCTTTGTTTTGTCCGTATCCTCCCGGACTTGTATGTGCCGTTTTCTCAGTTGCATCTGTAAATTCTTTGTTGCCTCCTGCCGGGTTCCTATGTGGCCTCTTGTTTCTTGCCTGTTGACCACTATTGCCCTCCACCACATTGGCCCAAGGGTCTTCCACGAAGCACAATGCTCCACTGACTCCGACATGTTCGATTACTGGGTATGAGAGCTCCCGCACAGATTCCGCAGACATTGTCGCGCGTTGAAGGGACACCAATCCTTCTTCGCAAAAGGGGCGACAGGGGACCAGTCTGTCTGTGGTCTGTAGTATTGTGTGGCATCGATCGTAGCATGCCTAATGCCTGGTGCTTTCTCCGTGCGGAAGGTGATACTGTTCTGTCGGACTCATCTTCGTCGTTGTGGGACGTTGCAAACTTTGTCGGGGGTGACAGGTGACCCAAAACCTGTCGGCGGCTGTTGTGTTGAAGTTGATTGTTTGGGCGCAGTCTTAGTGCTTCGTGTAGCGGCTTGTGGCTCGCCTGTGGTGGTGGTAACAGTGTTGTCTATTGATATGTCGTATTTTGCGGCTTGCTCTCAAGTTTTTCATTGTAGTCGGGGCGTGCTCTGCGGCCATCTTGGGCCCCTTTGGGACGTAGAATCAAGGCCGAGGATGGCATTGCATCGAAGGGGGCTCTGTGGCCGCGAGCACGCGTATTTGGGGCCGTTTTTGCTCCGATTTTCAAAAATTTCGTTCTCGCTGTTGTTGATGTTTTTCGGACCGCCCTTGGCACCGTCGGTCCTGTCCCAGGACCGCTTATCGTCCGTCGGTCCTGCTTATCGTCACGTGACCTGTATCCTAGTTCTTCCGTTCCGTGGGGGTTGTTACGACGTAACGGCTGACGGCCGTCCCTATAACCGCTGAGCCCCTGCGGGGTCGTCGTCAGTGGTCTGTTAACTGTCGGGTCGTAACATCAGCTCCCCTCTTAAAGGTCTTGTCCTCGAGACCTGAGTATAAGTAGGTCGTTGGTCCCAGGTTGGGGATCCACAAATTTGCTTCCTTTGTTTTTCATGATGCTGACACCATGTCAGGTCGCGTTCGAAAGACAAAGTCGCACTTGACTGTGATAAAAGATCGTGAGAGAGCTGCGCTTATTGAATACGTGGAGTCCCGATCGATTGCTAGCGACATGCCTTGCACTCGTTGTTTCCGTGCAAAGGTCCCGTGTCGTTTTGGCGAGAAGTCTACACGCTGTAGGACTTGCATCGAGGCGAAGAAACCTTGTGACGGCGTCCTCGTAGCGTCTACTCGTAAGTCGTGTTTTTGTGTTTTCGCTGTTCTGGGGGTTGCTAATGTTTGCTTCTAGTTCAGAAGTTGAACTCTCAGCAAAAGGAGTGGGATGAGAAAGAAGAGAAAGCGGGTGAGGAGCTATTCGCGCTTCATCAAGAGTTTGCTCGTTTGCAAGTTCAAATAGCGGATGCTGCGGGTCGTCTGAAACGGATTCGGACGGTCCGTAAGATGGTTCGGGAGCGGCAGACCGAAGTTTTTGAGCGTGGTATGCAGGAGGTTGACAGGGAGGATGGCGTCCTGGCGGACGACGAAGTCCTACCTGCCTTGGATGCTCACGAAAGGTTCGTCGTTAGTGACCTCCAGGCAGTAGGTCTCGGGAATGATCCTCCTTGGTCCCTTTTTGGTTTTAGTGACGAGTTTGTGGGTTTGGGTCTTCTGGTGGATGGCGCGGGTGCGGGGAGTGTTGGAGGTTCCTCGGCTACTCAGGGCTAGGTGTTCCTAGGCGAAGAAACGTTTTGTTGCCCTGGGGTTTCTTGGTTGGTCGAAACTTAGGTTAAGGGTTTCTAACGCGAGGGTTGTGTGTTGGTCTTTGCATGACTTTGGCATGCTGTCGTGTTTCCCATTGCGTCCAGTATTCTTAAAGTTCCTCTTGTGCATGCTCCAAGTTTGATGCGGGTTCCTATGTGTTTTCTTCGTGTCCGTAGTTTTTCTACTTGATTAGGTATTGTATTTCTGTGTCATCGTGCTGATCGATATGATCGAGGATCCTTTCGACCTCGTAGTCCTGTTCCGGGTCGACTTCGATGTGGTCCATAGTTCGTGATCCTTTTGGTGCTGGCTCGAGAAGTGAAATATGAAAAACTGGATGACACTTTATAGTGTCTGGTAGTGCGAGTTTGAAGTTGACGTTGGATACCTTCTTCGTGATTTCGAAGGGTCCAAGTTTCTTGAAGTCCAACTTATCGCTTGGTCGTTTTGTTTTGATGTTCCGGCGGAGAAGGTATGCGCTATCCCCCTCCTTCAGAGTTGGTCCCTCAACTCTTGTCTTGTCAGCGTATTTGCGCATGCGTTCGCGCACAAATTCAAGGTCTCTAGGAAGATCTCGTTGGATTTCCTTGAGTTTGTTGATATCTGCCACAGCTTTCAGAGCTGTTGGGCCTTGTCGGGGTTGTCCATAGGCTGTCGGGTTGAATCCGTAGTTCAAGTAGAATGGTGATTCTTTTATACTTTCTCCTACTGCGCTGTTGTAGGCGAACTGGGCCATAGGTAGCAGTTAGACCCAGTTGTTTTGCTGATAGTTGACGTAGCAGCGTAGGTAGGTTTCCATGATCTGATTGATTCGTTCTGTCTGGCCATCGGTTTGCGGATGGAAAGCGGTAGACATCTTGTAGTCAGATCCTAGCTGCGAGATCAGGGATCTCCAAAACTTGGAAGTGAACAGCTTGTCTCTGTCGGATACGATTTCCTTCGGCATTCCGTGTTGGCTTACGATCACCTGCAGAAACTTGTAGGCGAGGTCTTCTGCAGTGCTTGACTCCATGTACGGAATGAAGTATAAGTACTTTGTGAGTCTGTCGACGATGACGAGGACACTGTCGTAGTGGACGTTGGTCATCGGTTCTCGGGACTTAGGTAACTTAGTGACGAAGTCCAGCGAGATGGATTCCCATGCGGTTTGCGGCACTGGGAGCGGCTGTATCTTTCCATAAGGCTGATGTCGGCTGGGTTTGCTTTTTGCGCAAACCTCACAGTCCTTAATCGCTAAAGATACTTCTTGTCGTGTAGCCGTTTTGTCGTAGTGTTGACGGATGCGTTTCCACGTTTTGGTTACGCCTTGGTAACCATGTGCGGGTGCGGAGTGTATCTCCCTAATGGCTTCAGGAGACATCCTTCCAGTCGTGCTGGTACTGTCTCTTCTGGCCATCATTAAGAGTCTGGCTGCTGGCACAAGGTCTCCGTTTTTGTCTGTTTTGAGGATAACTCGGGTTTCCTCAGGTACCTGGACCTCATGGTCCGGTCTTCGGCTGAGGGCGTCGGCCCTGCCGTTCTCCTTGCCCTTCCGGTAGATGATTCTGAAATTGAATTCTGACAAGAATTCGGACCATCGAATTTGTCGTTTG